AAGCAGTCAAGCAGTCAAGCAGTCAAGCAGTCAAGCAGTCAAGCAGTCAAGCAGTCAAGCAGTCAAGCAGTCAAGCAGTCAAGCAGTCAAGCAGTGAGGCAGTAGCACTCGCCGAGATGAACAACACTGGCCTTTGTTATGAGTATCTCCAGGCAGTCGACAAGGGATGCTTGAAAGGAAACAAAGGGAAGCAAGCAGCCTTTAGGCAGTCCCAGAGGCGAGCAACCATATCTTCAGTCATGAACATCCATTCGGGCAGTCGATAGGAAATGTTTCTTTGGTTTGTGGGGTTTGACAGCAGTGATAATGGAAATAGCAGCGAGGTTTCAACAGACGAATATGGTGCCGTGTATGGTGCCCTGAGACGTTCCCCAGACCGACGACGCATAGGGTAACATGTGAATCTGAGTGTCAGACCGACAACGCATAGGGTAACAATTGAATCTGAGTGTCAGACCGACGACGTATAGGGTAACAATTGAACGGGGGGATCTGAAAGGGTGACTCCATCCGTAGAGAGTAGAGTCTGAGTGTCAGGTACTTGAATTCGCACCTAGACCACTGGCCGGTATTTCCCTCGCAACCACAGGTCAGAATGATTCATGGCCGGTATTTCCCTCGCAACCACAGGTAAGGATGATTCATGGCCGGTATTTCCCTCGCATCCGCTGGTAAGATCATGGCTTGTTGAGAACGGTTCATTCTTTCAAATTCCCAGTTCCCTCGGGAGACCTTTAAGGTGCAAGTCGCAAGGTGCAAGTCGCAAGGTGCAAGTCGCAAGGTGCAAGTCGCTTCGAAGATTCACATTCGCTGAATTCTCAGGCCGCGCACATGGAGTTCCACGTGATTCTATACAGAAGAGATACCTGAATTTGCACGGGATTCTATAAAGAAGAGAAGAGACCATGAGATGCGATGAGACCGCAGAGGGTTCTGTTGGCAGATGTACAGAGTACGGAGTACAGGCTTGATATCAAATATCTAGTTCTAATATCATACCATGGAGGAGAGTGAGATGTGAGGTGTGAGGTGCCAGAACGAATACTGTGTACGGATAAGGTACGGACATACGAACTAGGTAGGTAAGTTAGCCGAGTCACATGCATACATACAAAAGCGGCAAGGCTACTGTCTAGAACTGGGCACCAAAGCCGCCTCAGGGCACAAATGCTCTATCCCGGACAAGCCACCACTGCCTGAACTGCCTGGGAGAGCCGGTGCCGGATCCACCACCACCACCAACACTATTACCACTACTGTGTCCTCCGTCCTCCGTACTCCGTACTCCGTACTCCGTACTCCGTACTCCGTGTGCTACCGTCACCCCCGAGCGCTCGTGGGGGCTGCCACGATGGTTCATGCATGCACCCATCCGACAGACAGACAGACAGACAGACAGACAGACAGACAGACAGACAGACAGACAGACAGACAGACAGACAGACAGACAGACAGACAGACAGACAGACGGACAGACAGACAGACAGACGGACAGACGGACGGAGAGACACCTGCATCCACGTCCGGTGCGATGTTGGCGATCTGTCGGGTCCCGCGGCTCGCACCCCCATGTTCTGTCAGTAGACATGCATAGCCTGAAGTATGTGACAGTTGCTGGCGGATGGTGGCATAGCCTGGAAGGATGTGGTGGTTGCTGGCTGATGGCGGACGTCGGAACACATACATAGCCTTGAAGTATGTGGTGGTTGCTGGTTGCTGGTTGCTGGCGGACGGTGGACGTTGGACGTCGGACGACCACAAACGAGTCCACAACAGGAAAGACTCGCGCAAAATCCGAGAGTCTGAGACATAGTAGGGAGTAATACATAAGAGTCTAAGACATGGTAGGGAGCAACATATAAGAGTCTAAGACATCGTACTCCGTAGGGAGCAATATATGAGACCCCAAGACATGAGACCCCAAGACATAATAGGGAAAAGTAATACTTTGAAAAGTCCAGTCCAGTCCAGATACCATACACACAGGGAGAAAGGCTATGAACCCCCCTTAAAGCGTATAAGAGTATCCATCCGTACGCTGATAGCACAGCGCGAGACAACCCATGTCCAGGGTAGCTAGAAAATGGCCACCCCCCCATGTCTACGGTAGCCAGAAACTGACTACTTCAGACAGATAGCAGACAACAGACAACAGATAGCAGACAACAGACAGCAGACAACAGACAGCAGACAACAGACAGCAGACAACAGACAGCAGACAGCAGATAACAGACAGCAGACAACAGACAACAGACAACAGACTACAGACGACAGACTACAGACGACAGACTACAGACGACAGACTACAGACGACAGAAAAGACAGCAGACAGCAGACAACAGACAACACCCAACAGGGACGTACAGTGCCACGGCGTCGGCGTTCAACTATGGCCCTGGCCCTGAGGCTGAGTGGCCCTGTGACCCTGTACGGAGTACGGAGGACACGCAGGCAGGCGGTGGGTAGGACGAAGGCGAAGGCGAAGGCGCGTTACACCGAAAATTGAAACAAGAAACAACCTAACTCGACGGTCGACTGCTGAACACCAACATCTCTACGAAGCAATGCTCGCAGGCCTTCTTGGTGGACCGGTCTTACGCACAGCTGAGGTGAGATGTGACTCCAGGCTGTGTATCCGTACTCGGCAATGGTCCACCGCCTGGAGCCGCCTGACCCACAAGACATCGGTTGCAAAGCCGCGGGAGGAGAGCAGAATGGAAAGCCCACATGTTTTTCAAGGTTATAGATTCAAACACCTGGACACAGCGGCACCAAGGAAGCATGGCGTCGATCCAAGAAATGTCCCGACATACCCAAGTACAAGTAAGACATAGCTCGACCAAACACACAGATAACCCGACAAAACCCGCGTGTCCACCACGTCCACAAGTCTAACAAAAGGAAAGATATAGAATGTTTACCAAATGGTAATGCAGAGGTCAGTGTCTTAGGTCCCGGTGTCCATAGATTGACCTGAATGCCATGTCGTTTGCCTTTCGGTCGCCCATACAACCAACTCTTTTGAAAGGCCCAGTCTCACCACACCACCATCGAGCCATTGATATGCGGTTGAATCTAAGAGAAGGTCGTCCGGAGAGTGGCGCTAGAACCCATGCCACCGCATCCACCGGAAGGTGCACCGTCGTAGGTACCATAGTTGGCTCCGGGTTGCGATCCGTTTTCGCAGTTGAGCAGGACGTAGTCGGTGATACAGACATCTCCCGAGGCGCATTGGAAGACGCATGTGTTCATGTCGCTGGTGCATGAGGGGCCGACAATGCTCAAAGAGTGACCGTTCATGTTGACCTCACGCGACACATCAACCACACCATAGAGGCCGAAGGTGAATTCACCCCAGGTGTTGGAAGCCTGGCCGTTGACGAGTTGAGTATCAGGGTAAATGGCAGTCCAGGCGCCCGAGGCTCCGTCCGCAAAGGAGACCCAGACAGACCCATTGGCGGGAATGGAGGCGGTGATGCTGGGCTGGACGGCGTTGATCCACGAGCCTGCAACCCCCCAGATCACAAGAATCAAGTCTTCGCCCGACTCGTTGACGAATTCGTTCTGGTAAGGACCGTCAGTGCCCAGCCAGGAATGCCCGTTTGCGACCGCGGCGTTGACGCCCAGAGCAGCAACGCCCAAGGAAGTGAGTTTGCTAGCATCAGTGTCGGTCAAGGCTGTGGCACGTTTCCTGTGTTCCATGTGTCAGTCTCCTCGTATCTCGTGCAACCGGACCCGGACATGGTCTTACTCGACTTGGGCGTGGTCGTGCTTGCGGGCATGGCTGTGGAAGGCCGAGTGGATGTGGCCCACGCTGGCAGCATATGCTTGACCAACTGCAAGGGTGGCCAGCACCAAGGACTTCATCGTGTAACGCATTTTTGTGTCTTGATTGTGTAGAGCTCCGAATTGGATTTCCTTTCTTGAGGTCTGATCGAGAGAGGATGTTTGTTTGAAAGCGCGGTTCGCCGGGAAAAGGAGTGATATCGCGGGTTGGGACGATCACAGATCGAGTCTCTCTAAGGAGTGTATAGGGGGAAGAGGGAATGACGAAGCGAACGTGCTGTCGCGTGAATGAGTGAACGCGAGCGTAGGCTGGTACGGCTGGGTAAAGGAAAGGACGACGTCTGAAAAAACGTCTGTGGGTGAGGGTTATAATCGATCTCAGGCGGTGGACACGAACTGAACGGAGAGCAAGGAGGAGGGAGAGACAGGAACAGGGCCAAGCAAAAGCAGAGATGCAACAACAGACAGGCCCAGGAGACGCGGATCCACGACAGCAGAGAGGGTCGGCGCAACAAGACCAATGGCCATGCTCCGCCGGGGATGGCCCCGGTCTTCGACCCATGGCTGTGGCGGGCGACGGCCCCGGGACTCCCCTGTCGCTGCTTGGTTTCTTAGGTTCCTGGAGCGCTGGGTCGGCCTCAATGAAACGTCCTAGCTCCAATTAACCTCTGCCAATTTCCAGGCGCTTGACGAATGGTGTTGGCTGTCTCTCGCGTACCTGGCGCGAACTGGAGCTTAGTCCATCCCCTACGTCAAGCCGCGTCGTAGATCGCACTCGAACGTTGGCTCTCATTTCGGCACCTGGCACCACCAGGCACTTGACAGAAAGGAAGGGGCTGGGCCCTAAAGAGGAATGACTCGGGCTGCGTAAATGCTTCTTGCAACAACACGTCAGCTCCTGGAATGTGCAGGGTGCACCGCCGACAACAAGATGCCAGATAAAGTTTGTTCGAGGCCTGATGCTGGCCAAACCCAGGGTCGTGGCTTCACGGTCCGTGCGCCCACCTCTCCGTCCAAGACAAATTCCAATGGTGCCAGCACACAATCGGCCTGGGGACCGGTTCTGTGTTCTTTCCCCCACTAGGCAGTAATGCCTTCCATCTCATGCATGAATGGATCATGATGTGATATTCAGAGGCAGATATCCTTGTAGCTAACCACCTGGTGAATTGTCGGCCAATGATATTTCCAGACCCTTTGCGCTTTTTTTTTTTGCAGTCACCTGGGAAAGGCCCAAAACTCTATGGGCTCATTTGCCATGTCGGAGGTCACCAGGGTTGCTTGCTTCGCGCAGTCTGAGGAGTTCGCAGGACCAAATCATAATGGTGTAGCCGCACTCTCTACGGAGCACTACTGATGACTCGAAAATCCGGCCTCTATGCGCCTGTAGCGAAATGCAAGGTGTGTCGGTGAAACTGCACGCGCCATTGGCGCATTCTGTTTGATGGCTGGATCTGCCCATCCTTGATTGACACCTCTCACACGATGTGGCCCAGGAGGCGCTGTCCAAGCCCAGCCACAGCCACAATGGCTTCTATTCTAATGGGCAAGTAGGGCGCTCTGCGCAATGTGCTGTGCGATACCTTTGGTGAGGCCGAATGCGAAATGCGAATGGTGTAGCGGCGCAAAGTACTGAAAGAAGCAAAGCGTCGCTGGGCCTCTGCCATGTGGGCTATGTTGGAGCGGGATTTCCCATTGTTCAATTGCTCGTGTCGGTGGAAGTCCACCCACAGTGCACACTGGGTTACCCAGAATGGCTTCTGCAGGTACGGAGTTCTGTGACTTGGCGTCTTCTGCCCTCCCGCTAGAAGTTCCGTACGCCGTATTATGGCGCTGGCTCTTCCGCTGGTCTTCCCTCGGGATGGTTGACGCTATGCCACCAAGGGACATTCTGTAAGGGACGAGCCGAATGCTACTGGTCGCACGTTATATAGTGGAGGTCCTGCGGTGCGTAGTCTTGATCATGGCGCCGGCAACTCTGATAAAATCCTTGCTTGACTTGACAGGTTGCGTTGCGGTCCGGATACGGGCTGTTGGCGCTCGCTGACAGTCGACCAGTGAGAGCGGTTGCGCAAAAAAATATGCCCAATGTATTCTCCATCACGACTTATCCGAAGTCTACTTTCGCTCACCTCGTGGCTGCTCGCCCCGGACCAAGACCGTACTTCAAGCATGCAGCAACCAGTCAGCTGTGACGGCCAGGCATCGTTCCCATCCCGACGTCCTGGACCAAAAGTTAGTGCAGTGGACTATCGTTATCTCGGCCAAGTCAAAAGTATTGGCGACAACTTCAGCAAGAACCATCCCCGGCAGGGTTGTATTTGCAGGGCAAAAGTGTCTGTCGGAGCGCTTGCGCTCTCTTTGCATCCATGGCGTGGGTCCATCCCACTCTTGACTGCTCAGTCTCCTTGCCTCCGTCGCTGAGGCCAGTAGTCCCTGCTATGGCATTAGTCCCCTTGGTCGTTTGTCATTGCACCCTCGTGTCGGTAAGCATGATCGGAAGAAAAAATGGGGTCCTCGGGTCATGACAGGGAGTCATGGCAAGGCGACAATGCCTTGGTCCGCTCTCAGGTCTGAATTGTACGCTCTGCAGCTCGTTGATGGTGGACGGTTCCTGAACAGGTTGCAGAGTGCAGCCGAAAGACGGACGGATGAAATCCGTGTCGAGATTGGAATCGGTGAGGTTAAAAAAACAGAGATTTTGGCCGAAGCAAGGATGAACAGTTGGAGAGAGCGAGCAATGGAGGCAAAAGCCGATCGATCTTGTTGCATGTGCACCTACTGAGCGAAGCATGCGAGTCGATCACGCACATTCTCATCTTGCCTTCTCTTCTTCTTGTCTACCACGGAACGGCGTGTGGTCTGGAAGTTCCCTAACCATGGACGGTTTGTGTGGTCTTGCTTGGGCTCGTGAGGTTTCCGGGTGCTGGAGCCTTTGTTTTGCTGGGGACGACAGATATTCATGGGCGTGATTGCAAGGGACTGACCTGCCGAACGTGGCCGAGCATCTGGGAAGTAGTATGTCTCTTTCTCCAGGTGTACAGATGGTGAAACAACAGGAAGGCAATGCAATGCAATGGCGACCTACAATGCTAGACCTCGAGGTCAGTGAAGCTGTCGGGAAAGATGAAGTTGAGACAAAGAAGAGCTCATACGTATACGTACCACCTTCCAGGAAAGCGCAGTCTCCGCAGCAATGTTTCTCCGACTCCGAGGTCAATTAATTCCCTTGGCTGCCCCCTTTTTGGAGCTCCATCCAACTTATCGAAGACGCGAGATTGGGGTTTGCGCGGCTTGCATATCAGCGAGATCCATCCTTTAAAAGATGAATGCAATTTCGGTTTGCAATTTCGGTCGTTATCATTGTACGTAGGCAAACGCTTGAGGTAACGTTGGAGGTGCCGCTGCTTATCTTTCTTTGGAGCCCCGATAGACTGACTTTAAAAATATACAATCAATTAAGTCGTTGTTGTTCAGGAAGTAAGGAGTACGGATACTCTAGCCGGGACTGTACAAACTGCTTGCAATGTTTTATTATTGACGGCAAACGACGGACTGCTCGGTCGTCTTCAACCACTTCGTCTATGGTCTTGTAGACCACTTCTAGTGCAAACCCGAGCTTGTCAATGACCTATATACAGTATGATAATCTCAGCAGCCGCAAGCGCGTCGTCACTTTCTACGCCAATTGGAGCCCTGCGAAGGATGAGACCGCGCGCGTGGCGGTCCAATCCACGACGTGCTGCCTTGGGAGTTTTTGGAAGACACTGACGTGGTGAAATGAACGACACTTATTAACATCGTATAGGCCGAAGTCGAGCATGCCATCCAGTTAGCTAAAGTTGCGGGCGGCACGACGAGCATTTTGCGGATGGTTGGCCAACTACCCAGTTTGGTGAGAAGCAGGATGGTGAGAAGAAGTTGGCGACGAAGCTCCAGTTGTTGTCATATGACTCTCAAGCAATGCCCAGGGTGTTGTAGGCCGCGTACATAGCAGGTGGCCGGGTCAGTGGCCGGGTCATACCCGTGGATCATATGCCTGGCTATGTGTAGAACCGTCGCAGTCGATCCATATCCAAGTGATTCCTCACTTGCGCGTTAGATACACAAAGCTTTCATGTTCTCTTGTAGGTAGCTCAGTGACGGTTGATCGGGGTTTGGCGCCCAAGAAGGATACGTGGAGACAGTCACGGTATCTGCTTCGTTGGTTTGTCGTCTAGACTGCCACAGCAGGCCAGAGTGGCTGAGCTCGCGTCATGTCGCGGTTAATTGTGATGCTATCGGTCTTTATTTCTGCAACTGGCGCCCTCTCTCTTCCGACCAGAATGTATAACAGGCACCCTTTGAAATATGCATGCAATACCTGACGGTCAACTCGCTGTATACAAAGCCCTTGCGAAACCGGTCTTACTCACGTGGGAGAGGTTGACTTCCTTCGGCTGTCGCTGGGGTGATCTGCGAGGGACTATGTTCGAGAGAGTAATCGAGCAGGTCGGCCAGTCTCTTCAGTCTCTGCTGTTGGATAGGGCCATGATAAAAAAATCTTTCCTGGAATGTCTTCAGAACATCAATCGTTGGTAGGTTGGGATTTCTTGCTCGAATTTGTCGAACATGTTCTGCTAAGCCGGTCTCGAAGAGCTGTCCAAGGAACCACTTTTCCTCCTCACCATCAACTGATGAGCACATGGCGCCGATGCTGAGAACCCAGAATTTCACCTCAGGCAGACCTCTCCAATGGTGGCGGGCGCCATATTGCCCCTTCAGTATCGCTTGTAGTTTTGGAGCAATCAAGTATCCCAATCTTCGTAGACCCAACAAGACCATCGAAGTAAGGATCCACATGAGCAGAGCAACCCGCACTGCTTCGTGACATGAGTTTGAAAAGCTCTTGGCTAAGAGACGATGCCTGATAGCAGCATTCCGCCATTGGAGCCATCTCGCTGCGTTTTTGGTGGCGTCCGTTGAGCCCATGGCCGTGCAAGACAATACCCAAGTACACTCAGCCGTCTCTTGGATAGCCTGTGCTAGTTCGTCTGGAAAGTAGCGTTTTGAAACTAATTCCTGGAGCGCCGGGGCGATGCTGCTCAGATCTGGTTGAGGGGCCAGCTGGAGCGCGGGCGGGGTAACCGTCCAGTATGCCCCCGGGTCATATTCACAGGGTAGATCACAAGGCTCCAGAAGGACTGCCGCCATATGTCCATCGCCAATGATGAAAAGCTCCTTGACGCAGGGGTCTGGAACTTGGTGGAGGCCGCCCCAAGATGCGAACAGTGCCTTTGCTGCTCGCATATGTATCCTAGCTGCCGTATAGTTCTGTCGGTACGCTTCTCCCGCATAAAGATGAAAGATGATCAGAAGCAGCTGATTTTTGGACGCTGAGCCAAAGCGCCTCCTGACTGCTGTGAGGGCGTTTCCCATGTACTTGTCAGTGCCCTGACCTGGTACCAAATCCACATTCTCGATTCGAGCAGCCATACAGGCGAGGATCGCATTCATCTCTACCTCATCCTGCATTGCACGTCTGATGACGGCCGGCGCGGAGTTTTGATAAGTGTAGGACCCGCCAGGAAATGTCCGGCTCTCCGCACTCCAAACACTCGGATGAAACTTCTCGCAGAAATACCGACACAATTTGGCAATCTGAGGGTCGAGCTTGACCACTGACTGACCAAAGGGATCCAGAGACGTGCTTGTGATCTGAGAAATGTCCCTGGGAGAGTTCATGGAATGCGCCGAGTTCAGGAGGACGACTGATTTTGCCTCGATTGTCAAGTCTTTGAAACGCTCATACCTTCGAGCGGCATCAATGCCTCTACGGAAAGTCTTCTTGGGCTGATTTTTCTCGGACTGTCCACGTCGACAACGCTGGCTGTGAGCACGGGGCCGCAAGGGCAACGTTTCAGTGGCATCGCGTTCTTCACTAGACTCCTTTTTGACTGGAAAGTCAGAACGGGGCTTTGTGATAGCTAGATCAGGCTGCGATGAGTCGGTCGAAGGATCGGATTTCTCTCGAGCAGAGCTTTGCCTGGTTCGGCGGTTATAGCGGCCGCGGCCAGGACTGGATCGGTTGTGCTTTCGGCCACGCTGAACGTGGGAATTGATGGTGGATTGTTCCGAGGCGTTGCTGCGGGTCAAGGACGCGCTGCCGGCATCCTTGTTGACAAACAGGAATTGAGGCGGCATGGTTGACAGTCAGGTATGGAGACTTCGGGGAACTTCATCCTTGACGCCACAATCCATCACGGAATCGAAGATTGCCGAAATCCAGGATGAAGTCCTGCCAACCTGGTGGCTTGCTCAGCTCATGCGGGTAGCAAGGTACCCACCAAGGGCTATAGTAAGATGGGGATAGTAGTATGCCGGGAGGTGGGTAGAATAGGCGAAACAGAGGAGGATGTCACTTCGTATAGCACACTCGAGGTGAGATTTAGCCACTGCATAAGCTTTCTCGACACTATGCCGCTGTAGGCAGCGCTAATCTGCTTTAGGCTTAGAGTGGTGGTGGGTATCGTCGGTGGTGTTCGCTGTCTTCCCCTGCTGAGTCACGGCACGTGAAAGCGATAACCACATCGTCACGCCGTCTTCAGGACCATCAATGGCGTACTACACATTACACAGCACGTTGTTATTCTTCCAAACATATTCATTGATTAAATCCTTGCCTATGGTTCGTCCGGCCTTGCGCTGCTTGCAAATTTCTCATAGAACTCCAGTGTCATGGCCGCCAGGAAACATGGAATCTGCTTCTTCTCCTTCACCCAGAAGTTGACCAGCTCTCTGATCTCTTCGCCGAAGGCACTTTCTGGACCTCCACTGATCTTCATCGTCCCGTTGTCTCCGTCGAAAACAATATAATGCTCATCCTCTTCATCGCTGTCTTCGTCTGCCCCGTGAGGGTGTCCGTAGTACAGGCTAGACACCTTTGCCTTGCCATTGGGGAGAAAGTTGACTTTGTAGCCCAGCACACTGGCAATGACATCTCGAAACTCGGCAGCCTTCTGCGTCCAGATTTCTCGCTGTCGTCTCATGCGCTTCTCTTTCTCCGCCACCACCATCTCCATGTCTTTCAGATCTAGTTTGAGTGCATCCACAGTGCTCGTGGGCACCATCTTCACGCTCTGAAGGTCCCCTCCACGCAGCTGTGCAAGGAGCTCGGCGTTTTCCTGCTTCAGCGTCCGGAGCGTTGACATCTTGACGGCCTCAGAGTTGGCTGTGGGATTATCTCGGAGCTCCAGAATCCGCGTTTTGGAGCTCTCTCGCAACGCTTTCAGCTGTGTCTTGGTTGCCTGCAGGTCTGTAGCCAACATCTGCGACTGCTGAGCAGTCTTCTGTAGCGCAATCTGAAGATTTTTATTCTTCCGCAATAGTGCACCCAACTGCGAATTGCCTTCGCCATCAGCTTCCTGCGATTCTGCGGAGCGTTTGGTCCCTCTCGGTTCATCTTGGGTGGGCTGGACTGTTGGGGGCGCCGACTCTAGTTTCGAAAGATCTGAATGGAGTGTCTGCACTTCGGACTTGTACTGATCCACCAAAGCTTCCAATTGCTTGATCTGTTCGGAGCGCTGGGCGTCGAAATTCTGGTTGTCCATCAGTACAGTTTCCTCGGTGTCAAAGGTCTTCAGTTGCGCCCGCAAATATTCGACCTCTTTGACCGCAAGGACTCGTTGTCGCTCTAACCGCTTGTACGCTTTGTTGTCGGGGATTGCGTCGACCTGGGCGGCCTGCGTCGTCTTCAACTTGTCCATTTCTGCCTTTAATGATGCCTTGTCTCCTTCGAGGGATCTGATGATCTCATCTTTCTCTGCCAGGTCGCTCTCCACCGTACCCAGCCTGTCCATGACCGACGCATACTCGATACGTTGTTGAATGAGAGCTTTGACCACGGCCTCGGGAGATTTCAATTCGCTCTCATTTCCATTGCTTTCCAACAGTGTTGTCCAGGTTCGCTTCTCGTCCTCAAGGATCTCTTTTTGTATCTGAGCCTCGCCCAGTTGTCTCTCAACATCCTTCAAGACCTGCAGTTCAACTTCGAGCCCATGTTTTTGCTCCTGCACTACCTGGACACTGCGATGAGCTTCCCGCAATCGTCGCAGCTCACCAAGCTGTTCTCTGTTGGTCGCTTCGAGGCTCCGAATGTGCGCCACTTGCTCCGAAAGTTGGGTCTGTAAAACGTTCAGTGTCTCGCTATCTGAAGAATGTGATTTTAATGCGGCCACCTCGGCCTCGAGGATTTCGACCTGGTTATCTCGTTGTGACAGCCGGGCCTGTGTCGACTCGAAATGATGGGCGAATTCTTCCAGTTCTCGTTTCAGATTATCGACCGTTTCTTGGAGAGCCGCCCGTTTTGCCTCAACGTCGTCCATTTGATATTTGTAGTGTCGTTCTTGACCGGCCAGACGTGCCTGTGCATCTTCGGCATCTTCTTTGAGCGAGGAGTTCTGGTCTTGCAGGTCGCGGAGCTTCCGCTCTAAGGCAGTCTTCTCGTTTATGCTCTGATCCTGAGCCTCTCGTAGTTCTCTAGACAGGGCTTCTTGTCGTTGAATGGCCTTCTGCGCTGCGCTCTCAGCCGCCTAAGTCTGTCAGCGTCTCCAAGTGCTTGAAGGTCTTTCATACACACTTGATACTTCTTGAAATCAGCCTCAGCCCTTGCTTGCTGGTCGCGAAGTTCCTTGTCATGTTGTAGTGCTAGCAAACCCCGTTCTTGCTGCAGATTCTTCAGTTCGTACTCGAGAGAATTAACCCGTGCCCGTAGGTTCTCGTCGTGAGCATGATCTGCGAGTGCATCAGTCCTCTGGGTCCGCTCATTCTGTCTGGGCGGGTCGCACCTAGTCTCGACACTGACGGCTGGCGTAGCCTCGATTGCCGCAGTGGCTGCGCGGGGTCGTCATCTACTCCGCCTGTAAGGAAGTCGTAAGTAGGTTGCGTGGTAGTATGTCTATGTCCGGCCTGAGCTGTGCTTCAGTATTAATGTCGACCGCGAGGCTTCAGGATGACTTACTGCAGACGGCGGGCGCGGCAGGGAGGATGGTCCTCCCTGGAGGCTTTTCCGGCCAGAGAGCGACGATCGCGACGTCGACAAACGCATACGTTTTGAGGCTGGCGAACTCATTGTGGCCAGCTGCGCCGACAGCCTCTTATTGCATTCTCAGGGAAACTGCAACACCCGACTCACCACCTGGTCAGGACTGCGAGTGTTTACAACCTCCCATTTTGGCGTCTCGAAGACTGGCTTGGCAGGTCAGGAAATACCACGTGAACGCTCCCCTCCAGTGCCGCTTTAAGCAACCACCAACTGCCGCGTCCCCACACCTCACCTCACCTCACCTCACCTCCCCTCTGCATATTACAGATGGTTCTTCCTCGCCTGTCACTGGCCTTCGCCATAATGGCCGTACTTCTTCTACGTGTTGGTCGTGGCTACAGCGGCTTTATCCTTTTAGCCGAAGCTCCTCTGTGCTTCTAATAATCTACCCCGTCCTATGGAGATCACTTGACGATATCCGTGTAAGCCGGTGGGTGAGATTTCCACTATCACGTATCGAGTACGGTCGATCCACGGAAGCTCAAGTCAACTAGGCAAGGAGACAGGCGAGGTAGCTGTGCCTGTTAGGAACAGAACAAACTTGCTCCGAACTGGAACATCTTCCTCCTGCGCCTTGATCCCTGATCCGCCGCAGATAGTACATCTTTTTAGTTCGTAGCATATGGCTCACTGGGCACGATATGCGAATTTCGTTCAGTTTCTTGATTAGGAGATAATTGAGTGCCCGTCCCATTCACGAACACGTCAAGCCAGTTCATTTCCCTCGCGATTGTTGATGTCTTGGGCCAAGGAGCAAATGATAAATCATATCCCGCCTAGCGGAGGGAACGAAATCTCAGTGAACGAATTTGACTACTTGCCAGATCACTCATGGACCTTGCCAGATCACTCATGGACCTTGCCAGATCACTCATGGACCTTGACTCACTAATCCACGCATCCCAATAGCAGGCCATATTGTGAGCTCAGTTCTGCACTTCCTTGTCGCTCTCCCCAGTTTCTCTCGATAAGGCCTAACATCCCCTTTCTCGCCCCATTTTCAAGCCCTAACCTGAAAGCCATCGTCCCAGTTCCCCCTTAACATTCTGACCTCCTAGAGCATGCTGGGCTCTTGTCTGAAACTTGGTTGGCCCCTGCACAACCCGAGCTCTCTCGTTCGATAGTCTCCAAGTATGTCTCAGTGCGCTCTGTCTTTGAGACTTGCATTCTCAATGGTGCTCCGAACAGGGGCCTTTGGTGACTAAGGGGTCACGGTCGGTCGAGAAGAAGCAATAGTGGCAAACGCCCGGTAGGTCCTCTATAGTATTGACGATCATGGCGAACATGTCGGCCGTGAAGTCTCTGCTGCAGTAGGAGCACGGGTTGCCGTGGGAGGTGCATGGAGCTTCGAGAACTATTCTCTTCCAGTTATTGGCTCGGACGAGACGCTGGAGTGCCAACATCGAACTCAGCAGGCTGCGTTCTTGATGGCGCACAGTGAGTGGCTTTGTCAATCCGGCGTTGTCCAGTGACTCCACAAATCTTGTGGCTGTCTGGAGGCTACAGCCCGGCCGGTTTGTTTCCGTTGGTTCCCAATGTGTGAAGCCCTCGAATAAACAGTCGAATATGTTCTTGACAAACTGCTTCAAGTATTGCGCCCGAGTCTTGACGAGGAATTCTGTGTGATGTTAGGTATAGGCTAGAATCTGGAGGTAGGAAGAAGGTCGACAAACTCACCATGTATGTCGCGGTTGTAACGAGCCGCCTCTGGACGAGGGAGCTTGCCAGGAGACGGAGGCATCCATTCAGGAGATCGGGCTAAAAGAGAGGCCTTGGTCGCCGTCCAAAACAGATCCTCCATACCCATTGTGGCAGCAATGTCTACAAGGGGTATTGTCTCTGATTGGATCAAGTTTCCATAAGCTGTCATGGTGAAAGCGTCGCTTGTTGCAGCACGAAGCTGGTCATTCATCTTGGTCATCCGCTGAGCAATCCATGGTTTGAACACCTTTTTGCACATCCACTCATCGGCAATCCCCACCAGATCTAGAATCTGCTCTGCATCACAGTGTTCGAGATCTTCTGTATGATGATGCAGGATTTTGCAGAACTCCAGCACAGTCTTTGGATTTGCGTTTGGCATAACGATCTGTTTTGGAGGCGCCAACATGGCTAACGAAACGCCCGACGCAAGGTTGAGAACGATGCTAGAGACTTTGATATCAAGAGCATCGTCGCCTTTGCCAACCATGATCAGCAAATCGCCGTTGGGAGCAAGCTCGACCTCCGTGGCTTTCGCACGTCGGCCTTCCCATATACTGGAATCCATCTTGGCACGCTTGTTATTGTGCTCTTCTTGATCGGCCTTCCTCTTTTCGCTCTGCTTCATCAGTGCGTTTGTAGACTGGTTTCAGGGTACGCAGAGGGCTGCAGCTGCCGGCAAAGGTGATGGGCGAATGCTGAGATCGTGGATGATCGAGGATGGCAAGGGGCAGTTAAAAAGGAGCAGTGCGCGCATGTGGGAGAAATCAGAAGGTAGGCAGGAAGGTTGCCAGGTAGAATAAGGAGGCGGGTAAAAAGGTTGCCAGAGGGCGCACGTAAAAGAGGACAAGCTCCCCTCACACGTAGAATAAGAATGACAACAAAGGCAAATAGCACGCCCTAGATGAGGCGTTACAGGCTCTCAGCGCCTTGTTCGCAGTTTGCGCGAGAATAGAAGGACTGTCCAAGACCACAGCACACACTCATACATACCATCAGGCTTTCAGCGCCTTGTTCACAGTTGGCGCGAGAATAGAAGAACTGTCCAAGACCACAGCACCCCTCATACATACCATCACACATATCACTGCTCTTGCATTTATGAACAGCAATTCAAGCCTCAAACCGAGCCCTCTTGTCGCCATCTCCCTCAACCGCTCCATACCTAGGACCATCATATTCTGTGTCGACCTTGTCATATGCATTTTCGAAGTTCCGTTCAGTGATCATTTGTCCATCAACACTGAGGCCCCTGGACTCTTGTATGTCGGCATTGAACATATCCTCCTTCTCCCGTATTGGCGCCTTGCCTTTGTCAACACCTCGGCTAACCAAATTATATGCCTTCCTTCTTTGATATCTTCTCCAGCACAGGCAGCCTCCTATCAAAAGCGTCAGGAGGACCACTGTACCGACAACAGCTATTATGATGATGTACTTGGTGTCAAGGCCCTTGCTGGTTGACTTCACAGCCTCGCCATTGGAGGCAAGACCTGCATGGGTCAATTGATTGGCCGCGTGGGTGATCTTCTCGGCGTGAATACTGCTGGTGGTTGTCCCCAAGGAGATGACCTGGCCACCACTGTCGTCAACAACTCCCGCTTGAGCCAGCTTGTCCAAGGCATGAGTGATCTTGTAGGTTGCCGCCGTCGTGGTCGTTGGTGTTGTACTCAATGTGCCGGAGGCTGGTTCAGGGATTGCGGACCTCTTCAGGACGTTGAACAAACGATCAGGTAGGAATTCCATATTGCTCGCCAAAGCAAATCCCGAGACTGGTTGAAAGGGTAACACTCAAACAACGAGAGAGGAGTGGAATGACAAAGACTGGAAAACTCAATGAGAGACTTGTATCTAGGGAGGATGCTCGGGAAAAGAGGGAGGATATGAAAAAAACACCACAGCCGATGTCCAGCAAAAAGGTTCTAGGGCATCAGGATTGGGCGATTGGATAAGTATTATTTTTCGCTCCATGTTCGGAGAACGAGGGAGAGAGGGAGCAGTGCAAGGCACGACGGGTGCTAGTGAGCATAAGCACTTGCACGAAAAGCTTCGCACCGTTCACTGACGGAGAGGTGTCTCTCGTAAGCACCATATCCTTGATTTAGCATCAGATCAAGATTGGCAGCAACCGGACTGGGTCCTTTCTACCCTTTTGGCCCCCGGGGTTGTCAGCAATGCGCCCTCAGCCTGTAAGAAGCAGAACGAATTAGGCGTTGTCAAGCTTCAGCGCCGCGCGACCATGATTGTGCTTGAGGGCCGTCCATGCTGAGGCGGGGCTGTGATAGTCACCACTCTTACTTTGTTCTTGTTCAGTGGTCTCTTGACATGCTCCTGAGAAACAAAGACTTGGAGGCTGGCAGTTGAAAAGCAGCGGCTGGTCTGCGAGTCATTGTAAATGCTGTCACGTGATCAGAATGACTCGAACTGAAATGCCTTGCAATATGCGAACAGCATTTGTCTCTTGAGTACGACACTGCATCCTGTTCCACAGACAGATGACATGGCTCGCACGGGCGGGAAGCGAGCTGCAAAGTCGACAGTGCCTTCCACCCCCTCCTCAAGTTCAAAGACACAGTCCAATACTCCTTCGGGTCCTCCTGCGCCCTTCCAATATGCCCCGGCCTCTCTCCTACCGTTCGTCTCTACACTGCCTACCGACCATATATACCTTGTCCATTTTGACAACACCCCGGCCAGCTTGAAGAAGCGAGTCTTCCTCGTACCTGTACTCCTCAATCTTGTCATCATTCTTGGGCTCTGCATCCGCGTCTACTATGCGGCACCCGTGTATCTTGAGCAATTGATTACGATTTTTGGCTATGACACATCCTACAAAGTCGATACCAAAACGGCCAGGGCCGGCGAACTCATGAATGCAGTCAGCTCTAGGACATTTCTGTTAATGGTCGACTATGCCATTTTTGTGCTGATCGGCAGCTGGCCCCGAGAGTTCTTCTTCGGCAGTAGGACTTCCAGATTTGCAGGCCCGTGGCAATGGCGGTGGACTCTAGGTTTCCAAGATACCGAGATCATTGTCCGAAGAGGGAGAAGGTGGGATACCCCGTTGCTCGTGGAAGATACGCCAGATCAAGTAAAAAGCTGGAAGATTGATGAAGAATTGACCATAAAAGTCAAAGTCGAAGCTGCCATGCGGACGTCGTACCTTGCGAAGACGGGATACCTCCTTCTAGACAAAGACTGGGACTTGGACTTCAAGGCTATGCTGGACGCTCAGAGGTTGGTACAGAAAGGGGCTGTTCAAGCCGAGGATCTAGAGCATTTGACGCTGGTCCATTATCAGAAAAAATGGCTGGTCTGGCGAGTGCATGAACTGCCCCAGGCTGGCCTGAAAGACAAGCCGCAAGACGACATGCTGGAGATATTCATGAGCAAGCTTGCAGTGCTAGGAGCTGAAGACGTCTTCTACCGCTGGATTGAAATTGTGCAGTTTGAAACGTCGCAACCAGGAGGCTTCACCGAAGGACGTCAGGCTGAGGCGCTTCGAGAACTGAAGAGTCTCCTGACTAAAAAGAAGGTTGACTATGCTGCATTTTGGGAGGAAATTGGTGGGCAGGCTGGGTTGCCAGGATTTGGTCCTCAGGCCTGAAGAAGAACAGGTCTTCTGTCTGTAAAATAATGGATGGGCCTTGCCTCTGGATCGATGCTTTGAGGAGTTGTCGCGTCAAGTCTATGCTGTTTGGACGAAGTAGGGCTGCGGGATATTGATTCATACCAGCTAGAGAAGCCGGGGCATGACCCTTTTCCCTGGGCACCGCACACCGCAGACTACGGATAATCATCGACAGACCAATCACTCACGAGGATCGATGGGCATTGAAAAGGGTTCTGCGACGCAGGCAAGTGCGAGCCCATCCAAGGGAATGATAGTCCTGATCACCGGTATCAATGGGTACATCGCGTCTGTCATCGGCGCCGCGCCACATTATCGATGAGAGTACGCCTGGACGCGGATACAGGAATGACTATGGCAAGATTTCTGTCAAAAAAGTCGAAAGGACAATCCCAGGATTCACATGGTTGAGATTCGATCAGAGTGTAAGAGACACCTGCAAGTGGCTTGAACCTTTGCTCCACGCCACCAGCGACGAGGTCACACATAAATAGAAAACGCACAAATGCATAATCGAATGGTTCAGCACCTCATTCACGAGACTCCTCTAAATAGACACTCCCCTGAGCGGCAGCATCCAAGGCTGAGTCATCATGTGCTATTCAGCCTTGTGTAACTGCATAAGGCTGAGGGTGGGTCTTGGCATGCAATTCACCCCGCGCCGCGCCAATTGACCGAAGAAAAAGTTGGTGGTCAATTGCCTCTGCGAACTGCCAACTCTGGACTCTTTCGTCACTATAGGGACTACTCGACATTGCTGATACGATGCCTGCTTCGAAGCTCTATCTTGCCGTCATCGGTGTCGGCGGTGTCGGCGCCGCTTTCCTGTCCCAGCTTGCGCACCTCCCTGCCTCGCTTCGACCGACCTTGATCTTCGTCTCCCGCTCCTCGAAACAACTGTACACACCCTCCTACGACGCAGTGTCCGCTTCTGACCTGAACTCATCTACTTCCAAACTTCTGTCAATCCCAGATCTGACTAGCTACCTCTCCTCCGCTCCGGGAAAGGCCATCCTGGTGGACAACACGTCCAACCAGGATGTTGCGAATGCCTACCCCTCATTTCTGCGCAAGGGCATCAGCGTGGTGACGCCAAACAAAAAGGCCTTTTCAAGCAATCTACAACTGTGGACGGATATCTTTGACGCCGTCGAGTCCTCGGACGGACAAGCTCTGATCTACCATGAGTCAAGCGTCGGGGCTGGTCTGCCGGTCATCTCCACGCTCAAAGACCTCGTGGCGACAGGCGACCAAGTCACACGCATTGAGGGAGTCTTCTCAGGCACAATGTCGTTTCTGTTCAATTCGTTCGCGCCTGCAGATGGAAGTGGAAAGGGTAAATGGTCCGAGATTGTGGCTCAGGCGAAAGAGGCAGGGTACACCGAGCCAGACCCACGAGATGATTTGAATGGCATGGACGTGGCCCGGAAGTTGACCATCCTTGCAAGGCTGGCAGGCCTCAAGGTCCAGGGTCCCGAGAGTTTCCCGGTCCAGAGCCTCATTCCCAAGGAGTTGGAGAGCGCCAAGTCAAGTGACGAATTCATGCAGAGACTACCAGAATTTGACGGTGAGATGGAAGCATATAAAGATGAAGCAGCCAAGGCTGGTAAGGTAGTCCGGTACGTTGGCTCTGTTGACGTCGGTGCTGGGAAGGTGAAAGTTGGTCTCGAAACCGTGGACCAAGGTACGCCAATCGCCAGCCTCAGGGGAAGCGACAACTTGATTTGCTTCTATACGAAACGGTACGGTGCCAATCCGCTGGTTATCCAAGGTGCTGGCGCTGGCGGTGAGGTTACCGCTATGGGTGTCACGGCCGATCTTATTAAAGCGGTCGAGCGTCTGCGATAGAATAGAGGAAAAGGCCAAGACTAAAAACTTTCGAAAAGTTATGTATGACTGTGAGACAGTTACACCAATTTCTACCTACCTAATTCTCCTCCGAGACCAGTGACCATCGTGCATTTCTACGGCCAATGTCACATATTCGCCAGCAAGATCAACGATTTTTAGCTCCTCAGATATTTCTTGACGGCCTCGCCCCAGACAGCGCCTCTCTTGTAGAAGTGCATCTGCGGGACATTCCCCAGTTTGAGGCCGTCAATGGCAGCGGCCAGTTCCTCGCCGCCGCCCTCCTCCTTGATCTGCTTGATGGGATATAGATACGTGTGGAAGGCGAAGACAAGGGCCTTCGACTTGGGCAGACGATGCAGGGTCTGGCGCTCAGAGCGGACGAAGGTCTTGTCGACATCGATGTGGTCCAGTTCTTCAACCATATCGCCCTCGTGTGCATGCGTTGTGCCCGCGGCTGCTGCGTAGAGTTCGGTGTTCGTCGTGATGGACCAGTTCACCCGCTTGACATACTTGCCGACTTCAACCTTGGAGAAGAAACGGTCCATGCTGCCCTCCAGCTTCGCGCTATACCCTGGCACAGGTTTGTGGATGGCTGCGAGGCGCTTGCCGATTTTCTCGGCTGGATCAAACCCCGACGGACACACTGTCACGTACGCCTCGAGCACGTACTTCGGATCTTCACTATCCTCTTCGGGTAGGAGGAACAGAAAATCTTCGTCGACCGTTCGGCCAAGCGTCTCAAGCAACCATTCCGTGGATATCTGGGCCGTCGCTTTCGCAGGAAACAATGCCTTTGTGGCAAGGTTCTCTAGCATGAAGGTCTTGCCCTGCTCGTACTCGGTCTCATGCAGCTTGAAAAGGGTCGGAAAGCGCAGCGGGAGGTAAGTACCGAGGAGGAACTGGTACAGCTCAACGACGGCTGGACGAATGCGCTGGTCGTCGTGAACGTTGATGACGTGCTTGCCGTGCTCGGCCATGATGCGGCGGCGATAGGCGATGCGGTCCTCATACGTCTTGTCGATCACCAGCAGCTCCGACGGCTCCAGGTTCTCAAGGGCTGAGTCGTCAGATTCGGCTCGTGCAGGGTCAGCCTTTCTTTTTTTGCTGGGAAGGAGCAAAAGAATGAAAGGTCAAGTTGTCGCAAACTAGGCCATTTGGGGGCAGAAAACATTGCGAAACTCACCCATTGTCAAGTGATATTTAGGCTTGAACGGGCGAGATTGTAGTGGTTCCGTTGTTTTCCAGTCGAAGCCCGGCTGTTCCTCGACGGGAGGAAAGTCAGGGGCTTTGATATACCGTCGGTCATGGCCGGTCTTTGCTGCTGCTTGCTGGGAGTGCGTTAGATCAGGGCGGAAACGAGGGCCGAGCGATAGACTGAGGATAGATTGGTAGCCAGGTAGTGTCGTGACAATAGGCAATCGATCGAGTCAGAACACTCACCTGTTTAGACCTTGCTTGTCTGATGGCGACGTAAAGGAAGACAATGAGAAGAATAACGTTCATATAATTTGCGAGCGTGAACCGTGAGGTTGCTTTCATCTCCTCCCACGACCGCAGGTGCCACATGAAAGAGGGCTTTTCGACGTGCGACATATGGTTCGGCATGGTTGTTAGCTGGCTAGCCCAGTGACCTGGGACTGCTAATGACACGGTCACTTCTCGCGTATCTGGATGGCTGATCTAGTGATGGGTAGTCAAGTGATCCCCATGGGCGTGAGGTACCTCCAAGAGATCCTGACTGACGGATGATGAGAATATAATAATAATAGTAGCCAGACGAGCATGGCTCAATCGTGCCGAGAGCATGGCAGATAAGACGGTCAAAGAGATACTGGTAGTACGTACTCCATACTACTACTAATGATACTGTCTGAACGTCCGCCCCAGCAAGGCCCGTCTAGATTAGGACAAAATAACCTGGGTAGGTGCCTGGGAGGCAACATCCTGGCGGAGAAGTGCGAGGGGGCACGGGGATGTTTGGGTGCTGACTAAGGAACAGTCCAGATCACATGACCTTACCCTTCCCACTTTCAACCCACACGCTAAACCATATTTGTTCTTTCACGCTAAACCTTATCCGTTCACAACGCTAAACCCAATTCATGCACCCTTGACAATCATGGGGCAGGTCGTTAGCCTGATCACGATCATGCCGAATGCTGGCACCGACGTGTCTGTCAGTCGTCAGTCTGATTACACTCAGGACTACAATGACAGAGGAGGCGAATGGGGGATGGCGTTACAGGTCTACATCTCTCACAGTGGCCGAATTCTCAACTTCAATAACGATCCAAATGCCCGGGTCGAGAACCTGCGGTCATGGATCGAATCGACTGCCAGCATCCCGACCGGCCGTCAGATCTTGATGACCGCCCGTGGCAAGAACGTCAAGAACCTATCCAACGAAACTGAAGTTTATGTCTATGACAAACAGTTCCTCTCTCCTGACGCCCAACCTCCAACCAGAGACGACGTCGAACTGCAACCGCTCACCGCACCCCCTTCATCCCTCGCCGATGAGAACAGTCTCAAAGCATGGCAGGATCTGTATATGTCCAGGCGAGCCTGGGCACTGGATGCGTTCGAAATAGCCAGGATGGGAATTGAGAATATTGAAACATGTGCAGACGAGGCTACGATTATCGCCCGATCCATGCAGGTGGCCTTGGACAACCTGCGCACTCATGTGACAACTTTGCAGCAGAGATTCGAAGAGACGCAACAGTGGGCGGAAAGCTACATTCAGGAACATCGAGAGGTACTACAGGATTGGAAAGCCCGCGCTGATGCACTCGCAGAGCTGCCCGTGCGTGAAGATGTTGCCAGAGTATTACGCCGCCCGAGCGGAACCGACCGCAACCACTCCACAACGCCGATTGGTACTCTGTCTGACTTGGTCGAGCGAGAGGGGCTTCAAACGGCCGCCGAGAGTGTTGAACAGAACTCGGCGGAGTTCGGGAGGAAACTGCACCAGTTGCAGTCAGACATGGACAAGCTCAAGACCGGTACCGACACTGCACGAACCCAGTCAACGCAAGTCCCGGACGTTGACACAAACGCCCTACTGGACGAAGCGGAGACATTGGCTCGGCGGATTACCTTGGACTATGAAGATGTCTTGCAGATGCAAGATAACCCCAAATCGGTGGCCGCTGTCTCCAGGAAGGCTGCCGTGCACACGAGAGAGTTACTGCCAGCCTTGGAAGCCGTGGTTGAAGAAATTACTCAGGTATCCAAGACCGCGTCAGAAGCCAGAAGCACCGTCTCGAGCGAATGGTTCTCAACACTTCAGAATATCTCTAGCCTTCAGTCCCGCCTGGCTGAAGCACAGTCTGCGACAACAAACCTAGACTTCCATGACGATGACAACTTCCAACTCCTTAGCCGAGTCATCCAACTGCCTTTAGTATACGGGGACACCTTGGTGGAAGCAACTCGGAGATCCGAATGGACCGAGCGCATGAGGACCGAAGTTGACATGCTGCATGAAGATCTTTCTCTACAAACTGAGGAAGAGCACCGACGCCGCAAGAAGTGGACTACAGCGCACACTGAATTCTTGGATGAGAACTTGAACGCCAAAGATGCTTTGATCGATCTTAGGGCATCTGCACCACGGAATTCCTGGCCCTTTGTGAGCAGGGATGAGATATTTGCTTGGATCGACGATCTGACGGCCTTGGGACTTGATGATGCTGTCCAGGCACTCACGCAGCGAATGAAAGATTTGGATGCCCCTGTCCGGAAACAGAAGCCAAAGGCCTTCAAGAATGGAAGCATCCATGATCTCGGTCAAAGTGTAGCATTACGCAACGGAGACGCGTTCAGAAATCTGCAGGACGAAAAACTCAGATTGGAGGAGAAGTTGAGGGCTTCGGACAGTCGAGTGCGGAAACTGGAAGACCTTCTCCATCGCCAGAGTCAGCTCAGCCGGCCTCCCAGTGGGATCTTCGCCCCGGGCAGTGCAGCCGAGTTTGAACGACAGACCCCTTCGCCGGCCCCGCTCGCCAGGCAGAGCGATCTGTCACGAAGATCGTCTGTGTCGCTTCGACGATTGTCCAACACCCAAGATGAAAAGTCGCTGGTGCAGAAGATCATTGCATTGGAAGGCCAAGTCCACAAGTTGCAAGAGGAGGCCCACGCTGAAAGACGCTCGAGTACGGAGAGCAGAGACAAGATGCAGGAAGCTGAAATGGTCAAGCGCGATCTCATGGCGAATTTCGAGGCGCAGAAGCAGGAATTCGAGGAAGAGCGTCAGCTGCTGGATGATGAAGTCCATAGGCTCAAAGTCAAGTTGGACGAGGCAGAAGACGAACTTGACCGCCTCAACGAATCTAGGGATCATCTGCGAATGGAACAGGATCAAACCATCCTCAACCTTAAGGAGGAGCTGGAACAGTCGAGAAGGACCGCCGCGGATGATCTGGCACTGTCGAAGCGGAAAGTTGAAATGACTCAAAAGGAAGTGAGCACCCAACGGGAAAGAGCCGCAAGTCTTGACCGTCAACTCCACCAGGTCAAAGAAGAACGAGCTGCTGCACAAGCTCAGAACATGGCACTGGCAAACCAACTCAGAAGTATGGAGGATCAACAGCAGGAGTATCTCACCATCTTGCAAGGCGCGCACGTGAATCTATCCCCAACGGGGTCTCCTCCAGAGGATCTTCGGCGACTTGTCAATGCTCTTGAGATCTTATCAGAAGGTGCGGCCATTCATGCCCGTGGCTTGGATGATTCCTTGCAGCTTGCAACGGCGGAAAACAAAGCGCTTGAGGAAAAGGTCGTGCACAACGAGTCTCAGATCAAGTCCTTGATTGCGCAGCTGTCTACCGCCGAAGCACGCGCCAACGATCTGCGGGAAAGTCTTGAGCAAGAACGAAGCAAGATATCAGGGCTGCGGTCCGAACTTGCTGGCGAACGTGCAGAAATGCACAGTATCCGTGAGAAATTCGCTGCCGGCGAGACCGGCTCCGATGCCCTAAGACAACAACTCAATTCAGAGGAACAAAAAGTTGCTGAACTCTTTGCTGAATTCAGGGTGCGCAAAGCTGAGGATGATGGCATCATTCAGCGCCTACGACACGAAATCGAAGACCATGCACGTAACTTACAAGCAAATGCTGAAAGACAAGATGCATTGAAGCAGCATCTCGATAGTCGCGGCGGGATAGCTAAGCAACTGTCCGAAAGCCTTTTCCATTTCCACGACCGCATCATCCGCATGCTGGAACAATTTGGGTATTCAATTTCGAGACAAGACGATACCCTTGTGATTCAACGAGCATCGAAGGTCAATGCCAGCACGATCCTCAGTGGCGGCGAAGGATCCGGGCCGTCCACGATGAAGCGAACCATCTCTGGGTCCACGTCTGGACAGCACTATACCGACCCTTCAGACCTGGAAACACTGTATTGGATGTCTGATGACGATGTGAACACCGAGTCTGGCAAATATGCCAGTTTCATGACCGCCCTGCAGCGACTCGACATTGACAGCACGATCGACCTCGTCACTAAGCGCTACAAAGATGTCGAGAGTCTGGCGAAGAAATATCAAAAGGAGTCGCGTGCGTATCGTGAGCGGACACACCGAAGCCAAGCGGAGGCCCACGACAAAATCGCATATCGGAGCTTTAAGGAGGGCGACCTTGCTCTATTTCTCCCTACTCGGAACCAGGCGACGCGACCTTGGGCGGCGTTCAATGTCGGGGCCCCTCACTACTTCCTCCGAGAGCAGGACGTGCACAAGCTTCAGACACGCGATTGGTTGTTGGCTAGGATCACCAAAATCGAGGAGCGCGTGGTCGATTTATCCCGGAGCATGTCGACGGGAATACGCGGCAACGTCTCAGCCACGGCTAGCGTCGACGATGGGGGATCTATGCGGTCCGTCGACGACGAGAACCCTTTCGAACTCTCGGATGGCCTGAGATGGTACATGATCGACGCTACAGAGGAAAAACTGGGGGCGCCAGGCACACCCTCTGTTGGCAAGTCCACTGTGACAGCATCGAACATCGAGGTCAAAGGTCACATGGGGCTGGGAAGGAAGGAACACAAATCCGGCTTGAGCATTGGAGGCGGAATGGGAAATGCAAGCGCAACTGCGAACATGGTGACCAAGACGTTGACTAAGAGTTTGGACAGTCGACGTTCGAGCTCGGGTAGCAAGAAGAGCGTGGACCTCAAGGGCAAGTACGATACGATGGGCCTGAATAGGGGAGGCAGCGTTAAGGACGTTCCCTCTAAAGCGCACCTGGCCCCAATCTCAAGCGACAACGACGCCGAGCAGTCCCAACCCGGCGGCGCTGAAACAAGCACGCATGCGGATGCGGAAACCGAACATGATGACCCAGCGAGAACAGCAGGACCACGACCAGGGACCCAACCCGGCGTGGCAAGCATCGTGCGGCAGCCCACTGCAGGCAGTCAGACGGACCGGGAGCATGCCCAGGTCTTTGAAGTGGTGAGGAGGGATCTCCTGCTCGGCCCGTGAAGCAGCTTGAAGTTAGCTGATGAAAAGAAACAGACTGGCCCTGTTCCGTCTGCCTCTGCATCCATGAGTACACATGGCGCCGGCATTGAACCTACAGAGGCTGCGCTAGAGCGCATCCGCCATCATCCGCCTCTGAACCCGCATCAGACAGACTTGAGAGCTGTTCAATCAACACAGACATCGAGACATGCATTGCAGTCCCCGCTTAGGCAGCAAGTAATGGGGATCCAGACGCCCAGCGCGAGCCCTACCAAGCCCAGAAGCACTGGAGGCAATGTGGCGTCTCCATCACCCGCGAAGCCGAGGACCTGGGACAAGTTGTTTAGCATGGAGTATCGGTCATGAATCTCTTGGAGAGCTGGTCCAGAGCGCCCGTAGTTGTGAGATCAGTCTTTGCGTTGATGGTGACGGCGAGCGAAACGCGCACTACAGCATGGATGAGACGAGCGAATGTCAAATTTGTGAGATTGGAGCTAAGCGAAACTGGCAGGCTGGCCTAGAATGCATGCATACACATAGCAGAATGAACCCTCCTGTACACAGGCCTAAGCCAGCAATTTGTTCTCCTGCGAAAGCATACATCCCGGCGGGATTTCAAGCGCTGCCATTTCATTTCGGTTGTCCGATCCCGCGAGTGGCGATAGTGATAGAATGTAGTGTGGAAACGAAAGAGAATTTCCTAGGATTGGGATCAGGAGAGCTGCCTGGTATGGGCTCCAAGTGTCGGCTATCATAGGAAGATCATTGTTCCGACGTGCACGTGACAGCATTAGGCAGTGGCACTTGTCGGGCATCCCAGCGGTAGAGCACGGCAGGAAAGTGCGCAGTGAGCTGAATGACAAGGGATGCTGAGTCCACTCCCTGTCGACGTCCCTCTACCGGGGCTACATGCAGAAGCTGGGTCAGGGTATTGCTATAGGTAAAACAAGCCACCGAGGTTAGCTGCTACTACTAGTAGGAGTAGGTTGGTGGCCTTGTTCCGTCACGCACACTCCTTCGATTATCAGGGATTCATTATCCGGTAACCAACCCGGCTGTTGCTCGGGCGGGCCTGGGGAGAACCCAACACAGTTTCGACCGTGCCAGCCCGCGTCACACAGACATGCCAGTAGTGACATGGTGGCAGGGTATAAGGAGTAACAAGAGTTTTGAGAGAGCTTTCTGTGCAGGCAATGATGATATGCCGGATGAGGAGAAGTTACCAAACGCGAAAGCTTGTTGCCGGGACGGACTGATAAGATTGCAATGATATGATGGGAAACAAGTCCTCGCCAATAATGTATTTTACAAAGCAGTACGGAGTACTACATGCAGAAGCTTGGCCAAAGCGCGATGGTATACTAGCAGTAGAAACACTATCCGTATTGTACCGAAGTAACAAGGACGAGGAGCAGCTACTCCGTACCACTGCAGTAGTGATAGTCATGCAAAGAGAAAAGGAGGTCGGCAAGAGGATGAGGGTCCGGCCTCCCATACAAGGCGGATGAGGAGACGGGAGGGACGCAGGCTACGAGTCAGACGCTCGTAGTCGCGGGTAGTAATGAGTAGTAGTGGGCATTTTGGCAGTGGTGGTGACCGATGTAAGAGAGATGAATGGCTGCGCAGCAACGGAAAAGAGGAGAGGAGAGCGTTAGAGTGCGGATGCAAGAGACGCAGGCGCAGGGGCTGCTGTCAATAGTCCATAGTATCGTAATAGTTCTGTCCGTGTGAGGGCGAGAGCGTCTGGGTGCGCTTGATTGGGCCGAGGAGGACAGAGGGTCCCCGAGGATGATGAAGGAGGGAGAAGATGACGATGACGACGAAGCGTAGGTAGGTAGAGAGTAGGTAGGATACGGATACTCCTAGAAGACGGTGGGAGGTACGGGTACCTAGGTACAAGCGAAGCGAGGGAGAGTGGCAGAGTCGGAGGGGAGAAGGAGTGTGCAGAGTGTGCAGAGCCTGCAGAGCCTGCAGAGTCTGGGTGAGGGGATCAAACGACGGCGACGGCAGCGGCAGCTCGCTCAGATCAATCACAACAGAAATCACCACAGCAGCTGATTTGGAGGGAGGAGCAGGAATAGGGAGCAGCGCAGGTGAGTGGTTGGGAGGCGGCGAAGGGAGGAGGGCATGATGGGTTGATGGGTTGATTTGATCTTGATCTGGCATTTGGCTGGCCTGCGCCCGCAGCTCACTCGCCTGATGGCCCGCACCTGGGCAGGCAGCCCGGCCAGTCAGTCCGTGGGATCCCAAGGAGTCAGACGCAGGCTCCTGCTCCTCCCACTCTCCCACTCAATAATCTCCCTCCTCCTACTACTACTACACCCACCACCACCTACTCCTGCTACTACTGCTACTGCTGCTCTCTCACCGTACTGCTTCCTCTGCACTGTACACGCCCTCTACGCCCACCGCCCACCGTTCCTACACATACGCCTTTCTGGTAAGTACTTACCTTTCTTCTTTCGCATTTCCCACCTCGTCGCCCACCCCATTTATCTGCTGTTGCTTCTTGTTTCGCTTCAAAATCCCCGTCGAAAATGCTCTCCCTGTCATCATCTGACCCTGTTTGCCCTCGCTCTCGACCTCATCGTCGCCGTCGCCAACGCCGCTTGCGCGACGCCCACTAACAGCAGCCACCACCACCACAGTTCGCACCGCAGATTCCTCCTCTTCGACGCGTTTTCGCATCGTTGGTGAGTCGCTCTGCCCACTGGATGTGCTTGGGCGCCACCAAACACGCGTTCTGCCCGCGATTGCGCTCTCACCAAAACACCGCGCACTCACCAACCTGCGCGACAACCCTTCACCTGTAACATGACTGCCTTGCTTGCGATTGCCTTGCATTCATTCTGGCCGCGGCATCATTGTTTACTCTTCCAACTGCTTGCGCGCTCCATTGCTCCATTGTCCTTTCACAACATTTGGCTGCTCTCTTCTAGCTTTAAACCTGGCTCATGTCCAACAGTCTACTGACACCTTCCAATCCAGATCGCAAACTGTGACCTCTCCTCAGACCTCTCAACATGCCTAAAGCCACCAAATCTTCCACCAAGACCAAGGGTCGCGGCGCAGAAAAGAAGAAGAAGGGTCAGTGAACAGGTGTCACTCCCCGTCGGGCATACCCAACTGACATTTCCAGACCCCAACGCGCCTAAGCGAGGTCTCTCAGCCTACATGTTCTTCGCCAACGATCAACGTGAAACCGTCCGCGAGGAAAACCCAGGCATCACCTTCGGTAGGGCCCACATCCTCCGCTACAGGTCATCCACAGTTATACTCATACCATCTACAGGCCAAGTCGGCAAGGTCCTCGGTGACAAATGGAAGGCTCTTAATGAGAAGCAGCGCGAACCATACGAGAAGCGGGCTCAAGCCGACAAGAAGCGCTATGAAGATGAGAAGGCCAAATACCAAGTAAGTCGCAACTGTCCACTTGGATCGGCTCGAGCATCTCTCTGACTATCAGGCAATCCAGGCTGGCGCTGATCCCTCCGACGAGGACGACTAAATGCTTCGGTGCACTCCACCTCGTCAATGTCTCCGGTTGCCACACACATGGAGATAGTCGCCTTGAGTTTCATTATTTTGTCGTTATGGTTTCACTAGCAATGACCGGCTGGGAGGCGTGGGTTATGGAGTCGGCCGTGGAAAGGGTCGGTATGCTCTGTTTGCAGCGAGCGATGCCAATGCATCAAGCTTGAGAAGTTATCGTGAGACACCAACCATATGCCACCATCACGATAGTCGAGCTGCAGCACCATAATGTGTTAGGCATACCGGAGTACTGCTGTATACTAGCTCTTTGCAATGCAATATTGGCACTCCTCGCCTTCCAATTCCTATCGTCGTCGTCGTCGTCGTCGTCTTCTCTGCCAAGGCTGGACATGGCGGTGCAGTGGTGGACGCGTCCCCGGGCCAGCTGCGACGCGTTCAGTTTGGGGACGCAGTGGCTTGAGCATCTAGAACCTCACAACCTTGCGCCTGGGTAACGTCCACGTCCACCCTTGATGACATCCCGCCTTTACCAGTCCGTCGGGCTGGAGCATGATTACCTATCCACTCAGGCCGTGGCTAATTAAACTCCTTTCGCTTGACTTGAACCTGCCATTTCGGCCCCCTGTGACTCTCGGCTTAGCCCAAGTTGCCTCAGGCAGCAGTCAGGCGCAGGGCGGGTGCTCCTGAGGTAAATAGGCCTGAGTTCGGTTTCGTTTCTCCATCTTCTTCTCTATCCAACTTGATTATGAAAAGCCTTGGACTAGCTGTGCAGGCAACCGCCCGCTACTTAGACCAGGCGTCGTTGCCTAAGCCCTCCCTGCACTGTCGAAATCGGAATTCGCAAGAGGGACAAGAGAAGACCCGCGATGCATGCAGACTATGAATGACCGTGTCCTGTCTCGACCCGCAGAACGGTAGGAAACACGCTCCCCGGACTTGGTCCAGTTGCGTCTCTCAGGATGGAGGTACACGTCGTGCAGCCTGAGAAGCACCGCTGGTCAGTTATCCAAGGCCAGCAAGTGCAAGGAATGCCCAGGCTTAGGCAGCAACGCCTGCAACATGACGCATTGCGTCGCCCGTCCGCCAGAAGACCCTCGAGAGTCATTGGCACCCTCCGATTCAGCAAGTCTTCCTCTCACACCTGGAGAAAGTCAGTGGTATTGACGATGCTGGGGCCAATGGTCATTTAAGGCTGGTACCGAGCATGACGGGAACCACATCAGGGCTTGTGTTGCGGCGCATCCTGTCAGAGGCCTCGGGCGACAAATCGGCTGCTGCCATGGCACAGTAGGTCATGCATCAGCGCCGTTGACCATCAGCTTCGCCTGCTGTCCGCTTGACACGTCAACGACCTGCATGAGGTTTGTCTCCGCGTATTACGGGAGTCCCAACACCACCCGGCCTGGAATCTCAACTGCTCCGTCTCGACACCAAGAGCCTCATCACCTGCTGGATCGATCTGTGTCGTTTCTGTCTTCGTTATCTTCCATTCCGATGTACCATGCATGGAGCTACTACTCGTCAAGGAGGCGGGCAGAGCCCAGGAAATTGCCGACATTCTCAGTCTGATCAGAAACTTTGACCTGGACCACGTGCAGGAGATCACCTTGGCTATTACCCGGCTGAACGATCTGAGCTGGGCTCTCCGGGAACTTGATGTCCAGATCGATGCCGCGAAAGGCATTCTCCTGAGGTCGTTCGCCGAAGACCTGGAACTTGTCCAGACCAGTGTCGCCTTTACTCTCCAAGATGTCTGGACCATCCTCGGCAAGGTCCCTCTCAATCCAACTGGAAGAGACTATCAATACGCGTGGAAGGAGATATCCCGGTATTGCTCTGAGATGGGTAAACAGACTCTTCCTATACGTTTAGAAACGTATAAACTCTTTCTTTATGCGCTCTGTAAGGTGTTGCAAAGGTAGGTACCTAGTGGATCCTTTGCTCGAGGGTCACTGGTGCTCAGACGATCTTTGGTCAGGCAATCCTACAATCGACATCAAATGCAGGATCTACGCCACGAAATCTACGATCTACAATCCTTGCAACTCGATAACAGAAGGTTGATCTCGGCCACAGAGGCCATTTCGAACCTTTCCATAGTCCCAGCGCAGCAACCAGGCAGGTGGTACGACCCAGAACGTTGACTTCGACTAATAAAGAACAGCCATAAGACATCCTCCTTCTCACGAGCGCGTAAGGCCAACCCAACCGACTCAACGCCCCATGTCTCCTGCGTCCTCGCAAGACAGCTACCAGACTCTCCAGCACCAAGCGGCTCCCAGCCCGCCGGCGTTGTCCTCTCCTACCACCACGTTTTCCACCCTCAGCCATTCTTCCAGTGCAGATCCAGATACGGACCATTGGGCCTCTAATATATTCAATGACCTGTCGGCCACCTTTTTGGAAGATGACCCCAGACTGTGAGCATATTGTCCCGCTGCGTGCTTGAGTTGGCCACTGATGAGATGCCATCAGCTCGGGCTGCTTTGGGGACAGTTCCGGCAGAAGTCGCGGGTTTCCAGACCCTGAGTTTGAAAAGATACTCCAAATGTAAGACAGACAACGGAACCGCTGAGCGCCAGACTGACGTTAAGCAGCAAATTTCCTGGCGGTCTTCGGACGAAATTCTACTTCCGTCCTCGCGACTGCCGTTGCAAGATTGTGTGCGAATGGCCGGACAGCAAAAAGGGGACTCGATGGTCCTGTCTGCCCCTCACTGACCTGCACGTACGACGGTCCGGGCCATTTCTGTACCTCTGTCGTCCGACCATTACAGCTCCAAGCACCTGTTGGGCCAGTCTCAAGTTCACCTCCTACCAGTGTAAGGACTGTGTCCCGGACATTCACGGTGTCCTGCTAACGCTCTCCAGGGCTAGTGGTGTTCCATTGCACCTTTTTGTCGCTACGATCCCATGATAGTGTCAGGGCGGTCGGCAATCGATTCGATCATGTGCTGAAGGGAGAGACGAGCAATTTTGCCGGGTGAGCCGCGGGCTCTTCGGGTTGACGAGCAAACTTGCTAACACAGTTAGAGCAATACGGGACAGCGGATACAAACATGCCTTGCGACTGTATAGGGACAAGAGCACGGATGCCATTCGCCTTGAGGCATCGGTCCTCGAAGGAGAAATGCAGCAGTGAGCAGTCATGTCCCGATATCGTTCTCAGGCTGACACCTTCGGCAGTACGCCGATATGGACCGCGTTCATCACACATAGCATCACTTCTCCTACATGGTATCGCTGGACGAAACACAGCTTTACCGTGTACCTCGCCGAGCTCCAACGGCACGTCTTCTCATCACAATACTCGCCCCATATCGCAGCAAACGGGGAACATTTTCTCGATTTTGAATTGGTGCAAGGTACATACTGAAGGAATGTTGCGGTTGACCTCGGGAGACACTGACTTGGGACAGACGCGGAAGATTTTGTGCAGACCATCGACGACTTTCGCGAAGAGTATCGCCGTAAGAAACCGGCGCAGTAAAGCATGACTGCATTTCACGACGCTCACGACACCCACGATACTCATGACGCTCACGACGCTCACGACTGACGATGACCTGGAGGATGAGATTGATGCTCTTACTGTTCTTCTCGGCCACACAGCGAGGCGAGGCTATGCGCTTGAATACCCGATGTTTTCTTTTCCTTTCTTGATCTGTCTTCTCGACCCTGCCAGATGTTTCGACCGCTTGCACTGATCATTCCGTTTCAATTATCGCGATGGGCTAAAGAAGCTGAAGGGACTGGTGGCTATCTCTGTGGCGATTCTTCTGCTTGTAGACGCGAGACGCCGAAAACGAACATGTTGGCACGGAAAGCCTGTGGTATTTACTTACATAGTGAAATATACGGAGTAATTCCGACTTAACCCGCTCCCTGTTCGCTCCGTCTGTTGACCGTCTGTTGACCGTCTGTCTGGTTGCCGTGTTGCCGTGTTTCCCGTGACCGGCCTCTCTCCTCCAATTGCAGGGCCGGACAAGGACGGGCCCGACACCAGCAGACAGGCCTCCTAGGCCCTTCTTCATTCCGTCATTCGAGTCTTCCGTGGAGAGTCTCCATTTAATTATCCGGTCTATATCATCGTGTCCCTGCCGCAAATTATGGCTGTGCCTTTGTCCGTGTCGTGTCGTGTCGGGTTCGTTGGGGCAAGACCGGTGCTGCTCAATCATGTCACAGCCGGCTGAACCACCATCACCACCACCACCGGCTGGGAACGACAACAGAGATGAGCAGTTGCCAACACACGAAGCGGCTTCGCAGCATGGGGCCGAGGCCACGGCAAAGAAACGGGGAGGGGGTTCTGTCCTCCAGACGGTATACGACTGCCTGACTTACGTACCCCCACGGTGTCGCTACGACCCGGAGAGGCCGTTTGAGTTCTCCATGGGGTTGAACCTGCTGTTTGGTGAGCCAGAGACCATTGGCAATGCTCGCGGGCGGTGGTGTGGCTGACTCTGACAACGTGCGCAGCGTTTGCGGGATGCTTCACAGTTGCCAACCTCTACTACAACCATCCGATCCTCAATCTCCTGGCCGACGATTTCAAGGTCACCGACGAGCAGGCCTCCCATATCCCCACTCTGGCACAAGCAGGATATGCTGGAGGACTGTTATTTCTGTGTCCATTGGGCGACTTGGTTAAGAGGAGGCCGTTTACACTGTGGCTGGTTTGGTTCACTGCGACGCTCTGGTAGGAGTCTTCTCTTGCGCACACGGGAGCGCGGTGACTTATGTGCGATATAGGATTGGACTTTGTGTGACCAAGTCTTTTGCGGCCTTCGGGGCCATCTCCTTCATTACTAGTATCACCACGGTTACACCACAGCTGATGCTCCCCCTGGTCGGCGATATGGCCCCCCCACACCGTCGATCTACGGCCCTCTCGATTGTGGTTTCAGGCATGTTGCTGGGAATGCTGATCGCTCGGCTCTTGTCCGGCGTCGTGGCTCAATCAATCGGATGGCGGTATATCTACTGGATCGCGTTCGGACTGCAGTATCTCATCTTGATCCTACTATATCTGTTCATGCCAGACTATCCATCCACGAATCCGGAGGTGAAGATATGGAGGAAATATCCGTTTCTGCTCTGGGACATCTTGAAGCTCCTGGCGAAGCACCCCGTCCTGGTCCAGGCGTGCCTCGTGGGACTGTTTGCTGCCACTCCATTCACTAGCTACTGGACCACCCTGACCTTCCTTCTGGCTGGCCCTCCGTATCACTACAGCACTATTGTCATCGGTCTCTTCGCCCTCATTGGCATCGGGAGCATGAGTTGGGGTCCGATCTTTGCCAGGACCGTCATGGAGAAACGTCAACCTCTATTTTCGGTCATTCTAGGTGAGATCATCTGCCTGGTGGCCGTCATTATCGGGACATATGCTGGCAAGTACACGGTGGCTGGCCCCATCATCCAAGCTGTCGGCATTGATGTTGGTCTGCAAACGAGTCAAATTGCCAACCGCACAGCGATCTATGGAGTCGCTCCGAAGGCGAGAAACCGAGTCAATACCGCCTACATGGTGAGTGTGTTCGTTGGCCAGCTGATCGGCACCGCGGTGGGCAATCACCTCTATGCCGAAGGCGGATGGATCGCCTCTGGGTCTGCCAGTGTCGGCTTCGTATGTGCGGCTTTGCTGGTCTGCCTCTTGAGAGGTCCGCATGAGCAAGGCTGGATTGGCTGGGGAGGAGGGTACAGCATGCGCAAGGGAGTACCCAACCAACCGATCAAGACTGAAAAGGACCAGGAACAGCCTCAGCCATCGGTCCGAGAGAGGGCCGAGCAGGCAAGCCAAGAGGAAAAGGAAATAGTGGTCCAAATCCAGAATGAAAGCCCGGCTGCCAACAGTTCCTCATCCCAACGCACATTGAGCGAGGAGATCCAATCCGAGCCTCAGAAGGGGTGAGTTGGGATAGGACTGAGCGATTAAAACTTTGGACCCTTTGCCGTCGTTCGTTCCACCTGTCTTGCATGCTCAGCTGTTTCTTCAACAACCATGAGCCATGTAGTCGAATTCACTTCTTCTGCGCCGGTCAAGAAGATCCGACCGTCAGAGTAAAGCGTCGTGAAACCAGGCTCTGGCTCCCTCATGATGCCTTGCGACCAGGATGTCGTCGCGCGAAAACCACAGCCAGCCTCCCCACCCTGGTCTCTGATTGGTCGACCGTGACCAGGATACACCACGAGGCTCAGGTCACGACTGACACTGACAGCCGACCAGGTCCCGTGGACTCTTTGCATGCCTCCAGATCTCCAGATCTCCAGATCAGGACAGATCACGAGCCGCCTTCTCGGCGGGAACGTCCATGGAGTATGGAGTATGGAGAGATGCTGTCGAAGCAAACATCTCTCCCCCTTCTCCCAATGCATGTTGTGCCCAGGTCCCGTGCACAACATTCCTTGCAAAGCTCGCGTTGGAATTCCGACCGTGTTCCAAACCATCGTCCAAGATGGCGGCACTCTCTACCTTGACGTGTTATATTTCTCTACGTGAACCGTGGTCTTCAGCTTGTTGCTGTTGGCGTTGCCCATCATGGCTGTCCATTCCTTTCTGAGTCTTCAACTTCTATCTGCCTACCTTTTGCATTTCAGTCGTGTCTCGGGTCAGACTGGTTCGGTCTATCAGTTGGATACAGAGTACTCGGGCACCAATTTCTTTGATGGATGGGACTTTTATACGGTGGGCAGCCTTGTTGCACATGGGAGGACAGACTGTACTGATCAAATAGGGGGCCGATCCCACCGGCGGTTTTGTTACGTGAGTCCAGCGCGGTCATGGAGGACTTGGTCGGCATTGCATTGACCACGCGACAACAGATATTACAGCCGGTCGTCTGCGCAACTCGCTGGGATGATCAACTCGAGCGATACTTCGCCCATCTACATCGGCTCGGATTACTCGAGTTACATTTCGTCCACACAAGCGGCAGGCCGACCCAGCGTCCGGATCTCCAGCCAGCGGTCGTGGACCCACGGACTCTTCATCGGAGACTTCAACCATGCCCCGGGAGGAGTGTGTGGCAGTTGGCCGGCTTGTATAGTACCCCATCTGGAAAGAGAGGCGCGGGCTGAAACATGGCAGTTTGGACTCTCGGACCCAATTGGCCTTACACCGGGGAAATCGACATCATGGAAGGCGTCAATCTTCTCACTAACAACGCAATGACACTACACACGTATGTTGGAGCTGCGTCGGGTGCGGGAGAATGGATACTGATGGCAAGGGATGGCACAGAAACCCCAACTGCACCATTGCAGGCGACAGCCGAACAATGACCGGGCAGTTGCAGACCACCAATTGCGCGTACTATGTAAGTGACGAGTTCCCCTGGAGCCTGGGCAGTCTGACCACTGGAACCGCTGCTGACCACAGGCTGTGTCCGGTCTGTCCAGCCCGGATACAATGTCGGATGTGGCATCAGTGACAACCGGCCCGCGAGTTTCGGAGCCGGTTTCAACGACGCGGGCGGAGGGGTGTATGCCATGCAATGGACCTCGGACTACATTCGCATTTGGTTCTTCCAGCGTGGCTCCATCCCCGCCGACATCTTGAGCAGAACGCCCAACCCTGCGAACTGGGGTCTTCCCGCCGCCAACATGCAGGGGTCTTGTGTCATCGACGATCACTTTCAAGCGCACAAGATCGTCATCAACAATGCCTTCTGTGGCGAGTATGCCGGCGTGGCGAGTGTCTGGAATTCTTCCACCGGCTCTTGCGCGGCCTCGACGGGCTACTCGACCTGCGATCAATATGTTGCGTCTGTGCCGGGGGCATTCCAAGCTTCGTATGTCATGTCAAGCGTGTTTCTCCAAGTCCCGGGTGTGCTTGTCTAGGTGTCTAGGTACTAACATCACATCGATCCAGATACTGGAGCGTCAATTCGATTCGAGTCTATCAGCTTGTCGCTTCCAGCCCCAATGCAACTTCCACGGCAACTCCCTACATAGCAAGCGATCAACCCAGCCAATCTACTGTATCGACGACCAGTACAGCCACTCCCACTCCGACCACATCTCTGTGTCCGAGCTACAACTTCACCGTGGTGCGATCCGGCACCCTGAACTACGAGATCGAATGTGGTGTCAATCCCGGAGGGTCCGACATCGCCCGGCCGTACCCCAACTTTGTGGTCAATTCGTTCGAGGACTGTGTGGCGGGCTGCAGCTACTGGAACGTCAATATCACGGCCAACATCTGTGGTGCAGTCGCGTATCAGATCAGCAGCAAGGCCTGCTACTGGAAGAGGAACGTGGGGAGTACCCCCCTGAACTCCGCGTACAATGGCGCCCGGCTCATCTACTATGCATACCCCCAAGTCACGGACAATCCCAACCTGGTCACCTCCAGCACCAGCAGCACCTCGTATGTGGCCACGGTGGTCGCGCCGCAAACATATGTCAATCCTTCGGTCTCTTCGACCACGTCCTTCTCGTTGATCACAGGCACACCGGCGTCCTCGTTCACGGATGGAATCGGCATGGGCGGTGGGAGTGGTACTGCGACTGATCTGGGTACGAGCTCGTCCTCGTCCATGTCGACGTCTACATCTACATCTACATCTACATCTACGTCTGTCACGTCGACGAGTATAGGAAGCAGTGGTTCTCGGTCTCAGTCTTCCTCTTCCTCGACCACCTCTACCTCTGGATCTGTCGCATCGACCACTTCAACCACTTCGCTGTCGAGTAGCCGCGGGCTTGGTTCGACCTCAATTTCGGTGACTACCACTACCACTACCACGGCCGGGTCGTCTCCGTCTCCGTCTCAGGGTGCGACAACGACCGTGGGAGGCCAGTCCCAGTTGACGACTTCGACTTCTCCAGTGACGACTACTCCGGCTCTGTCGACGTCGACCGTGTCCTTATCCGGACCATCTGGTCACAGCAGCACAGTGACAACGTCCTCGTCCTCATCCTCATCTAATCCAGGGATGACGGCCTCCCGAACCACGACAAGACAGCCTCCAACAACCACCAGCTCGCAAACGTCTCAGACTCCTTCGCCTCAGTCAAGCGGTACTAGAACCCTCTCCGCTTCGGCTTCGGATTCGTCGTCGGCCACACAAAGCACGCCATCGACCGTGTCTGTGTCTGCGTCTGTGTCTGTGTCTGTGTCTACACCCAGCCCAAGTCACAGCCAGTCGCCCCCGCCGATTATCTCCACCTCCACATCCACATCCACGCACCGCTCGACGGAGACGAATGGCGGAAGTACGATGCCACTCCCACCGCCGTCATCATCCCTCCTGGACACCTCTGCACATTCCATGACATGGACATCCACATTACTTCTTATCACATCTACCGGCTCCGTATCCCAATCTCAATCTCCACCCTCGTCCTCGTCCTCGAGTGCTCTGGGTCCAAGAAGCAACAGTAGTCTGCAACCGTCTCCATCAACCACATCACTGTCCGTGGAGACGTCGCTAACGACTACGACGACCTCACCGCCAGAGACCGGCGCGGCAACTTCGTTATCAACATCGGTGGTATTCACATCGTCGACCTCGACCACGCAATCTCTTCCTGGCCCTTCTGAAGTCGCTTCTTTCGTCTATGCAGGCTGTTTCGGTCCACGCCCAGGCTCGCCCTTTGCCGACTCGTTTCTGCTGGCTGAGACGACCGAGTCTATGACGATAGAAGAGTGTGTTTCGGACTGTTCGGGGCAACAGTTTGCAGGAATGTTTGATAGGTATGGATTATGGACTGGTGGCCCCACCCCTGAATCTCACCCCTGAATCTCATCATTCGAAACTCTTTAACTAACCCAGCTTTACTTATAGACAATGCTTCTGCTCCGACTTCGCCCCTAACTTCGAGTCCAACTCCGACATTGGGGCGGAAAGCGACCATGTCAAATATCCCGATTCGGCCTGCGACACACCATGCCCAGGCGATCCGGACCAGAAATGCGGCGGTCTTGTTCGAACCTCGGTCTCGACCTCGCCCTCGCTCCCGCCAACCATGGCAAAGAGACAACTCTCCAACGAGGATGGCGATGCTGACCTTCTCATCTTAGTGACGCTGTACAATAACACCCAAGCCACAGGCGGAGATGGAGGCGTAGGAGGTTCAAGCTCGACGACGACGAGTACGAGTACGAGTACGAGTATTGGAGCTGGAGCTGGAGCTGGGTCTGGCTCTGGCAGTTCGAAGCCGTCGTTTCCATCAACCTCCACTCCTACTTTTCTCAATAGTCCCACTCCCACTCCCACCGGGTCAGGGATGACAATATCAGTACAGCCAACCACCATTTCGACCACCTACACCACCATCTGCGCAATGCACCCGCTGACATGTCCGACGCCGACAGCCACATGTCTGACCACCACGGTCACCATGCTGCATTGTGGGTGTACGGACATGCCGGCGGCGACGGTGCCTATGACGACAGTGGTGGTGGACGCAGACGCAGACACAGACGCAGACACAGCAATGCCTCCTACTCTGACCACTCTCACCATCCCCTGCCAATCTGCCATCGCAGCACTGCAGAGTCAAGTGGCCTCTTGGTCAGCCGAGAACGACGACGAGAACGACAACGAGAATGAGAACGAAAACATGTGGTCCGTATCTGCACCAAACACTGGTTCAAATGCCGTGCCCGTGGTGGAAGTGGGAGTGGAAGCTACTACTACTACGCTCGCCGGTCAGGGAGTAGGAGTGGGAGTGGGCCCGCACACGCCGTATACGTTTCCCGTCTCGTTCCCTATGATGCCTGCGCCGGGTCCGGATACAAAGGGGATTACAGCTACGGCGACAGGTGCAGGTGCAGGTGCAGGTACAGGTGCAGGTACGGGGATGATGACGGGTACGGGTATTGGGATTGACACGAACGACAACAACAATACAACCACTCTCACACTCACCCTCACCCTCGCAGCGGCCACGGCCACGGCAAAGGCCAAATTCACATTCAATGTCTCCCTGCCCTTGACGGTACCTTTGTCGGCGTCGGCGTCGGCACTGCCACCGCCGGGACACGGACAGGCACAGGGACATGATACCAGTGGATCAATCGCACCGAATATGCTGACAGGGACAATTGCGAGAGTGTCTGGTTCTGGTACTCCGTCCCGCTCATCGGCCTCGCGGACTGGATTTGGATATGCGTTTGGGGTTGTATTTGGAGTTGGTCTTAGCCTTGGTCTTGGTCTTGTTTTGGGCCTGGGCTTCTAGGAGGTCTTGACTTCTAGAGGGTTAAGGAGGTGTGTGTGTGTGTGTGTGTGTGTGTGTGTGTCAAAGGTTGAAACGTTCCATGTTCTCGATTCCATGTTCTCTATTGAAGGGATCCCGTATAGTGAGAGCCCAGACTATATCCCTAGTAGGCGTGCCCATGTCTATGCCTATACCTATTCCTATGTCAGCTTAGGCTAAGGAGACCTTCTGATTCAAGTGAAGGGCAAGGCTGTGAATGGGAATGGGACTGCCTCAGTTAGTGCCTACCTTAAGTTTAAGGGTGTGTGTTCGAACATGGTTCTGCATCTGGTTCTAGTTCTGTATATCGTTCTATTCCTGTTCCTGTTCCTGTTCTCGTTCTCGTTCTCGTTCTCGTTCAGTCATATCTAATTATTATAGTCAATATCAATATCGATGTCAATATAAATACTATTGTCAATCTCAATGGCAGCTCTATCTATTTCGTTCGCTTCGGTTCGGCTTTAGCTATATATAGCCCCTAAGCCCTCTTGTATTGTCGAACCACTTCCACTTCCACTTCCACTTTCGTGTAATCTTATATTGTGATATTCCCATCCGCCCCCTATACTGTCAACCCTAAACTACTATAGCTATGTCTTCTCTTCTTATCTTCTCTTCTTCTCTTCTTCTCGTCTTCTCGTCTTCGTCTTCGTCTTCGGTTTCCCTTTTTTTTCTAGTTCTAGCCGAGAATCAATCCTGAATTACCTCCCCTTCCCTTCACCTTTACCGTCAGCATTAGCATCTACTCTCCTCTACTCTACTCTAGTCTACTCTACTCTACTCTATAGAAAAAGGAGCAGGAGTCTCTGATGAAGAGAGGAGAAAGGACAGAGGAGGGGAGGGGCTTATATGTAGATTAGAGTGGAGATTAGTTTATCTAGTGTATGGACATGAGTATCGCATACCATACTGACTGTATACTACACACTACACACTGCAATTACCTAACATTCCCTACCAGGCTAGGTGCCAGGACACTTATAAAAACGTTTATTCAAGGTCTAAGTAATCTCGGTCTCGGAGAGCCAAAAGACCTAGACTAGACCACACCACACCACACCACACCACACCAGACCAGATCAGACCAGATCAGACCAGATTAGACCAGACCACACTAGACCAGACCTTGACGTCGAGGCTCCTCGTTGGAAATACTCCACTGTCCATTACGTCTATCTACCTCGTGCAGACGGTCTCATTGTCAGATCTTGCTTCAAGCCTGACAGCCTCGAACTCGAACGCCTCCTAAAGGACCAGTTCGAGGACACTACGATCCGGATCTACCGCTCGTCTCTGCCGCTCGTCTCTGCACTGCCCGCTGCCTGGTCCATCAGCAGCTATCCCTAACCTTCAAGCCTACAGCTTCAGTGTGCCCTGCCCGGTTCTATCGCCACTCCTATATCGGTAGTTGAAAACTGACTAGTCTGCAAGATCCTGGTTGGCTTCTACCAACAGAGCGAGAGTACTTAAGAACACGCCTGCCAATCTGTTCTGTCATGTTCTGTCCTCCTGTCCTGGTCTGTCCTCCTGTCCTGGTCTGTCCTCCTGTCCTGGTCTGTCCTCCTGTCCTGGTCTGCTCATCCTGCCCTGACCTGTTCTGCCCTCCTACCATTCATGCCCATCCTGCTCATCCTGCCCTGCCCTTCCTTGTTCGCAACCGTACAAAACTTGTCTTGAAAGTGTAAACCAGGTGAGTGCAATAAGAACCATGTTGCTCCTCATCACGACTTCTCCTTCAATTCGAAACTCAATTCGAAACTGAGGCTAATATCGTGTGGCGCTTGGCTGAGGCATATCATCATGTGGCGCTTAGCTGAAGCATATCATCATGTGGCGATTAGCTGAAGCTATCATCATGTGGCGCTTCTGAAGCATATCATCATATGGCGCTTAGCTGAAGCTATCAACCCGACGCAAACCTCTTCCAGTGTTTCCCGCGACAACACTGCACCAACACTTGACACTCGCCGACCTTATCATCCCTCTCATGAGGTTTGGCACGACAATACACTCTGATATCCTTCTGCTCGTCTCCATTGTAGCGAGTCTCGGCGACAAACGCTTTGGTCTCCCACTCACCGAATTTGACTTCCAGTAGCCGTTCACCGTTGGTACGGGACCCGAACAGGTGTTTCCATACTTCTCCCACGAATCGACATATATCGTCAATGGAAGATGGGGGATGGAGAATCTGGCTTTTGGAAAGAGCGGGGCCGGAAGGGCCTAAATGAGTCACGACTCCGAGGCTGAAATCCCAGTAGAGGGGTAGTAGACCCCGTGAGTCAAAATCACCACCACAACTGTTTGGAAGCTCATTTGATGGTGCTAGGTCGCGAGGAGGGAATCCGTCATACTCATGCTCGAGGGCCACCATGGCTGTAATATACACCATACCGCTGTCGAAGCAGAGCTGCAATTTGTCCAACTTGGCTTTCTCGAGTTCATCGAGCTGATCCTGGTAATCTTTGATTTCTAAAAACTGGTTCTGGCGTAGGAGATCCATGGTAAAGGCCTTTAAATTTGGGCATGAGTTTCGGATCTGTTCGAGATCCTCCCGGGAAAACGACTCTCGCCGTAGAATGTCGATGGGATCTTCTCGTTCATGTAGATCCAATCCTACCAAGGTAGGGCCGTGTCTGGTCAAAATGGACGCCAAAGACGCCTTGTTCTTCCATGACCAGAGACTCAGGCTCGACAATGGTGGGCACGTGTCGATGTACTCCTGCACAGCTCTTGCAGTTGCGGGTGGGCAACGCCAGGATGAGAGATTGAGGCTGACATGTTTGAGATTGGTCATCATTTGTGCCGCGAGTGGGAAATACGATGCGGATAGGCTGCCTCTGCTGCACTTGAAGCTCTCCAAGGCGGTCAAATCGACAAATCGTGACCAATGCTTTAATGTTTGCTCCGAGAGTGCCCAGCCGTCCAGGGTCAAATGACGGAGTGAAGCATTGGGCTTTCGGTCGACTTGCGAGGCCTCCTCCTGCCATTCGCTCACCGCCTCTGGATAAACCGTGTAGGATATGAGTGAAGCGAACTTGATGTTTGGTGCACCCGAGATGATCTTTGAAAAGGCCACATGATCTTCTTTGTTCCACTCACTGTCACCGATTAGCGCTCCAAAAGAGACCAAAGAGGGACTTTTGGCGAGCGCGTCTTCGGCGTCGAATTGCTCCTTTGTCGGCTCGCGTTCTTTTATGCGAAGCACTTTCAGATGTGCCCTTGGATGCCGCGTTTCGAGAGTGCGAAGAACTGAAGCCGGTAGAAGAAGAGAAGAGTCCCAAATCAATGTCCGCAAATTCGTGACTTGACACAGAAGCTCGTTCAACTGTGCGGTAGCTTTGACCCGAGGCCCCTTCATTGATCCATCCCATCGCGATATTTTCAGGTGGCGCAGACCTCGAAGCAACTCTGGAGTTTTCCACGACTTTGGAAGTAGCCCTGTTGGAGTGGTGAAACATTCATTGTCCCCGTTCCATTGCAGAGCAGCATGTTGATACCGGACAAGTTTGGCTGCTTCGTTGAAATATTTGCTGACCAGGGCCAACGCCGAGGCGGTACGAGGTGCATCGGTGCAGACTTGTGAAAAGATAGCAGTGAGAATCTCGATTTCGAGATCGAGGATCGTAGTGGGCGGTTTCACTTGTGCCATGGTGTCAGGTTGGAGTGGAGGATCGGGACTTGTGAGAGACAGAGAAGATCTAGTGTGCCCACGCTGAGGGGGAAATTGCTCAGAAATCAACCTCAGTACAGACCAAAGGGAGGTAGGTCAGTTCAATTCACCTGTTACACGATGTGGTGGTGTGGTGGTAAAAGGCAGGATGAAGCAGAAGCAGAGGTGAGGCTGAGGCTGCGCTGATACATACATGGCAAAAGGCGGAGGTGGGCCGAGCCTAAACACTTTAGCCCAGGCACCAGTCTACTTAGCACATTACAGTACTAGGCTCCTAAGGCTCCTTAGGCTTAGGAAGGCTAAGGTACTTCTGCCAGGCGCCCAGTAACGCGTTGTGCGGGTTAAGCCTGGGGCGAGAGAAGCAGTCACGTGACGCATAAGGACGGAGACGGACGGAGTCAAGCTGTGTACGGATATAACTGTAAGACTGCTATAATCAAGACTGTCCGTAGGAGTGTATGAAATTGAATCCGAATCACAGATCTATCGGGCAAGAAGTCTCGGAAAAGGATAAACTCGCATCATCACCGTCACCATCACCTCTATCCCCCCATCGGTCCAATTCATTTCTTCACAACTGTAACCGGCATTTTTCATCCTTGCCACAAGTCTTATGCCCCAAATCCACAGACGCCTCGCTCGATCAAACCACTCTCATTGCTGTATTCCGCGCTCTATCCAACCCCCGCGATCTAGGCTTCGAGACGTCTTTGAGACTCTTGGTTGTGCCGTACTCGTCTAGATGTCTTCGTCTATGATGGCTTCATCTAATTCGGATAGCATAGACTCCTCAAGCAGGCTGTGGCTGGCAACATAACTGAAGCCACCAAACGGATCTGACTTGCTCAAGGTTCTGCTGTGGCGTCGAGTGATCGTCTCAATCGACCGACCGGTAAACTCTCTCGAAAAGTTCTCTGCCAGCTCGGGATCAGTGACCAGTGGTCTGATTGGTGGCTCTAGTTCCCGGGCTTCCAATTTCTTCCAGTCTATCTTTCGGAAAAATCGATGTTTCTTGATGATGGTGATGTCGTTGGGGCCAACGCCCAGTCGCTTCTTAGGTTCCTTGCGCAAGAATCTTGTGAGGAGATCCTTGGCATCTGCGGACAAGAAGTAAGGTAGACTCAGCTTTTGGTGCAGGATGTTTTGTTGAATCTTGGTCCAGTTCCCACCTCCAAAGGGAGGCTTACCCGTCATGAGATCGCATGCCATGGCCCCTAACGACCACCAGTCACATGATTTCCCATATCCAGGGCCCCAGTCCGATTCATCCGAACCGCGAATGATTTCGGGTGCCATGTATTCAATAGTCCCGACCCCAAGGCTGTTGCAACGACTGCCTCCTGGAGTCTCTGCGTCCTGGACTGCCACTTTGCTGAGGCCGAAGTCGGTCAAGAGAAGATGGCCTTCAGCGTCCAGCAGACAGTTTTCGGGCTTAAGATCACGGTAGATCACGCCGACTGTATTGTGGAGATAGTCAAGGGCCAGGACAATCTCAGCAACGTAAAAGGCGGCCACTTCTTCGGAAAAGAACTTCTCTAGTTCCAGATGGCGAAAGAGCTCACCCCCCGAGGCGTATTCAAGGATCAGGTACAGCTTCTCATGGTCTTGAAACGCATAGTAGAGGTTGACAATAAATGGATGACGATTGACCAACTCCAGAATGCTACGCTCAGATTTGGTAGATTCGATCCGCTTCTTGTGGACCTTGAGAAAAGCTTTGGTGAGTTGCTTTTGGGCGAACAGTCGACCGGTGGCATTCTGTCGTACCAAAAGTACGGTTCCAAACGCCCCATCACCAAGGCAGCGGATCGCCGTGAAGTCCGCGGCTGTCATCTTGCGGGCTATCATCGTCGTCGCACGCTGATCCGCGGGCATGACGAAAGTAGAAGCGGCACTCGGTTCTGTGTCGGCCAATGACTGGCTGACGAAGTCCTGGTCGATGGGAACGTTGTAGCTGACCATCTCTTCTTGAGGCTCGTCGCCTTGGGTATCGGAAGCCGCGCTAGCTGCACTGCTCGTAGCCTCTGAATCTAGCTGATGATTCCGCGCTCGCGAAGTTGAGCGACTTTGGCTGTGAGAGTTGAGAGCATCGAGCTGTGCTTTTAAACTGCTGATTCCAGGTGACTGCGGTCGCAGCCCAGGGCTAGCGCCGGCGAGTGGGCGTAGGCGAGGGTTGGGTGACAGGACTCGTGGGCTGGTGTGTGAAGTATCAGAATCTTCCGCGCCCGAGTCAACCGGAGTGAAGCCTCGGACAGTATTGAATGCTTGAGCGGCTTTCGCCTTATTGTGCCTTTTCTTCTTCCTCTTGGCCGCCGTTGTGGACAGAATGACACTGCCCTTGACATCTTGTCGGCCTCTCTCACTGTCTACCGTAGGCTCAGGTCCATGACCGTCCATCGCGATTGACTTTCGCGGGGTCATGGGAGGGCTCCTGGTTCGGATAGGTGTGATCTCCGGCTCGACGTGGTCTGCTGCATTGTTTCCCAGCGCAATGGAATTCAGCGCCGCTTCCAACTCGGTCGAAACGTCGTCGGCTGGGTATGCACCGTTTGAGGACCCTTGGACATTGTCCATGACGGTCTGGGTGACTCCAACGCTCATGTTCTCTGAGAATATACCTGCAACGTATACGTCTGGTTTTTTTTTCAGGGCTAATGGAGACAATACGCTCCACTAGTGTTTCTATATTACCGTCCGCCCTTATTCAGGACGGACCTTGCGCGAGTAGCCACCCCGAATTGCCGGCGACGACGTTCGATGCAACTGTTCTTGGGCTCACATAGGCAGGGGCAATCAGACTGCAGGCGGCAGGAGTGCATGGAACAATGGTACGCGAGGAAGTGGCTGCTCTGTGACCCATTGAAAGTAACAAAATCTAGAAATATGGCGGGTGACAAAAAAGGCACTGGAGGTGAAGCAACGGTTGCTGAAGGACGCAGGGAGGAAGGAGCGGTAACAGGACTTTTCTGGCAGGAGGCCGCAAACGTGGTCAGGCCAGCACAAGAATCTGGGAAAATGCGTCGGGTCGCAGTGGAACGTCGTGGGTCCGCCAACCAGCCACAACACGGCCCCGGATTTATCACGTGTTGTTGCTCGGGCCTGGCCCATTCCGGGGGCTGCCATTCGCTGGGCACACCACCGGACTAATGTTGTTCCGTTCAGAGATATAATATATTGATTTTGTTCCGAACTGGCCCTTTCAACAACGTCCTCTCCCAGATACGCCCGTACACACAGCCCTGAATCGTTTAGAGCACATTTCTTTCCATCTGAAATCGCCATCTAGCCTCATTTGCGGCCACAATGGACAAAATCATATTGAAAAATCTAAGATTCGACCTTGCCGTGGGCTTCGATGCCTGGCGACGGTTCGGCAAGCCCCAGCCCACCTTGATCACGCTCGAGATACAGCCAGAAGTGAACTTCGAGGCTGCTGCTGCTCAAGACAATGTCAATCTCAGCATGGATTATGGCGCCTTATACAAGAAGATCTCTGGCGGTTTGCAAGGAGGAGAAGTTTTCCCGACAGTCCACGCTCTAATTTCTCGACTGCACACCGTGGTGTACAATTTTACAAAACTTGATATCGACATTCTGTTTCCCAAGGCCCTCCTGCAGGTGAATGGCGGAGTATTATACCAGTTCCAAGTGGATAACTCAGGTCCTGGAGTGGCCATCTCCACCTTGAGTGTGACTGTCAAGCAAATCGCCTGCAACTGCATCGTTGGGGTCAATCCGCACGAACGACTATACCATCAATCATTATTCATTGACGTTACCGTGCCTCTCATGACCGCTGCTCTTGGCTCCGAGCCACCCGAGGAGCCATACACGGTAGCATTGCACGACATGGTTCGAGAAATAGTCGAGGTAAGTGACAGCGCCCTGCCCGCTTTGGCCAACACCGATGATGACGTGGCGGACAAAACAGAAAGTCGACGGTTCAGCGTACCATACTCTTGAAGCACTGGCCACCGCTGTGGCTCAAATTGTGACAATCAACTATGGCCACAAGGCTGTCAAGATTCGTATTGAGAAGCCCAGCGCCATCGCTACGATCGAGGCCGCTGCCGTGGAAATCACTCGTACCAAAACTTTCTTCGAGAACAAGGATTTCTGGAAAGTCAAGCGCCCTTAATCGTGGGCTCAACCCTCGGTCAAGTCGACTATGCTCACCCGTGGAGGGCGTCTTGACGACTTCCGCTGGCTAACCGGGCCATCAACGCTGTCCTCTTCCCTCCAGGTCCCTGGGAGACTTGAACGAGGGACTGGATGGGCATGTCTGGTCGAGGGGCTTGTCTCTAACCCTCTGGTGAGGTCGGGTGGGATGACAGCCGAGGCTTTTGTTACCTGGCTGGAAGCAATCTCCGCGCAGACTGGCTTCTGCTGTGTCGCAGTTATATAAGGAGCAAAGAAGCTCTCAATAGTCCGTTTCGACCTGGCAGGACTGGTGGGCATGGGTGGACGTTCTCTGATGCTGCTTGTCGGTTCAGGTGCCATCAACGTAGCGCCTCGCTTCGTTTGCCCTCTACTCCTGCGCTGTATCACGGTGTGCGAGATATCATCAGGTCCTCCGATCGCGTCTTCAATGCACGGAGCTCCAATCTTGCGGACTGCCCTTGGCACTGGTGACGACGACACAAGGATTGGCTCTTCTAGGGAGGGTTGTTCCAGCGCCACTGGCTTTGGGCCTGGCGATGGAATAATCGAGTCGGAGTCGGTAGCCACCACAGGGTTTGAGCATTTCGACACCTTTCCTACAGCATCCAGGACATGCTGGCTTTTGCTGGGTTTGAAAAAATCTTGCATGGTTGGCGGCCTTGCTTTCGAGGGTTGAGTGGACTGGAGTTGGGGCGTAGCAGTGGACAGCCGGTGAACACTAGTGTGTGCTCTGCGTGTAGGGGATGGCAGCGCTGAGGCCTTATCTGCTGAGATATCTTTGTCGCCAGACACTTTTGACCCAACGACGTAATTCAGGAGCGCACCAGCCTCCTTGACACCGGTATCTTTATTTTTTCGAACCTCCTTCTGCTTTCGAGTCTTGCGAGTGGCGAATTTCTTTGGGTCGGCTTCTCTTTCCGCCTGGATTTGCCGCCATCTGTCCGTATGCTCGCGGGCGCCGATATCAACAATAGTCTCGGCAATCCACATCTTCTCTGGGGCAGTGGGCAGCCATGGATGAGCCTTCGGCCTCTTCGAAGGACTGGACGCGGCGTTAATATCATCACCGACGTTGCTACCTTTGTCGGCCTCATCATTCTCATTTGCAGCAAGACTCTCTAGGTCTTCATGGTTGTCCTCTTCTGCATCGAGATCGATACCCACGATTTCAGCCGGGATCACGGTCACTCGCAATTCCGGGATACCGTCGCTGACAAAGTCCTTTCGGCGTTCTGTGATCTGCTCGACCGAGCGAATATGGGACGTGGCGGCACCGCGCCGTAATCCATTGGCGAGCAAGGCCGGTGCAATGACTCGAATCAATTTCCATGCCCCTGGTTTGTAGAGCCAGTCAAAGGTTTCTCCGACGTAGCTCCTCAGTGCCTGGATATCGATGACAGACTCCCACTCTTTGAGCCATTTCATCTCCAGAATTGGTAGTTGATCCTCAGGCGTGACTGCGGGATTCAAGTAATAGCCCAAGATCTCTCGATTTGGAAATGACTCAGGAATTCTCAAAGTTTTGCGTCTCATTTTGAAGTACCCACTCTCGTTGGTCTGAAGTTCGAATTCAAGTCGTTCCCTCCACTCCTGAAGACCAGCTTCATCGGTTTGGCGCACCAGATCCACGAGGTCACTCCCAAAGCCAGCCCTGGCTATCTCACAGGCCAGTGTCGACCCGATGCCGGTCACGCCGGCTTCGTCGTAATCGCCACCGCTCAAAAGAGCAACCAGGATCATGCCATCAGGGTCCAGCCCTGATAGACGCTTGATTCGCGGGAGGTCGAACACGTTCACATGGGTTGGAGATTTGTTGTGCTTAGAAGCTTCGTATGACCAATCTCTCAAGGTCAGGGCTGAGCCAAACATGATTGCATCGACATCTTGACTCATAACGGCGTCGACAACGCCTTTCCTCTGCAACATAGCACATTCCGCCTCGGCCTCACCTGGTGCGGTGTGGTAAGGAAAGCGGAAGGCTTGGACGAGCCGTTTTGACAGCTCGTTCGATACACAAGAACCATATCTCGAAACGGTCTTTCCTCGCTTGGTGAGGGGTTTGTTCTTGCCATCGTAGACAAAAACGGGATCAATGGGCAAGGCGAGCAATTTCACAAGGCGGTAAAATAGGGTTCTCAAAGCAGGGTTCTTCCCACCCTGGCCGGCCTGGGTCTGGAAGTTCCATATTGCCGCGTCAATAGCGATTCGAAGGGGGCGCTGTGAGAGCTCGAGATGGTCTATGGCGAGCTTTGCTAACGCGACCCGCTCACCCTTGCCGATTTCTTTAAAAATGCTGGCGGAAGTCAGTATTCGGTCTCCCTTCTGGAGCAGTACGACGGGAATCCTACCCTGGGATTCCCATTTCTGCATTTGCTCATTCTGTCTCAATGGGATGAGATAGACATTACGTGCGTGTCACCATCTTCTTTCTGACCTGACTGTTAACATTCACCCAGCCGAGTTTGTTTGTTGACATGGGTGAACCTTAGCCCGGCAAAACATCGGGGGAGGAGCGATCGCTAGTATGGCACATCAATGAAACTTATTCGTAGGCCAAGGACTACGCTCGGGGGTGAGGAAGGAGTTATTCTAGTAATGTGCCTGTGTCATTTTTGACCTTTTAAGAGATACGATACCTGGATGTTATGGGATTCCCAGGTGCTGAGTATCTCTGGATGGTGCGAATAGGTGGGAACGAATCTGACGCTGACTAAAGCAGCAGATGCTCTCCCATTGGCTTGATCACAACGTTCCTCCCCAGTTCGCATCCCCGGCCAACAAAAGCACCCAGCCCTGCAATGCTTCCCCTTCTCGCCGCGACCCTACAAGTCTTGACAGCCGTGGCGGGTGGAGGGGACGGTGGTAGTCTGCAACAAGAGCCATGACGACGACAGTCGCCTCCGCCATTCGACCCAGCCTGCGCGATCGACAACAATCTGGTTCACCACACACTCCCAGTCGCTACATATCCTCTGTCCAATCCTCTCCCGGTTCCTCGTTTCTCCGTCCTGAGGAAGATCCCATCATCATTGAGCTTGACCCTCGTGGGCTCAACGCAGGCTTTCAGGGCGAAAGCGGCCCACACTGCACCTTCTCCTTTACACCACAGAACTCTCGAAGAATTGGCGATTACCAGGCATATCTACCGGGCTACAAGAGAAGGAGAGCAGATTTACAAGCTCGCAGTAGAGAGTATGAGTTATGGAGAAGCGATTTGAGCGATGTCGATTTGGGGCTGCTGGAAGATAAGCTAGAACGCGCCGTGCGCGAAGCATACAACAAACATTTGCTTGTTGACGCTGGTGCTGCCCGGCTAATACTTGTGCTGCCATCGCTTGTCCCTCATCCCGTACTATCCACGATTCTCACGCTCTTTTTTGAGCGATGGAAGTATTCCTCGATTACCCTCCTTCCTGCGCCGGCCATGACAATCGCTGCTGCTGGGTTACGTTCAGGCTTGGTCATTGATCTTGGATGGGAAGAGACGGTCATCACCGCAATCTACGAATATCGAGAAGTCCAGGTCCGTCGAAGTACGCGTGCCATGAAGGCACTGACATTGAAGATTGGCCAACTGTTGGACGCTGTCAGAGAGAAGCAAGATGTGCAAGTCCGCGACTCATTACTGCTGGATTTCGACTTTGTGGAGGAGTTCATCGATCGTGCTGGTGCGTGTCATGCGATGGTTATGGACGTAGATGAAGATCTAGCAGCAAGAACGGCGACACTACAAGTCCAGCAGCAATCAACCTCCAGTCCAAGAGATGAAAATGGCGCAAAGCTTGTAATTGACTGGCCCACAGAGACCTCATATCGGTCCATAGCCGTTCCCCGAGAGGCACTCCACCTCGCATGTATCGAAGCCATAGTGGGGACCAAAGATGAGACATCAAGTGACGACCATGAACAGTCCGTCAGCCAACTTCTGTACAGAACACTCCTCTCTTTGTCCTCCGACGTCCGTGGTGTTTGCATACCAAGGATCGTCTTCTCTGGTCGTGCTACCTCCGTGGCCGGCTTGTCCCAATGTATCCTTGACACAACCAATGCCATCATCTCTCAACACGGCTGGACTGCGGTCAGAGGAAAGCACCTTCCCACCACACGAAGCGGGCTCGGAGAACTTGCACAGGGCAAAGCAGCACCTGCGGATGCTCGGCACGACCTCCATCCTCCAGGGATGGACGATTTTGTCGAAGAGCGCCTCTACAAGCAAAAGGCGAAGGATACACAGCCGGCCGTTCCTGTTGTTTTTCGACAGGTCGAGTCTCTCGGACCATGGACTGGGGCGAGTCTCATTGCAAGCTTGAAAGCAAAGTCTTTCGTTGAGGTAGATCGAGAGAAGTTCCTTTCCCACGGACTCGCAGGGGCGCATCGGGACTTCGAATCAAACCTTGCTTCTCAGCGTCTAGGTCCAGCGAGAGGCAGTGAGAGGACCAGTTGGACTTTAGCAGGATGGGGCTGAAATGAGACCACGAGGCACAGATTCTGGACGTAGCAGGAGTGTAGGTGATTGACTTTCAAAGTATTGACCACATTTAGTAAGCATCCGCACAACGCTGGCCTGCAGTATTTTCCTGTGCGTGAAGATGTTAAGCGAATCAATCAAGACATGGCTCTACCTACCCGTCTATTCTAGACCAGCCATGTTCTTTTCGGCGCAAATCCAACAAGTCCCGGGATAGGAGTTTGGCATGGCGTGCTTGTGTGGAGGCAGATCGCTGCGCAAAGTCAACACTCTTTCGGAAACGGAACTGGCCATTGGCAAATTGAAATCCTCTTGTAAGTGGAAGGTATTTGTACTCACTCAATGTACCTGAGGGCAGGTTGTTTGAACTTGGAAGTTTGGTTGGAAGCAGTGGCAGGTCATCGCTATCGTCTTCCTCTGTGATACATGACTGAAGATCTTCTTGTGTCCCGGCGTCTGGGAGGGCGTCATCAAGGACGGGCATTGACACTGTTTGTATCGAGATCGGGTCCGCCTCGACTGCGGCGTTCTTGTTTGGGAATTTCCGCATTGGAGAGCTTGGACATTCTCTTGCCTCGAAGTTTGACATTTGACATGTTGTTCCTGGCTTTGTCTCTCAAGAGGATGAACGAGCTCCGCTTGTACTTTCTGCCGACTCTAGACTGGCAAGCCAACTTCCCTTCTTGTTCTTCCGGTCCCCGCATATTGGTCTTCTGCACTTTGAGACTTTCTGCCTGCATCTTAATCGCGGCACGAATTTTCTCAACGTACTCTGCAATTTCGGGTGCGATGTTGTCCTTATCCTGGTTGGAATGCTCTAAGCTGTTCTCACCTATCTCTGGAGCGGGATCGGATGAAGTGGAGGGAGCAGTGAGATCCACCTCGCCTGCTTCTTCTTGAATGGTCTGCATCGGGGAGATCTGCTTGCATACTGAGCCCGATAGCCAAATGGGAGATGGATAGTCCGCAGAATGGAGAACGGGATGGAGGGCCTCGACGGTCGCCCAATGAGGTGATGGTGGTATTGGGCCATCCATAGTCAGTAAGAAATGGTTGCGAGTGTCTAAGGCAAGTTCAAGTTCTGTCCGAACAATCGTGTCTGCTATTTAATCGCAGGGGAAAACTCAGCAGGACTTATCTTTTGTGCCCGGGACATTTATAGCATCACACCATATCTTTGGGCGAACAAAGAGGACCATTGTTGTAAGCAATGCAAAACCGTACGAGGGAGCACCTCGCCATTGAGCACTGGTGAGGCTCATTGTGTAGTATAAGGGCATAAAGAAATGGGTTAGAGCGGGCGCCGATACATGACTCGATGAGTCGACACACCTGGCTTCACCACTCGGGTTGCCACATTGATATGCGGCATGGTGCTGGTTGCCACAGCTATAACTCTTCTCCAAGGAACTCCCAGTGTCAAGTAGTCTCACTAATCCGAGGAGGAGAAATAGAGAGGAAGAACAGAGTAATAAAGCAGACTCCTGATAGTATTGGTACAAATGTACTTGGTAATCTGTGATCCCCCGTATACAACGCTTGGCAGCCGTTGAAGCATGGGCGGAGCATTCAACCTTCTGGCGCATAAATTCAGCTGCACAGCAAAATTCATTTTTGCACAGGCGACAAACAGTCACGGCACTAAACTTGGAGTCAAAGCAAACCACGTCGTGAAGACACTTACCAAGCCTATTGTTATGTAGTGGGTAGATTCCTTCCACGGCCACTCCGTACAGCTCGCTTCCGCGTTGATAATTAGGTTTGGAGATGGGAGGCTTAGGAGGCTTAGGAGGCTCTCCTAGCCCCCCATCAGCTCGGGACGGGAAGCGCCACAAAGTGTCTAGACGAGCCTCAAGCGAGACCAGACACATCGGCTGGCCTGAAAGAGGTTGGCTCTCCGGTCTATCGACGCTCGCAGAATTTGGCGTCTTCTGGCAGCCGTCTCTTCAGCCGGCCACCAAAAGCCTTCAACTCCCTTCTGGTGCCTTTTCGCCCTCAGCTGAGACACCACAGCTCGTTTTCGGCGAGGCGCCAACGTGTGGCGGAACAACTGCATGAATCTGGACTTGTCTGTCAACTTTCCCATGGTAGGTGGACCCCTTTTAGCCTTCCTTCAAAAGATGGATGTTCTGCACTCCAGCTTTCCTACTCTCGTTGTCCCTGTGAGCTCAATCGCTACACCGAGTCAACACGATGGAGGAAGGGAAGCAATCTACGAGTGTTCTTGTGGCATCGACAGAGATTCCTGGGTCTTTGCATTCCCAGGGACCTTCGAACCAGGAAAAGCCCACGCAAACCGTACCTGCAGAGGCATGGCCCAAGCAACCGGTACCGTTGGTGCCTAGCAGCAAAAGCCAATTGCTCATGTGGGTATACGACGCAGTGCTGCTCACCGTTCCGCTCATTCTCATCGCCAAAATCGGCCTGGTTATCGGCGCATGGAAGCTGGATCGGTCGCATCGTGGGAGCGACATCGACCTTGTCAGCTCACTCACTATTTTCCTGATCGAGTTCAACGGTCAGATGACCACCGCTTTCACCATCATCTTCGTCACAGTCATGTCAACCCTCGTGCGGCGATACGCTTTGTGGAAAGCGCAGAGGGGAGCGCGAGTGGCGGACCTCGAGCAACTGCAAGGGAGCATTAGTCTTCCAAGCACAATCAAACTGATCTGGTCTCTGCGTGCCTTCACAACGACCAGTGTCGCTCTCGTGGCGATCTGGTCGTTCTACTACCTGGGCAGTCAGGCCAGCAAGCTGGAATTTCGACGGGCCGATTCTGGCTCATATCACAACATGCAGGCTGCCACTGCCGGCCCAAATTACCTGTCCGGCTTTAGCTCCTCCTATACAGGCTCGTTCCCAGTCGAAACCTTGAACGCTGATCTCATTGCGGCCGAAGGCTTTGCAAATCCGGAGTATCAGGCAGTTGCGTCGAACCTATGGGGTACCGACTCGATTGGGTCCGCATTGCTCCCTGATCTCAACGCTGTCCTCGATCAGGGCTGGTTTGTCAACAATGTCGGATGGGTGCCTCCCCATCCTGGTCACCATGGCTGGGTCAAAGTTGGACATCAATCGCAGCTCCACAACTACGACGACTACTCGTCACTCGTCGGAAGTCCCATCTACTTCATGCTGTTAAGTGATGGAGGGGGCGCATCGATGATCCAAGTCAATAGCTTCCTGGGTACCTACACTCTCCACAACAGCTACCTTTCCGTCAATTGTGGGCGACCTGTATTCCTGTCTTACGACTCTTTTCCCAAAGGGACATATATGAACCAATCTATTAGTTTCAACATGACCCAGGTCCGAGCCGACGCCCCCCGAGATGTTCACGGACACCCTCTCCGTGAATTCAACCTCTCAACCCGTTGGATTCCAGACAACGACCAAAGCATCCTCACATACGGCAGCTCAACACAAACATGTAACATCACCTCTGTCAATGTCGACATGCAAGTCTCCTGTGGGCCGTCAGGCTGTCATCCAGACAAAATGCGATACGCCAACCATACTTCTCGCCACAACGCAACCTCGTTCAGCACACCCTTTGATGACGACGCATTTTCTGCTCGGTTCTTCAGCGCTCTTCTCCTCGCTCGCGGGCCACAACTCAACGTCTCGACGCCTACGGATATTGGGGCCAGTCTAACTGTGAGCCTTCAAAACTGGCTAGGCGAACACGGGAGCGGTGACGGCTACGACGTATTCCTGACGATGACTAGAAGAGGCCTTTCAATGCCGCTCACCTTGTACTTTAACAGCTACTACATGCTGTCGCAGCGCGACGCCAGTTCCGGACCAACCTTTAGCGCCGACGACACGGCTTTCCGGCTCCTCACTGTCCATGGCGCGTTCTATGACCCTCATTATGCCATCTTCTGGGGATGGATCGCTGTCGATTTCGTGTCGTGCATCATCCTCTTGATTGCTGCGGCGGTCGCATGCTGGCTGCGCACCCAAACCCTAGCCCCCGACATCTTCGGCTATGTGTCGAGTCTGACGAGAGACAACCCGCACATCCACCTACCTGACAACGGGACAACGCTGAGTGGCCTAGAAAGAGCGCGGCTGTTGAGAAACGTCACGGTCAAAATCGGCGACGTGAGTTCTCCGGACGATGAAACGGGCAGAGTCGGCCTGGCTCAGGTGCACAACACCAGCAGAGCTCCGGTGGCCAATTTGAAGCCGACTGTTGCATATGTTTGATGAAAGCCAAGCTGAGAGCTGGTGCTATCTTGCCACGCATGCAGCCACGTAAACACTAATGATAATATACTCTACGAATGTTCCTTTGCCGGCATTTGCCTTCTCTCTCAGAACCCCCAAATCTAATTTTAATCCTTTGTGGCATCAAGTCCTGTTTAACACGATGCGTACCTAAAATGAAAGACTGAATGTATGGCTTACCTGAGTTCTTCAAGCAGCTTGCTCCGATACTGGGACCATGATCTATCCGAAACCAAACAGCGTTTACGCTAAACTGGGTACGCCTCAATCGTTCCATTACAGATTAAAAACGTAGAGCGAGAACTACGCGTTGCATCCTTTATATCCCTTTGTCCGCGCCCGCGCCCTAGCAGATCCGATGTATGACATCCAGACCCTACCAACAAAGCCATCTAAGTATCAAAGCGACAACAAATGAATCTTGTACAGCTGAGCTGCAAGCCATGCCCGCCTGTGTCTCAGATCCCCCCAGACATCCTCCACAGCTACAGCCTACATGGTCCTCCAGCGATGCCATCGCTGGAAGTACAAATATCTATCTCAGATGCCTGAGAAGGAAGTTCGGAGTTGTTGTCTGTCCTCCTCCATCATCATCATCATCACCATCATCACCACCACCGCCGCCACAAACCTGATCGTCTCTGTTCTCATCTTGTGGGAAGTCTTTGTTACAATTCTCTGGCAGACAAACTCCCTACACGAAAAAACGGAAAAGTCAGCTTGGGCCCATCCGCGCCACCATCCATCCCATCCATTTCATCGATCCTGCAGCGAGCTCAACGTCGACATCCTAAACCCTCACACACCAAGGAATAACGACCCCAGCTATTGTCGCTGCCCACTATCTGCCTGCAACGACCCCAGTCATTGTCGCTGCCCACTGTCTGCCTGCAACGTCGCGTCGCGTCGCGTCGGCACGGTTCTTTTCCCTGCATGTCACTCTAGCCACGATGGTCGAGGACATCCGCTACGTCACCAAGGGCCTCTTGGTCTTTGTGCTCGCAGCCTGGATCGCGCGGCAACTGGTCCCCGAGTGCTCTGTCTTCGAAGAACCATTCCAATATCAGGTCTGTCGGCGGAACCCGTGGCGAGAGTGTCTGGAAGGATCTGGCTTCAACTGCTTTGAACATTCGATCCAGATTCCGGAACTGAATGCAGATTTGGTCGTCTTGGTTCTCGCGGGGTTGTGGCTTTTGTAGAGGCCAGAAAGGGCTTATGATGCCTACTCTACCTGCCTCTGGTACTGGAAGAGTGGGAATCTCAAGGGTGGGTGAATGAAAAGTGGAGGAGTGGAGCATCTCAGACTGTTCAGTGGAGGGTATAAGGCTGGAAAGGGAAACCTGAGGATCGTGGCTGGCCGCGAAAAAGATATCGAACCGGGAAGGGGAAGGAAAATGAGCGCAATATTCAATCGATGCGAATGAGATACTGGTTGGTGGGCACCGAGCGAGGAGAAATGAGACCAGATTGCAAGATGGTGAAAGGACATCAAGTAGACCCTCAGAAGATCGCTAGGACTGGATCTGTATCACGACAAATCAAATCAAATTGTTACTTTTGGCCTGTATCATCCTGATGGAGTGAGTGAGATTGGCATCCATCAGACTCAGCCTTGCGTGGAATCACCTTGTTCCCTCTTCCTCTCGCACCTAGGTGGCACCAAGCCAGATCCGTCACGTGCATTTGATCTGGCAAGGGCCAAAAAGTGCAAAAAACTTATTGAACCAAGCTGACCTCCTAGCAATTTCCCCGTTCTTAGGGTCTTCTAGAAGCAGGTTGGAACCAAGTGAAAACCCCGCTGTATAACACACCAATCTTGTTTGGCCAACGGTGTTTTACCCCAAGAGGAAATCACACGCTCTTCTACCTCGCAAGACCGGGGTTGTACCCAGGATTTCTTTCGGGAGGGCTCGAATTTTTTTTTTGGTTTGCTTAGAGAGAGTGGTTAACGCACCACCGTCCAAACACCTAGACCATCGAGGCCTGGGTTTGCTTCAGTGGATTGTTGGGAGGAATCTTGTGACAATAATATATCAACTAGTAATTTGCGTGAAGTGTTGACCGTATTGCAGTGAATGTGGCCGCCAAGGCTGTGGTGGTGGTGTGCAGTGACTGTGGGTGAGGCAGAAAAGCAGACGAACACACAAGGCTGAGCATTGGTGCCACTGCAAGCTACCTACCTACCTGACATGGTATATTATGGAGGTGAGGCGAGGCTGGATTGCACAAGTCCTGTCCATCTTCCGTCTTCAGGAGCTTATCCCCAGATATGCAAGGGCTTACAGTGAGTGGTCCGTACCCAATTGGGATCAGTCGAGCAGGCGGTTATGACCGGGATGGCAGCAGGGCATGGGCGTGGGGTTGCCATTCTATAGCGTAATATTCCGTACTCCCTGTAGCACTGTAGTACTACCTGGGTAGCCAAAGGCAAGTTGTCATAGAGCCGGGTAGAAGGTAGAACAAGCCCTCCAACTTGATGTTGAGCTTGAAGAAGCCTCCTAAGCCACCCGTCTTGGCAGCTTGGCACGAAGTCAGTAAAGCTTCTGCGCGCGGAGCTCATGGGCCGTACCGCTTTCGAACCCTCGGCCACCTCCCATTCACAGTTCTGTTCGATCCTGCAAGTTGTCATTGTCATTGTCATTGTCATTGTCATTGTCATTGTCGTCGTCGTCGTCGTCCTCCCATCCCCCTCTAGACCAGGAGCTGAATCCGGCCACACTCGACAGGACCGCTGTTCGATCTTCCTGCCTTTCCTGCGCTCGGCCATGGGATCTTGATCTTTTTCCTCCCCGGTTCGCCCGATCGTGGGGCCCCGCATCTCAGGCACTTGCCAACCTCCTCCACAAGAAGAGAAGCGAACGCCAACCACGGCGCTGATGCTCACCGCTTACGCCCATGGAGGTTGTTGCTTGACGATCCGGGTCAGGCTCTGGGCCCATCTTCCCCAACAACTTCCGTGGCTCGGCTTTCCTACGGATACTTAAGCACCCGTAGCGAGCTTCAACCTCCCCGCAAAGCACCATCTCTTTTTGATCGAAAGACTCCCCTACGATGGCCCCGGAAGGAGGGGTTGTCGTAAATTCTCGGAAACAGGATGAGATCATGAGATGGGTCTGCTGCTAAGCTCTCATCTACCCCAATCCTATCCGATTGTGGCCTGCCCGGTGCTTTATGTCCGAGAGGCTGCCACAATACACGGATTGCTCTGACCCGAAGTCTGCGACTGGGAAGCAGCATATAAAGACAGAGAGAGCTGCTTTGCTTTCTCCCTCATATTCTCCCTCACGACGGATCCCGCACTGAAGGTCTGCAAAATGTTCCTCACTCTTGGATTCTTGGTTCTGAGCCTCGTTGCTTTACCATGTACTGCCTTCCTTCGGACAGCTCCAAACGTGTCTTCTAGCGACTACTCATTCACGGTCAGTCGATGACGTCTCAACCCATATCGGCATCTCTCTCGACGACACAGCTGACTGGATGACTAGCAATTCGGCGCCGTCGCCAATGTGAAAAATGTAGTCGCATACAATGGGACCGGTATCAAGAGCTACTGGTGGGCAAACTTCTTCCAAGGCACCAATGGCCATTCCTATTGCGTCGTCATCACCAGCGCCAATTCAGGCCCGAATGACACCGTCTCTTCGCTGTCTGTAACGGACCTCAACACCGGCTACCACTTTGGTACCTCCGTCATTGAACCTGGACAGCTCTCTACCACCAAGTTCGAGGGCAAATCTAGTGTCCTACATGTTGGTTCGACTGCCGCGGACGAGTTCTCCCAGACCTACGCCGTCAGTACTCTGCCCGAATTCAAGTTTGATCTGCAGTGGGTACCCAAGGGTCCTATACTATACCAGGGCGGTTCGGGTTTCTTCGAATTCGGAGCTGATCTTGCATACACCTTCGATGTCGTCGAGGCATTGCCGTCGGGAACCCTGGTGGTGAATGGCACCAACGTGACAGTCGTCCCCGAGAACTCGACCACTTGGCTTGACTACCAGTGGGGGCCAGGGTACGCTATCGGCGGCTGGCATGACTGGGTCATCCTGCTGGAGAATGGTGTTCGGATGCAGGTGACTGTGACCGCGCCGAACGCTGCGTATAAGCAAGCCAGCTTTACCACTATGGTGTACCCCGATGGTCATCAAGAACTCTGGCCAGTCAAGAATGACACCCAGCCCAGGAACCCGTGGGTGTCTAGCCTGTCTAACATCACATACTACAGCGACTATGTGATCGACATCCCGCTGAAAAACACCATTCTCTACTCCCACCTGCCAGTCAAAGGCGGCGAAACCGGTCCATCCAATGGTTCGACGACGGCAAACACCATCGCCGACACCTTCACTTGGATCAATGGCACTTTTGACGGGTTGCCAATTAAAGGGTATGGGATCATGGAATTGCGTGAGAACGCAGGCTGTACATCATTTGGTGCATGCTAGCTTCACGATTCACTCACGACCATCTCACGATCCATGACTTGATTGTGATGATCTCTCCCGGCAAGGACGGATATAGTACATAGTACATAGTAGTTAGTAAATAGTTGGGCGCCTCCTTAAGCCTGCAAAAACCAAAAAGTGCAAGTACAAGTGCAAGAGTTGAATGATGTCCTCTCTTCTCCTAGCTTCCCTTCCCTAGTAAGCGGTTGATTCTGAGATGCCTTGCGGTCATGCACCTAGCTATCCGTTCTGTAACTCCGCGTCTAATCTCCGACCTGCATTGGCCGGTAGGTGGCCCGGGGGTTGCATTTCTCCCCGGATTTCTTTGGGGAAAGGAGCTGTACGCAGTACTTCAGGGCAGGGACAGGTTAGGTCGTCGCCATTTGCGAGTTCGATTTCGAATTCGGAGTAATCCGTACTCATGACCTATGTAGGTACCTATATGCATGGGGAGCAGACGGAAAGCAAGCCTTCGGGATCAGACTCGGAACGAATCAAGAACCGATCCGGGCTCTGTACTCCGTACTCATCACTGACCGGGGGTGAGGCTTCGCTTTTCAACTTTACCGTAAGGGTCCTATAGGTACCTGACACATAATACCTAGTACCTAGAGCAGGACAAGACACGCCAGTAAATGGGAACCATTGCAGACTAGCCAGCATTGATCAGAGCTTAAGCCGTCGAATAACTACCTAATTGGGGTATTCGGTTATTGGTCCTTACGACGGGCACCTAACGGGTACTGCTACTCATGCTCTGAAGAGTACTCCGTAGCCGTGTAAAGTAGTGCCGAGTCAGTATAAACACCTTGCTGAAGCTACACGTAGGTATGTAAATCCGTACCTAGGTACCTTAAGTACCTTAACTGCGGGCGCCACACAGCTAGCTCGTACAAACCGAACGAACACAAAGCGGCGTCACCATGTCGCCGTAAAGAGAAGCTTTTCTGCTGAGTAAAGTTCATGTGACCAATGCAGTTAGGTAAGTTGTACCTTGGCAGTACGGTGCCTCTGCGCCGACTTCGCTCTGCTCCAATTAGCCACCATCGACCGGACCGAGGTTGTGCTCCCTCCTTCGTCGATACACGAAACGAAGGCAGCGAGGCCGGGAAGAGTGCGATACCCGCTTCGAACAGTTCATTAGTTGACTGCAAGTGGGCAGAGGCATATTCGCCCCTACGGCGCAGACAGATCGGTACAACCGCGAGCACCGTCTTTGCTTACAGAAATGAAGCTCCGGACTTCGCCGCTTTTGGGAGGCGGATATCAATTCCAATGTCGTCAATGGACTGGACAAGGCTCGAGGCGATTGACCAGCAACCGAGGCTTTGTGGGAGGAAGGGGAATAGGAAGAGGAACTTCCGCACTTGAAGCTTGCAGGCCTGTCGCGGATTGGAACACTCGCCCGGCCAGCCTATTACTAGAATCTCGACGAACGGTGTCAAGATCGGGACCCGGAAAATGCAAGAACCAGTGGCGCCCAGCGCGCATGGCCTCAACATCGACATCAACATCGACATCGACCTCGTCTCTGCCGCAGGTGCTCGTCAACGACATGGCGAACCAGGAGGTGATTGTGGATTTCAACACCGGCACGGCGCTGCGGTACCCGTCATTCTGGCTGCGCGACCACTGCCCCTGCAGCGAGTGCCAGCACCCGAGCACGCACCAGCGGCAGCTCGACACGTTCACCATCGACCCAGAAATCAAGGTGTCTAGCGTGCGGTCGACGCCATCCGGCCTTGAAGTGGTGTGGCCGAACAGCAGCAGCAGGGATTCCAGCAGTCACGAGAACGCCAACGCCAACGCCAATACCAGCACGAACACGAACAAAACACACACGAGCGTCTACCCGTGGGAATGGCTGGAGACGCACCCGCCCTTCGTCCAAGCGAGCAAGAAGACGCCGGCGACAGCCGCCGCCGTGCAGCGGGCATGGACGCACGTTGCGCCCTCGGCGGCACCGACCAACTTGCCACGAGTGGCTTACAGCGCCATCGTGGACGGCCCAGACACGGACGGACTGAAGAGGTTTCTGCAGCACATCCATACGTACGGGCTGTGCTTTGTGCCCGGGACGCCAGCCAACCCGGCAGCGACGCAGACGCTGGTCGAGCGCATCGCACACATCCGCGCCACGCACTACGGCGGCTTCTGGGACTTCACGAGCGAGGCGAACCCGATCGACACGGCGTACACAAACGACCCGCTACCGCCACACACCGACACCACCTACTTCACCGACCCGGCCGGGCTGCAGCTGTTCCACCTGCTGTCGCACACGTCGTTGCAGGACCCCAGCCGGGCCGGCCAGGGCGGCGAATCGACCTTTGTGGACGGCTTCGCCGCCGCCGCCCACCTGTACCACCATTTCCCGGACCACTACCGCGCCCTGGCCACCTACCCGATCACCTCGGCCGCACTGGGCTCGCCCGCCGGCGCCTTTCTCAACACCAACGCCGCCCTGCAGGGCTACCCGGTCTTGAACCACAGCTCGCCGTCTGCCAGCCGAGTGGCGGCCCCGTCTCCCGCCACACTGGTGCAGATCCGATGGAACAATCTCGACCGTCTGGCCCCGGCCACGCCCACGTTCCCCAACCACACCGCCCTGAAGGCCTGGTACGCCGCCGCGCGTGAATGGGCTCGCATCCTCGAGAGCCCTGAATTCCTGCTCACCGTCAAGCTGCAGCCCGGCGAGCCCGTCATCTTCGACAACTGGCGCGTCCTGCACGGCCGTTTGGCCTTCGAGGGCAAGAGGAGGGTGTGCGGTGCCTATACCGCCATGGATGACTTTAGTGCCAAATGCCGCAGTTTAGCTATTGAAGTATAGACATCTGTTTCTCCTCCTTTTTCCTCGAATCTATTTCCTATCTCTCTTTAAAGTGCTGGGTCAGTTCCCATTCCTCCCTCTCTTAAGAGTGCTGGGTCAGTCCCCATTCCTCCCTCTCTTCAAAGTGCTGGGTAAATCCCTATTCTCCACTCTCTTTAAAGTGCTGGGTTGGGTCAATCAATCCCCATTTCCCCAAGCCTTCGTTTCGTTTCGTTCGACCTCTAGTCCTCTAAGACAGCTTTACGTCTAGATTACATCGAAGTCTAGATATATTTTTATTTCTTCCCCCCTTTTTTCCCGAATATTTTCTTCTATATCTCTCTTACTGGGTTATCTCTTTAAAGTGCTGGGTTGGGTCAATCAACCCCCATTTCCCAGGTCTTCATTTTCCTCCCGTTCGACCTCTAGTCTTCCACGAGACAGCTTCGGGCCCAGATCGCATCGTGTCTCAGCCCGTCCGGCAGTAATATACCTTATGTGACGTACATTGCCAATCCATGCCATGGCGTGTTTCGTTTCGTGTGAGCTGGGGGCGGGGGAGGGGCGGGGGGGAATGCCATTGGAAGGGAATACATCGAGGAGTGGTGGCAGAGATAGGTACCTTATGGAGGTACCGAGTACATACAACGTCATCTTTGGCGAGCGACACGCACGTTTCCCCAGAGAGGGAGAGGTTTGGTTATAAAACGCAGAGAAGAGAAGATGGTGCTGTAGTCGTGTGTCTTGTGTCTCAGATGGCCATGTCTAAATCACTGGAGAGCAAAACTGCAGACACACAATAGATGACTTGGCAGAGAGCGTCAAACTTGAATCCTAATTAGTAGTACTAGTATTATAGAAAGCAATGGAGCCTAATTACCTTAGTAGTACTGTAGAAAGCAATGGAGCCCGATTAGTAGTACTGTAGAAAGTAATGGAGCGTGTGGCGCAATGGAGCGTGTGGCGAGAGATAAAAGACAAAGCCAGACTACATACAAGAAAGAGACACTTGTGAACAAACCATTTGTGTCAAATCATGGACTTTTCTTTGTGAGTCTCGTTGTTGGTGCTAGTGTATGAGCTACGTACTAGCAAAATGCCTCCTCCAACTCAGCACGTATCCAGGCGATGCTGGCAGCCCCGGCCCCAAGCTTATCCATAGCAATCAGTATGGGTGTTGCATTGATGGTCGATTGGTCTGCCTCATTGTCTTGTTCTCATGCTCACACACACACACAGCAATTGCAATTCTGTCCCCTGCAGCAAATGATATCTTGTTCCCAACAGCAGATGAATCGCTGACCTGATATCAGGCCTGAGATCGACTTCAAGACTAGCTATGCATGTATGATAGCGTCTAGTTTGGTGGCCTGTAGACATCAATCCACAGGATCCGGTCTGGAGAAATGATGGCATGCTCAGAAGGCGAAGAGCTGTGCCCATTCGGCCTCACGCTTGAATCCCATGTACATGTCCCAGACGGTGCATTTCAAGCCCTGGCTCTTATCCAACTGCGCTCTCGCTCTTGCAATTCGATCGATCGTATTGTGGTGGAATTTGACAGACTTCTCGAAGCCGGCACGCATCTTAAGGACCTGTTCAAGCTCTTCTATCAAAGGAGCCTCGACCGAAGGGGCAAGGTTATGGATGTTGCGCTGGGATTCGAAGTAGTCATAGTAGTCTTGGATGACATCGTTGAAAAGTCGGACTTGGTTGCGAAGTCGGTCAAGCCGGCCGAGATGGATATTGAGTCGAGCTTCGAGTCCTGCTCGGTCTCCTGGGAGGTCGTCGAACGGCTGTGTCTGGGTGGTCTCCGACGATTCACTCTTGGAGCTGTTGTTGCTGTGAGTGGAGCCGACCTTTTTCAGCGTCGACACGATGCTCTTGAGACCGGGGAGCGAATCGGCGCCATCTTGCTCGTTGTTTCCCTTGGAAGACATGGTTGACTTGTTGGCCTGTTCACTTTCCGAGTTGTTGCTGCTGAATCTCTTACGCACTCTGTTTCTCAGAGATCGTGCCTTGATGGATTCTCGTCGACCTTCCCAGTCAAAGTCGAAGTCGTTTGGGTCTTCCTCGTCGGCCGGTGCGGAGAGAGGCTGGGATGAGACACGCCCTAGTAGAGGCTTGGGCTCTGCAGTTGTGTCTAGATTGTCCTGCTGTCCTGCAATGTTGGTGGTTGAATTCACAGGTGAGATTGTGGTGACTTGGTCGTCAAATCGCACTACAGGAGGATTGAGAGGAGACTTCGATTTCGACGCAGGTTCAGGAGTGTTGGAGGCCGAATCTTCGAGCTCGAGTGTCTTGGAGGAATCTGCCTCTGAAGGCTGAACGACAGATGATAGCTCTTCCTCCTAAGTAGAGATCACAGTCGACAGAGTTTCTTCTTCGGGGACAGCAGAGTAAGGTAGAGGATCTGGGAGTGTGAGACGCTCTTGCTCTTGAGTAGGCAATTCAGTGAGGACAGCTGTGGGTTCTTTGAAAGGCACCGCTGTGCTGGTTGAAGATTCACCGTCTGCACAATCAAGGTCTGAAGGTGGAAAGAGAGCCGACTCGTCATGCTGCAAACTTGAAGTGAAGTGAAGAGCCAGTGTAGGCGGTGAACAGGAGGGTGCGGCGAGAAAGAGAGCACGTGCCTGTTCATCAATAGTGTTCAGTTCAGGACTCTTTTGTAGTCTTCTTCGTCGGAAAGAGACACCGCCTCGTTTTCGCGACCTCACTCCGGCTTGTCTCTCCTCCTTGTTTGCTCGTGGCCACACTCTGAAGGCGAACAATCGTTGACATCTGCCGCAGCAAACAACTCCTGCCTTGGACGCCATGTCGAGTAAGAGTACAAGCAGGCTTTATGATATACAGGCACCAGAATATGGTCCCCGCAAAGAATTCCAAGATCCAAGATGAAGTAACAAAGGTTCGAGAATGAGATCCGCACTGTTATTCAAATCATTTCCTGTGTTGTCCGTGGGTACGGGCAGAATCTCCCTCCATATCTCAGGAAGGCAAGACGCCGTCCGCACAATGGACAAAGGACACGAGGCGCTTTCGCTCCAGGTGACCACTTGATATCGAAAGAACGTCTTCTTCCACCTTAGGTTTGATAGGCTAAAGCGGGCAGATGTCCAGATGTCTAGGTAAGGCCACTTTGCTCCCTGCCTGTGATCCTGCCGATGTAAGTCCCTGCAACCATTAGTTGAATTTCCAGCATATATCATAAGTTTTGACTTACATCCTGAAGTTGGAGAAGTTGGATGAAACTTCGACCGGCAGCAAAGTCTTCTGACAATACAATCGATCCAGCACTGACTCCAGAGAACAAAGAAGACCCATTTCCAACTCCAGACACCTCGAAGAACCCAGTCCCAACTCAAGGCACTAACGGACGCCCTCCTTTCATGGGAAGATGCGTATGAAAAATGAGGAGTAGTTTTAAACCTCCTATCTGGAAAGTCCATCTGCCGACGCCCGAGCAGAAATCTTCCATTGTTTCAAGGCCAGCCTTTCAATAATACTCTCCGCGGTCGAATGGAAGAGCAGACACACTCAGCCAAGGCTTCTCGAATACATTTCAAGCATTCTGGATGTGTGTCGAATTTCCCAGCCTTTTTGCTGAAGGAGGCTCAAGCTACCAGTCACCCACATACGATAACCAGCACCGTCAGCATCAAACTCGTACTTATGGCGCCCGGCATGTATGAGAGCACCAACGATGTGGGACAATTGGAGTCCTTGTTGAGTGGGGATCACAATGGTTTTCTCGGCATCATCGGAATATAGGGACGCGAGCTCCAAGATGAGAAGGGTTCCTTTGAACCACCGACCCTGATATCGGAGTCTGAAGAGGCATACAGGGCTGACAACGAGATCTCAGGTGACAGCGAGGGTCCCAGGAGTAATGGTAAGGTCGGCGACGGCGAGGTTGTGCGAGCCTAACTCACCTTAGGCTCCTCAGGGGTGAGTTCAAAACAACTTCCCGTGTCTTGGCATATCCAGCTTAGCCGCAGTGCAGTGGTCGAAAGCTGCGCGGCTACCATTGAATCTCTGCCGTCAATCTGCATGGCCACGTCCTTCTTCAGAGGCCATCCATCAGCATCACCAGAGGACCGCCATGCATCTGCACATATCTCGCCGGGAGAGAGGGAAGATCCCCTTATCAGACCTTGTTGCTGCCACGAGTGCTTGACCACGCCCACGACCATGGATTCAGTTCCCCACCTAATAGCTCCGGCTGCCCTGGTGTGAACCTCCCTTTGTTGAACACGGAGATCCTCACTCAGACTCGAAGAGCGACTTCAGAGGCGACAATGGGCAGGGACATAGCTCCAACCCCATACAATGGCCCACACGTTTTCATCAACAGTACCGCTGATAAGTTAAACAAAAGTCGCGATGAGATCTTCACCATATCTTCCCATGTGTCAAAGACACATCGCAAATGGGTGAAGGATGAAAGGCTGAAGCGTCTGAATGCTTCTGCGGGCAAGGCTGTGGCACAAAGGAATATAGTTGCTGCAGCTCCAACGCCCCAGACAGTCGGACCCCGGCCAATTGCGTCCCTGTACCATCCTGCTGTATCAACATCAACCGATGCTAGTCGACGGCAATGGCCACTATCCCAAGAACAGGCGTGGCCGCCCCTTCCGGGTGCGCGTTCCGATGCTAACTCAAGTAGCGAGATTGTCCGATACTCCAGGGCCTTGCTGAGTGGCGAGAGAAGCCAAGAAAATGCTGACCAAGAACGAACGAGAGCGTGGGAAGAGTATCGTTATTGGGCGCTTGAACAGCCCTCTTTGACCCTTTGGAAGGGCAATTCTGACCCCTTTCAAAGCGCCGCTGTTGGATTAGTGGCTCGAGATTACGAGATCATTCGCCAGGCCCAGCGGTTTCCAGTTTTTGCAGCTTGGCCGGACAAAGCAAGCGCCGTCTTCAGGGCACCAATAGCAGATACAGCAAACTCCCATATTGAACTTCAACAAGCCATGAAAGATGAAGGTGAGATCCACGCAATTCTCGCTTCAGGTTACCATGTGACCGCCGGCTCTTCAGGGCCAAACTCCGAAGTGTATCTCGGCCGCGAGCTGGCGCACAAGACTCGAGCAGTGGCACTTCTGCGACAGAAGCTCCTGGACCACGGGTTCTCCGATAGCGTTGCGACTTTAATCCGTCTGCTTATCTCTCTAGACTTTGAGGCAGGTGACTTTACAGCTTCTCTGGTCCATTTGCGTGGCCTCTGGTCTATGTCTTCGTCCCTCCCCGACAGATTGCTCGACACGCAAGAGCTTATCATCGTCAGCGATGTCTGGGTTGGCCTATCATTATTGAAGAAACCAGAAATCCCCCCTTCACGCTATGACCCTGGCAGTCGCCCATTGCAGACGTTCGATGCGGCCCTTCGACTACTGGAGGAGAGCGAGGCGACCCGTTTCAACTGCTACGAGGCCGAGACCAGTTACCGCTCGGATACTGTGCTCAGTACAGAAAGCTTTAGCTTGCTGGATGCTGCCAACGAAGTTGTGAATACCAAAGCCATCATGGATCAGGTCAACGAAGCCACTATACAACAAGACGTGGTCTGGTGGATGCACAGACGGGCTACGGCTGTTTCAGGTTTACTAATCTCCGGATATGTTGATGCGATCAGGTCCAGTGGCTCTGCAATATGTTCAGACAATTTGAACGTCAGGAAGGAGTTGGATGCTGCCGCATGTTTGTGTGGAATTTTGTTTATGAATTTTAGGTTCATGGACTCCCCCAACAACTATAACTTTAGCAAGACATTTCAGATGATCGAGCCGATCTTACGAAGAGTTTCGCAAGATTCCGGGGAAGGCGTCCAACAGGAACAAGACGACGTTTTCCTGTGGTTACTGTTCATGTGCGCCATGGGCAGTGATGTCTATGCAGCAAGAGGAGACATCCCCTACTCTGTTTGGCCTGCCCGAGAGTTCCGCCGTGTGTGTGCGCGACGAAAAGTCACAGATGAAGCTTCCATTATAACCCTCTTCCGCCAATTTGAATACTATCCTCAGATGGACGACTTTGTCAAGGAGCTTCTGTCGGATACAGTCGAGTTGCTGGATATGCCTATCATGCCATGGTCGAAGTGGTGCGAAATTCTTGACCATTACGTCCCTTGAATGAAGCAGCCCGACACAGCTCGAGATATCTATCTATCATTGGTCTTACAGAGGTGACCGCTTTCCTAGCATGGCTCTGGAAGCATTTCATTTTGCAGGAGTTCCCATCAGTATGCCAATACTTGATGGCCATCTCCGACACCAAACATATCCATCAATATCAGGCTAGAGCTCCGAACAATTCCCAGGGCGAGGCAATTCCTAGAATCAAACCCTGATAACTTCCCACACATGGCCACCCCTTAATCCCTTACTCCATTCTCCTTCTTATACCACAGCCGAGAGTTTCTCCAAACTGACTAGGTACAAAATATAGCGTCCCCCTGGCTTCGGATGAACAGCGAAACGCCCATGGCTCCCATGTCTTTCAACCGAGTATATAGTGCTTTGCCAGAGAAACCTAGAAAACTGCCAGACACTGAATTCCAAAAGCCTCAGTGAGCCAGCCGCCATCCCTTAACCTGCACGTCCCGCGTATTTGGTTGTGATTTAAAGAAGGTTAATTCTGTACAAGGCTCGGAGGGTCTGGAATCGAGGTCATCCGCGATTGTTTCAGGGGTGTGTTGGCCGTGTACTCCGTATTCGTGTCCGTATCTGTCGACGGCCGAATCATCGGGATCTAGCGGTCCGGGGTGAATGTCAGTGGAGTGGAAGGTTCGATGTGTGGATGGGTGGATGACTGGTCGCTTTTTTCTGTCTTCCATACATCGGTCAAGATACCATTACCGACGAAGATGAGAGGTTCAGAGTTTATCTGGTTGAGCATGGCTACGACGTGTCTACTCTAGGTACGAAGAAAAATCACGAGGAGAAGAACGTGGAAGGCCTAGTCGGATTCGAAACAGGCAAGGAGGCTGAAGCAGCTTCCCGTGTATAAAATTGCTGGGGTGGCTATCCGTGTCAACTTAGTGCTCGGAGTGCACGGATGAAGCCAGATGAGACCGATATCTGGTCCTGAGTCTGGATGAGTGATAGGAGAGAAAGCAGTTGTTGGATCATGACGACACCATTCGTTCTCTATATACTGACGCCGTCTTCTCCCTTTTTTCTCCTGGATGCGACTTTATCGACGTTCGAAGACTGCTGCCGCTGATCCTCACGCGAAGCCTACCCACTTAATCGAACAACTATAAATCACAACACCGCCCCCTTGGGGAGCTACATTGAGAAAGCCTACTACGGGGATTCCAACCCATTCAACGAAGCCATCTTCGATCAGGGAATCACTCACCGCCCGCCGCAGCTGGAGAGCGACCGCACAAATCGAATTCTTCTATATCCTGGCTCGTTCAATCCCCCTCACGTTGGGCACTGGGCGCTTCTCGACCACGCGTTGGCGAGTAGCCAAGACATCAACATTATTGCTGCAATAATCCTGCCACTGGATGATGACAGGGTAATAGAGAAATGCGAGGCCCTGGGCCAGAGCCTGGCATTCAGCAAGGAGCAGCGAGTTCAAATTTGGCGAGGATATGGACCGCATGACAAATACTGGGCGTATGGTGGCAGCGAGGGGGAATGGCCTTCATTCCGCCATCGCCTAAATGAGGACTGCGCTCGGGATGGATTCGAAGTGAAGTTCATCGTGTTGGCGGGCCCAGACCAAGTGAGCCAGGATGACGTTTCGTGGAACCCACGGGATTGTGAAGAGATCCTAGTCAGCGATGTTTCCCGTTCTGCGGACTTCACGACCTCAGAAGGTACATTAGAACAGTTCGAGGAATGTGATCCCTGGGAACCTGTTTTCTGGAACGAGGAAGCAGCAACACGACATGCCACGAGCAGTGCAGCATTTCTAGGAGGTGGATATGCTCTCCTTGCCCCGGCTTTGCTGCATGAAAAACTGGAAAAAGGCTAGTGATCCCGTGAGCTTCCAAAACTCATGTTGTACTAATTGATCTCTTAGATCCTAGGTACTTTGAGCACTTGATGGAAACCCTTCGCTCCGATGACATGAGCAAGACCGAGAGCGTGAGCATTTGCTACCGCAAAGCTGTCCCCACCCACAGCATCCGCTTTATTCCTGCTCAGGGCGAGATAGTGCACATCAGTTCTACACTCATTCGGACCATCATTGAGGAGTGTGAACCGGCGAGACTGGAGGAAGAGCTAAAAGACATAGCTCTGCATCCCGAGATCTTGGTCGAATTTGTCAGGGCTCAAGTTCCCCGCCATGGGGGATGTCTCCGGGCATCCATTTCGACACCCATTTCGTACCGCACCCATGCGGATTGAGACGGTATTCTGTGAACGAAGATCAAGGTGCAGAGAGTGTAGGTAATACCTCAGATACTGTGACACTGTCGCTGTTCGGATTTCAGTTTCTAGCCAACTGGTTCGCGATTTCGTACCTTCCGCGCCCAAAGATCTTTTTTACAGACGTTGCGAACTTCGTTGTCATGTATGGCGAGGTGAGCACGATATATCTGATTATATCTAGGTACGGAGTACGCCGTGTCTACCTAATTATAGTTAGGTATGTGGGTATACACTAGCTCCTACTAGGGTATTTTACATCTCGCTTCGACTGCCAAACTTTTTGCCTACGTTATAGATCTAAGACCCCAATTTTAAGCTTGAATCGACCAACGAACGGGGTTGTAGCTCAGCGGTAGAGCGTATGCTTTGCATCCGACTGCAAGCATGCATAAGGCCCTGGGTTCGAGACCCAGCAACTCCATTCTTTTTTGCCTTTCTCATTTGAGAGGTATTCATTATTTTTGGTGGGCGAAGCTGTATTATATGAAAGCTGCTTTGATGGAGAGTACTAGGTGCCTACCTACTTGTTGAAGGTATGGGCGCGAAGATTGAAAACTCGGCGAGCATCACGTGTAGACCCGCTGAATTTCTGCAGCGGCCAGTGCGTTTATCCGATAATTAGTTTTGGCCAGAGCCTGCGCAAGCCTGCAGGAACAATTAATTCATTGATTTCATATTTGATTTCATATTTTGCCCGACTTCGATCCCATTCTCCCTCCCACTCTCTTAGGTTGTACTTCTCGGCTCTATATCACACCCTTCCTGCACTACTCAAGTCGATCGCCGGCAAAGAACCATGAACGGTGCCAACCAAGGCCCGACTGTGGCCGACCTGGCTGCCATGTCCACCGAGGAAAGAATGACGGGCATGGAACATTCAGAAGTTCGCTACTTCACAAGGTCAGCATGGCGACGTCCGAGGCGATTACAAGTACTGACTCCGAGACAGCTATGACCACCACGGTATCCATGAGGAAATGCTGGTAAGGGCAGACAGTGCATCTTTAGAGGAAGCCGATCTAAACCAAATTCTAGAAAGATGAAGTCCGCACTCGATCGTACCGAGATGCCATCTATCAGAACCAGCACCTCTTCAAAGACAAGGTTGTGCTTGATGTCGGCTGTGGCACGGGCATCCTCAGCATGTAGGAGCCTCCTTCTCAAAACAAGATATATCCATGCTGACCTTGATAGGTTTGCAGCACGAGCCGGCGCAAGGCATGTGATCGGAGTCGACATGTCCAGCATCATCAACAAGGCTAAAGAGATAGTTGAGGTGAACGGGCTGTCAAAAAAGATCACACTACTACAAGGAAAGATGGAAGAAGTCGAGATCCCACCACAATGCTTGTCAAACGGGAAGGTCGACATCATCATCTCGGAGTGGATGGGTTATTTCCTCCTCTATGAAAGCATGCTTGACACTGTCCTCTACGCCCGTGACCGCTACCTGAACCAAGGTGGCAAGATCTTTCCGGACAAGGCAACGATATACATGGCAGGGATCGAAGACGGAGACTACAAGGAAGACAAGATCGGATGTGAGTTGACCGAGAAACTACTCAGCTGCTCAACGACAGGCTAACCCTTCTAGTCTGGGATAACGTGTATGGCTTCGACTACTCTCCGATGAAGCACAGTGCATTGAGCGAGCCACTGGTCGACACGGTGGAAATGAAGGCCCTGGTCACCGACCCATGCCCGGTCTTCACCATCGATCTGAACACGGTCACGACGGCGCAGTTGGCGTTTTCCGAGCCTTTTGAATTGCGGGTGCAGAGAAACGACTTCGTTCATGCACTCATTGCCTGGTTCGATATCGATTTCACAGCATGCCACAAACCCATCCGATTCTCGACGGGGCCTCACACCAAGTACACGCATTGGAAGCAGACCGTCTTCTATCTTCGGGAAGTCCTGACCGTCGAGGAAGGCGAGGCTGTCCGAGGCTACCTCTCCAACAAGCCCAACAGCAAGAACAAGCGCGATCTCGACATCAAGATCGACTACGAGTTGGAAACGTCGGATGCGACACGATTTGCTCGTGGATCATGCGAGTATAGGATGTAAGCCATCTCTTTCCTGCTTCCTCTTTCTGATCTCGTCGCTCATCATCTTCACTAGGTGCTGACCGGCCTGCTTTTACGACATGTTTGCTGCGTTTTTTTTGTTAGATGTGCTCATCATCATTGCTGTTGCGGGCGTGCAAGACATCAGGCGGCGCCCCTGCGGTAACACAATGCCTTCCAAGCTGCTGCTTGTTCCACGGGGCAGGATGTAATTCCAAAAGCATTCGGGAGAGGAGAGTTGGGCTATTTTAATGACCGAAAACATCTCCGGGACGATTTCAAGCGCCTCGTTATTTGCCTTAGATACCCCACGAGCTGACGCTGATCTTGATAATGGAATCATTATGGACACATCCTACCAGTACCAGTGCCGGTGCCAGCACCTCCTCAGTCCTGGCTTCAAGCCGCCCGCGTTTCTGTGCATACATCTACATGTATCTTAGGTAGCCGCGGTTAAGCCGGCAATACAGTGGCACGTAGCTGGGGATTTTCAGTTTGTGGGCGGTAGGTGGGCGGTGTTATCACGGTATAGGCTCCCAGAGCCGAACCTCGGCATCCACCCCCCGCATCGCACTCTCCGTACTCTACTGTATTTCCTCCGTCCCCGGTCTGCCGTTTCAACTTCTCTCGTTGCAGGACGAGTGCTGAGCGTGTCTATCTACTATACTATACTACACTCTTGCGATCCGCAGCTTCGTGCCCTTCATACAGCACTACATCAGGACAGCACTGCAGACCGAGAAGCAACATGTCTGGCCCGGGCGTTGGTCACGAGTATCCCCCGCAAGAAGTGTCATGGCTCAAGCGGGATGTGCTGCTGTTCGCAGTCAGCATTGGAGCCACGGTGGACGAACTACACTTTCTTTACGTGAGCAGCCGCCTGGACTGAATGTCTTTTTGACCCTGTTGCCCGTGTCTTGACCTGACCGAGTGCTGCTTTCTAGGAACTCCATCCTAACTTTGCCGTCTTTCCCACATACTCGGTCATCCTTCGTTAGTTGTCCCTCGGCGGCCTGCATGGGTCTCCAAAAAAAGAAAGAGGAAGAAGCCGGCCAGACTAACGGGATCCACAGCGTTCAAGAAGACGACACAAGAAGTCATCGACTTCTACGCCTCGCAGGAGAACAACCCGATCCCAGGCATACCCAAGCTCGATCCGAGGCGCGTCGTGGACGGTCAGCGCCTGCTCCAGTTCTTTAAGCCTCTGCCGCCGACTTCGGAGGGCCGCAAATTCGAGCTGCGGTCTAAGGTGCTAGGGGTGTACGACAAAGGCAAGCCCGGCACGGTGGTGGAAACAGAACAGACCATCGTGGACAAAGAGACGGGCGAAGTCTACACGCGGGCGGTGGGTAGCGGGTTCTTCGTCGGGCAAGGAGGATGGGGTGGCCCCAAAGGTCCTGCGACAGTGAACTATCCTCCTCCTAAGGGTCGAGAAAGTAATCCAGACAAGGTCATCGAGACTCAAGTGACAAATGAGAGCGCACATCTGTACCGGTAAGCAGCCAGCCATTTCTGGCGTTTTGCCTTTGCCCACGGCCACCAACCGCTAATCGGGGGAAATGACACAGACTCAACGGCGACTATAATCCTCTCCATGCGACGCCGGAACCTGGTTCTAAGATGGGGTTTGGAGGGGCAATCATGCACGGCCTGTTCACCTGGAACACAGCGGCGCATATCCTGTTGAAAGAGATAGGTGGAAGCGATCCGGCCAATCTGAAGGAATTCCAGGCCCGATTCGCCGCCCCGGTCAAGCCGGGTCAGAAGCTGACCACCAAGATCTGGAGAACCGGAGAGATCAAGGATGGTTGGGAGGAGATCAGATTCGTCGTCGAGGTCAATGGCAAGGTCGTTCTGAGCAATGGTCGAGCATTGATGAAAGTCGTCGGGAGCAAGAGCAAGCTGTGAGTGTTCGATAGGTCTTGGAGACAAGTGTCAAGGTCCGAAACAATGATATACTGCCCTCTTTGGAACTGTGGCGTAGGTCTGCATCGCCCAGCTCTACCTGACATGTCTGCATGAAGGGACTCTCTTGACAAGAAGGACGTTCTCTTTGTGAGTTAGCCAAGCATGGCCACGAAAATCGGCGCGGATAATAAGGCTCCGGTCTATCATGCCTCCCATGGTAAGGAGTCATGGCAGATGATGCCCTTCGAAATAGAAGAGCTTTAGAGCGTTGGCCCACGAGCGTAGCCTCGCCCGATGAACAACCCAGACCGTACCGAAGAGATGCAGCGGCCATCCCCAGAGCCATTTCTGGCCTTGCATAAGCATACAGTCAGATTGTACTTGCTGCTACGAGAATAATGTCTCAAAGTACGACGACTCTTAGCGTTATGATTCAGTATGTTTAACACATTGACTCGGGCTCGGTCGAGCCTGATGCGAAGTGTAGGGTCGGGAATACGGCGGGACGAGGAGACACTTGCCGGATGTCAACGGCGACGTCGTGCTTGGAAGTCCGGAGTAGAATAATTTGTGCTGTTCAGCTAAGTCAGGAGGAGGCTGTCATCCATCTGTCGCTCTGCCACACTATGTGCGGGCGAAAGAGGCACGGACGGTGGACTTCCGACACGTCCAGCGCAGTTTTCCGTGTAGCAGGCGGCCCAATTTCTGGTACTTGCATGACATAGTGCCGATGATGCATAAATACCTTAACATCGGAGCAACGAATCCTTGTGCCCAGGTGGCAGAGGAGAGAAAGCCATCATGCACCGATTAAGGTGTGATTGTGATTGTGATTGTGATGGTATAGAACCGGTCGAGATCGATCATTCTCGTACTCGCTAAATAGATCCAAGATGGGTGTTGAGCCGAAAGTGGGCTGAGACGTGGCGTCAAGGGCGTCGTAAGTTGCGCAACCACGTCGGGCTACACGAAGGGATAGGCGAGGGGGGCGGTTGGCGTGCTTGATGACATGAGGTTGACACACCGTCAACAGCCATCACGGACAACACACAAGCAGACTGACACAGAGACAGACAGAGGCACCTGGCACCCTGCCCACCTTGGTCGACCAGTGTCTCTCGTGTCGCTCTCTCCTTGCATGAGCAAATCGGCCACTCGAAGGGGGTTTGGCTGCGGTGTTCTAGGCGGCACACGTGATCCCCGTGTAATCGTGCATACGCCACCATATACGTAGCACTCTCTGATTGAAATCTCGCCTGCGTTGCGGGAAGAGCTACGCAGTCCCCTCTACTCATACCAGGAACACACGTTGTGGGTGTTAATCCAATCCAGCCCTCCTCCGTTCTTTGCCTCTCATTTCTGGAAATATCCAGGGGCTGGGCTGTTCTTATCTGACCCTCTTTCCGCAGGCAAAGAGCACGGGTGTGGACCTCGGGAGCTGGCTAACACCTCAACTAACGCAGGAACCCGGAAGAAAGCGCCATCTAGCTGCGGGCCCGGGTGATGTTACCAACGGTATCCCTCCCTTACGGACGACTCCTTCGCCGCACGCTGCAAGGGAGAACCTCGAGCGAGCTGTCAACAGGGCTTGTCAATCTGTCAGCTCGAGTCTGACATCCGTGACTCAGGATTCGCGAGGGTTTCTCCCCGTTTTCCAGGGGTTGGCTGTGTGCTCTAGTCGAGCAAGGTCGCGCAAAAGATTCTCCACGAATCCTCAGGGGCTGGACGATCGACTGTTGGCTCTGGTCGATCTGTATCAGCGCAACGGAGACTGTGGACTACAGCTCCATCGAGAGCAGCAAGGCATGACGACTCAGTGAGGTGGTGAAGAGAACGATGGTCCTACCAAGGTCCCATCCCGATGATCGAAGTGATAATGTCTCCAATGGCAGTGGGCCAGCTACCGGTCTCTTCGAGCCTCCGCGATGCTTGTTTGGATCTGTCCCACGGGAAACGTGAGGAGCCTGCAATCATAGGTCCAGGGTCTCGATTTAAGTACATCAACGGCTGCGATGGGCCGGTATGGACGAGATAACTATGATAACAATCCTCCGGACGCGGGCGGATAATAATATACCTTGAATCCGCCGGCCTCAAACGCTGCTGTTGGACGCGGTTTCGCGAGTCGCGACGCTGAGGGGCAGCCCTGGTCAAAGACAGACAAACCCACCTGCGAGATCAGACTGCAATCTCCGCAACAGGACGGGCGTCGATTCTGACCACACTAACAGAACACTCGCGTCTCCCTCTGTTGTGATGGATCCAGGTACCAGCTCCAGAGGGCTATCGCCCCTTCGTACCCACCCTCCTTGCCACACCAATCGATACAGTGCGAACCCCTACCCTCGCATCCACCACCCACTCAGAATGTCCCTCTTTACTCCTCATCGGGCGAGGCTGGAATCTTAGCTGGAATGCCGCCTAGAGGATAGACGCTTCTGAAGTAAAGGGGACCCGTCACCACCGGGCTGTTGGACGAAGCCCGGGTTCGATATAACACATTTCCGATCCCACCGTGGCATGTGGCTTCTCTTCTCCCCCCCAGCACCCGGTGTTCGTGTCGAAGTTCCAACCCTGACTCTTCTCCCGCGAGAAGGACGACGACAGTCAGTACAACATGCCTCTTCCGGTCTTCGAGAAGTTTTCCGCCCCGGCGAGGATCCAGCGGTTGAGTGTGTTCGCCATCATCACCATTTTACTCTTCGTGTTCTTCCAGGGCTCCTTCTTCCCGGATGTCTCAGTACCGAGCTTACATAGGGATTCCGTATGCAGGTACATGCCCATGTTATGGAACAAATTGACTGATTTCTTGATAGCATGATACGGCACGGTCGGAATATTACCTGCAATGGGGCCCCTTCGAACCCATGAACATCCCTGGCTTCGTCAACACAGGCCTACCCGGCAAGAGATCCTGTGACACGCTCAAATACAACTCGAGCGTAGGCGTGCAGAAGAGCTTCTTCCTCACGGACGACATCAAGCAGATCGCCATGACTCTCGATTCGCACCCGATAGTAGACTATCCTGACGACATGATGAACGACCCGACCCTGAAAGTGTCGGACATTGTCGAGCGAACCTGGGCACGACTGTCGGGGTCGAGTGTGTGGCTGCCCGAACACAACGTGTACTTGTCTGTCACTCGAGTCATCTTCTGCCCGAGTCGGACGCGGTCGGTGCCCAAGATGAGTTTCCTGCGAGGCCAGCTGTTCAACGCAGACTGGGAGCACCTGGACAACTACAACCTGACCTGGGGCGGCAAGGAATTCAATTTCCCCCTAGTCTTCGACATCCCCGTCAACTGGGACCCAGATGGCAGCTTGTACGGGCCCGAAGACCCAAGAATCATCCTCGAGGACAACGTGGAAGGTGCCGAGCCTGTCATCATCTTCAACATGATAGGCAAACCGTCGGACTGGAAGCGCGCAATGTACATCTTCCGCCCCTTCAGCAACTACTCGACCCTCCTGACCGTCCGAAACACCGAACGACAGTGGACCGAGAAGAACTGGGCGCCTTTCTTCGTCCCGCAGTACGAACAGGCCACTCCAAGCAGGGTCCATCTGCCTGGGCACGCGGGCCAGCCTGCACGGGTTGCGAACGAGTACATCCATTTCGTCTACAGCTTCAAGCCGCTGCGGATCTTAAAGTGCCATCTGCGATGCGGAGACTGCGAGTTCGCCTACGAACAGAGCGTGCCCGAAGGCTTCTTGACCCAACATCACGAAGATGGCGGCAGTTTGCGTGGGGGAACTAACTTTGTACCGGTACCTCTTCCTGCTAGCATGCATGTCGACCCGAAGGTCCAGGTATATGCTGCCTTCCCTCGCACGAACATTGAGAGACACTGTGATGGAAGCTTCTATCGACCGGAATTCGTGGTCATGATCAAGATTGAAGACCAGTTCCATCTCGCCTTCGCCAGCGAGTCACTAGACTTTGGGAACGCCATCATCGAGCTGGGCCCCGATGACGATCGATGCGGCAAGGGTCGCATTCTCATTCCCAACAGCGTGGCTCAGTGGGATACCAACGACGGCCAGGACGTCATGAGTGTCACCTTCAGTGTCAACGACGAGACCGTCCAGGTCGCTCGTGTACAGGGCCTGCTCACTTTCGTGCGCAATCTGCCACAGTTCAAGAATTTGTTGAAGCAAGGCGGCCCGCTCAAGGACGACAATTCAGAACTGATGAACATGCTGTCCTCGTGGGTGGGCGACGATGTCCGAGGCTGCCTGGTTGAGGCTGCCCTCAACTATACCGAGGCACAGCAGGAGATCACGCATCCCAAAGAACACAAGGACGAGATCGATGAGACCAAAGAATTGTTGTACAAGATCCACCAAGAAGAGACAGCTGAAGAATCGCCGGCAGCTGATACGGTCCCTCCAGAGCAGGGCACTGAGGGAGACGAAGAAAAGGACATTCTTGACCCCATCCATATTGGCGAAGTCGAGGGCATCCCTGACCTGGAGCAACCTGCCGATGATCAGGGTGACTATGTAGGCGACGACGAAGAAAAGGGAGAGAAGAAGAATGTGGACGACAAGCCTAAGGACAAAGACACAAATAAAAAGGGCAAAACCACTCTCAAGTCTAAAGTCATACTCGAGGAAGCCGATTTCACTGAAGATGACAGCATCGAGAAGAAGGACGACAATGACAGTGGAGATGACAAGGAGAAGGAGAAGGAGAATGAGAAGGACGCCAAGGACAAGGAGAAGGAGCCCAAACGTGACAACAGCACCGACGAGACCAAGAGAGACGAACATGAGGCCCCTTCGAGACGACATCTACATCTCCACCAACACCATCACCGCGCATTAAGCTCTTGAACGGGTGGACGCGCCAGCAACCGCGGTTGAATGATTCCACGCTTCAACGAGCCGTTGGCGGCACCAACCTAGGCTACGCCGTGCCATGCCATGCGAGGGACAGCTCCGGCATCACCAGGGAACCGCCCAAACTTGATCACAGCCGACTAAGCGCGGCTTGCAAAGTCAAATCCTGTCTGGGTCGCCCACCACAGAGGCTGGGTAATTGGTGTCCCTGCCCTAGGTCGGCAAACGGGCACTGTTTCCTCAGCGAGGAGACGAGAAGCCTCGATACCGCCGAATACTGTTTGCCATTCATCCAGTCACCCTTTTTTTCTCTCTTGAGATCTGTTTTTGAGCGTCTCATGTGGCCACAGCCTATTTTTTCTGTATTTTAACGAAGACCCTTTGTCACGAAACTAGAGAGGAACGAAACTTTGTTTTGTCGTGGGAGGAGCGAGAGAAGAACGAACGACACTTCGGCAGTGGATACATTCAACGGAGATTCAAGAAAGACCGCGGAGACCAGAACCAGAACCAGAGGCAGAGGCGTTTTATTTTATCAATAGAGGATTCGGCTCAGGGGAAGGGGAATGTCTTTGATTCATCTGGCGTTATTGAGTCCTGGAGGAAGAAGAATTCTCCCACTTTGATGCGGGCCGGCGTTCTTTTCTACCTTCTTGATACCTCGATCACACAGTCAGTGTGTAGCGACTATTTGATTTGTTCTTTGGTGAGGAAGAAAGCGATAGAAGAGAGACAGAGAGGCTGTACAGAATGACAGGCAAATTCGATCTTGAAATCAGGATCATGGTTCTATCAAGTCTATCATAGTTTTTTCACCCTATGGTAATACTGTAGGGCCACTCGAAGCCGCCAGCCTGCGCTGCATCCAACGAGTTCGAGCAAATTGCCCACATCACGGTGCTGTTCATGCCGCTGCACCCTCTATCAACTCTACTTCTCTGGGCCCGAAATCTGCTGCTCTTGAGCCAGTTGTGACGCAAAGATGTCGATGTGTACTTTGCCCCGGATTTCTTCACCCAATCTATCAACAGAAGAAGGGTTCATGAATGCCCATTGTGTCGCTTTCGCCCCAGTCGATGGGACATGCATGACGAAGTCCTCGGTGATCTTTTTCTGCACTGCTTCCTTCTTGATTCTATGCACTTTGTTGACACCAGTGCAGATATGTCCCTTAACCACGTCCGTCGTTCCCATATAAAGGGACTCAAATTTCGCGGGCGGCCCTGATTGTCTCTTGCAACACCAAACGTATTCTTTCCAATCTGGAGAGAAGCAAAGATCGGTCACGCTCAGGGAGTTGACGAATGAGAGCGGTATCTGGATTCGAATCAACAAAGTCTCCGAGTTAGGAGATCTTCTTGCTGCCCATTTCCTATACTCTTCAGCCACCTCTTTCTCCGGGGTGAAATACCAAGCCATATGGCGCGAGTTGAAGTCCCCACCTGGATATGAGGAGATAACGTGCATGTCTATCTCTCCATCATCCTCGATAAATTGTCCGGCCACCGACATCTGGTCAGCCACTCTCATCTCTTGAGCCGCCTTTCCTTTATACAGGACAACATGGTCAGGCAACACAGGACCTTCTTCAGCGATGGCGATGAATGCTGTCGGTAGAAGATGGTCTTCGGGGGTCACATTGACGGTGGCCGTAACCTCGGGAACCGTGGGTGCGGCTGGCTGGAAGATGTCGTGCACACTACCTCGCTTCGCATGGTTCTTCAGGCGCTGTTGAAGTCGGATCAATGTTGCATAGTTGGTAGCAAGAATATCTCTGACCCAGAAGTGTAGTGTTTGAGTCTCGAATATTGCTTGAAAACGCGGGTCGGTGAGAGCGTCCTGCATGTCCTGCTTGAGGCCGACAACTTCCATGACATCCCTGGCTGAATATTCGGCGTACTGGTTGCTTTTCATCATGAGGATATGTCCCATGACATAGTCAATTAGATCATCGGGGTTTTGATCTGCGTCGGGACGTTGAAGCCATCTCTCATAGATCGTCTTTGCCATGGACGGATTGAATCCGATGAATTCCAGTGCCGATTGACTGTGAGAACTCTCAGGGAGTTCGAAATCCATGGTGGAGTTCGCTCATGAAACCGATTGTCCGAATAGAGGCAGATGAGGATGAGGGTGAACTCGAAACGGTGCCATCTGATACAATTAGTGCTGCTGAAGGACTCTGGGCACAAGGTACTCCGAGCAGGGAAAATCTCTTCCAAGAGCACCCCTTATATATACCTTTGTACCTGAAAGTTGTGAAGGTCCCATCTGAAACCTTAGCGTAATGCGGGGAGTAGGGCGCAGTCTACGTAGTCACTGCCGAGCCTTCAAGTGCCCGAATGAGTCACTGGCATGGCGTTTTATTCAACACCCAACTTCGATACGTGTGATAGTCTCAGGGAAATCTCCGGCTCTACCGAGTAAATATATTTCTCAAGCCCTATCCTATTGTGTCTACGGCCTTGTTTCCCGCCATCTACATCTACTTTGACACCCACCCTGAGCCTCGTGTGCCCAGTCGTCGCCTCGAGATCTACTCCTCTCGAAGCGCGCGGACATCCTGGCAGGTTTAGGAGTTGCCATGGCTGAGCAAGGGCAACAGTTCAGGCATCCTAGAAGGCTGTGCAAGAGCAAGACGGCTTGTTTCAGTCCCTAGGCTGCGGGATGCAGATGAGGGAACGTATCCGGAAGAATGGCCCTGCCAACAGACTCATCGTCTACTGCCTGTCACCACGGCCACCCCTACCGCTGTAGGTTATTGGCCTCGCTGTTCGCCGCTTTTTTGAAGAGGGAATATCTGTCACCGATCATTCAAAGCTTTGGTGGTAGGAACGGCGATTCCTGCGGTATCTCCCGTTTGCCGATTACACCTCCCTATTTCACCTCCCGTCGGCAGCTTCCCCCGCCCCCCGCGTTTCCCAGCTGATTTTCTGCATGGACCAGGTGCTTCACCCGGGATCAAGGGTCCGCGATCCATATTGGCCATGGCAGTTACGTTGCAGCCTGTGAAGTCTTGCCCAGCTCCTCCCTCAAAAGACAAGCTCGTGTAGCACTGCCGCGACCTCCTTCAAATCAAATGGCAGCTGCGACCAATCGCCCGGAGGAAGCCAGGGATGAGGTGGAATAAGTAATGCAGAAGCCGCCCACTTCAGAATCGGCATTCTCTTGTCTGATGCCCTTTTCGCCGACACCGTGCCCCAACATTCAATCATTGTTTCCAAAGCATGTCTTCAAAAGATCCGGGCATTGAGCAGAGGCAGGTTGATCCTGCCGTCCGCAACCAGCCTCTGCAAGGGGCCACAATTGATGAGAAGGCAGCCGCAATGCCTAATGGGAACGCTCATGAAGCGGCTGAAAGAGGCCATGTGGCCACTGACAAGTACGTCGATAGCATTTGCCTAGTTATGTGTCGATTGCTAATACTGGCCTCAGGTATGGTCGACCTATCGTCAGCTTTGATCCCAAAGCCGAGTCAAGGCTGCGCTTGAAAATTGATCTCTATATTGTCCCAACTGTTTCGCTTCTGTATCTGTTCTGCTTCATTGATCGAGCTAATATCGGTGCGTGTGCACTCTCATCGCAGCTCTTTCGGAACACTGTCACTGATAGGTCGCGCACAGGAAATGCGAAACTCGCCGGCTTCGAGAAAGAGCTGCACCTGGCTGGATACGACTACAATATTGTTCTCTCGGTTTTCTACGTGTCGTACATCATCTTCGAACTCCCTGGAAATCTGGCCTGCAAGTACTTTGGCCCTGGCTGGTTCATCCCTGCCGTCTCACTTGGCTTCGGCATCTGCTCCCTAGGCACGGCCTTCGTCCACAACCTCTCGGCAGCTTGTGGTGTACGTTTCCTTCTGGGCATCTTCGAGGCCCCTATGATGCCGGGCATTGCATATTATTTGTCACGATGGTACAGAAGAAGCGAGCTAGCTTTCCGACTCTCACTGTACGTCGTCATGGCTCCTCTTGCCGGCGCCTTTGGCGGTCTGCTGGCCTCCGCCATCCTTAAACTCGACCACTTTGGAGGGCTTCATGCATGGCGCATGATATTTGCCATCGAGGGCATCATTACCTGCGGCCTGTCGGTCATAGCCTTCTTTACCCTGACCGATCGTCCAGCGACCGCCAGATGGCTGACCCAGGAAGAAAAGGACCTTGCCATTGCGCGGGTCAAGTCCGAGAGGGTTGGTACTACCGAAGTCCTCGACAAGCTCGACATTCCTAAGATTCTCCATGGCGCCGTGAGCCCGGTCACTCTTCCCATTGCCTTCATCTTCCTGCTCAACAACATCACGGTCCAAGGTCTTGCCTTTTTTTTGCCCACCATCGTCAAAACCATATATCCCAAGAATTCGGTGGTTTCGCAACAGCTTCACACCGTACCGCCTTACGTGGTTGGAGCCTTCTTCACCGTTCTATTACCCTTTATCTCCTGGCGCCTCGACCGTCGGAGTATTTTCTTCATCATAACAACGCCCATGATGATGGTCGGCTACATTCTGTTCTTGGCTAGTACCAGCCCGCACGTCCGCTATGGTGCAACCTTCCTCATTGCCAGCGGTGCATTCCCGTACGGTGTGCTTTGTAACGCTCAGGTGGCTGCCAACGTTGTATCTGACACGGCACGATCCGCCGCAATCGGCACGAACGTGATGCTGGGCAATATTGGTGGCTTGATCTCGACATGGTCTTTCTTACCCTTTGACGGGCCCAATTATCACATTGGCAATGGCTTGAACTTGGCCACTTCTTCCACCATTTTCATCGGCTCGGTTGTTTTGCATTTCTGGATGTCGGCCGATAACAAGCGCAGAGCGACGAAGGACGTCGACGCAGAGTTGGATGGGTTGTCGGTGAAGCAGGTTCAAGATTTGGATTGGCGCCATCCCGCTTTCAGATGGAAGCCTTGAAGGCAACTGGCGGAAGGCAGAGTATGACTGTGAAACGAAGGGATTAGCAATCAGTGGGTGTTCCCGGAGGACAGGTTAGGGGAGCTCGTTGTGCGATGGTGACAGATCACTCCGTTCATGTCTGCCGTGCCTGTTGTTCTTGGGGACCTGGCCAGCAGAAAGAAACCAATGATATAGTTGTACGTCCTGTGTCTTAACGCATATCACTGTCGAGTTCCCCGATCAACAATTCAACGAGGTAGATCTCGGAGTCATGTGTTCCAACTGCCGCAGCATTCACTTTTCTGCCGGCACCTTCACGCCAGCAACCAATAAGAATTCACAGGGATTAAAAGAGAGGTATATGACATGAAAGTCCGGAAAAGTCCTCAACAATTTCTCATATCTATCCCGGGTCTCGACCCTGGCTTCCTCAAGGGAGCCAGGCTAGTCGGGGCGTGAGGGTGTGGCCACCAGATATGAGGCAGCTTGTTCCTGGGCGAAGCCGTGAATCCTTGAGGCGGACCCCTGACTGGACTGACTCTGAGAAAAGCACTACGCTACACTTTACCGGTGTATACAGTAGTGAGCCTGCAGACGATGGCAGAAGGTGCCTACCGCTTATGGCCTCTCCTCGTGAGGACCTATGGTAGGGGAACAACCTGACGAAACGACCGGAACAAAAAACCATCCAGCTTAGGCTGCGAGGGTTTCTCGGGTTCGAACCTCAATCACACCGGGTGGTTGGGCTTCGAACTTGAGTTTTTGTCTTTTTGGTCGCCGGAGTTTTTGTAGAAGCCAACTCTGTGCGTGTGTGTGTGATTCAAAGCAGTGCTTGGCTTGGCTGGCACACACCACTGTCACTGCACTGCAGTGTGCCATACCTGCAAAGTCTTCCTTGGCTACCATCCATCTCTCGAGGCCATGTGGGAGTTGCTGGAAGAAAGCTCTCAGAGGAGAATGAACCTCGCCTACCTAAGGTGTTTCGGCCGCGAGTCTATCTTGTTGGCGTTGCCTGCTAGACCGCACTCGAGCTCATCAGTCTGATGCCGTGGTATGATACGCGGAATATGCCTGGTACTACTGGAGACCGCTGTATGTAGTTGTCTGTTGGAAATACAGTGGTAAATGTAGAGCTCCCGACGTTCAATGAGATAATGAAACGTAAAGGGGATAAGGACTATGCCTGATCTGGCTTGGAGCTTGTCGGCGCTGAAACGCCCCTATTGTGGCCGACTCCGATTCTCTCTATTGTTCTCCGTCTCTCCCGACGCGTTGCAACATCGCAGTTCACAGCTGGTAGTCATAGACAGTTCGTTCTGTGGCAGCCTTGTCTTCTTTCAATTGCTCAACATGCAGCTCCCGGGCCACAGCCAGCGCAGCATTGTGTGTGCATTCTTGGTGCTTGGCCTTGTGAATTTGTCGCTGGCATCATTGGGCGACCGGCTCCCGGATTTTCGCGAGTGTGTGAAGGTGAGATTCTACCTGGGTCAAGCTACACGGCCCGTGACAGGTCATTGATCGTGATTGCCAGGTCTGCATCGAGGAGAATTGTGATACCGGCCAGGGTACATTGCGTGAGTGTTGTGTGCTTGTCTTGACAGGTCGTTGAAGATGCTGACCCTGGCTTGAGCTCTGCATCTGCGACTGCTGTTCTGGAATTGCCCATCGGAGTGTGACTACACTTGCCAGCATGTCATCACCGACCGACGCAAGGCGCGCGATCCGCCCATGATTGAGCCGGTGGTGCAGTTCCACGGCAAATGGCCGTTCTATCGCTTCTTGGGCATTCAAGAACCCTTTTCCGTGCTCTTCTCGCTGCTGAATTTTCTGGCCCACCGCGAGGGCATGGCCCGGCTCCGCGAGAAGATCCCGGCGCACTACCCTCTTCGACCGTACTACTTGGGATTTGGCTATTTCGGATTGGCAAGCTGGATCTTCAGCATGATCTTCCACACGCGAGACTTCAACGTGACGGAGAAACTGGACTATTTCGCCGCCGGCGCCAGCGTTCTCTACGGGCTGTACTATACTCCCATCCGGGTCTTCCGGCTCGACCAAGACGACCCCGTGAAGAAGAGCATCCTGCGCATCTGGACGGTGCTGTGCGTTCTGCTGTACGTGGCGCATATCACGTACCTCACGGCCTGGAGCTGGGACTATACTTACAACATGGCGGCCAACGTTGTGGTGGGCATCGTGCAGAATATCCTGTGGAGCTGGTTCAGTGTGTCGCGGTATCGCAGGCTGCAGAAGTCATGGGCAGCGTGGCCTGGGATGATTGTTGCTTGGATCATCATGGCCATGAGCCTGGAGCTGTTTGATTTTCCTCCATTGGGCGGCATGATCGATGCCCACAGTCTCTGGCACCTAGGGACGGTGGTCCCCACGATTTGGTGGTACAGGTGAGACAGGACCCCAGCATACTGTGGAGTGACCCTACTGACTGCTCACCATAGCTTTCTCGTCAAGGATGCTCAAGAAGACCTGTCCAGCCAACGATTGAAAGCATGAATTGGCCGATCTTGAATGGAGAGCTGCGCAGCCTGTTGGTTTCTAAAAGCATGTCGCTGGTGTTGATCTGTATATATTGCCATTTGAATAGCTGTAGCTATATGCCAGGCAACCAAGGGACCTAAGCCTTAGACGAAGAACCCCTCATATAGCTGCATGGCTGCAATTGTGAAGGAGCCGTGTGGGCAGCTGCTGTGCCGCCAGCAAGACAGGACAGCACAGCACTGGCAGTGGTAGGCGGCCTCAGGCAGGAAAACATGCCTTACATACGAGCCTTAGGCCTTAGGCGCCCCCAAGCCCCCACATGCCCAGAAATTTAGAGGGTCGCTAGTCAGGCACGCCGCCCGCACCGGAGAATTTCTGCTTCAATCATGGCGCCCCTAACGCCCAGCTGCTGGCATTGCCGCCAGCCGGGGCGCGGGAGCCTCAATCAGCCACCGCGGCTGAGTATGTGCTAATAGTACTAGTACACAGTTCGCAGCTACTAGTCGACGGGCAGGGCAAGTGACCAAACGAAACTCTGCCTCTCCCTCTTACGCATTCGCATTCGTCGTCGCGGATCACGGAATCTGTCACAACTCAGGACGCAGTCAGTCTCACCTCAGACCTCTGACTTGACATATATCTCACCGACCTGCCTCCTTCCGACAGCCTGCTGCTCTGCTCCTGCACGTCTCAGTGCCCGCTGAGCGATTGAGTCAGTCAGAGAGAGCCCAGTGTATGCCCATCATGTCCTTCTCCAATCCTCGAGAATCCGTCTTCAACCAGCCCAAGCCGGTGGTCCATCTGCCTCCAGATCTGCTCGCTGCCGTCACAAAGGGTGCTGAGCCATACCCTATCCCTCCGGGCAAGAAATATCAATATGGCACCGCAGGAGTGAGTCTCGTTGTCTCCCGTACCCCGCCGCATCGTACTGACAGAAAGGTCTACACAGTTCCGCATGAAAGCGTATGTTCCTCCTCCTGCCACAGCAGCCACCACTTCTCGGTCCTACAATGTGAAAGGCGTCCGTTACTGACAAAGAGCTGGAATTAGCAATGCTGGGCTGGACCATGTCATATACACTGTGGGACTCATTGCAGCGGCCCGGTCAAAGAAGCGCAATGCGACAATCGGGGTCATGATCACAGCCAGTCACAACCCCGCCGATGATAATGGAGTCAAGTTGGTAGATCCTATGGTATGTCGCCATCTACATGAAAGATGTTGACACGACGCTGACGATCGGACGCAGGGTGACATGCTCGAGGTACGCTGACGCTGACACTGACGTTCCGTCCCTCTCCCACTTCATCACGTGATTGACCAGGAGTAGCAATCGTGGGAAGGTCTTGCAACCACGTTGGCCAATACGCCCAACGACAAGCTGGCAAAGGCATACGAGGAACTGGTCAATGACACCCTGGTTGACGAGATCCGACAGCTGCACGAGCGGCCCGCCAAGGTCGTGTTTGCCCGTGATACCCGTGCCTCGGGCCCTTACTTGATCACGGCGCTGAAGGCAGCTTTGGACGCTGTCAAGGTCGAATACACCGATTATGGCCTGCTGACCACGCCTCAACTGCACTATATCGTTCGTTGCGTCAACACGCTCAACTCCCCGTATGCCTTTGGCGAGCCCACCGAAAAGGGGTACTACGAAAAGATGGCTACGGCATTCAAGACTGTCATGCATGGACGGGCGATTCAGGGTCCTCTCACAGTGGACTGTGCCAACGGCGTCGGAGCCCCGAAGCTGAAGGAGCTGATCAAGTACCTCCCAAGCGGGAAAGAAGGCGGAATCGACATCAAGGTGGTGAATGATGATGTGGTCCGACCCGAAGCTCTCAACCTTGATGTGAGCCATCAGGAATGTTATAATTAATAGTGAGTGTGCTGACTGGTTCAGTGCGGTGCAGATTATGTCAAAACCAAGCAGCGATCTCCGCCCAGCTCGGCCGCCCAGCCTGGCGACCGGTGCTGTTCTCTTGACGGGGATGCAGACCGTGTAGTCTACTATTACACCGACGAGTCCAAGACATTCCACCTCCTGGATGGGGATCGGATCGCCACCCTTGGAGCTGTATTCCTCGCCGACATGACCCGCGTTGCTGGAATTGACCAGAAACTCAAGATCGGTATTGTTCAAACAGCCTACGCCAACGGAGCAGCCACCGAGTACGTGGAGAAAGTCCTGAAGCTCCCAGTCACCATTACTCCCACCGGGGTCAAACATCTTCACCACGCTGCTGCCCGGTACGACATTGGAGTCTATTTCGAGGCCAATGGCCACGGGACAGTCCTCTTCTCCGACAACGCCATCAAGGTGATCAAGGAGGCGGTGCCCAAATCGCCCGGCCAGAAACATGCCCTTGAATCTCTTCGTGCTTGCATCGACTTGATTAATCAAGCTGTGGGCGATGCCATCTCCGATTTGTTGTTTGCCGAAGTCGTGTTGGCTCACAAGTCATGGACGCCGGAAAACTGGCGCAACACCTACATTGACCTTCCTAACCGTCTAGTGGCCGTCGCGGTGCATGATCGATCCATCTTCAAGGCCACGGACGCAGAGAGGCGGCTCGAGTCCCCCAAGGGTGCGCAGGAAGACATTGACCGCTGCTGCCAGATGTATGTCAAGGGGCGTGCTTTCGCTCGAGCTTCGGGAACGGAAGATGTCGTTCGCGTCTACGCCGAGGCACATTCCAAGACGGAGGCAGAGAAGCTTGCATCCCAGGTGGCCGAAGTAATCAAGAAATACGGGTCTGCCTGAGGCTCAGATTCACATGACGATGAATGATAAACATGGCAGATTGCATCACAAGGTGATATGGGCTTGGGGCTTATGAGGAGTTCTGTCTCTCACATGGATATTGAGGGAGGTGATCAGGTCGGAACCCCAGAATAGGATTGGGACAATATGGCATAGCGACGGGCGTAGGAAAGGGCCGATGCGCACACAGGAATCGACGAGCTAGCAAGGACCAACGCAGGATGTGATACCAGGAATCAAAAGTTGTGTTGCCTCTTTTCCTCTGCCTGGGACATGGCGTACGGATACACAGTAGAAGATCAGAGTCATCCGTGTGGTCCGTGGGAGATATGTGGTGTCAGGTGTGTCATCAAACGATTACTTAAGCGCTTTGACCCGATTGGGACATGGAGTCATCCTCCGGAACTCAAGGCATGGGCCATCTTCCACATCTCTGGCCATCTTGGAGCTAGACGTAGCAAGTTCTCCGTACACGCATGGGCTGATTCATCCCGTCATTCATTCATGTCGCATCGAGGCGTCTCTGCTTATCCCTCTTCTTGACTCGGACAGTGGCTGGGACGGCTGCGCAACGGCTACGGCTACGGTAACAGCAGCAACTGCGCCCAGAGCATGGCTAAAATATTACCAGGGTGGACCTGTGCACGAGAAAGAAGACGGAATACATCTTGAACTGATTCTCCCGTCTAGAACCGAGCTGATGAAAACGCCGACCAATTCTGCAAGCCTCCTGTCCAGCTCCTAGTCGATATCGATTGGATTGCGGACCATGAGGCTCGAGAATATCGTCCTGCCCGGGCGCGACCCTTCGTCTCGTTGGGAGGTGGGCGTGGCAGCGGGCAAAATCACGTCCATCAGACCGTCACCAGACTCGTTCTCGCCTTCAGACCCGGCATCGCTTCTTCTCCCATCGCTCTGCCATCCCCACATCCACCTCGACAAAGCGTACCTCTTAACCGGCAACAGTCAACATCATCCCTCGCGGTCACAGCCCACTAGTAGGTCAGACGAACTTCCGGACTACACCGACTTGACTCCACAGAGCGGCTCTTTCAGCGAAGCCCTCGCGTTCACGTCGCGCGCCAAACAACGCTACACGCCGGCGGATCTACACCTGCGCGGCTCACAGCTGTTGGCCACGTCTTTGCTGCAAGGCGTCACATCATGCCGGGCGTTCGTCGAGCTCGACCACGTCACAGGCGACAAGTGCCTGGAAGTCGCTGTCGCGCTGAAACGGGGATTTAACGACAAACTGAGACTGCAGATCTGCGCGTTTGCACAAGACCCGATTTTCAGCACGGAGCACGCCGAGGAGAATCGACGGATCCTCAATCACGCTCTGCAGCAGTACGAGTCTGAGATCGAGGCTCTTGGTACGACGCCATACGTGGAAGAAACCCCCGAGGCGAGCGAGCGGAATATCCGGTGGGCCATCGAGACGGCGCTCGCATATTCGTTACACCTTGATTTCCACCTCGATTATAACCTGGACAAGGACCGGGCGCCGATGGTCTGGGATGTGCTCCGGCTGCTCAAGCAGGCGAGATGGAACGAGCGGGCGGAGAAAGGCAAGACGATCGTGTTGGGCCACTGCTCGCGATTGACGCTGTGCAGTGATGTCGAATTGGTCGTGCTGGCCAAGGCGATCAGAGACTCGGAGCTGCCAATCCATTTCGTCGGGTTGCCCACCAGCGATCTCTTCATGATGGGTCGTCCGCAGTCTACAGAGGCACGGCCAGAGCCCTCAGGCCTGCAGGCGCAAGACCAGTCTGCACATCGCCCCCGCGGAACACTCCAGGTGCTGGACATGATTCATCGGTTGGGGCTGTCTGCCTGTTTGTCGGTCAACAATGTCGGCAATGCGTTTACGCCGTGGGGTACTGGAGACCCTTTGAGTCTCGCGTCCCTGGGTGTGGGAATCTATCAGGCTGGCACGGACGACGATGCGAGAACACTATTTGAATGTGTCAGTTCGCGGGCAAGACGGGCCTTGGGACTGTCGATCGAGAAGGCCGCTGAGAAGGCCGCACGAGGCCAGGATGTGCAGCAGACTGATATGTCGGTGGTAGAGGCTGATGGCGACACCCTGGATCTCAAAGAAGGCCGGACCGGCCCGTTCCTGCTCATTCGGAACGAAGAGTGGGTTGGATGTCCCGGCCACCTGGGCCTCAAAGTTCCTGCCCGCCAGCGCGTCCGTGTCAGAGACGTGGTGTGGGATCCGCCGGAGATAGTGCTTAGGCAGGTCATCTATTAGCGAGGGTGGAAGCGAGCGACCAGAGAAGACAAATTGAAAGTGATCATCCTAAGAATGAGAAGGTTAGGTCTTCATCTAGGCAGTTGGGGATGAGGTCAAGTCATCATCTAGGCAGCTGGGGATAAGGCAGGGACTACGGCCAAGAGAGAAGAGCTGACAACATCCCAGCCTTAGCCCGATCTTGTGCTCGCCTCCCACCCACCAGCTCAGCTTCACTTCACACCTTCTGTGGCTCAGGCACCGATTGCCACTTCACCTTCACGCCTTCTGGCTCAGGCACCGATTGTACCAGAGAAGGGTACCAGACAAGGGACAGTTAGACCAACCTGACCACGACCACCTGGCATGGCGCCGGTCGACTCCTGACATTCTTCGAGTCAGCCTCAGCCCAGGCTCCCATGGCTACCAACCTACTTGCCGAGGCTACTTGCCAAGGCTGGGTACTACGTACCTAGTAACCTGAACGCAGGCACCGATTGTCACTTCACGCCTTCTGTTCCCCAGCCACCGATTATACCAGACAAGGGCCAGTAGTTAGACCAACCTGACCACCGGCATGGCGCCGGTCGATTCCTGACATTCTGCGAATCAGCCCAGGCTCACATGGCTCCCGTGGCTACCGACCTACTTGCCGAGGGAGGCTGCGTACTACGTACTACTTTAGTAACCTGAATGCAGATTGGCCATAATACCGCAACAATGTTCTTTCATACAGCTAGCTACCTGCTTTAAGTAGCGCCCTAAGGACGGTCAATCACAGCACTACGTGGCATGCAAGTCGTGTCGGGTGGCACTCCAAGTACGGAGTCCTACAGGGCTATTCCACATCGCAGCGCATTTCTCATCTCTCATCTGAGGAACTTTCAGTCCAGTCAAGTCCAGTCCAGTCCAGTCCGTTGGGGAATAGCATTGCATTCCGAGGACTCGAGCGTTGGAGCCTTTGTCTGACGGCGATACTAGCGAAGAGTCCTCATTCCAGTCCGCCAATCATCGTCTCTTGATACCATTACCATCGTCTCTTGATACCATTTCTGCTGCCACTGCCACTGCCCCTTCCCACGGACGTAGTAAGTGTGAGCGTTTCCCGCGCTTCCCTGGCCTTTCAGGCTGAGGCTGAGGCTGAGGCGGAGGTAAGAACTGAGCATTCGAAGCATTGTTTGGGGTGACCTTTCAACATGAGAATGACGACCTTGGTATCTGGCATGGGGAGTCATTTACGATGCAGGTTGAGGCCAAGGCAGAGGTCCTCTAGTCAGGACATGTTATGCAGGAACTCCATCGAGGAAGAAGGCATGGGGCGGACGCGGACGCGGACACAGGCAGGATAACGAGAATCAGACGAGAATCTTGGCTTTATTGTCTAAGAGTATTTCTAAGAGAAGGTCTGGTCGGGCGCTTCCCTGGCTGGCATAGAAGCGTGCCTTGATTTTTCCACAGCTTTCTCGTCTAAGAGAAGGTCTGTTCGGCCGCTTCCCTGGTTGGAATAGAAGCGAGCCTTGATTTCTCACCAGTGGCATGTCTCGTGTGCTTGGCAGTCGTATCCGTATCCTCGGCGGCGAGCTCGTCGGTCGAAGTATCAGATTCGGATTCGGATTCAGATTCGTCTTCCTGGAGCGCTGAGAGGGATGTACGGCCATCGTCTTCGTCTTCCTGGAGCACTGAGAGGGATGTACGGCTATTTCTATTGGTTGATGTGGTAGACGCTGTCCCGCCAGGTGCGCCTCGGGCAGTAGCTACTAGATTTGCGTGGTCAATGAAAGCATCCCGATGGATTTTAGCACGGTCCCGGAGATGGCGGAAACCCCTGGCTCCCTGTCTGAAAGTAGCGATATTGTTGGTCATGGCATATGCACCCAGTTGAGTCATGTGATACTCGGGAGGTTCTCCAGGGGCCTCAGGCGCCGTCAGATGGTGAGCGTAGAGTTGCAGCGTGGCAGTGCTTTGATAGTAGGTGCTGGAGTAGCTGTAGGCGTTGCCATCATACGTGGGTTCTGCCGATAGATAATTCTGCAGACTGTGCATTGCCCGGGCGCCAACCGCCCCGTCATGACAGGCTTGCCGCTTTGCGACGTCAGCACGACCTCCCTCACTCTTTCCCTCGATGAAAAAGTTGGGCACGATAGGCAGAGAGGTGTTGTTGAAGTTGGGCGCGGCCGGCAGAGAGCCGTTGTTGCATGGGACAATGTGCTTTCCGAGATCACGGCGGACACGTCGATCGATTTGTTGCGGCAACGCGCCGTCATACAACTCTGGTTTCGGAGTGGGTAGATCATCGGCCAGGGGCGCCATGTGGTCGAAGAGGCGGTCGGACGCATAGCAATGCTGTTTCCTTCCTTCGCCAGCAATGATGGACATGATCTCAGCCCGTATGCTCGCGTCATCACCTGCTCTTCTGGCCATTTTTTTTAAACTCTCGGTATGCAGCATCGGTAAATCGGGATGGGGAAAGAGATGCCCGAGAAACGCACATGGCATCTTGTAAACTGCCCAGATTTCCTGGTTCAGTGGCCTCGTACCCATTGGCCTCGTACCCCTCAGGGTAGATACCCCGGTCGATCAGGTTGTGAGGAATGGGATAGGGTTGATCAAAAGATTATCACTCGCCATATCGATGACACACCTCAGGCTGCTCGAGTGCAGCATGTAATTACACGAGAAGGTAGTCTTCTCTCATACTAATTAGTACTGTGAATAACTAGAACTTACTGTACTCCGTAATTCTAACAAGTTATTGATGGTTGTTGGTGGTGAAGTGGGTTGGAAACAGCCCGTCACTTCCAATGTCACCCACCCCAAGGCCAAATCTGGGGTCGAATTGGAAGGAAGGTCAGCCGAGAAAGATGCGACAGTCTGCGTAGTTTGTGCTTTGCAAGGCATCAGGTATTATCTGTATCCATCGAAGACTCCAATGACATTCTATACAGCACATGTACCCACGCCCTCAAAAGCGCCGCGTTTTTCCGGAGCGCAGTCTCAAAAAGCATCCAACTTCCAACCGAACGCAAGTGCAATGGGGACCAACAGCCCCAACAGCCGACACGCTACTAGATTGCTGCGAGTGATTCTCCAGTAGCCCTGCGACATGTGTCTGTCTACTCCGTACGCATGCTGCTAACAGTTAGGATGCATTCAACATCAGCCGCACTACCTCCGAACCCAATCAGACGCCGGACCTCCGACCACCAGTACCACCTAACGTGCTTGGACAGTACATACTCTTCCCTTGGCTCTGCCGATGACACTCACGCTGTGGGCTGGAGGGAGCTCTTGGACAGGCGAAGCTCGGTGCTAGACGATGAGGCTGACTCCAGCAATGTCGCACTTGGACGGTAATATTATACAAGAGCGTTCGTGGTCGTTCCAGACTCGACTTCGGCGTTTTCGCTCTATCATCCTCGATGAATTTTCTCCACAGTGCTCTGCCAAAAGGCATCGCTCCCCAAGTCCACGAGATTGGTGGACCGGCAATAGGCATATCTCCCCAATACCACGGTAACCTGGGCTCTATTCCCGAACAGCATCCTACGGGCGAAGGGGCCAACTATAACGGAAGCTCGATCCCATATGAGTTCAAGGTGCCGAAACGCCGCAAAGATGGCGACAAGCCTAAAAAACGGATTTGGGAGACGTCGTTTGAGGAACGGTTTCTCCACCAAGGCTTACGTCTCTTCAAACACAATGACAATGACCACGACCAGGACAAGGACCACCAATTTCGCCCCTCGCCCGTGTTCTACAAAACGGGCGAGAAATTCACCGTCAGCTTTCGCGGTCTGCAGCGGCTGAATCTCCACGCAATGCAGAGAAAACTAGTGGTTCTTGTGGGAACCCTTGCCAATCCAAAATCTGCCGGGCTCCCAGCCCAGCTAGACAAGCTCGAAAGAGCCATGGCAACGTACGGTAAGGGCTGTGTCTGTGTCTGTTTCGGGGGACAAGTCCTCTTTACGTCCCTCCTCACGATGCCATCGATGGAAGGGTTTGTTTTGCAAGTGAAAAGGGGCTAACACCCTCTGTCGGTGTATGTCAGTATCGGCCCTCCGCGACTGGGATTACATGATGCAGCCAAGGCACGTTGATCGATGGGAGGACCCCTGCTTGATCACCTCGGACCGAGTGCTCGATCTATCTTTGATGATCGAGGCTGGGCTCGTCCAGGTCAAAGAATCCAGAGGGGCCAGCGGACCCAAGGACTACGACGATCCCATCTTGCCGGGCGACTCCAAGACCTTTGTCGTCAAACAGCAGGATCTTCAGCTCTTCTTCAAGAGGTTTGTCGCCGCCATCTTCGGCGGCATTGCGCTCCTGGGCCCGGTCATCCTCATGGTCCTCAAACAAGACATGCTCACTACCCTTTTGACCGCGTCCGTGTCGGTCATTCTGTTCGCCTTCGCCTTGGTTTGTTTCTCCGAAGAGTCGGTCGGATCCCTGATCGGTCTGGTTGCTGCTTATACTGCTGTTTTGGTTGTTTTTATTGGAACCAGTACGCCCGGAGTCAGTTGATGGGGGAAGAAGGTTGATGCCAGCCAGGGATTCAATCAAAGCCGGAAGAATACTTGCGCTCTGCTGGATATATGTGGGGGCAACAAGAGGCATAGTCGGCAGAGAAAGAGACGATCGAAGAAGAGAGACACACCTACAGCACGTATCGTAGGTCGAGGCATGGCATGGCATGGCATGGCATGGCGTGGAAAGTCACGACTAGTGAAGCTGATGGCAGGCTCTGGCCCCAGAGACAGGATCTACTACAGCTAGAGAAGTAAACCTCCATATACATCTGTCCAGATTGAATATCGCCTTGCCTTGCTTTGCTGTTAGCTGGTGGTCCCCATTCATGCAGGATCAATATCTCGACATAAATGCGAGATGTAGCTCGACGTGACTTTTCCTTAGCATAGGGTTGGTTTGGTGTTCATTTTTTTTTCTTCTCTTGTTTATTTCAAGACCGCACACTCTGTAGGTGGGGTTCCTGTCTCGTAGGGGTTTATCAACCAGTCGCCGATCGTCGTCTTCTTTCTTCTTTGCAGGATGTCGTAGCCAGACTGACTATTCATTGCCCTTGCTACGTCCCGTTCGTTGCCTTTAGCCGGCAAGCAGGATTCCGCAGTTCGTCAGTGAATCAGCAAGCCAGTCACTCAGCCAATTCGTCAGTCAGTCAGTCCGTCAGTCAGCCAGTCCGTCAGCCAGACAGCTAGACAGCCAGATAGTCAATCAGTCACTCAGTCACTCAGTCCGACTTCCCCCTCCTCTTCTCAGCATCAGCGGCAATCCAAGCCGCCGCTTCATCCTTGACGGCATCGTCCCAACGACTCAACGCACTTCTTCCCTCAATGACATCGCCAGCGGCCCACGCCATACGGGCCTGGTCGAGGGCCTCGTCGACATCGGTGTCCGGACAGATGATGTAGAACTTCCCTTTGCGGATCTTCGCCACGCCATACTCGGCCACCTGGCTGGGCAGCCAGGCGCCGCGGGGCTTCTTGGCGCGAGCCTCGTCGTCCGGCACGGGGCCCTGGTTTCCGCTGAGGCCTGTGAACGTCCAGCCCGGCACGAGCAGATGAACCGAGACGTGTGGCGTCGACGTCCGCAAATCGTGCGCCAACTGCTCCGCCACGCTCTTGACCGCCGCCTTGCTGGCGTTGTACGCCGGATTGCCCGGCGGGTTGGTGATGCCCTGCTTGCTGCCCGTCAGCACCACGGCCGCCGGCCCCCCGGAAGACTGCTGCACCAGCGGCAGGAACGTCGCCAGCCCGTGCACCACGCCGAAGAAATTCGTCGCCAGCGTCTTTTGGAAATACCCCGCGTCCTCCCACGGCGAGCCGGTCGGCCCCGTCGGCTTCGCGCTCATGCCGGCGTTCAGCATGAGGAATTCAATCGTCGCGAACTGTCGGCTCAGGTCGGCCTTGACCCCAGCCCAGGCGGACAGGTCGGATACGTCGAGTTGGTATGTCAGCGTTTGAGGTTGCGCTCCAGCTGTTTGGCCGCTGCCCACCGGCACCGACTGCAGTGCCGCTTTGGCTTTCTCGAGAAGTCCGCCGTTGTTGTCGACCAGCGCCACGTGCATCCCTTGTCGTCGGCAGTGCTGTGCGAATGCGAACCCGACGCCGGACGCCGAGCCTGTGATCAAGGCGAGAGCCCCGGGGCGGAAGACGGATGCCATGGTTGTTGATGGGTTGATATGTACAGAGTATATGTGTAGATATATATATATATGTGTGTGTACTCCGTACATATATATGTAATCTCTAGACTGTCGTCACCATCGTCCTCGCTCCGATTTAGCTACCTCATCCCCCGCCGCTTTACTCCCGCGCTAACGACTGTTTAGTCGATTTGTCATTCTACTCTCTTCTACACCCTTCCTCTCTTTCTAGCCCCTTAGCCCTCTATCCAGTGGTCTCTTCTACTCCCCTTCACCTACGGCCTGCTCTTGCTGCGCTCTCGTTGGGGCTCTAGTTGCACGCACCCAGCCTTATAGTAACTTTGCATCGGAGCCCGTTTCGGCCATAACCAGAGGGATGATCCCTACAAGGATACTCTACCAGTACTAGTTCTCTAGAATAATACTTCTCTTTCCTTCAGTCCACTATCCTCTCTTCCTCTCTCTTGTCGTCCTTATACTCTGACAATACTTTATTTTATTGTTGTCGAATCTGAGGTATTTCGTGCTGTGGGAGGAGCCCAGTGGCACCAACGTCATCTGACGTTTCATCTTGCCCCTGTTTCTCCTCAAGCCCCTTTACATCTTCACCTCGTGCAAGCCTTGTATCCAATTCCACCACACCGCCTAACAGCCGTCCCCGGCCTTGATTTCGGTTTTGCGCAAGTCCTAGCTATGCTATTCGATCATGTGGCCGAAGAAAAACAGGAGAAGAACTTCACGATTTGGGTGCAGGCTCTTCTGCGAAAGTCACCGGAGCATCTGGTCATGCATCTGGCGGCCACACATCGGGCCGGGAGACCGATAGCAGCGTGCCATTGGAAGAATGGGTCTTTCAATATCTGCTACAGAGTCAAGTACGACGACGGATTCCATGCCATCGTTCGATTCGCCGCTCTGGGGAGGACTATCTACCGCAAAGAGAAAGTTGACAACGAGGTTGCCGTCATGAAGTACTTGCGTCAATACACTTCGATCCCGGTTCCCGAAGTTCTGGGAGCTGGGACGTGTTGGGCAGGGCCGTACATTGTCATGTCTTTCGTCGAGGGAGAATCATTGGCCACGTTGCTCAAGGATCCGCTCCAAACTGGTCGGCCGGTTCTGAATCCACAGATCAGTGATCGAGCCTTGAGAAGAGCCTATCGGGAAATGGCTGAGCTGCACCTCCAGCTATCAAAGCAAGAGTTCCAGCGGATTGGAGCACTGGAATACGACGGAGAGGGTTTTATAGTTACCAAAAGGCCTCTGACTTACAATATGAACGAACTGGCCACTTCGGCAAACCTCCCACCCCACGCATTTCCTACACACGCTTTCGACTCTGCGAACGACTACTTCACATCCCTTGCCAATCAGCACTTCTCTCAGCTCGAGCTCCAGCGGAACGATGCAATCACCGATCAAGATGACTGCCGAAAGAAATATGTGGCCCGGTGCTTATTTCGGAAAATTGCGCAGAACGTCTCGACGGAGCATCGCCACGGCCCTTTTCGTTTGTATTGCGATGACTTCCGACCGTCCAACGTCCTGGTTGATCTACAGAGTCTTCACATTACGGGTGTCGTCGATTGGGAATCCGCGTATGTGGCTCCCGCCGAGTTTGCGTCCGTGGCGCCCTGGTGGCTTTTGCTCCGGAGCCCAGAGGATTGGGAGTCTAACCTCGATGAGTTTGTGGAGCGGTTTGTGCCACGCCTTCGTCTCTTTCTCGACGTTCTCCGCGAATGTGAAGATGAGGCAGCCAAGGAAGAGAATGGCACACTAGCAGACTCGCAACGTCTGTCCGAGCGGATGGAACGGTCCCTTGATACTGGGCTGTTCTGGGTCTGTCTCGCGGCGAGGTATAGCTCCATGTTCGACGAAATATACTGGGCATTTCTCGACGAGATGTACCACGGACCTTTTACATCGATTGAGGATCGGATTCAACTGCTGAACGAGGAGGAGAGACGGAGTCTGGATGAGTTCGTCCGTGCTAAGGTGGAACATATTGCGGAAGGACCTCTAGAGACACACTATAGTGTGGACAACTTGGTGGACCTCTGATGCGCCCGTGTGACTGCCGGAGAGAAGCTTTCGTTGTTTAGAAAAGTCAATCAGGTTCTTCTCGATCCCTGAAAGAAACTTGGGGCACACAGATGAGGCGTTTCAGGATCACAGGGACTACGTCACGGCTTCCTGCTGGTTGCATTCCCAATTTATCAGGGGTGTGCATACCCCGCAATCGCAAGCGCTTTCAAGTTTACATGTGATGGATTTCTGCCCAAAGTAATACGACGATGGCGGAAACAGTGGCGGCTGCCTGTTATATTTGCGTACTCGTACGTTCTCCTCAACTCACTCAGTTTGCATCTCCGTCCCTGTGAAAGGCCTCCCTAACTCTCCAGTCCTCCCTACACCAGCCCTCAACGGCGACAGACAGCCATTTCTCTTCCCCCAGTTCTCGAACGTGACAAACACATAACTTTCAAGGTAAGATCAGGGACGAATTCCCTAGAGCAAGCTGCTGACTGCTCGAGCCAAGTTCAGTCTCATGAGCGATAAAGGAAAACCAATCCAGTCTCCTGAGCGAGAAAGGAAAAGACCAAAAGGCGCGCGAGAGCTTCGCCTCCATCCTCAGCTACTACCAGCACAACCGCAAGTCGCTGGAGAATGTTCCGACATGGGTAGACCGACCGGAGAGCGGGACGATCATGATCGGCCTTGCGAAAGGGACGGTGCCGTCGGGGGACCAGACAGAGCAGTACAAGCAAGAGTTGAAAGAGCTTCTCGCCGCTCAGGAGGCCATCGATAAGCTGTCCCCTCTGGAGAGGCAGATCATGAGCCAGGCAGCCAATACAAGCAAAGCAAGACGCAAAGGGGCCGGGGCCGGGGCCAAATAGGTAGTAGGTAGACTGATGGTCCATGACTCATGCATTCTTTTGGTCGCTCGCTTGTTGGCGTACAAGGCGCCCTTAGGCTTATTGGGAGTGTCTTTCGTTGAATCCAGTCCGCATCCGCAACCACGGCGGCTGAAGAAGTCGATGTCGCTTCTTTACGTTCCGGGGCCAAACTCACTCACTTACTTGACTATGATCTCGAATGCCCTGAATGCTCCATATGTCTAATTAGAGTGATATATCAAATTAATATCAGAATAATATAAGGACTGACTCGGAGGGAGAGGGGGAGAGGGAGGATAGTAAACTTGAGAAAAGAAAAAGAGAAGTACTCCGTATTCTTCTATAGAACTAGTACTAGGGCGATTTAGTTAATCCTGTCTAATAGTACTAGTACTAGTAGAGTACTACTTATAGCGATCGTACCTCTTATTAGGGGCTCCCTCTTTCTTCCTCTGAGCGATTAGGTGCTCTCATGGCAGTGGTTACTGGAAAGGGTCAATGTGAAAGGTTGACATGGGGAGGCATTGCGCCCGACACCGCGACTAACCGGAATAATCGAACTAAATGCTGCCTCGATGACCCGAAGGAAGGAAGGCAGATTGTTGAAGACCAAAAAGAAGTCATGGTCTCAAATCTTCATGCGAGCCTTGTTTCCGAGGCACGGCTCAATAATTTCTCACTGGTGAGGCTGTTCACGAGGAATCAATGCAATTAGATATGAATCCGCGGCTATTGCGATATTTCGAATGCTTCTCGTAAGTTCTCGTCATACTCTGCCTTGTGTTTGACCTTTTCGTCACTATTTCCAGAGCAGAAAGTGCCTTCGCCTATCCGATAAGGGAATGAAACCGCATCAAAACCCGCTTCGAACCATCGACTATCACGGGAACACATAGATTGAGGGCTCCTTGCATTCATTCTTCATGGCTGGCGACCCTACATCGTGATGGAGAATGGAGGCCAAGATGGTGTGCAACTCGTTCCTGGATGAAGCTTGAAGCTCTGATGTCGGAATATAAAGCTGTAGAAACGTTGAACACGGTCAGGGTAGGTAAGTTGGTGGAGGATATTTGTCTCCCTTGTTTTGGCCTCTTCGTAGGTAACCTCCTCACCTAAGCGGATGCGGGTGGCGAGCATAGAATTGCGGGGCGAGGTGGAGCGAGGTGTGTGATCGAAAGTGAACCCTTTCATGCTATTACACGGGGAATTAATGAGATAGTTGCTTTAAAAGCGATGGAGATCAGAAAGAGACACCATGAAGGCGCAGGTAGACGACTTGGCGCACTAGTACTACTTTAGACGAATTATATCACGTGAAAACACTAATACACGTGATCAAATGATTTATGATGCGAACGAGACAAACAAGGGTGAGGAGGTCGGCATCGCGGCGCCTTTGCCTGCGCGGGATGGAAGAATGGACCGGGAAGCTCGATTGATGCTGGAGTGCACTGGATAAAGTGATTCCGGTACTAGGGAAGTTATACTGGGATGGGCCCTGTAGACGGTCTGAATGTGTGCTCCATAAAGATACCTTCCGTCCCATACATATCGAATCAAGGTCAAGCTTTTGGTCATTTTTCCTCAGCCGAAGCCTCCCAGATTCCCAGATCGATGGGTCGTTCTGAGAAGGCTATGAGATAGCTATATACTCCGAAGAACGAAACGACAAGCGGGCCAACATGGTACCACACCTGCACAATGTGACTCACTCGCTGCAATCACTCTGTCACTCTGCTGTATGTCTGAGATGATGGCCATCTTTATGCCGTGGCAACCGCTTCATTCTCCTTGTCCTCGATCTTGGCCTCCTTCAATTCCTTGGTCACATCGGCAACAGCATCCTTCTCCTGCGCTTCTTCGGCTTCAGCAGAGACATCCCCGTTGACCCCGGAATTCTTCAGTGCAATCTTCTTCGCACGGTCCGTACGGCCACCTCTACCGCCGTTCTTGGATGGAGGAGAAGTGTTGGATGACTCGGCAGCTTCCTGCTCTAGCTTCTCAATCTCCTTTTTGGCCTTTTCAATGTTCTGTCAAGCATTGTCAGTACGGGTTTCTTTCAAGTCATTGCCGACATGCCACTCGAGTTGTGCTTACCTTTTCAGTTTGAGCCCCTTGATCCTTCTTCCAGGAGTCCACCTTGGCCTTCAGTTTCTCGAGAATGCTAGGGACATCCGCTTGAGTGCTCGGTGGGTCAATTCCGACTTTGGCCAGCTCTTCAATGATACCAATGTTCATGTTGAGTTTCCCAGAGTCGGCGGTCGAAGCAGGACCTTTCTTGCCCTTTCCCTTTTTCTTGCCTCCGCTCCCCACGAAGAAAGGCTCGTCCTCCTTCTTGACCACTTTCATGCCCTTGAAGCCCGATTCGTCCACGGTGCGTTGCGCCGTGGCTGCAAATTGGTTGGGTCCCTTTTCGCTGTCGCCCGAGCTATACGAGGGATCGAAGTGACGGATGAGACCTTCGGCGGTACGGATTTCGTCCAGGAAAGCAGGCTCGCTGGCTTCCTCGAGCTTCTGCTCGGCGATGCGGCGACGCTTCTCCTTCTCGTAGGCGTCCCGCTCCGCCTTCTGGCGCTCACGACGTTGCTGGTAAAGTTGATCTTCGTATTCCTTGTAGGCCTTCTTCTGACCATAGTAGTCGTCCTTGATCTTCTTGATCGCGGCATACGTGGCTTGTTGTTCCTGGTACAGCTTTTCTCGCTCCGCTTTCAAGGCGTCCAAGTTCTTGTTGGTGTCATCCCGGGCAGCCTTGATCTGGTCGAGTTCCTTTTGGTTCTCCTCGTACTTTTGCGCCAATGCGCGTGCCTCGGGACTGTCGAACGATTTCTTGAGCTCGGCGTTTTCGGCCTTCTTCTCGTCGATCTTCTTCTGCAGATCGTCGAGCGCAGTGAACCCTTTCTTTTGACGACGTAGAGACGAGACTTCGGCCAACGCCTTCTTCTCGTCTACCAGCTTCATGCTACCAGAATCCACCTGTTTCATGAGGCTCGCGATCTTGGCGTCGATTTCCTCGGCGTTCTTGAAACCGGCCCGGGTGCGGGCATCTTTTTGTTCGGCAATGAGCTTCTTGATCAAGGCGTCGTTCTGGTTGAACTTGTCTTGTTGTCCTGCCTTGGCCGCCTTATTCTCCTGTTGCTTCTGGCGGATGGCCTTTTGGTCGTCCACGAGCTCTTTGAACCGGTCGTTGGCAGGGGTGGATTTTCCAGGTCGAGCACTGTCGAGCTTGGTGCGACTGGCGTTCTGGGACAGTTAGTCGTTACACATAGTTGTCAGGAAAGGGGACAGGAGACATACAAATTTGGCCTGCGCGGCTTCATGTTCCTTCTCGGCCTGTGCTAGGGCCGCCTTGTATGCGGCTTCATCTGGCTTCTCTGGTCGAGTCTTGTGTACGCCATCAGCGGCAGGGGAACTTTCAGTGTCGGCCATGGTGAGAGGAAGTTGGTGTCGTTCCGAGAGACCACGGTTGAGTTACCGGAGGACAGGTCGAGATAGCGGGATTGCAGGAGTGTATTTTTATACTGATTTAGTCCATGCTAGAACAGCATGGCGGTAAGAGACGAACAGACGGGAGGCGTGGAGCGTGGACGCAGAATGAGTCCAACAGTGACAGACCGGAGTCAGGACGTGAAGTGGTGAGGGTTCAGTCTCTCTCGAGAACTTAGTTTCATCGGGGCAATATTATTTATTTAAACGTCCCTTAGTGTAGTGTCCCGTACTATTCGCATTAGCATCAACAGTATTAATGCCCGGCGGGTTGGTGTTGGTGTGTGGAGAATGGAGATGCGCAGCCAGTGGCAGCCAGTGGCAGCCGTCTTTTCGAGCCGCATTCCTGCCAAGCCCAGAAACTTTTGCCTGCGCTTCAAGTTCAAGTCTGAGGACCTGCCTCCTACCAGCCAGTGTTTCCTTTGACCATTCATTCTTGACCGCGAGAACGAGAACGAGAGCATCCCCGCTTCAACCAGAGCCCTCTACTGCGACTGCGTGTGGACGGTGCCAGAATGGATTTCGACGATCGGCCAAAACTGTCCGTGGAAGCGGAGAAGGAAGTGACCAGACTATGGAGGACGTGGCGGACGGTCCTCGAGATGCTGGTGGACAGGGTATGCGACCAAACCGTTCTCCAGACTGGAGACAGTCATGTTGACTGATTTGGCTAGGGATACGCGATCGCGCAGAACGAACTCACCATCACTCGAGACGACTTCCAGAGGAAGTTTGGAGATCCTCAGACTGGCCATGCGGAGTGAGTTGTCTTTTTTTTCTTTGCGCGGCGGAACACACAGCACGGCGCGACTGGGCTAACAATCATGGTCAAACAGGAGGCGACTCATGAAACTACAAGCCGTGCCTACGGAAGAGATGATCAAGCGCGACACTCCCCGGCCGACCAAGTCCAATCCAACTCCGCAAACCACGGCGGGCACTATCTGGGTTGAGTTCAGCCCGGAAACCACAATCGGGATCAAACACTTGCGAGCGTTTGCACAACATCTCGATGCAAACAAGTTCACCACCGGCATCTTCATTACCATCGGGCCCGTTACTGCCGCTGCCCTTCGCGCCTTCGAGCCCCTGACCGAGCGAGGCATCTCTGCAGAATGGTTCCAGGAGCAGGATCTCCTCGTCAACATTACAAGACACGAGTTGGTTCCCAAACACGTCCTCCTTAGTGCGGAAGAGAAGAAGGTCTTGCTAGACAGATACCGATTGAAAGAAACCCAGCTTCCGCGCATCCAGTTCAATGATCCTGTCGCCAAGTATCTGGGACTGAAGAGAGGAAACGTGGTCAAGATCATTCGAAAGAGTGAGACTGCCGGTCGGTATGCCAGTTATCGATGGGTCTTTTGATTGGAGGCAAGTGATTCTCAGCGAGGAGTTTCGGATCAAAAGCTTTTGCTTTGCAGTGCATTGCATACTGGAGTTGGAACATTGTAAACCAAATGGGTGGATGATTTGCTATCGATAGCCGACATGACGAAACAGAGGAACCATGAAAGAAAGGCCATTCATAATTCCAGGGTTGAGACAGTACTTTGTCGTTTGGTTTCACTCACTAGTCGTCCGTCGCTCGTCCCCTGGTCTCTTCTCCCCTTCGAGGCGAGCTACGTACGATCCTGCCACTGCCACTTAGACACTTCAATTCGTGCGACCACGGACACTGGATGCGATCACGTATCGTATCACGTATTGGCTTGAACTCTACCTAGCGCAATTCCTGCTACTGCCACTGCCACTGCCACTGCCAATTTTGATGAACAGTATCGTACAGAGTACGGAGTAGGCTGATTTGCCGTCCAGGCCACTGGGCCAGCAAGCCAATCTCCGCCCTGTTCAACCCATGCAGGTCGAGGGAGGACCGCAGCAGAGCCTGAGGCACAATGCAAGAACAAGATGCTAGGGGTGGGTGTGGGTGCTAAAATAAATGCCAGGTTATAAGCCGGCAACCAATGAAATAGAACCTCTACTCTAGGGAGGCCGTAGAGTATACCTACCAGCCCTTTGACTGAAATGCCGCATAGGAGAAGGAACTTTCGTCAACGAGATATGGATACGGACACGGAGTACGCAGTACAATGTTTCATATCATCCCTTTGAGCACGGTACTAGTACACAGGAACGATGATTAGCAACAACTACAGAAAGCTCCTGACACATATCGGTTCCCATTATCCGTCCTTGGTCATCATGTCTACATGTCCTTGTTGAACTAGTCATCTACTTCGCCCAGAAAATACTTTTAGGTGGGTGGGTGGTCGTGTCGTTGTAAACCCAAACCACAGCTCTGGATCACACAGCATGCTTGTATGGTGTAGATAGCTCATACTCGGTGGTTTTGGTCGGTGAACCGGGAACTGTATGCATCTCGAACATCGGCTGTGGACTCTTCTTGTCAAGACCCGAGGGCGATTCTGGCAGACTGTCGGTGCGCTCGTACAGAACACGGTCTTCAAAACTCTGAGCCTGAGCCAAGGGAGACGATGGCGCGTGTGACGACCTATATGATTTGGACTTGAGGCTGCTATAGGACCGTTTGACCCGGTGGAAGACGGAGATGGATTTCTGCTTGATGGCGCCCGCACAGGCGGCACAGATGCCGAGGTGGTTTTCAACCGCAGCCCACAGGTAGACTAGAGCATAGTTTTCTACGCGTGGAAGGAAATGTCAGTCATCAGTCAGTTTCTTTCGGCAAGGGGGACAAGGCTTGCTTGTTGGTGCGTGAACGGGGCATGCTGGCCTGTACCTGAGACATTGCTGCCATTGCGTATGCCGTCTCTGTCCACGTGGACGATCGCGACTAGGCGCATGATACTCGCTACGACAACACTGTGCACAGAAAGCATTAGTAAGGTAAGACGGGAAATGTAATCTCTGGGCAGCAGTTGTCAAACACATACAGTCCACCGATTGCGAACAAGGCATAGACCCCCCAGCGGTGCGGTTTCAGCATGTCAACGTTGCGTAGCAGTACCATCGGCAAGAGGTACATGACGACGTCGGTAACAATCATGATGATCGCATTTGCGTAGAAGAAGGCGATCAAGTTGATGCACCTGGGTGCATGTTCGGTAGGGGGTGGCGTCACGCCTCGCAGCCAGATGACCCTGAGAGGGATGCACTGCATCAATATCACCAACACAGAGCTGATGCCGAAGCCGGCGGCTATGATTTGCATCAAGTGTATGAACCAAGTCTGCGCTCGGGTCCGTGCAAGGCCATAGTAAAAGGTCAGCCAGGCGTGCTTGACGAACATGTTGCACAGGAAGTAGGGCGGGAAGGCGGCGACGAGAAGCTGCATTCCAAGTCAGCAAATCCCTGGCACAGGTGGAATTCATCTGAAATACCTTCTGAAGAGATTCTCTGCCCTCGAATTCAGCCAGAGATATCGACGCCCCGAGGCCTTTGGCAGCCGCTGAAATTGGTCAATCACACTTGGGCTCTAGAAGGCGGGATTGGAGTCTTACCAGCACACACAATGCTCGTCATGACCAAGGAAAAGAACTGCGTAGAGGGATCAGGAATGTTTGCAATCGGTTCAACGAGGAGCTGCGACGCACGGCACTGATGATCAGAAACCCTAAAGGAGGTCAATTCATTGTAGCTTTGCTGAGGCACATCAAACACTCACATTTACTTGCATTCAACCAACCGACTGTCTTGTACTGTCTCTCGAGCTGGACCAACACAGAGACGATGGTCCCGACCGCCAGCACAAGGCTGGTGGCCAGCAGAGCATGATCTGTCGACGCCAGCATGTTCGAACTCGCAGATTCCTGTGCACAGATGATTTGAAAAAGATGGACGTCTGCCACGTTTAGAGATGTCAACTCTGGCAGTAATATAACTCGCGGCGGCAGCATGCGGCACAGAGATCCTGGTCCATTCTGTGCTTATCTGTTAGGAGTTCGGATGGGAGGTCGCCACTTCGGATGCATCGTACAATATTTTTACCACAAGCAATCCATGCACGACTTGTCAACTAACAGAGCAGAATGGCCCTCGATGCAAGATCACCCAATGAGTAGAAAGCGGAGTTGGGACGACAGGCACTTTGCAAGGACTCGACCAAGGCAGGAACTCCCATCCCTCTTTCCCCGCCGTCAACTAAAAAAAGGTGGAGAGTGGAGATCGGTCCTGTCAAGCAGGAACAAGGCGTTTTTTGTGCAAGGGAGCTCAGCTCTCATGAGGCCTACCGTTCATGGCAAGAGCGGGAAAGCAATGTGTAGTAAGAACCCCGGGTTCGAATTCCTTTGCCTTGCCGCATGGTTTCTTTTGATTGTCCTGTGTAGCATACGGCGCCCAGAATCGTCGAAAAGAGTTTGAGATAGGAGCATAGTAGACCTGGACGGCATCTGGAGAAAGCCTACGGATCGGTTCACCACCGAAAAGACGATGGCGCGAGTCAAAGGTCCACAGATATACTCTGATGTATTGAAAATGTCGTAAGGGCGGGTGGTCAGGATGGAGGTTGAGGTCCCATTGGGCCGAGCCTGTCGGTTTGCCCGCTGTCAGCAACGGACCTTCGGGTCTGGCCTCTTTTCGGCCCCAAAGTCCTGATATCAGGGATCGCCAGCACTTGCAGCAAACGATAATACGAGATTGTGCTCGTGTAACAGATCTGACTGCATTTGCCGATGCGCAGACAACCCTATCATGCACTCGATCGTAACGGAGGACTTGGCCGACGGCTGCGGCTGGTTTGTCTTTCCACTTAAACACTGTTCGATGGGAAAGTTTCACGCCGTTCGAATGCGGGTAACAATTCTGTGGTCGACTCAATCGAATTGTCCTGAATCTCAGAGGAGATTGACTTGGTGCTTCGTCAAGAGAACGCCTCGATCGTAGCCACTTCTGACCTCTTCGTCTCGGAGGTAGGAGCGTGAGGGGCACGGCAGACATCCCAGCAAGGGGGAAAGTCTCTTCCCAGGAGCTGCATGACGGGCAAGGTGGAGGACCCTTATGAATGGCCAGGCTTGTAGCAGCGCAGGGCTCAAGGATGACCGCGAGGAGGGAAGGATTGGTTGGAGGCAGATGTTCGGATCTCACAAACTTACGGAGTAACGGAGTGCGGTGCCTGACGGCGCAGCTGCAACCATAAAGCGGCAGGGGAGTACTGTACCTCAAGTTGTCGGGGGTGATAAAACTGCGATTCGTGGACGCCGCTTTTGGGCTCCTCTACGCCTGTACGCGTGGCCTTAACCCTTCAACACCCCGATCTCACGTAGCCCTATGGTTCTGTCGTCGTAATAGTCTATTCCTGACAGTGTGTGGCATTCAATGGCTAGTGCAAAGAAGACTGTGACTCCTGCTGCGCTCTGGGTCGGTTGACTTCGGTGGCCTCTTTTAGCCATGTACTGTTCACACCCAAAGCAGACTCAGATCCGACGAGCAACCGCACCAGAGTTATGACAACAACACTATTAGTTATTCATAAGTAGTGCATTCTCAGGGCAGGAGCGACTCGTCCCATTCGAAATGACCGCTCAAAAAGTCTTTTGTCATAAGAAGGCCCAGATCACCAGCTGACGTGGTACTTTGATCATCATGACCGGCAGGGGGCCCATCTGCGGATCCTGGACTGCGCAGGGGTCCGATCTCACAAGCCTGCCCAACATCACGATCCACCAGTGGTTCGGAGATGGATCTGGTGATACTCTCCCGAATCTCAAACATGTACGGCCATTTGACTTGGATCTCGTCCATGGCGCCGAGAAGGAAAGACAGCGGCTTGGCTATCTCGACGTCGGTCCACAAGGCCTTGTTGAAAAACCGCTTCATCAAGACCGTGGCTGCCGCGGTTGACAGGATATGCATCACGTCAAGAGGGAGGTCGACATAGCGATAATGGCGCGCGTAGCTCCTCAAAAGGCAGAGGATGGCCTCTAAGGATTGGTAGCAAATTTCGATGTCTTCGCTCGTGGCAATCTTGGGGTCACCGAAGAGAGTTCGTGGGGGACGATGAAGGATTATCATTCCTGTGTGAAAGAGCAAACTTGGTTTAGGTATTAGTCGAAAGAAAATTGGGCACGAAAGAGAAACGGGGGTAGGAGAAAACGTACTGCAGGTGTAGAACGCATGCAGGCACTCGTCCAACCATCCACTGGTTCCAATGTAGCTTTCCCGGAGCCTGGAGAGCCAGTTCGTCATGTCCACATGGATTTGGTGGGCCGTCATTGCAGTAACCGTGCTGATTTGACTCCTGTTCTCGAAGATATTGACAATGAGATTGTGAAAGATCTTGGCCAGTTCAATCTGGTAAATTAGTGAGGCAACCAACGCGATACCATCCTCATAGGCAGTCGTCGAACTCCCAGGCGAGATGTAGGTATCAAGCAGCCTCTCCCATTCAGCGGGATAGGGAATACGCATGGCATTGTGGACATCCGACTCATGTGGATAGAGGGCGGGAGGCCGTCCGAAATGAAGACTCAGCTGTTTGTCCGCGGTGAAGGCGGCCCAGTAGACCCGACGCAAGATCTCTCTGTCGACCGGAGATTTGGAGGTTTGTGCCCAGTTGCTGGGGTCGAGGTGCAAGCCCATCTCATGCGCCAGACGAAATGCCATTCCACAGAAAAGCCAGCCTTTGGATGCCTTGCCCTGGCCAATGTCCAAGTGGCCAAGCAGGATCAGTGATTGCAAAGTCGTCAGATCGGGATTTTCCAGCGTCGCATATAGAAGGGCATGGGCTCGTCGGACAAACAGATTCGACAGAGCGGATAAATCGGGCTCTTCGGATAATGGTGCACTGGTGGCGCATATGGAGCACAAGAGAAGATCAGAGTAATACCGACCGAAGCCGGCGTCATAGTCGCGCAGAAAGTATTCACGATAGATAAACATGTTGTACTGGTAGGATTGTCGGAAGAAGGTCTTGACCAAGTGACGGCAAACCTCATGGTGAGGATCGTAGTCAGACCCCCCTGGCTCATCCGAGGCCAGGAGTATCTTTCGCGGTGGGACAATCTGGGCAGCCTGCTGGTCGGCGCTGATGAGGGGGACCGTCCAGTTGTCCGAAAGGTGCATCTGAAAGAGACTGGTTCCTCCGTAAAATTGGGAGGCATTTCTGCTGGTCAGGTTCCGCATTTGGCCGTATCGACTTCGAGCACCCAAAGGACTCGTGGAGTGGTTGCGGTCAGGCACTGAGCTTGATGCATACGCCGATAGCATCTGCTCTCTCTCAACATGACCGGCCGAGGCCACCTTTTGGATGAAGGATTCTAGTGAAGCGACCTGAGACTCAAGGGCTCTGACGTGGCGTCTCTGCACGGGTCTTGTGAAGACAATCGTCCAAGAAGGCTCAGCTTGGATCCACGACGGAGTGAGGGTGGGGTGGTGCGTCTTATCGGCTTACCTCTGTTTTTCGCTCGAGGCAGGATGCACGCATTCTATGCCAACTTTGATGCATCCTGAACAGGGCTTGCGACGGTCGCATTTGATCTGCTTGGTCAATCAGATGCTAGGACTCCAGGAAACCAGAGCAAGGAGCAGAGAGCAGCGACCTTGCGGCGACGACACCTTTCACATCTGTGTGTTGTCAATTGACTTTCAGACACCGAGGTTTACCGGACACACGGGCATGCAGTGCTTACGAGAGGGAGGGACGTTCCTCCACAAGTCCTGTCGCCGAAATCATCCAGGTAGGGTGTCTCGTCGGGTTGAATATGTTGGATCATTGACTGGTCAATGTGTTGATTCAGTCATCAGTCGATCTGGGCGCGTCCGTACAACTGCTGCTCGAGTTGAGAAAAGCAAAGCAACTTCACGTTGAATGAACAGTGTAGAGATGAGTGTACGGAGTACGTGTTGTAGTGTGTTATACTAGTAAAGATGAAGCTATCTGCTACAAGCAGTGACCGGACTGCCAAGGCGTCACAATGCCTGTGACGCCGAATATCTAGCTACCTAATAACCTACTGGGAGGTAGTAGCATCATCCCGCTTTAAGGTGGCGAGGGCCACTGGTGGGGTTAAGGAGGCTCGGGAAAGCGTCCATAGCCTTAGGGCCCCCTAGCCCCTGAGCCCTTTCCGGCGGAAGTCAGGTTCAGGACCACAGATGTCTTTATAGCTTGAACGATAAAAATCAGGCACAAGTTTTGCAAGTAATGAGTCCAACCGATGAGGCCACAAAGGCCAACGAGTAAATTCCTAGTGCTTCAACCCCTGCTTCACCCTTCCGCCCCCCTCTTGAAATCTCTGAAAGAATCAAAACTGTGTATCGCATCTCCCGAGTCAGCCACATCTGCGGGCTAATAGATATATCTAAACTCCAGCGCACTTTCACCTGTTGTTATCCTGCGGTCATCTGCTCTCTCCCCGTTCGGGATCTGTTCCTTCGTTCTGTTCATGAACCAGAGGTACGTGATTTGTGCTGCAATCAGACACATGCTGATGATACCAGAGACCAGAGAAGCCCAATGGCCGAGTCGATAGGGCGCCTTCCTGTAGACCTGGGGTGCCACTACGCCAGCCAGATTGCCAATCGCTTGTTGGACTCCAACGGCGGTAGTGCCCCGCCATGTTGTTGTTGATCCAGATTTCGTTCAGACCGGGACCACAATACAACGGGATGGCAATCAGGTAGTAAGCAAAATACTGCACACCTGAGCTCTTGACGGAGAGCAGTAAAATATACCCGACGATAGCAAAGATGTCCACGAAGAACAGTAACGTCCCTCGGAGCCTCAACTTGTCGCCGAGCACAGCGGCCGAGAAGAAGGAGATGCCACCCAAGGCGTACACAGGCACACCGAGATACTGAGCCTGCAGGCTCGAGTACCCCAAACCGAGCTTGAGGATAGATGGAAGGAATGTGCTGAAGCCGTACAAGATGATATCCTGGAAAAATTGAATCAGGGCCGTGGCGTAAAGCTTCGGGTCGCAGAAGGCGGAAGCGACTTCTTTCCACTCAAACACCTGGCTACCTAGATACTCCTGGCGTTGAAGATCACGTTGTTCCATGACTGCATGCTCCTCAGGAGTCCAGAATTTGGCTTTCCTTGGGTTGTCGGGTAGGTACAGGAAAATGAACGGAACGATGATAGTTGAGACCAGTCCTTCGATGATGTATAGCCAGCTACGAGTCGATAGTCAGCACCGGTAAGTCTTCAGGAGGATGGTGTTAGGAACATACCTCCAAGCCTGAAGGTTGCCAACTTCGCCGACTTTCGTGATCCCTGTGGCGATGAGACCACCAAACATGCTGGACAAGGAGCTAGACGCGAAAAGATACGCAAGACGAAGACCCTTTCAAAGATGCGCATTAGATCTTGCCAGCAACGACGTGAAGACGAGTCTTTCAAGGACAGTGGGTGACAGCAACATACCTGCTCCTCCCGCTTATAGGTCATGGTGATATAGAGAGACAAGCAAGGGAAAAACCCCGCCTCACAAAGTCCTAACAGCACACGACAGGCCACGAGTGAACCGAATGAGCGGACAAAGGCTGTGCCGATAGTAACGACGGCCCATGCCAGGGCCATCGAAGCGATGAGAATATGCGGACGCAGACGTCTCATAGCCAACACGACGGGCAGCTCGAACGTGACATAAGTCGCGAAAAAGACGCTGACGGCAGTGCTGTATTGATCTTCCGTGAGGTGCAATTGGCTTTTCAATCCCACCACAGCTGCGTTGCCTATGTTTGACTGAGTTTGTTGTGAATCAGCTGGCCTGTGCTTGTGCTCGCTTGGGTCTCGATGGCAGGAGACGATGCAACGTACCCGGTCCAAGTAGGCGAGGAAATAGAGCAAGGCAAAGAGCGGTGCCAGTCGCCTATCCAACTTTCTAAGGACTCTCTTCTCCACGGCAGGGTCAACCACGATGCCCGCCTGCAGACTACCGTGTCTTTCCAGCTCTTTTCCATCGTCGGTAACGCCGGATGCTACCACTGCTTCTGGACTTAGGTTCATGCTTGCCGCCTCCGCGGACTTTGTTTGCTCGGAACCCATTCGTAGGTATGGATGAGGGGTTTTAAAGCGACACAAAGGAGGTCTAGGGCCTGAGGGAAAAATTGTGCATTTCAATGAGAAAAATATATTAGGGGACTGGGCGAAATTTATAGTACGATCATCTTGCTCAACGCTGTCGCGCAGCATATAGGAGCTCTCCACGAGAGGCCAGATTAGGAAACGCTGAAACCGATTGTCCGGAAACTGAGATACACAGACACGGTCGAGGCACCCGATCGCTCTGCCATCTCCTGGGGAGATGGTAGCTGATGTTAGCATCCTCTGATTTGTGGATATGATGAGGCCGCACCCTGTCATTGGCCAAAGTAAGAGAAGCGGAGATGCAGCGGAGGTGGAAGTCCGCCCTCCGTACCGTTATCTCCCTTCCCACCTGATTAGATCTCTCGTAGCTGTCCACCTCGCCGTCTCGAAGTTACGCGGTCCTTGTCGTAAGAGGACGCTGCCTCGAAAGCTGAGAGGCTTGTGGGTATGGGCCATTCAAAGTGTATTCAAGTGTGTCGGCTCAGCGTAGCCGGCGATTTGCGCAGCAGTGGGACTTTCTGCGTCCAGCCTGATCCAAATCTCCCTCAGATCTTCCGTCAAGGTTCATGTATTAATAGGGACACTCCCCGTTTTACCCTGGCGATGATATATTCTTCCCTGCCTTCCGCCTTTTGCTTCCTTGTCTACTTCGGCTTTATTTGACTGCTACTACTGGATCTGTAGGCAAGCCAGCCGCTGTCGAGTACGATCATTCACAGCAGCCATGGGATCTTTGGCTCCATCTAAACCCATCAACTTGGTTGGTTACATTGGCCTGGGCCTCGCTGGTGGTCCTCTGTGCACATGTATCCTCAAAGGAGGATTCCGGACTGTCGTCAGAGACGCGGACCCGAAACGACAACGAGAATTCGTGGAAGCAAACAAGGAGTTCCTCGTGGCAGAGGCAGAAGATGGACCAGAAGCCTTCAAGGACGTGGACGTTCTGATCACCATGGTACCCAATGGCGACATCGTTCGTGACATCCTGCTAGGTCGGAAAGGGGTTGCCCCCTTTTTGAAACCAGGTACGTCGTCAACACTTGCAATGAGCGTCCCAGCGGTGGATGTGTTGTACCCCAATTAGCTGGGAAGGACATTCAAGGTCAACGGAGCCTGCTGACGAGGTTGCAGGCACAATAATAGTCGACACCTCGTCCTCCAATCCTTTCACGACACGAAAATTGGGGGACGACCTCAAAGCTTATCAGCTTCGGCTGATAGATTCGCCCGTCACACAAGTGCGTATGCATGACATCAACGATGGCGAGGCGACCTTCATGCTTGGTGGCAGTGTCGAAGACATTCAAATGGCAGAGCCTGTGCTCGCGACGATGTCCCGCTGGCGGTTCCACATGGGCCCATTGGGCAGTGGTCATGTCATGAAAACATTCAACAACTACATAACCGCCGCGGGTATTGCAGCCCTCAACGACTCCTTCATTGTCGGCCGTAAGATGGGACTGGACCCAGCTATGATGACCGATGTTTTGAATGTCGGCACAGGCCGGAATTATGGTACGGCGCATTCCATCAGGGCCGAGGGCTTGACCAGAACCTACTCCAGCGGGTACGGCCTCGCCCTGCTGGTCAAGGACTTGGGCATCAACCTAGATCTCTGTGAAAAGATGGGTATCGACACGACTCTGAGTCAACTCATGCATGGAACATTCAAAGAAGCTCTCCAGCTGCATGGTGTCGAGAAGAGTGCAGATTATACCGAATGCGTGAAGCTGTGGGAAGAGAAATCTGGGATCCAACTGCCAACGTACACCAATCTTCAAGAATGCGATGAGCCTAGGGATTGAACAGCATCCCCGTCTTCCACAACACAGATGCGTTGCAGAGGCCTCTTTGATCTTAAAATGGGGTCCGAATGAGTTTGTGGAGTGGTGAAGAACAGTACAATTAGAAGAATTTGGATAGATACCCTGGGTTCTCAGCCCGAGTTCTCCTATCGTTATTTCACTCCTTCATATTGTACACAGTTTTCCAGAGCTGTCAGTCTTTCCTCTCCTTTGCATCCTTTGCCAGATAACATGGTTTCCGCAGCCACGAGACTGTGTATCAGCACTTGAGGCTCCAGTCACCGTTCTTGGTCGAAAAGGCAGAATTACTAGGGCCGCCTCTAGCAGATTCTGGCCCTGTTGTTCCATGACCTGAAGCTGCTGCGACCTCAAATACGCGCCAAAGATCGAAACCCATGTGTCGTGGTATTTGTTGACTGGAATTTAAGAGAAGAGCGCGGCTTGCCCTGGCCACCTTCTTCACCAACTTGTTCAACGTGCATTGTGGCCGACAAAGCCTAGTGCCTATGCAACTGACATGATAACGATGACCCTAACGGGTCTGCCGATCCGATCGGCTCGTCGGCTAGACAAGTTTGTACCGTCCCTGATACTGCGTGCGGAAGTGGAAGTCCGCCTCCGTCTCGATTCACCTAAGAGTGCGTTCTTGATCCATCCATTATAGCGCGCTGTGAAATCAAGACTTAAACCCACCTTCATTCAATCACCAATCTTTCTCTTCTCTATAGACTTGTTCATTAGAGACAAGACCAATTTCGTAACTGGTCCACTCCTTTTCAATAACCGAGAGCTAAACCCGAGGTCATCCAGGGTAATCGAGTATGGAGTCACTGGAAACCCCTCTGAAGTTTCCGGATGGCAGCAATTATGCACAACCCACCGGCATTTTGATCAACAATGAGTTTGTCCCCTCGGTGGATGCATTGTTTTTCGCCAGCATCGACCCATTTACCCAAAAGCCGATATGCAACGTCGCCCGTGGCAAAGCCGCCGACATCGACAAGGCAGTGGCAGCTGCACAGACAGCGTTTCCCGGGTGGAAAGCTACCAAGCCTGCAGAGAGAGGCAGGCTTTTGAGTAAGCTGGCGGACCTCATCGAACGTGATGTCGACAAGCTCGCCAAAATCGAAGCCATCGACGGTGGGAAGCCTGTCAAGGTTGCAAAGGATGCCGACGTCCTCGCCGCGGCGGCATGCTTTCGGTACTACGCTGGCCTGGCCGACAAGTTGAAAGGTGACACAATCGAGACCGATCCTGATACAGTCAATATGACCCTTCGCGAGCCTTTGGGTGTTTGTGGTCTGATTGTTCCGTGGAATTTCCCATTGCTGATGTGTGGGTGGAAGCTTGGGCCGGCGCTCTGCGCTGGCAGCACCGCTGTGCTGAAGCCGGCAGAACTGACACCGCTGTCCGCACTATTCCTCGGCAAACTGGTTGTCGAAGCTGGATTTCCGAAAGGAGTGGTCAACATTGTGCCAGGATATGGCGCCGAAGCAGGTTCAGCCCTGTCCGGACACCCAGATGTGGCCAAAATCTCCTTCACGGGAAGCACACAGACCGGCAAATCTATCCTTCGAGCTTCGGCCGACTCAAACCTGAAGAAGACAACGTTGGAGCTAGGGGGAAATCACCGAGCATCGTTATGAAGAGTGCCGACCTGGACATTGTTGTAGAATGGTTGAACGGCGGGTGTTTTTACAATATGGGGTGAGTGGCGCACCGAGTGCTCAGGATTTTGATGCAGCTGTTAGAGTGACCCAATCTAATCTACAAGGACAGGCAGAACTGCTGCGCCAGTAGCCGCATCTTTGTTCAACGAGATATCTACGCAACTTTCCTGGCAAAGTTCAAGACTCGAGCTGAGAGGAACGTCCTTGGATCGCCCTTTGATGGCAACCCTTTCCTAGGACCACAGATAAGCGGCGCGCAGCATTCCAAGATTCTCGGCATAATCCAAGAAGCCAAGGCAGAAGGTGCCGTCTGTATAGCTGGAGGAAAGTCGCCTTATGGGTGGTTCGTTGAACCCACCATCTTCAAAGACGTCAAGAGCACTATGAAGATTGCACGAGAAGAGGTCTTTGGCCCTGTCGTCGTTGTGGCGCCCTTTGACGACGAGGGTGAAGCAATACAGATGGCCAACGACTCTTGCTACGGCTTGGCCGCCGGCGTCTTCACCTCGGATATCAAGGAGGCTATACGGATTACGAAAGGGGTAGCTGCAGGAACCGTCTGGGTGAACTGTTACAATGCCATCTCCCATCAACTCCCGTTTGGCGGATACAAGCAGAGCGGGATTGGAAAGGACCTTGGACAAGCATCCGTCGATGAATTTAGTCAAGTCAAGACCGTACGTGTCTGGACTTGAGTTGGACACTTTGAAAAAAGCGGTCATGGTGAAATAACTACGTTGATATCCTGAGACTTTTTATATAACTGTTTTCAGGCTCTTCTTTTGGCACGGCTAGAGTCAATATACGATCCGTCGATCGAGGATGCCACAGAGGGTCTCATCTTCCTCGGCACACCGCATCGTGGTAGCCATATCGCAGCGTATGGAAAGTGCCGACGAATATCCCGCCGTTCCATAAACCCGATGATCGACCTTCTTCTCGTCCATTAGCGGTCGTCTAAACGAATTCGAACATTTTCCTACGCCTCACTGGGGACTTTCGCTTTTGACTTCGTCTAGATCGTGAAAGGGTCTTCTCCACGCGACGGGTCTTTGTTTCTATAACTATTCGCTGCTGCAACATGCTGTTAAAGCCTCTTCTGGGCGAACAACAATGTGCTGTCATCTCCGACGCATTGCCGACCCTAGGGACCATTTGCCAGTCCCGCTGCTGCCACCATGAAACATTCTCTGGAGCATCCCGGGTTTGCCTTGCCTTTCTGCCTCTTCCTGTAATGCCACCTCCTCGAACTTCTTCCTGTCTGTTGTCAGATCCATCAGCATGGCCCGCACCCTTTTGGTGCGCCATGTGATCTTCCACCCAGCGATATTGACCAGGTATACTGCAATGCCGATATAGCATGTCATGAAAGTCGAGAGCGTGAAGTGAGGTATGAATGCGTTATATCCTGGAACTCACAGAAAGTCTTAGAGACGGAAATTTTGCGCGGACAACGGAGGGGCCAGCATGTCCAAACTCACCATTGAAGAATGTGATGACCACAGTCATGAACAAGGCGAACCACGCGCCATACGGTTGCAAAGGCCCTCGGTAAGCCAGCTCAGCCCGGGAGATGCCTTGAGCCTGCATGCCGCGGCTGAATCCGATATAGGAGAGGAGGATGTTGATCCAGTTGATGGTGCCGAAAACGGTGACTAGACTGACAAAGTACCCGAACACGGTCGAAGCCGCTTTCGACACGTTCATAAATGCGAGCGATGCGAACACTGAAGTCGCTGCCACGCCATAGATGGGTACACCACGTGCTGTGGTGTAGGTAAATATTTGTGGAGCCTGTTTGTCTTTGGCCAGGGAATAGAGGGTTCGAGCGCCAACGTAAATGTCTGTCAGGACCATGTCAGAGGGGTTCCAGCCAGGGGGGAAATAAGAAGATATACCAGTATTCGCCGCACTGATGACAAACACCAAGAGGGAGGCATTAATGATATCGGGGAGGACTTTGATCCCTGCGAGCTGGATGGCAATGACAAAAGGAGACGCTGCTGCGCTAGTCTTTGCCTTGGTCGCTCCAACCAGTCTATCATTGTCGTAAGGGACAGCCATGCCCAGAACAAGGACGCCTCCAACGTAGAAAACACCAATGCGCCAGAGGGTTTGTCGGATGGCTCGGGGGACATTGCGTCTAGGATTGGGTGTTTCTGCGAACGCGGCACCCACCACTTCGGTCCCAGTATATGCAAAGCACGACTGTACCATACAGGCCCAGAACCCGAGGAATCTGCCCAGCGCACCGGGTTGGAGGTACTCTGCGAAAGCCCCGGGATGATTCCAGTAGCGGAACCCCGTTCGTTCCCCCGAAGGGCCTCCGCCGAGTGCCACGATGAGACAGGTCAAAATAACCACCAGAAGAGTGATGATTTTGAGGGACGAGAGAACGAATTCGGCTTCGCCAAAGTTGCTGACATGAAAGACCTATAGGAGGGTGAGTCTGAGCAACCGACACTGTTGAGAGGTAGACGATGGCCTACATTGAGGGTGACGATGACCACCGCAAACACAGCCACCCAGATGCCGACATTCAAGTCTGGTCTCCAATATTGGATGATGAGTCCGGCGGCAGTCAGATTGTTGGCCAGAACGATGGCATATTTGAAAAAGTAATTCCAACCCGTGGCAAACCTGTGGAAGGTATCAGTAACGTGGTCGCGGCAGGGTTCAGAACAGAGAAGAATAAATTTACCCTAAGGCAGGGTCAACAAAGCGAGTAGCATAGCCGTTGAAGCCTTGATCCATGGGGAGAAATGATGCCATCTCACCCAAGGCCGACATGGTGAAGTAGATGATAGCACCGGTGACGATATAGGCGATGAGTAGGCTTGCTGGACCACCTCGAGCGAGTCCCTGGCCCGAGCCGATGATCAGGCCGGTGCCTATCGCTCCGGCAATGGCGAGCATGTTGACCTGACGAGACTTGAACTCACGCCGGAGATTTTGGTGGCTGCTGGATGTGGTTTCCACCATCTCCCCTTCGGTGTTGCTGACAGCTGTAGATAATTCTTTAGGATCGCCATGGGATGCCTGGTCTTTCTGATATTCGTCCATGATCGGAATGGACTACCACAGAAGGGCTCAGTCGGCAATAGATGGATGATTATATATCGCCAAATATAGCGTGCAGATTCTTAAGGAAAAGATGCAGAGAGTTTCTGAGCCGTGGCACTCGCATCGTCGACCTTGTAGGCTCATTATATAGGTCAGTATCATTTATCACGCTTCTCTGGCATCTGATTGTCACGCACCGCCAAGCTGGCATGAGTTGTGAGAGTGTAACTAGGCCCTCCAGTGGTAGAGCCCGTATCGTAATGGGGTGTTGGAGGTCGTATTATGGGTCTGTCCCCAGGCGGAGGATGAAGTCCGTCAGAAGTCAGAATGCTATCAGCACGGACCAGTGCTTTTATAGGCTAATCTGGTCCTGTCGATCGACTGATAGGTTGACCTAGAGTGATCAGCCTTCCGGGTCTCGTCCTCCGAAACACGTGTGGATGTCCTGAACGAGTCCGTAGATTTCGCCTCTCCCTCCTAACTACAGCTTGTATATATACCAAACATGGGCTCCAGAATAAACGGCGTCTGCAAAAGACTGGAGGCAGCCGAGCTTCACCGCAGTCAACATGGGATCAATTACAATAGAAGAGGTCGATATCGCCCAGGGCCGGGAGACACCTTTCACGAGCCAGCACTATCAGTCGTTCTCTCCTGCTGAGCACTCCAAGCTCCGACACGCGGTGCCTGTTGCCGATGAAGAAAAAAACACCTACCTCAACGCTTCGTTCCAGCCTCCTATGAACCTCAGAGTCAAAAATGCACTCGACCAATTTCTGAACCAGGCCACCACCCATGCGCATCCCAAGCCTATCTGGCAGCAAACGACTTCAGAGAGCCGGATTAAACTCGCCACATATCTGAACGTTCCAGAGCATTCGCTTGCATTCACGCGAGACACCACCGAGGGTCTGAATTTGTTTCAAAGATCTTTGCAGTTCACTCCAGGTGACAATGTCGTGCTGTTGGACGTCGAACATCCTAACCATGTATATGGGTGGCTCGGTCTCGTGGACGCTGGCTTGGAAGTTCGACTGGTGCCGACCGGCACGGACACATACGCAGACGCCGACACATTCCAGCCGTTGGTCGACAATCGCACCATCGCCATCGGACTCTCTTCCATCATGTTTCACTCGGGTCAGATGAACAATGTCGGAGATATATGTTCTCGCTTCCGACCCCGAGGCATCCACGTTCTTGTGGATCTCACGCAGCATGTCGGAGTGGCCCAACTTGACCTCACAGCCTGGAACGTCTCAGCTGCAGCGTTTGGTTGTCACAAGGGCTTGGGTTGCCCCAGTGGGCTGGGTGCTCTCTATATTAGCCCTGATGTGCTCCCATTGCTACGACCGACACCACCCATCGTTGGGGCAGGCGCCATTGCAAACCTTCGGGCAGACCTGATTGCTAATCCTGAGGTGCAGTACCACAAAACATCACAAAGATATGAGCACCTCAATCTATCACTTATCGGTGTCGCAGCGCTCAAGGCGTCATTGGACTTTCTAGTGGATGACGTGGGCATTGACAGAGTAGAAAGCCACCTCCGCGCATTAGGTCGCGAGCTGGCTTTGCGTTGCAAGACACTCGGCGTGGAGGTGGTGGGAAGTTCGTATGCAGACCGACGAGCACCACATTTGTATGTGCTGAAGCTGTTGCATCCAGATTGGCAAAGCCACCTTCGACAAGACCACATATATGTGTCTCACTATCGCCTTGGTATCAGAGTGTCATTTGGGTTTTACAACAACGCCGATGATGTCGCTGAACTCGTCCGGTCGATAGAGAGAGGACTGCAAAAGGGTATCCCTCGTGAATGAGCCGGTCCTGCTCTTTAGACGGGGCTAGCTCCGGACTAAGACCGTAGCATAGTTCAGAACAAGAGCTATTCCAGTCTTTCATGATCCTCTTTGTAGTTCATCTGTCTCGTCTCTTTGACGAGAAGTCAGAAATAAATACAAAAACACGCTGCTTTATTACATCGGTTCGTCACGTGCATAACCTCCACATGCTTAATTGATGTCATTCAGCAATCTCGGTGCTCCCCTTTGTAGACCCAAACCGATCTTGACAGAAGTTGTCAGGGCGATCATCATCCCCATGATAAACAGATACTGCATGAAATGAACTCTGTCGTCGAAACCACGTCCCAAACATCAGCCCTCGTAGAGAAGACAGCCGGTCATATCGCAGTCTCGTTGCATTACAGGGTACCGGGCCTCCTACGCAGACCAGACAGGTAGTACTGCTAACGCTGTGTTAGTTGTATAGTCACTGGAGTAAGATCCTCGCAAGTAGCATGAATGGACCATTCTCGACGGCTTTCGTGAGTCAAATGATCATTCGTTCTTGCACATCCTAGGGGGCTAAGACGCGTTCCCTTCAGATGCCGAAGATGTCAGAATCGTAAGGTCAGTTATCCCAACTGTATTTCAAGGTCAACTTCACCAACTCAATCTCTTGATTCTTGCCAGATCAAATGCAGCAGAACGCAGCCGTGCTCGAACTGTGTGGCGGCAGCTATCCCGTGCGAATATCCGAGAGTGGACGCTCGGAAAAAGCCCGTCTCGCACAAGTACCTGTCCGCGCTTGAGACGCGGGTCGCATGGTTTGAATCCTTTGTCAGGAGGCTGCAGTCAGCCTCGGCCGAGGAGCGAGATATCTTGCTGCAGGAGATCTCGCTGGATGACCATTTGAACGAACCAGAGGCAGGGCTTTCCGCGTCTCAGGGCGATGCTACTGTCGCCTCTATCAACCTTGACAGCGCGATTTCATTGGAGAGGGACTCTTCGGGTAAGTCTTCATCCCGGTGGGTGCCCTGACCTACCTCCAGCTGACGCAATGCTCCAGGCTCGTTACAATATCATGGCCCTACCAGTATTTTTGTCACCGAGGAAGTCGAAAAGGAAGGCCGCACTGGACATCCCTCGATTGGCCCACTGGGACCGGAGATCTGGAGCCACAGGCGATTGGCCGCGGCCATGGGCATCGACGACGCCCTCATCAACACGTCCCTGTCGCTCTTCTTTTTGCACCAGTACCCTCAGTATATGTTTGTGTATCGGGAGGCCTTTCTCGCCGACTATCTGGGCCACACACACGGAGGCAAATATTGGTCCTTCCCCTTGGTTTGTGCCATATGTGCCCTGGGAGCTGCCCATTCCAAGGACCCGAACGTCCGCGAGAGAACCAGCATTCTCGCCAAATGTGCCCAAGAGATAATTGTGACGCATGGCCTTGCCAGTCCACAACCCACCAGTGTCCAGGCTCTTTTATGTCTGGCCTTCCACGAGTTGGGACAAGGAAACTCAACACTAGGATGGATGTTGTCGGGTCGGTGTCGAACTTCCTTTTTGCTCTGCGGAATTGATGACACTGATACATCTTACACGTATAGGCATGGCGTTTAGAATGGCCCAAGGCTTAGGCTTCCATCAAGATCCTAGCAAATGGGTCATTTCCGATCAGACGATCACTACAACCTATGATATCGAAATCCGTCGGCGGATCTATTGGGGCTGCTATGTCGCAGACAAGTCTGGCTCTTGTTACTGTTGTTTCCAGAACAGTGAGCTAACGTCATTTCTCCAGGTTTATCAGTCTCTACCTCGGCCGGCCAGTAACTCTATCCGAGAATGACGCAGCGGTACATCCGACTGTTCCATTGCCGTACTTCTTTCTGTCCACCACTCCTCCCCGCGACGGACGCTCGCTGACCCTTCTGTAGCAACTTCCCACCGGACCATGAATGGTTTGGACTGAAGGAGATCGCGGCCAAGACGGCATCGTCTGATACTCCTCGGAAACCGCAGTTGACAAATGCGTTGAAGTACTCTGTCATGCTCGGCAAGATCTTCCAGGACATCATGGCCGAGGTGTTCGCCCCGAGAAAATTCGAAGAGGGCGGAAGCGCACTGATTTATCGGCTGGGACAGCTCAATCTCAGCCTGAGTCGCTGGTATAACGGCATCGACGAGCCTCTGCAATGGAGCCAATGGACCTCTCAGGGGAAAGAACTAGAAAACCATGTCGTCGTTCTTCAGTGAGTGGAGACTTGCCCAAGATCCGATTCCCACTGACCAATACGCAAAGCCTTTTCTATCACAGCATTTGTATTTCGCTTAACCGCCATTTCATCCGGCCGTCGCACGGGTTTCCTCTCAACGAATCTTCGAGAGCGATATGCAACGAGTCATGTGACGCTGTGGTGGCCATGATCCGACAAGTTCGCAGCCAACATGGATTTCTCGGATGTCCACTCATCTTGGTTTACGCGCTCGTCATGGCCGCGACTACGATTGTGAACTTGCAAGGTAGGCTGTCTGAGATGGGGCGAAGGAAAAACCACCGAGAGTCTCCTGCTAATACGAACATCTAGTGACTGAAGCGGCCACCACAGACTCCCGTCTTACATTCCTTCTCAAGGCTCTTCAAGAATGTGCCCCTGTCTACAGGCTCGCAAAAGAAGCAAGGGCAAGGATTGTCGCGTATGTGAGCTCGGTCAAGTCCTTTGCGTCGGGTCCACGCAGTCGGCAGCATGCACAGCGGCCATTGACAACGAGGGACGCGCAAGGTGCGGGTGGAATGCTGGACCAGGACTTTGGGGCCTCTTCGGACGAAGTGTTCCCCGCGCCTGGGCTTCCCACCGGGCCCGACGATGTGGACTGGCCTGCTTATGCTCAGCGATCAATGCACGGTGACGAAGGCATGATGGCGTTCGATTCTCCTTCAAATCTCATGAGTGGGCTGGACGACGAAACGTCGATGATGTCCATGGAGGACGGCGGGCCCAGCACGGACGGGATTGATATAATGAACAATCTGCAGGGATGGTTCTCGCTGGGAATGATGGAATGAATCCCATCGTCTGTGATCAAGAGACTGGTTGAACAGAGCCCAGCTCCCATCATTGTTGAACCTAGTCCGAACCGTCACATCGCAAGGCTGAAGTGCTAGTCTTTTGTCTCTAAAACCCAGCGTAGGGCGACGTTACCGACATTGATGGCGCAGCTGCAACAATAAAGCGGCAGGGCGCAGTTGCTGCTCTAGGAGATGGATTCTCTCGCTGCCTTTGCACATGCCAAGCCCGATCGGTTCTAGTATGAGCGTGAACTCCGCATGGAGCCCAGCACAGAAATCTTGAAATTTCCCCACGCCGTTCGACGCATGTGGCCGACGCTTGCTTGTTGAACATAGATACCTAAGCCCTGCATTCTAGAATGGGGAAACGGGGCGGTAAGAGAGTAGGTACGTCTGTCCCAGCGGAAGCTTTTCAAATCTAACACTCACCCCAGGGCAACCGAGGCCGCGGCGGCGGCCCACCACGCCCAAGACAGGACAACCGCGCATACAAAGCAGAGATCAGTCGATACAACGAGAAATTCGAACAATACTACAATGAGCTTGGAATAATACCCGATGATGAGAAGTCTGATTTCTGGGAGGCCATGCGGAGAGATCTGCCCAATAGTTTCAGGTTCACTGGATCAAAGGCGTATGTCCTGTTCGTTATACGTACAACCCAGCCTCGCTGATGATTTCTCCTAGACATGCCCTGGCTGTCCAGCAGCGCCTGCGCGACTATTATATCCCTGAGATCACATCCATAACTTACGAAGGCCAACACGTCGATGCCCCGCGACCCGTCGAGTGGTACCCTGATCAACTGGCCTGGTTTATGACCACCCCCAAAAATGTCATCCGTCGCTTCAAACCATTCGCGAACTTCCAGAAATTCCTGGTCGCGGAGGCAGATGTTGGAAATATCACTCGGCAGGAGGTCGTCAGCATGATTCCACCCTTGCTCATGGACCTCAAGCCTGGCATGACCGTTTTGGATCTGTGCGCCGCGCCTGGGAGTAAATCCGCGCAACTTATCGAGATGATTCACGCTGGAGAGGAAGAAAGGTCCAGACAAGTTGCTACAAGTGTCGCCAATGGTCTCGATCGACCGGAAGGAGAAGATTACGAAGATGACGGTCGCTCCACTGGTCTGCTCATTGCCAACGATGTCGACTATAAACGAGCCCACATGCTGGTCCATCAGATGAAGCGATTGAGCTCGCCGAACATTATTGTGACGAACCACGATGCGACTGTCTTCCCCTCGATAAAAGTGTCAGCCACCCCAACGAATGGCGGGAAGCCAGGGCAGAATAGGTATCTGAAATTTGACCGTATCCTTGCTGATGTCCCTTGCTCCGGAGATGGCACAGTAAGGAAGAACATGGAGATATGGAAGAACTGGACACCTGGCAATGGGCTCGGTCTACATGCGACGCAGGTCAGAATCTTGATCCGTGCGCTACAAATGCTGAAGGTAGGGGGACGAGTGGTCTATTCAACCTGCAGCATGAATCCGGTCGAAGACGAGGCGGTCCTTGCGGAAGCCATTAACCGCTGCGGAGGCCCTGAGCTAGTTCAGCTACTCGAAACAAAGGATTATCTACCGGGTCTCAAGCGATCTACCGGGTTGAAAGAGTGGGCTATCATGGATAAAATCGGTCGGGTTTGGAAAGATTACGACTCTGTGCAGAAGCAAAAAGAATCCGCGGGCGAAGAGGGTTTGGGTCGCTTGTCGGAGAGCATGTTTCCGCCGAAGAATGACTTGCCCCTGGACAGAGCTATGCGCGTTTATCCTCACAAACAAGACACTGGAGCATTCTTCATCGCCATCCTGGAGAAACGGTCCGAGATCAGAGCCAAGCCCGAAGAGAAGCCGGCGGTTGAACCGGCGACAGTAAAAGTAGAAGCCGCCGACTCCAACGAGACGATCGAAATCGAAACTGTCCCTAATGGAGCGGTCGAGAAACTCAACGGAACGACACCCCTGGATGCAGACACACCGACTAAGAGAAAGCGCTCCGTTGATGAAGAGGATGTCTCGCCGGTGAAGCGAGTCAAGAGCGAAGAGCAACCCGACAGTAAAGCTGACACCAGCAACGGGCAAGCACCAGTGACGGACGACTCTGCTGCGACGGCGAAGCCATCCACTACGAACGGCCAACTGTTGAAGAAGAAGAACCGTAATCAACCATTCGAGGAACCATTCAAGTACCTGTCACCCTCAATCCCCGAGCTCGCCCAGATCAAAGAATTCTACAACCTTTCTCCCCGATTCCCGCAGGACAGATACATGGTCCGTAACGCTCAAGGCACCGCCACCAAGAACATGTACTATACCAATGCGCTTGTCAAGGAGGTCCTGCAAGAGAACGAGGGAAAAGGGCTCAAGTTTGTGCATGCCGGCGTGAAAATGTACGTCAAGCAGGACGCTCCGGCGCCCGATGTATGCCCCTGGCGGATCCAGACGGACGGGCTGCGGCTCCTTGAGACATGGGTCGGTCCTGAGCGCATCATCAAGCTGCACAAGAAGGAGACGTTGAGGAAGCTCCTGGTCGAGATGTTCCCGCGGTTCCACGGCGACGAGTACAAAAACCTCGGCGAGGTCGGCGAGCAGATCCTACCCTTGAAAATGGGCTGTTGCGTGCTTATTGTCGAGCCGAGTGACGCCGAGGATGGCCTGAGCGAACGCATGGTCTTTCCTCTTTGGAAGTCGATCCAGAGTTTGAACTTGATGCTCCCCAAGGAGGATCGAAAAGCCATGTTGTTGCGGTTATTCAACGACGATACCCCGCTGGTCAATCTGAGTAAAGCCTGGACGGCTGGCGGAAAGACGGATGGAGCAGAGTCGACAAAGGATGCGCAGAAGACTGGAGAGTCCGACGTGATAGACGTCGATGAAAAGTCTCAAGAGCCGGCAACGGATCGCGCTCGCAATAGCAGCTCTCCCGAGTCTACGGCCGGCAACGCGGTCGATGACCAGGGCAAAGGCGAAGACGCTGGCCAGGGCGCTGCAGTTTCGGAGGATGAGGACGAAGAAGAAGATGGCGGCGTGCAAATCTCTTGATCATAGAGCCCCTAATTAGATACATTATAAGCTTGAATTCTGGATGCATTATAAGCTTGAATTCAGTTCTTATCTGAGAGGACATGGGCTACATGAACGTGCCATTCCCTCTTCCCTGACCACCGGTGTCTTGCCTTCTGTCTCGGAACAGCGCACAGAAGCATGATCATAATTCAGCCGCAACCCTGACTAGAGATATATTAAATGACAAAGATGAGACTGGGGAATGTTCCTAAATTTGACAGAGTTGGATTGAATCAAGTCTGTACTCTGTACCCTGTACCATTTTGGGCTTGAGGTTATTTGTTTGGGGTTTGTATCGTTGATAAGGAGGGAAGCAAACAAAGCAAAACAAGCTTGAATCCAAAGCGACAACCGAGCACCACGTCCCAAGGTGTCTGGGGCTGCATCTGGAATCCTAGCTAGCCTAACAGCTTATCTTCAAGTAGTATGTAAAATCATCTGCGTCTCGCATCTCAGTCCGTACCACTCAACAGCTTGACTCAAGTACTAAAGCCATCCTTTCGCAAATAGTACGACAAGTCGGCATTGGTCGCGTCTCTCCAGGTGGTGCCGTTGCCGAAGAACCGGAAGCGGTTGGGACTGCAGTACTTGATGTCGAAGTCTTCGCCGCGTTGAGTGCTCATCAAGTCCTTGAAGTGCATGGGGCTGCCGGCCCACATGGCGGTGACGGGGCCGTCGATCTTGTTGTTCTTGTACCACGACCGGCAGTGGGACGTGTAGACGGTGCGTTTCAGATACTCCTGGGTGTAGACGTTGAAATCGTCCACCGCTTCCTGCTTGGGGTCGATCGAGTGGATCTGCTCCTGGGCCATCTTTTCCACCCACTTGACTGCGTACGCGCCGGCCCATTCCATCTGTGGAATCAAACTTCCATTGCCGACGGCTGAAACCAAAGAGAAATAATCCGTCAGCGTGCGCGCAGAAGAAGGTGAAACATCAACATTCATTTTAGGAGCAGTTCGCACCGTGAGCATGGGGTCTTGGGGTTCAGGCCTTGGCCCGCGGTCAGGCGAGTGGGAAGTTGATATGAAAAGACTTACGCGAATTCGGTCCCAAAACGAAGAAGAGATTGGGGAAATCTTTGGCACAGACACTGAAGTATGATTGTGGATTGTCCTTCCACTGTTCTTGCAGTGTCTTGCCGTGGCGGCCCGTCACTGTCCACTGTTTGGCGAAAGAGACGTCGAATCCGGTCGCGCAGATGATCGCGTCGACTTTGTGCTCGGTCCCGTCCGAGTCGACGATGCCGTCTTCGGTGATGCGCGCGGCGGCATTGAAAATCGGCGTGACGTTGGGTGCTTGCAGGGCCTCCAGATAGCCATCGCCGGGACTCAGACGCCGGCATCCAAAGGACCAGGTGGGGATGAGCTTCTCGGCCAGCTCCTTGCTTCCGTTCAGTCTGGTGGTCATGATCCGTCGAGACTCCTCTTGGAAGAACTCGTGTTCGGGCGTGCCGTACTCGAGTCCGCGATAGAGCTGGTTGAAGTCGTGTTCGATCTTCTTGCGATATGCCAGCAACTTCTCCGCATCTTCAAACTCTTTTTTCTGTTCGGTTGAATACTCGAAGTTGCCCCCTTCCGCACTGGCATGCTGGGCGGCAAAATTCGAGCTGATCCACGTCGGTGACCGGATAAAGGTGGTCATGTGCTTGACCACTGGTTGAAGTTTTGGCACGATCTGGATCGCAGATGATCCGTTCCCAATCACGGCGACTTTTTTGTCTTCATAGTCGTAGCTGTGGTCCCACACTGCCGAGTGGCAGAGATGACCCTTGAAATCCTTCAGGCCCGGAATACTGGGCCACCGCCAGTTGCTGGGAAGGACGCATTGTCAGTGTACATGCTGTGCGGATCACTTCTGGACGGGACCTACTTGAGCACACCGCTGGCGTTGATGACGACGTCAGCCTTATCCTCCTTGACGTGCCCATTGACATCCACCTTGACATGCCATTTCCCTTCCTCTTCAAGCCAGGTTGCGTCCAGAACTTGGGCATTGAAAACAATGTTTTTGGTAAGATCGTATTCCTTGGCCACGTTTTGGATGTGTTGTCGAATCTCCGGCCCCTCCGCGTAGAAATGCGACCAGTCTGTGCTGGAAGGTTAGGAGCAGCTCGGGTCAATTGCCGGGAGCCGACGTACTTGGATTGGGTCCCCAGGTGAATGTGTAGATATGTGCCGGGACATCGCATGCTACACCGGGGTACTGGTTCTCATACCAGGTCCCTCCAACCTCTGGGTTCTTCTCATAGATGACATGCTCGCAATAATCTTCCATCTTATAGTCATGTTGGATCTAGTCTTGTGTTAGTCACGACATCTTGCAACTTTCTCGCATCACGCTGGACTTGCCTTGTGCGCCACCATCAGCCCAGAGAACCCTGCGCCGATCGTAATTACTCGGATCTTTCGTGGGGTGTAGAGAGGCTCTTCCATCACAGGTATCCAGTTCGCTGGCTTGGGCAGAGCACTTCCAGCCTGTCCATGTTGATTGTTGACCCATTCCAGAGGAGTCGGCTTGTCGCCATTCGTGGCTGGCCCATTCTGGTGGAATTCAGGGACTGCCATGTCCTTCGATGTACAGAGTTCTGTGACGGGTAGAACCACCATGGGCCTGAAGTCTCGCTCTATTTATCTTGCTGTCCGTGATGAATATCGACATAGGCGTTGGCCTGGATCCCAAAGCTGTGATTTGAGCAGTTCCGCGCGTGGGACGTATTCCGCTGGAATGGCGGATTGAATCGATATAGCATTGTTTATTCGTAGGTATGAGCGTGTAGACAATGACCTAGTGCAAATGAGGGCCTACCCCGTGGGGATGGATAGGGTATGACTCCGGGGAGTGCGGGCCATATTCCGATTGTGGGAGGTGTGCGTTGTGCGTGGAAGCTTTCTAGATATTCTTGCTTCTTCATGAGAGCTTGTGACAACGCCTCTAACGTCATTGGTCGCCTATCAGAGCAGGAGTGCTGCTTCTGTTTTGAGGCCTATACATACCTGGGCCAGTTGGTCAAGTGGACCTCCGGAGTGATGGCAAATCCCGCACAACCACCATAGGCTGCCCTCTGCCAGGCAGCAACCCATGGGATACTCGTTTCATAGCCTGTAGCTCCCAGGATACAGGCAAATGCGAAGCTTCGTACTGGACACACTCTGAGACAGCGTTCTGGGTTCGATCATTCAATCTCCAAGTCATGAACAGGGTGCTTGAAGTTCGAGGTGTTCTGTCCAGTTGTTCAAGAGCTTCTAAATGCTCTGACGCAGGACAAAGACAACAGCCATTTCGTCGACATGCGGGGAAACGATCTTCTTGGCCCGACTCTGTCAGTCAAAAGTCGATCGTCGATTCCTGTCCTCACAACGTGTGAAGCCTTCCTATCAGGACTGTACGCGGAGGCCTTCCGTCCGAACTATGTACCGGTGTGAGGTAGTGTGCAGGAGCACGGCGGAATCAGACCACCAATTTAATGTCCTAGGACAACGACTAGTTGGCTGTTCGAGGTAAGGAACCAGCTTGCCCCTTGTCACATGAAGGGAAGGGCCGTTTAGAGGGTCGAATGAATCTGTCTCGCCAATCACATAAGCTTTCTTTACTAGGTACCCGCTAAGGGACACGTCAAGCGCCGGTCGCTTCATCTCCATGCGGGGTGCTGGCAAAATGTGGAGGTGGGCGGAATTCAGAGTGCTGTGATCAGATGGCGTTGCTGAGGGCATTGATAAACGAGCTGATGCCGCTAGGCCGCTGCGGTGAAGAAGCTGCATCGATTTGGATCACAAAGGATAAAGGGGATATTAACTTCACCACTTCCCCTCCTACCCAAATCTCAGTTCATACATCGCCCATCAGTGACCATGGTATCTCCCGCACAAGACGCCCTCCGGCGCAGTATGATCGGACATGGCGCATGGATGATCCTTTCCAGTCTCATTGGCGGCTTGGGCCTTTGGTGTTACATTTTGGGAGGATTTGAGATCATTCCCGGATATGTCCTCAAGTTCGACCTTGCTGGCAGCGAAACGGGCTGGGTTCGATGTCACACCGGGCCGGTCGCGAACGGATTCATGGTCATAGTCACAGCACTCGGAATCCCCCACCTCGACCTTCCCGACTCCACCGCAGAATGGCTAGGCTGGATCGTCATGATGGACGGGTGGTCGAATGTTGGGTTTTATTTCTTTGGCAACGTGTCACCCAACCGGGGCCTGGCTTTTGGAACGAGTCGTCTGGGGCCCTCGAACATTTTCAGCGTGTTGGCGCTTGGTCCTGCCTATCTCTTCGGGGTCCTGGCAATGGGGGCCTTTGGCCTGTTGGGTTACCACGCCCTCTTCGCCAGCAAGAGCAGCAAGGAAGCTAGCCGAAAAGCATCTTGACAAATCCTACGGAGTACTCAGGAAAGGATGCGAGAGACTAGCAACGAGGCGAGAGAGATTGGGCAGTTGATGTATGTATCGACTTCGTTCAGCCCAGGCCATTGCAGGCTGCGCCCTCTTGCTCTTGGCTGGGGAATCATGCGCAGGGTTTCGGATGTTGGGGGGGGGGGGGAGCGTTTGGTCTCGGTATCAACCGGGTGGGATTGCATCCAGACCAACCACAAGGCCAAGGCCAGGGAGTGGCAGTCGAGGAGGTGTGATTGTTATCAAGGAGTTCTTGAAATCCAATGTCTGCGGAGTGCAGAGGAGTGTCTACCCAGGTAGAATCGGGCAATGACGTAGTTCTTCAAGAAGGTCACGTGGCACTTGACTTTGCACGTGACCATTTCTTCATCTGCAAGGACCTGGAGCGCAGGTCGCCTTCATCCCTCATGCGTGATCCCATGCGTGATCCCATAGTGCACCCTGCCCGGAAGGGTGTGGATGAGTAGACAGAATGACAGTAGCAACGACGTCGACGGCGAGCTGCGTTGCGCCCCTATCATCATCTCCGCTCACAATCTGCCTTGTCTCAGCCATCACCCTCCGCCATGGAAAGGCCAGAGAATACGGCCTTATTACCCGTGTCGCCAATCAAAGGTCAAATGTAATGATTCGAGACCCTGCAAAAAGGTGTTTGAATCGTGGCCACGACAACTCGTAGCCGAGACATCTGCCGAAAAGCCCGACACGACCGATCAATCCGATGCCGGGTACATAAGCAGTGGCCACTCCGTCCGAATTTATCATCCTGCGATCAGATCACTCACCCCACCCTAAACCTGGAGGGGCGTGGGCGTGATTTACACCACTCGAAGAATTCGCAAACCAGCCTTAGCCATAGCTACTTCTCCCTATGGGGTACCTGACCTACGTGTGGCAGAAATGCTTTGTATCATTTATCAGGGTAGCGTTCCGACTTGCCCTCGGCGGAACGACCCCGAGACCTGATGAAGTGCTTCAAATCCCGCGTCGAGACAGCACGGAAGGCAAGATCAAGGTGCATGTCTACCGTGGCAAAGCACCAAAGCCGTGCCCGGTCTTGATCAATTTCCACGGCAGCGGCTGGACAGTGCCGATGCATGGCAGCGACGAAGAGTTCGCACGATGTGTTGTCCAAGGGACCGATTTCACCGTTCTGGATGCCACGTACCGTCTCGCACCCGAGCACCCTTATCCTGCGGCCGTGCATGATGCGGAAGACGTGGTCAGATGGGTTCTTGCTCGTCCTCAGGAGTTCGACCTCTCTCGGGTGAGCATCTCCGGCTTCAGCGCCGGCGGCACCTTGGCCTTGGTGACCAGCGGAGAAGTGTTTCCCAAGTCGACATTTCGCCATCTGATTGCCATCTACTCACCGGCCGATTTCTCCAGGGCGCCCCAGACGAAGAAAGCGCCGGACCCAACGGGCCAGCCGCTGCCAGACTGGCTGGCCACCTTTTTCAACAATTGCTATCTACCTCCTGGCATCGACCGGAAACAACCGACTGTGTCGCCATTCTTCTCTCGAATGGAGAATGTCCCAGATGAGATCGTCATCATCACTTGTGCCGGCGACAACTTGTGTGGGGAGGCCGAATCTGTCGCCCAAAGGCTCTCGGATATGCCTGGAAAGCATGTTTCTCTGCGGCGGATGGAAAAGTGTAATCATGCGTGGGATAAGTCGACCAAGCCCGGGTCTGTGCAAGAACAGGCCAAACATGCTGCTTACGACCTGGCGATCGAGACGCTGCGTCGATAGTTGGAATATACTTGAAGTGGCAGGGAAAGAGGAGAATGGGGGAGGAGCCCTGTCTTTTCTGCCGACCGTAAAGAGTAGATTCACTATTATAGAATCCTCGGGGGAGGCCGTCGGGGCAGTCAGTCGCTATGTACGCTGTACAGGATAGTAACTTTTGGATATACTGAGGAACCCTTGTCTTCAGTTCCTGTACGGCTTCCCCCGGGCTTATGGTACAGGACGCCCCTTTGGCCTTTGGCGGAGAAGACGGAACCTCCCACACTTTGACACTTTGACCCTGGACTGGATGCCGGTCCAGCTTTCTGGGGTAGAAGCATACATACATGGTCTAGACACTCCGTACTGCAGTGCGAATCTCTGGTTACTGTTACTAATCACATGTTGTACTGTATGTGTGGAAGAGGAGGGTGACTGCTCTCCACATGCTCCCCAAACTGCCCCTTTCCCTTCCCCGTTCCCCGTTCCCCTTTCCCCACCTGTCCCAATGCGTCTTGGTCTGGACTGGACCAGCACTGCATCTCACCAAGTTGTGGAGATTGCAGTATCAGTATGTACGGAGTACTCTGTAAAGCCCCGGATACCGCACGACCACCTGTCTGCCGGTCTCGCCGATCCAGTTCAACTGTAGCTTATCTGGGTATGTACCCAGGTAGAGTACGACTCGACACCTTTACTCCACATACAGTGCGGAGAATAGATGCAGCACTGTACGTCCGTCGTTTACAGAGTTCTCCCTACAGTATGGCTGGCCCATGGGGTTTCCTTGCATTGGACTTGGAATCCAGGATCAGGATCAGTACCCACCGCTGGAGCTGGAGCGTCTCCCGATCTCGATCCGGGGTTCTGGGGGACCTCGCCTCCACCTCCTGGGACACATGGGCGCAAGAGGCAGGGCACGCTGCCTGCTCACTGCGGGCGAGCCACGTATACATAATACAGGGCCTGGGGACTTGTTTGCCTCGTTGCAAGATGAGCTCGTCTCCTACGGTCAGTCAGTGGTTGAGAAACAAAGACAAAAGCGGAAACAATCACAACACAAGCACAGCGCAACCACATATATTGCCTTGACCTGCCTCGACCTGCCTCGACTGGACTTGGACTTGTCTTGATTTGACCCAACACCAGGCCCAGCCATCTTTGTTTCCCCCATCATGGGTCTCTTCATCCTCGAGCCCAAATCCGCCGCCCACGTGCCGGGCACGGTACTGCTGGACCAGCAGGCTGCACACTCGGAAGCAGTGACGGCGAGGTTGAAGCACGGCCGAGGCACGAACTCGCATATCGTGCTGGCGCCGCAACCGTCCGAGGATCCCAACGACCCTCTAAACTGGAGCCCGATGAAGAAGTTGCGCGTCCTGGTCGTCACGTACTTTGGCGTCATCATCCATGGCGTGGTCCCAGTGAGTATCCAGTCTCGTCTCTATATCTATACACAGCCCTTCCTTGTATTGTTACTTGTAGAGTTTCTGTGCATCTCCCCTCCCTCTGCGCATCTACCATCTGTCTCTCCCGCTCGCTCAACCCTGAACAATGTCAATGGCTGACCAAGAACCCAAGAACCCAATCCTGAACGCCGGAATTGTGCAGATCGCCACGGAGCTGCACCGGCCCGTGACCGACATTGCCTTGCTCTCGGGCTATGAACTGCTGGCTACGGGGGCCACGGGCCCGTTCGCGTCGGCCTTTGCGCGCAAGTACGGCAAACGGCCGGCGTACCTTCTGGCGTCCATCATCGGCACGGTCGGGGTGATCGTGGGCGAGACGGCCACGGGATACAGCACGCTCCTGGCGGCGCGGGTGATCCAGGGCATCGCGGTAGCGGCGTACGAGGCGCTGGGCATCGCGACCATCGGCGACCTGTACTTTGTGCACGAGCGCGGGTACCGCGTGGCGGTGATCCTGTTCATCCTCAGCTCGTGCTCCAACTTTGTGTCCATCGTGGCCGGGGTCATCACCACCAATCTGGGCTGGCACTACAACTTCCACCTCATGCTGCCCTTTGCCGCGCTGCAGACGGTGCTGTTCGTGCTGTTCGCCCCGGAGACCATGTTCCGCCGTAAGCCCATCTACGACCTCGACACCGTCGGCTCGTCCGAAGACCTGCAGCAGCTGGCCGAGAAGGAGGCCAAGGCCCAGAGGAGTGCCCGACACGTGGAGAAGACTGGTCTCCATGACCCAGAGGACCAAGATACCACCACCACCGCCACCAATCCCACCACCAATACCTCGACCGCGGTGGAAACGGAAACAGAAAAGACCCTAACACACACCACCACGATCGAGTCGATCCAACCGAAAAAGACCTGGCTGCAGGAAATGGCCGTGTACAACGGCTCGTTCGTCGACGACTCGATGCTCAAGATGGTCGTGGCCTGCGTCGCCATCCTGTTCAATGTCGGCGCCTTCTGGCAGACGGTGAGCACGGGGCTCGTCACGGCCTGGTACGTCGCCGTGGCCATCCTGTCGGGCGTGCTGTTCGCCGGACCCCCTTACCTGCTCTCGTCGGCCGAGATCGGCTACACGTCGGTCGGCCCGTTCATCGGCGGCCTGCTGGGCTCGACCGTGTGCTTCGTCATCTCGTCGCCGCTGCTGAAGTGGCTGACGCGCCGGAACAAGGGCATCTACGAGCCCGAGTTCTGTCTGGTGCCCGTCATCCCGGGCGCCCTGGTCGCCATTGCCGGCTTCCTGGGCCTGGGCTACAGTCTGCAGAACCAGCAGAACGTCTACGTCGTGTGTTTCACCTGGGGCGTCATCCTGTTCGGCATCACCTTCATCGTCACTTTTGCCTCGCAGTACACGCTCGACGCTTTCCGGAATAACAGTACCGAGATCTTTATCATGAATATGGTCTTTAAGAATTTCTTTTTTTATGGGTGAGCTTTGATTTCTACACACTTTTACGATCCCCGATATTCCTGAGCAAAGCTGACCTAACCACTCACACCCACACCCACACTCACTCTCACTCACACTCATACTCACACTCACACTGACTCTAACTCTCCAGGCTCACAAACTACATCATTCAATGGTACACGTCCGGCGGCCCCGTCCAAGTCTTCGGTACCCTGTCCGGCATCACGGCGTTTGTCTGCCTGCTCTTGATCCCGCTGTACGTGTACGGCAAGCGCTATCGCAGTTTCTGGCACCACTACAACATGCTCCGCATCCTTCGGCTGGAGACCGACCATTTGGGTGCAGATGGTGGTCACTGAGAATACAGAGATGCGAACGCGGTGTGGATGGTGGTCAGCAAAGCAAACACCAAACGAATACGGACTGGGTTCAGATGGTGGTCAGCAAAGCAAACACCAAACGGATGCGGACTAGGCTCAGATGGTGGTTACCAAATCAACAGAATGGGATAGGAACGTTGGGTACAGTACTGACTGAGGTCACTGAGTACAGGGACCTTGATCCGAACTCTGTGTGATACCGTGGTCGCTGCTGTTGGTGCTTCAAGCTAGACACGAACTTGGATGTGGTCTGGTGTATCTATAGTCTGGTGTTCTATGGTCTGGTGTATCTACGGTCTGGTGTATCTATCATAATCATCGGTACTGCAAGCTGCCAGGTAGGCACCACTGTAGCACACAGCAATACTTGTAGCAAATCCGATCGTAAGGCAGAGTGGAACAGAAAATCTGATTCTCATCGTCTGCCTTGGTTAGTACCTAATCTATACAAATTAGGGGTTTAGGTAGTATTGAGAAATACGTACATATAGGGGACAGCGTACTGTACAGTCGACCGTAACGTAGAGAATTCAGTACAGTACCTAAAGACAGTAGTGCTGAGAGGCATGGTTGAAGCCGCGTATAGATGGAGAGTAAGGTCCTTTATACTATAACAGGCGTGCCGTAGATACCAGTCACCTTAATATCTATAGTAGTATGAACAGGTGCTGGTAGTATCTCTACGGCAGTATATGCAGTCAGATGATACCTGACTGAGCGATAATATACCAGGCAGTCTACGACAATTCACTAATGTAGTCGAGATTAGTTTTCCCGTCAGATCTCTAATCCTCCCCCCAGTCCCCGTCCCCGTTCCCGTTCCACGTTGTCTGTTGTGTTACCCCGTTCCGTTCATGCCCCAGTCCAACCTGGATTACTGTACTATACTGTATGTGGGGTAAGTTGACCTACCTGGATTAGAGTATATATACGTCCAGCAGTTCTGACCGTTGCATGTAACAGGTGTACGGATACTCCATCCAGCTTACTCCGCACATTGTCATTGTCATTGTACAGTACTGTCCCTTGGCACGCGCTCACCGGGCACGGCATTCCAACTCTACTTTTCTCGGAAGAGACTAAGCGACAGTGGTTTGTCTTTTTGTCGGTCGGCTTGTTTACTTACTTACCTCTCTCTCTCTCTCACACACACACACACACACACACACATATATATATATATACATACTTACACCATGCCCCCCAGCATTGACCCTCCCGGAACGCTAATCCACCATGCCAACGGCCAAACCAGCCACGTCATGATCGACGACTTCACCGACCCATGGCTCGCGCACGAAACCGAAACCATCCTGATCCAACCTGGATTCGCCCGGCACGCCGCATTCTGGTATCACTGGATCCCCGCGCTGAGTCGTGAGTATCGCGTGGTGCGGCGCGACTCTCGCGGGCACGGCTGGTCGAGCGCGCCGGCACCAACACCAACCCGACCACCACAACCGGAGGATGACGATACCTCAGAACCCCCCTACGACTACGACTGGTCGGTCGACACCATATGCGACGAGATCATCGACTGCCTGGACCAACTCTCCATAGCCAAAGTGCACTTCCTCGGCGAGTCGACCAGCGGCATGATCGGCGAGATCCTGGCGGCCAAGTATCCGCACCGCCTGCGGTCGCTGACCATCTGCTCGTCGCCGACCTTCTTGCCGCCGCCGGCGCTCGAGCTGTTCGCCTTCGGCCACCGGGACTGGCCGACCGCGTGTCGCGAACTGGGCCCACGGGCTTGGGGGGAGGCGCTGTCCAAGGTCCCCGGCACCGTGTCAGTGCCGGACCCGGCCTACTTGCTCTGGTGGATCGATCAGATCGCCCTGTCGTCGCCGGACGGCCTGGCCGGCTACGCGGGCTTCTTGTCCACCCTGGACTCGAGACCGTATCTGGCGCAGATAAGGCTGCCCATGCTGATCCTGGCCCCGGCCAAGAGCGCCGCAACCACGCTCGAAGAACAGCGGAAGATTGCGCAGAGTGTGAAAAATAGTCGCATCGAAGTCATCCATGGAACGGGCCACGAGATCTATGTCGAGATGCCGCATGAATGTCAGGCTGCCGTGTTGGACTTTCTTAAGTCTCTGAAACAAAAGCCTTGAAAGTTAAATATAAAGGCCCATCTTCGGATCTGGTCTAGAATCGAAAAATATATGCCCCTGCTTCTCTTCGCATCAATGACCAGAGGCAGGCATCGTATCGACTGCCCGTTCACAGCCGGCAGAGGTAGTCATTGTATTGTAGCGACTGCCCATTCACAGTTGGAACTGGAATTTGGTGTGTTCGATCGGAATAGCTGTATCCGTCTCACTCGACCATGCGTCCACTGCCCTGGCTTGGGCCGCAGTTGCGGGTTCTGTCGCCATGGGGTGGAAAAGTATCAAGAAGGGTTAGCAGCCGATAAAAGCTGTAAATGAAGGTAAAGAGCAGGAGCAAGATGAGAAACAGCAGATGAGATATGCAAATACCGGTGAAGAGCGGGAACAAGATGAGAACAGCAGACGAGATGTGCGAATATGGGACATGAACAGAAACAAGGTGGGAAGGACCAGAAGGACGAGGAGGAAGTAGAACTCCTCCATGTTGTGCTCTTCAATTCGCGGCAAACGAGCACCACTTTCGCACCACTTTCGCAGGTACTGTACAGAGTGCCGCGGCGACCTCGAACCAGTCAATAAAACTCGAACCACACATATCACCGCTCCTTGAGTCAGGGGCCTTAGCCCTGTCATTCTTCCTAGCAACGCGTAGAAGACTTGTCTCTTGTGTATTCATATAAAACTAGTCAATTGGTCATATGAAATTCAAAGCACTCTATACTCTGCACTCTTGTCCAGCCACAATACCATTTCATTTTTCTCTCTTGTATCGCCAACCCCCTTACCCGCCACACTCTTCATTCCAATGTCCAGTCTCTCACTTATCCGGATTGATTCCCACGGGAATCAACCGTCGCTGACCCTCATCCACATCCTCACTCAGCTTCTCCCCCATCCATGATGGCTGGGACTCATGGATCTTGTCCTCGAGCTCGACCATGTGGTTTCCAGCGATAAAGAACGCCTTGCCGTTGATGCTCTGATCGACCGCTGGGAGCAGCAGAGCCCGCGCGACTCCCTCGGGCGTGTTGGCGGGAAGATGTCCCCATAAGTCCTTGATGGCGGCCGGCAGCATCGGAGTCACTAGGTACACATAAATCGTAGTCAGTCCCAGTCAATACTTTGATCCAGAAACCCACAAAGTCAATCAATCAGAGAAAAGGATTTCTTGTTCGGCACAAGAAGGAGAAGAAGAAGTAAGAGAAACCCAAAGCTGACCTGTCATCCACGGCGCGATCATATTGATCGTGATGTTTCGGCGTGGCAATTGCGTCCTGAGACTTCTCATGAGCCCGAGAACGCCGGTCTTGGCCGCACAGTACTGGTACAGCGGCGGCGTGTCGATGTAGCTGGCCGCAGAGCCCGTCAGGACGATTTGGTGCGTGCGTGGGGAAGATGTGTGCGGTGGTGGCGACTTCTCAAAGTAATGCACGGCGCATTTGACGAAATAGACGTGCGCGACCAGATTGACCTCGAGGTTCTTCAGATCTGGCTTTTGGAGGCGGCCGGTGGCAGGGTCGTACGAGTCCTCCAGTAGGTTCTCTCTGTTGATCCCGGCATTGGAGACGACGACGTCGAGATGGCCGAATCTCTGGTGTGCTTGCTCGAACATCTCGACCACGTCGTCCCATTGCGACACATCGGTCTTGCGGAATTGAATGCGACTACTGGATCGGCACCGTCACCGTCACCGTCAATACCAACACGATTACACACTTGTGCCGTCGACAGGAGATGACTTGGCTACCTAGGTAGCTAGTCCCACTGGTCATAGTAATAGTGGTGGGTTTGTCTGGGGTTGTCTGGCTGGGCTGGAGGGGAGAGGCAGATCGCGTTATAGGGAGAAGAGCGAGAAGGAGAAGGAGAAGGAGACGGAATAGGAATCTCAGTCACGAACACTTCATCCTTGAATTCCTCCAGAAGAGTCGCGGCTTCTTTCTCATTCCAATCCGCCAAAGCGAGGTTCGCGCCATGTTCTGCACAACCGTCAAGTCAGCAATCCCGGACATGTCTTCTTGTCTCGCCAACAAGGGGGACAATTTGGGCAATAGTGGAAGTTGCGTTTTTGGTTGTCGTTGTCGTTGCTGTTGGTTGCTGTTGTTGATGCAGCATCAGGGATAGGGGCCACTGCATGTTTCTGTATAGTACTTGCCGTAAGCGAGCCGGGCTGTTGCGCGGCCGATTCCTGTCGCACAGCCGGAGAGAAGGATGGTTTTCCCTTGAAGGTTGTGGAAATCGATTGGTGCTGTGTACGTCGTCATTATGTTTGGGTTGGGCTTGGGTTCGTAGAGCGCTGCCTGTTCGCGGTTCAGGTTCAGTGTCAGGTTCAGATTCAGGTTCAGGTTCAGGTTCAGTGTATGTGTTTGGTTTGCGGTCGAAGGAAAACTACTAGTACACGTATATTACTGTCTGAAATCTGAGTAGAAGTCTGAGGAACCCCAGGGCAGCACGAAGTTCAACTGGAGGGGTTTAGGCCTCAAAGGCTGAGGTAGGCACAACCCAGGCGTTGGTTTGGCATCCTAATCCCTCCGCGGCAGCGAACTAGAGATGGTTCGGGGGTAGGTGGGAGGCGGGAGGTGTGTGAGCTTCTACATACACATGCCTAGTTAGGGGGGGTGTCTACACAACATAGGGGGTGTCTAATCTGGGGACTCTTCGCCAGGGGTTCTGGGTCGGAGTCTGGGGTGTACACTGTATATCCGAAGTGTGGGGGAAATGAAAATGGAAGCGGAAGTCGGAGACTGGAGTTGCGCCCACTTGCCTCTTAGAGGTTGGACCATCCCACTCTCTTCTCTCTATGTACATTAATTGTACGGAGTACAATAGGAACTGATCCCACTTACTGCCTTGGTTAGTAGCAGAGCGGCCTCCCACACTGACAGCTTAGAGGTAGTCTACAGATACAGTATCAGGACAGGGGGATGGACACGCTCGGTGGACACACTGATGACCTCGAAACGTCAGCCTGTTCGACGTGCTGTATGCGTCATGGGAATAGGCAAAGCAGGGTTCTCTCTGTCGCAGCAAAGCTAATTGTCATCGTTCCTTTCTCGCCAATCAGGTTAACATATATAGATCACAGAGTACCTAGTAGGACCTTGACATCTAATCCTTTCACAAGTCTCGGTCGGTCAGAAACTCCCGAAATTCGTTCTCACGGTCGAGGATGGAGTGCGTGGTCCTACTAACCAAAACGCAGTCTTTATGACCTCCCGCAACTCGTTTCTGTTCTTTCTACGGAGGATCTACCCTACACGTAAAGTCCAACAGAACGTCTCGAATACGTACCTAGGTACCTATATGTACGGTGTACATATGTAAACTACCTTTACCTAGGCACTTAGGGTTAGGGTTAGGGTTAGGGTTATGTCGGAGTGTGCCAATACACTTATCCAAGGCTTGGCAGCCTCCACGTAAATTGACCGCAGATTGCCGAGGCTATCCGCTATATCTGGACAGTCAGAACCGCGAGACGCGGCACCCTCGCTTTAGGCTTGGTGCCGGAGCACCCACAAGGGGAGCCATTTATTCTTGACTGCGACAGGCTGGGCCCTTTAGCCCGCTCTGAACACTGGTTGCCAGACAGGTCTGAGAGCAAAGCTTAGGGGCGGGAAAGGGAGACCCCAGTTGGTGGAAGATGGGGAATTCAGCGAACCCGACATTGACCGTCTTTTCGAATTCCGAATAAAATCTGAATGAAGATGATTTCACCGTGTGCTTAGCGGTCAAGGGCAAGGTCAATGTCAAGAGTCAAGACGAGATGCTCCCCGCAAGGATAGACACCCATGCTCATGTGCTTCCACCGGCTTGGAGGGAAGAATGCAGCCGACAGGGTTATTCCGTGCCGGTCAGTTCCAACCATGAGGCGCCGAATGAGATTGAACGTCAGTCTATTTGGCTTGGAGTACTGACTGATTGCAGGTCTGGACCGCAGAAGATCATATCCGATTGATGGACGAACTGAACATCTCGAGATCCATCCTCAGCATCACGGCACCAGGCACGCATATTACGCCTGGGGACGATGCACATGCTCGCAAGATCACTAGAGAAGCCAATGAATATGTGGCATCCGTGGTCCAAGCCCATCCGTCGCGGTTCGGATTCTTTGCCTCGCTGCCACTCCCGGACGCCGACGGATCGTTGGAAGAGATCGAATACGTCTCGCAGAATCTCCATCCCGTGGGCTTCTGTCTGGTGGCCAACAACCACGGCATATATCTGGGGGATTCGAAGTTCGATCGTGTCTTCGACAAGCTGAATGCAATCTCCGCCAAGGTCTTCATCCACCCGACGAACTGCCGGGTATCTCACACCAACGGGGAGTTCCACAAGCATGGCGAGTCTGAGTTGATCCCGCGTCTTCCTGGCGCCGTGCTCGAGTACTTTTTCGAGACGGCACGCGCGGTGACGAACCTACTGCTCTCGGGCACGGTGACCCGATGTCCAAATACCACCTTCATTATCCCACACTGCGGCTCAGTCTTGCCGTCCATCCTAGAGCGGGTAACTGGCTTCTCCACGCAATGCCTGGGACTGCAGGGTATCCCCACCTCGGACGCAGTCATAGACTTGTTCCACAAGCAATTCTATTTTGACCTCGCGGGCTATGTGCTGCCCGATCAGCTTCCAGCAATGCTTCGACTTACTTCCGCCGATAAATTGCTCTATGGTAGTGACCTCCCATTTCCTCCCGTCTCCGTGGTGAGAACACTGGCAGAGAGCCTAGATGAATATTTGAAAGAGAACGTGGAAGAAAAGGTCATTGCCCAAATCTATAATGGGAATGCGGCCAATCTGTTTGGAGAACAGGCTCAGGCTTCCAGATCCGTCTAGGCCCGATGCTTAGACTAGCTGTGGAAGACTTGCAAGGAGCCAAACTAGACATGGTAGTCAATCAGAACACAGTCCATGGTGGCCGGAAAATACATCGTAGGTGCATGGTACCACTATGGTGGCACCTAAGTCAGGGAACGCGGGTGGCATGATCTTAGCACCTATGTAATCTGCGGCCTTGGGCAGAGCTAGGTGCCTAATAGGTGCCTACTAGGGGTCCTGAGGACAATGACGGGGGATAGATTCGCCTAATGGGCTAGGGGCTAGGGCGCCTCTAAGCCCCTAAGCCCTCCACGCCAAGCACCGCCTGGTGGATGCCTGGTTTACGGAGAAGTTGGAGGAGTACGGAGTCAGTAGATTCCTATAGGCTGTTTAGGTCGTACTACTAATTGGTGTGACACGTGACTTCTTGTCTGGCTCAATTGCACTTGCCTCGGTCAGAGTTCGCCTCTTTCTCCCTTCAATGCAATCACTGCAGGCAGTGTTGATCTTGATCTCCTATGACCTCCCAACCTCCCGCTATAAGCATTGCGGATTCTGTCCAGTCCGATGGTAGTCGCTCCGTCGAGGCTCCCCCCACCTTCCCCCCGGGCTGGAAGAAGCGACTGCGCAAGTCGAGGGGAACAGGGCTCAGGTCCAAGTCAGGCTGGTGCGTCCCCCCCAATGCGAGAGGATTTGAGTCATGTTATGACTGATGCGCTTGGCTAGTATCACATGCCGGAAGAGGCATCGGAAATGTGACGAACAGCGTCCGGACTGTGGCAATTGTCAAAAGATATGCCGTGCCTGCGTGTGGCCAGATCCAGACAGTCCTGGCGCGGCGAGGCCACCATCAGAGGGAACCGACAGGAGTCGGCTTGCAGTGCATGAACCTGAGTCCTTGCCCTTGCGCGAGCCAGAGCCGGGGCCTGAGCCCGAGCCCGAGCTCGATCACGAAGTCCTCGCTGGAAACATGAATGGCTATGCTGAGCAGCAAATCCTGTTGGATTTCAACCACAACTCCATGTTTTCCCCAGAAACCTATCAACGGTACAATTATTCTCCGGTCCTTGAAACGAGCCCCGACTGGACTGCTGATCTTGCGTCGGCGAGGTGGTTCAACCTCCTCACTGCCGATGTAGGCGGCGTCACAGGCTCATTGTCCCGGATCAACACGTCCACCAGTGCCAGCGTTGATTCAGGACCTGTGCATGATCTTAACCCAGCTGGCTTGGCTAACTCGGAGGACAACCATGTCCACGCTCGCCCACGCTCGGAATCGGTCGAAGTTTGGCAGTCAGAAAAGGACTTGCAACTCACTGCTCTTGAACTGTCTGTTTTCCAGAATTTCGTTAGACGATGCTCCCTTTGGGTATTCCTCCCCCTTTCTGGGAGCCGGATCTGGTGCTGATTGTCCCATGCGCAGTTGGATCTCTTTGACCCCCAGCAAAGCTTTGCAGCATATGCCACTCGTCTGGCGGTAGGTGCCCTTAACCGAGAAGTTGGTGCTGTACTCATGGCTTCCCTGTGTAGCTCCGGAATGAAGGTCTGATGAAAGCCATATTAGCCCTTTCGGTGCAGCACACTATCCATCTGAACCGGCGCCACCGGACGGAAACTACCCTCGACTCGAACCAAGCCGTCCAATACTACCATGACACCCTTCGTTACGTGCAGACCGCGCTGCAATACACCAGCTACACCCTGTCGGAAGAGCTGATCGCCACCTCTTTGATCATTTCCACCTATGAAATGATGCATCAGTCTCACCAGGAATGGCAACGCCACCTTAAGGGTATCTTCTGGATTCAACGTTCTCAGAATATCAATGGACTGTCCAAAGGCATTCGGCACGCCGTGTGGCGCGCATGGCTTCGTCAAGAAGTATGGGCAGCTTTCAAGGAGCGCCGGAGATGCCTGAGCTACTGGCGCGATCCGAAAGACTTTGGCGATCAGGATCAGCATGAATTGGCGGATTCGGCCACCCTCCTCCTGCGAGAGGCAGTCAACTACTATGCCGAGGGCGGTGCGCCGGAAGGAACAGACGCGACAATGGGTCTTCAAGAGCAGTACAGAAGTCAAAGAGCCGGCCAGCTGCTGGCCCTGTTGGATCGGTGGAAGAGCCATTTGGGCGCCGAATACAAGCCGCTCCCCGGCCCTGACACCGGGGCGGTTTTTAGGCCGATCTGGATCCATCCGTCCAGGTTTGGCGCGGCTCTTCAGATATCTTACTTTGCGCGCCTCATCATACTTATGCATCGCCCGGTGAGTGCCGGCTTTGACAGCTACTCCAAGTTGCAGCGAGAGCTGTCTAGCGTGGTCTCGATGATTTGCGGGATTGCCATGGCGTTGGAAGATGAGGGTTGCCAGATCATTTCCTCACAATGTCTGTTTGCGGCCGGACTCTCTGTGACCGACGACAATCAACGGAACGAGATCATTTCTTTGATTGAATCCTGTGAAGAACGCAGTGGTTGGCCCATGTCTGCCCTACAAGAAGACCTACGCAAGGCATGGAGCAAAGTTGACGGAGTGGGTACGCCCAACGAACAACAAGGCTGAAAATAACCCGCACTTTTTTTGGGAAGATATGAAGAAAGCCATCAGTATCCTCTATGACAGGCATCACAGCGCCTGACTCTGGCCCAAACCTTCGAGAGACGGCACACAGTCGCACCGTGGATCACCATGCGCCGACGCTACCTGCGACTGGAATGTCAATGCCGGTGGTATAGCTCGCCGAGTCCGAAAGAAGGTACACATAAGCTCCTCTGCCGACTAGTCAGTCTCAGTTCCTCGAGGGGTGGAGTCATCGGGAAGGGGCCTGCAATTACCCAAGCTCTTGCGGCAAGGCCAAACGAGGCATGCCACGCCAATACTTCATTTTCGTGTCCCAATCGGGCGCATCTCGGACGTGATACGACAATTCGGTCAAGATGAAACCTGGCGAGACACTGTTGACGCGGATGGAGTGATCGGCCCATTCCATGGCCATGGTTTTGGCCATGCTCCTGATGGCTGCCTTCGTGGCCGAGTAAGGTGTCGAAGGCACGGTCTGTGACCCAATCAGCATGCCTGTCCTCTCGCCCGAAGGTGTGGCCTTCATGACTCGCCTTGTTTGCGCCGTAGGAGGCCATAGACGCAGTCATGACGATTGAGCCTTTTGTGTTTAACTTGAGGAACATTCTTGCGGCCGCAGTTGCACAATTCCAGGTTCCCATCACCTATACATGGCACATCAGTGGAAGTTCAGTGACTCGATCGAGACCGAATGACAGACGTTTATCTTCCAGAGTCTTTCCACCTCGGCTTGCGAGAAGTCCAAGGCTGATTTGTGGGCGGTAATGCCGGCGTTCGCCACCAACCCGTCTAGTCGATGAGTGGCCTCGACAATCGCGTCGAGACTTGACTCGACCTCGGCTTGATTGGTCACGTCCACTTTGATATGCTCCAGAGCGCCAGGATGCTTGCTTTGCAGCTCAAGGAACTCTTTACCCGGGTCTTTGATGTCGAGAGAGTATACGCGCGAGGCTGCATTGGCGAGACATGCCTCTGCCAGTGCCAGACCGATGCCTTGATTCGCGCCCGTGACTGGAAACATGCACCCAACCGGTGAGCAAAACCATACACAACAAGCGTAGAGAACGGGGGCCAGGCGGCTCCGAATCATGGATTGGCGATCTTACTGGCAATAACTTTGTCTTTCAATGTGACATTTAAGGATTGTGAGGCCAGAGGCATCCCGTTGGTTGACTTGGTGCCGTTGGTCGCAGCCACCCCTCCATTGGTGAGGGGAATATCCCCGTTGCTGTGTACCATTCTGCCAGAGTGTCGAAGGGGTCAAGAGGTGATGGTGGTGGGAGGTGGGAGGAGGAAGAGTCCGACTGGATGGCTATACAAGGGACGGGAAACCTAGTAATGGAAGAAACCAGAAATCAAGAGTTTGGAGACGCGTTTAACTCGTGACGAGCATGTCGATTTCACTCTAGTCTCCGGGTCCAGTTGATATCAGATCATGCCAACAGCCGTCTGCCCTCACCAGACCTAGGCCATATGACTTATGATTCTTGCCGGCACGGTACGGAATACAAGACTGCCATGCAATGAATGGTAAACCGGGGCGGAGGGAAGTCTGCGTCTCGAGGCTTGATGGTCTGTCTGTCTTGCAACCCAAATCCATCACCACGTGCTACCTCACGATCATGATTTCCTCTGGATGTGGATTGCCAGCCCGGGGGTCTATCGCATAGGTGTTAGTTATTGGTTCGTGGGTGGCGTCGACCATCATGGTGAGGAGTGAGGAGTGAGGAGAAGGCTTTAGTGGAACATGTAAGTAAACCAGGTCAAGTTCCCGAAAAGGATCGAGTGGGTCTGCACCGCGGCACGCGGTCATTCCAGGGGAAACCCGCCCATAGCTATGACCCATTCATTCCACCCAACTTCGAATGCTTTTGCGGCGGAACCTTCAACGTCTGTCATCCACCGCTTGGGGACCATTCTCGCCGTCGTCCTGATCTGGATCTGCCTCGGCTACATATGTGCTGTGACTACTACTATCGACATAGGATCGGGCGGGGTGGAGACTCAGTGCAGCCTAAGCCTTGCTGCGGCGCGACGACACGGGGTAAATTATTAGGGGCAGACTCTTCTTTATTGACGATCCACAATTCAGATACATGAGAGACTCTTCTGTCGACGATCCACAATTCACACACATGATCTTGAGGCTGAGGTGAATTGCGGCCACGCCAGCACACATATGATCTAACCCGAAGGCCGTCCATGCGGTACGGTACAACAAGCACCACTGGGACCATAAGACTTTGTATGCCTTGCCTGCGCCGAAATACCACTAGGACCAAAAGACTTTGTATCCCTGCGCTCAAGTACCACTGAGACCATAAGACCGTCAAACTTAGGCACATTCCCAGCTTTGTTCTTCAGCCAGAAGGGTGGTTTAGAAGGGTGGTTTAGGCACTATAGGCACACCTATATAGTCTGGCCTCTCCCCCATCCCCCTTTGATAGCGGACAGGGAACATCTCAACCTTTGACAAAGACTTCGTAAGCCTGCGCTCAACCTCGACCCCAGCCTTGTGGGTGAAGAGTGAAGCACTGTCGTCCGACGGATACCAGACTAGGTGTCTAGTGGGCATTGGACACTCTGACTCATTCAGCGTACCGCAACAAGCACACGAGCATTGGACACTCTGACTCATTCAGCGCACCGCAACAAACACCAACATACTCATTCAGCGTACCGCAACAAACACACGAGCATTGGACACTCTGACTCATTCAGTTCACCGCACATACACACGAGTATTGGACACTCTGACCCTTTCAACGCACCGCAACAACACCAACATGGTTCTCAAACCTGCCGTGGCCAGCATGTCGCTGGGGAGGGCATGGCTGCATAAATTGCCAAACAAGCTCGACCAGGCGGCCAGTCAGCACTTTCAAGGCGTGGAAATCTTCTACGAAGATCTGGAGTACTTTGCACGAGAACTGGCGTCATCGTCGTCGGGCACGTCTGCGGATCCAACAGCATCAGCAACACAATCATCGTCAGTATCACCACCACCATCACCATCTCAACTCCTCGAAGCGGCCACCACCATCCGCCAACTATGCCAGGATCGCAGCCTCACCATCATCGGAATGCAACCATTTCTGCACTACGAGGGCCTCATCGACCGACAAGAGCACGCGTCCCGGATCGAGAAATTGAAGCTATGGTTCCGCATCGCGCACTCCCTCGGCACCGACGTGATCCAGATCCCGTCCAACTTCCTCCAAGACGGCATCACGGGTGACCGGGACGTCCTGGTACAGGACCTGGTCGAGGTGGCCGACATGGGCCTCCAGGAGCGACCGGTGATCCGGTTCGCGTACGAGAACCTCTGCTGGGGCACGCACGTCGACACGTGGGAGAAGGCGTGGGATCTGGTGCGCCAGGTCGACCGTCCCAACTTCGGCATCTGTCTGGACACGTTCAACATTGCCGGCTCGGTGTGGGCGGACCCAGCCGCCGTGACGGGCAAGACGGCCGACGCCGACACAGCGTTGGCAGCGACCCTGGCTAAATTGCGGAAGGACATCGACGTGACTAAGGTCTTCTACGTCCAGGTCGTCGACGCCGAGCGCATGCGCACCCCACTGGTCCAAGGCCATGCTTTCTATGCGCCCGACCAGCCGGCCAGGATGAGCTGGTCGCGCAACGCCCGTCTGTTTGCTTTCGAGGAGGGCGGGTACCTCCCCGTCTTGGAAATCACCAGAACTATCTTGCAGGACCTGCGGTACCAAGGTTGGGTTTCTATGGAGCTCTTCTCGCAGTCCATGGCGGATCCGGATCCTTTGGTCCCGGAGACACATGCGCGAAGAGCCGCGGAGGCGTGGGAGAAATTGGGGAGAGAAATCGCTACTTGGGGGGTCGAATGATATGCTGTAAAGGCAACTGAGGCTCGAACAATGACATGCTGTAGGAGGCCACTGGGGGATCGAATAGTCATATACTATAGAGGAAGTCACTGGGACTCGAACCATCATACGCATAGAGGCTACTAGGGAACTCGAACAATGAACATGCTATAGAGGCTACTAGGGAACTCGAACAATGACTTGATATGGAGAAGTCCACTTGTCCTGTCGATAGAGGTAGTGGCCAGTCACTACGAAGCGACTACATACACCAACACCAACCACGTTGGTTGATTTTTACTTTGACATCGCATTCGCAGTCTAATTGATTCTTGCCTGTGGACATGGAATAGAGTATCATCATCGCTGCAAAATATATTCTGACCCATGACATGGAAGAGAGGACAGTACAGGGCCCATCACCACTGCCAAAGGTCAGGATGTCCAACTCAGGCACTAACTTAGGCATTCCCAGCCTTGCCCTTCAACCAGAAGGCTGGCATAGGCTCACCTATATAGTCAGGGCTCTATCCAATCCAATCCATCACATGCTGAATTTTACATGCTACCTTCGGGAGTTTATTAAACTATTCAGATTCAGGTTCATGTTCAGATTCAGATTCAGATGTAGACAGACACCGGCTCTCTGAAGATTCAGCCTGTAGGTGGATGCCTGTGGATGTGTAGAAAAGGCTAAGGCTAGGCCCTAGCACTTTGTTACTGTGATCGAATTGCTATTTCCCAAAGAGGCCAGTTCTGGACATTTTCCAGTTATAGCTTTCAACTACGAGATTAATACCTAAAAATTAATCCCCTTACTCTCCGATGCGGCCTTTTCAAGTACTTCCCAAGCCCCAGCAACATCCAACTTGGCCACGGCGTCCTCCCCTGCCCACAGACGGTACTGCTCTTGGATTTGGTGACCAATGATTTTGGTGCCATCCACCGTGGTCCAACCGTACTTGGCCCCCAGCTTCAAGGTCGATGTATTCCTGGGTTTGAAGCACATGTCTAGCAAGACTCCTTTGGGCTGTTGTGGTTGTTGAAGAAAGACCTCGAGAATCCGTCGGGCCTCAATCTCTTTAGGAGTGGTGGGTGGGAAGTCCGGCACCGTACCGACCACATAATACGGCGGTTCCAGTGTCTGTGCCTGTTCCACACTCTTGACGTGAACCAGTCTCAGTTCCTGCTTGAAGTCGGTCTTGGTCGTGTACGCTTTGGCGTCGGCAGCCAAATCGGCCACTTCTTGGTCATCTCGGTTGATAATGTAAATGACATTGCACTCCAGCCTGGCAAACAGAGCATAGACGGCAGCTCGACTGGCTCCGCCCGCTCCTATGATCAGGGCGGGTTTTTTGGGTGTCACCACAGCATTCGCATTGGCATTCGCAGTCGCATTCCTCAAGCAGCCTTCCACCCCGCGCCAGTCGGTGTTGGTGCCGCACAGTTTGCCCTCACTGTTCAAGTAGACGTTATTGCAGGCGCCGAGCGTGGTGGCCAGCTCGTCCAGCTCGTCCAGGTGGGCCATGACTGCCTTTTTATACGGCATGGTCACCACGCCGCCCGCGAACGTTGGAGCCCGGAACAGTTTCATCATGTCCTCCACAGTCGGGCATTCCACCGCCGAAAAAGTCCACGGCAGCCCCAGCGACGCCGCGATGAAGTTGTGCATGGCCGGCGCTATCGAATGCGTCACATTGATTCCTGCCAGATATGTATATTTCTGGTTGGGTTGGCTGGCGTCGACAATGCCGTTGGTGTTGGTGTTGCCGTTCAACTCGGCTTCACGGCCAGGTCCAGAAGCCGTCATGTTGAACTGTACCACTGACCGCGACGTATGTAGTTATCGAATCGAGTGTCGACCGGACAGTACTGTCTAGTCAGCCAGAGGCTTGGTTTGACAGGGAGAGCGAGCGACGTGATTATGGATCAGGCTGGCTGGATGAAGGAGGAGATCAGATAGATATACATGCACATGCACGCGGACACATACGTACAGGTGCACTGCTGACAGCCGTTGTTCAATCTAATCAGGTCTAATAGGCGGTTTCGATTTGCAAGTGCTCTGGTGCTTGGTCTAGCTTTTCCTTTATATTCTGCATAGGTCTCAAGCTTACCCTTGTCCTTGCCGTAAGGCGTGTTCCCGGAGCCCTCACGTTCGCCAGATGGAGCCTTGGAACACTCTACAGACCGACTCAGAATACCTAATCAAAAGTCATTCAGGGGTCGGTCGGCGCAGACAATTTCCTGAGTAGTTAGGTATAGATTTGGTCACGAATCGAATCGCTGTGAGCCTATCCGAGGACTTGGGGTCTATCCGTCGTCCAATATGGATATTTCCCATCAAATCAAATCAGAATTAGATAATCACCGAATCATTGAATTGAGGTATAGTGGATCCACTCAAGTGATTACCGTGAGCTGGACGCGAGACGCGGTCGTTGCGGACTACTCCTGAGCGGACTGACCACCCAACCACTGACTGACCACTGACGTTTCCTGGACCTTGAGTCCGGTCCCGCTGCATGTCATGCATGGGTCGAATATCTAGACAAGACTAGTTCTCTCTTGGAAACATGGTCAGTTGATGCTTGGAGTGTTCGAGAGGTTCAAATTTGAAGAAAAGGGGAAAAGAAAGAACCTTTTACAAGAAAAGGAGTGGCGAAACTAGAAGCGAGGAGAAGCAAGGCAACGGAAAATCAACAGCAAAATCAACAGCAATGCCGGATCTGCATAGTCTCCCAGCTGGGTCACGGCCTGAAAAGGCCATCAGAAACAACGGTCCGGACGAGCTGGCTCTGGAACGATACAAGCTGCGCGAACTGGCTGAAGGATGGCCTTGTTACCGGTAAGTTTTGCTCTTTGAAGTCAGATAGCAGAGCGAGAGGAGGACCATCTGTCATCGACCAAGTTAGTGTGGGTGGTGTTGGTGTTTGTTGGTATTTGTTGGTTGTGTTGGTGTTTGGGAAATTTCCATTCCTCCTTCCTTTTCTTTACATCTTTTTGGATCGATCTCGATCTCGATCTCGATCTAGCTCTAGCTAGCCAACGAGACACCCACGCTGACTTGACTGGGCCGAACCACCAGTGATGCCTGCGAATGGGAAAATCTGCGATCCATCTTCCACCCGTCGGCGTACATCTACACGACGTGGACAGGGCGGACATTCCACCTGGACTTCATCAAAGCGTCGCAAGCGGGCATGGACAAAGGGGCGTTCATCATGCACCGCTGCCACGGGACGACGACGGACATCTCGCCGGACGGGACGCGCGCCGTGACCAAGATGAAGGCGACCATCACGCAACGATTCACCATCGACGGCTGCGAGGTGGACGCCGAGTCGGACTGCCGGTTCTGTTTCTTCTGGGCGAAAAACACCGACGTCGAGACCGACGTCAACACCGGGGTCAGCACCCCCGGCGCGGATTACGGGAAATGGCAAGCCCGATTCGTGCGCCATTGGTACGAGAAGGACAAGCTGCTGCCGGTCAATCCGGCCAAAGTCCCCGTGCTGGACGACGCGAAGCTGCAGTCTTTCCCGAGCGGATACCGCTATCTCGCCTACTGTCAGGAAGCTACCATGGGAGTCACGGTCATGAAGGATATGCCGGGCCATCGAAGGGAAGGCAACAACCCGAATGGCTTGAAGCATGACGAGTTATACTGGCAGGCCAAATCTTGGGTCGAGGGGAGGGAAATCAAGCTCTAATTACAGGAGATATTCAGCATGTCGCGGGTTGGGAGGTAATTGCGGCCCTGTGATGGATTCTAAGTTCTTGATTACTGTACCCCACACAGCTAAACCAAATTTTGGTGTGGATGTCAGTTGTAGAATCCCTTCTGTGGTCTTTTCTTCATAGAGTGTCACATCTTGACCGCGGGCAAATCAAAAACCTGGGATCAAGGGAAGGGAAAAGGAGACGGAATAGAGGAAAATTATAACAAGTAAATCAGAATTGCCTGCCCTGTCCCCGTATTCATGCATGAAGTCATGGAATTTATGTACTGTACTGTACTGAGACAGCCTACCTAGGTTGATCGTGAGGACGACGGAGGAAAGTGATGGTTAACACACTTTGAAATACAGTACCCTTCTACCTGAGTAGCTTGCTTGGATGTTTCTTTTTATAAAGAAGGGAGCTGCAGCGGCCGCCGGGGACGTAGAGAGCTAGCTACACAAGTAAACATGTCCCTCGGCGATATTTTCACGCTTACGGGGCCAGCTGGGCACTCGGATGGGCTTGATCCAGGTGCGGGTGATATAGGTACATTAACTGAATGAATAAATGGTATTCATCTTCTACCTAAATTTGAAACAACACGACCGAAACAGGAAGTCGATGGGATACATCTATCCCGGGGGGCGGGTCGGCGAGGATACGCATGTACAGTATCGGTAGAGTTTCTGGTCAGGCAGTCGACAGCCACATTGTACATGAACCAATCCATCAGGCCTTCTCTTTCCCGGAGGCTTAACCCGAGTATCTGTGGCGCTTGTTTTGTTTGTCCGTCTCGTCTCTGGGAGGGGAGTTCAGTCAGTCTAATGTCCTGTACTGCTAGAAGGATGATGGGATGGCCTGACCTCAAACCAGACATGATTTCGACGCTCATGTCACCCAGGGCGTAGGCCGGATCCGTCAAGGCCAATTTGTCTCGGCGACGATTCTCTAGTCTCATGCCGGTCCAATTGATGGCCAACAGACAAAGATACACGCACAGCATACTAGCACGAGAGTCAGATTCGTAATCAATGGTTGAAAATAGCGGCAGCAGGGAAAGAGGAATGAGCGAATTGGAGTATGTACGTACCACATGACAAATGTCAGACCGGTGTGAAATCTCGGGCTCTCGCTTTGCAGGAAGGTCTGCGGACAGATGATGTTGATGGCGCAATAACAAACGAACGTCAGTGAGGTGGTGACTTGCTTCTTGGTGAAACCTCCGATGTTGGCCGCGATGACCGACATGATGACATTGTAATTGCATCCCGCGGCAGAGAGAATGATGACTGCGCCCAGCCTTCGCGATTTGTACTCGACTTCAGATGGCGTCACATATAAGATGATGGTGCCAATTAGAGCAATGATGGTCGCAATCGCCGTGAGAGGCTGCTTGCAGTTTCGGAGTCGACGGACGTAGCTGGGGGGGAAAGACACCAGAAGTACTGCCACAGTCTGATGATGGATGCATGGCGCCGGTCAGTAACAGGATCAGGACCAGGGTCAGTAACAGGATGAGTAACAGGATCAAGGATCAAGATCGACTCCCCTGAAACCGAGGATGTTACGGGACTGGCGGCAACTGAAACTCACTTGGATGGCATAGTTGGGTGCAGACAGTAGTTGAGCTTTCAACGCGGTATAACCGAACCCCTGTGTTAGGTCCGTCAGTAGGCGATCGATCAATCAGACTAGAAGAGGAAGAGAACAAGTCAGAGGCGAAGCATCCTGTTGCGTACCTTGATGATGATTCCGAGGAAATTGGTCGTCACACTCCCGGCAACCTGAGAGAAAAACATGGAAGCCAGAATCAACCAGACTCGGAAGTCGGTCAAGGCTTCTCTGAACTGTTCCCACTTGAAAGTTGCTATTAAGACAATGAGTTGGGTTGTTCAGTCAGGGTACGAAAAAGAGGAGAGGAGGGAGTTTCTGACTGTTTTTGATTCCCGTCTGGTCTTTGGCCACTCGTTCAATGGCCACGGCCCTCTCGCGTTCGTTCAACCATGTAACCTCACTGGGTGTATCTGGCAGAAAGAAAAACTGCAATGTTCAGACAAACGACCACAGTCAGTCTCAATATGTTCCTCATGATTCATGATTGGATTGGGGACCAAGCACCCGACATGTCATCAGGACAGTGGCGCGACAATTGAACGTGACTTACCATGATGGTGCCCAAGATGCAAGTACACAGCCCCAAAAGCAGGAAGATGAGTTGCCAGGGTACAAGCGGGCCGCCCTTCACTTGGCCGAGCCCCCAGAAGACGACCAGGAAAGGGATGGGCAGAGCTCCGTTCAGCACAGTCCACAGGCCAAGTCGAGCGGGTTGCTCTCGATGAGTATACCACATGGTCGTGATGAGGAGGAGACCGGGCACGAGGACGGATTCGAAGAGGCCCAGCAGGAACCTCAACGCGGCCAAAGACGCAAACCCCTTCGCGCCCATGCAGCCCAACAAGGTGCACCCCCAAAGAAAGTAGGCGACGCCCAACAGTTTGCCCACATGGAAGCGCTGCAGGATGGGCCCGGCAAAGAACGAGCCCAACAGACAGCCAAAGTAGAAGATGGACACGGCCCAGGAATATTCTTGGTCCACCAAGCCCAGGTCTTCTCGAAGGCCGTATGTTGCCGCAGATCCCAGGCCGGCCTTGTCCACATATTGCATCCCGCAGGCCACCGCGGCGAGCGGCAAGATTCGCAGGTCGATCTTGCGGAGGACCGCATTGCTCTCTTCTTCGGTGAAGGCAAGTTCTTGGTTGGCCAGCCCCTGGATGGCAATGTCGCCGCCGCCGCCGCCCGCGGCGAATTCGACCTGGCTGCCGAGCGGCTTGGTCGTGAGCTCAACGTCTGGAGGTTGCATGGTGGCTGGGGCTGGCGTGGCGGCTGTTCTGTTGTCGAACGATCGGACTGAGCGGTTTGGGATCGCTGAGATGAAGAGCAAGTCACATACTCCGTACTCTCAGACGAATACCACGGTCGTGGATTTCTTTTTAAAACTGTTCACCAAGTGCCCCTGCTCCTGGGGCCCCACTGGCAGTGCCACGTTCTGTACCAATTGATTAATGTCCACGAGCTCAAGGCTAGGAAGGTCTCGTCACGCGGTCCCCCGCAAGTCTGGGGAAAGGGAACAATAGGACGGAGAGAGGCGAGCGTACATACTGTAGTATGTACTCCATACATACTGTCATTTCCAGGAATGAAAATTTCAGGGAGGTTTCCCCCACAGAGTGCCGCATACTGTAACTGTCATAGCTTTAGGCCTCACGAGCCCCCCACACCCATCTGGCTAGGGTCGCCAGGGGTGGAGAGCGACCCCGAGACGCGTCTAGGGCCTGGGCTTTCCTCGACCCAGTCCACCGGAGGCAAGCTGATATTGACTTTGTCAACGTTGTCTTGTCGCGCAACGGAAGATTCAACAGCCACTTCTCCACAGTCAGTGTCTGTAGGCTCGGTTCTGAAAGTAGCCAAGATCTCCTGGTAGATTAAGTGGTGTTTTGGACGAGATTCAAGCAATCCTCTCTTCTTTCACTTCCAGTTTCGTGATAAAATGATTGAACTCGGTCAACATCGTCAAACGGGATATGGACACCGATGACTGTGGACTGCAGCGCAGTTGTCTTGGTGCACGAGGTCTTCTACTAGAAAGGACCAGGAAACTATGAAAGGTTGAAAAGTTCTATACTTTCTATTAAAGGGGTATAGAGTGAGCCTAGACTATATACAGTAGGTGTACCTATACTAGCCTTCTAGTTAAAGGGTAAGGCTAAGAATGCTTAAGTTAGTGCCTAAGTTTGATGGAAATAAATCGCTCGATGGCACCGAAGATTAGGTATTAAGGACTTAGGGACCTTCTCCAACTTGGACTGGAGTGTGTACTGTCCAGGAAGCTCACATCCCTCTCCTACAGAACTACCAGTACTGGCAGCTAGCTAGCTACCAGGCCGGGCCATAAAACCATCCAGCGCGGCAGCGAGTCTATCCATTCCGACTCGAGCCGCCAGCTTCCACACCGTGTCTCGACGACCGTAGGCGCGAGGATCCAGACTCTGCACATAGACATCTTCTCCCGTGCAAGGAGGTCCGTAGACCCGAGCACCGCCTGTGTCAGCACTGTGCTTCTGATAAGGATCGTCCCCATGCACGAAGGCGATGACGTCGCTGGCGAACCGCTGAGCCGATGTCTGCTGCTCGGGGCTCAAGTAGTCGTTGAAGTTCTGGAATAGAAATGCCACGTCCAGGATATGCGTCGACTCGCCCCGGTAGGGCCCGTCCCACGGATTCGGCTCGTTGAAATGATACACAAAGGCCGACTGGGGCCACGCGCGTGCGATGGTCAGCGTGGACGCATAGAACCTGACGTCGGTCATGAATCTTAAGATGTTGTTCATGGCTTCGTCGTCCGAGGTTGAGGTGGGCGAGTTGGAACGGGGGTTGATATTGTAGCTTGCGAGGATCGCTTCAACTACGTCTGGGGAGTCTTTGAGGTCGGTGGTTAATGATCGTGCGAACGATGCGGCAATGTCTGTCTTTCTGGACTGTAGGGCTAAGATGAAGATGCTTCCCTGTGGCCGATGGATAAGACATGTGAGTTCGGTTCCTTATTCACGATAGGGGTGACGTGATGGGATGTGATGTGCTGTGATGTGGTACGCTCTTGATACTATTAGGAGAGTACAGTACTTACGTCGAATTGACAATCACCCAGCATGAGTCGACGGCACCACTGCGTGCCTGGCACTTGAGCTGCAATATTTGGGGCAGTCCATTGTGCAAAGTCGACGCTGGAGGTGACGACGTCCCCATCCAGCACTGGGAGTAACGGCATACTGGGGCCCACACTGGCAAGAACAGTGTCCGGATCGACAGCCAGGAGGGCATTCAACTGGTCTGAAGGAGATTTTGTCGTGGCGATGTTGAGTGCGCTGGCGAGCTGGCTGTATGTCCCCTCGGCGACCGGAAGTGGAAGCGGCTTCATCAGCAGGGAGTTGCCGCTCATCGCCACCAGCTGCTTGAAGAGCGGTTCCTTCGACAGGAGGTGCAGGGTACACGATACTGTCAAGGATACATTAATCACAACGCGAGGTCAATGATATGGAAAGGGACCTCCACATCCTCTTCAGGAGCCGAGTAAAACAAGGTCATCTCATCTAGAGTCACTGCCACTTACCGCCGCCCGCACTCTCGCCGATCACCGTGACCTGCTCAGGGTCGCCGCCGAAGCCGGCAATGTTCTGCCGAATCCAGAGCAGGGCGGTGCGCTGGTCTCGGAGGCCTCGATTGGCCTTGACCCCGGCCTCGCGCAGACTCGACGAGTCGAGAAACCCATAAGCTCCCAGACGATAACTGGTGGTGGTGGTGGTCGGTCAGCTTGGACGATCGGATGGACGTGGGATAAAACGATAAGGTACTGTAAGGCCCCACTCACTTCACCTGGACGCCGATGACGGGCTTTTGCAGCTGCTTGCTGAGACTTACGATCCGAGTCAAGTCGTATTGTGGCCAGGCATTGGATCCGAGCATAAATCCGCCTCCGTGGATAAACACAAACACTGGCAAGGGGCGGAATTCGGATTGGGATTGCTGGGTCGGGGTCGGGAGATAGAGGTTCAGATTCAGACAATCTGTTACCGACGTCTCGAACTTGCCGTGGGCCAGGCTCTTCTGGATTAGGCTGAGTTCCAGATCACACGCCACTGGCGGAGACACCGCAGAAGGGCTGTACAATAGATTCCGTCAGTCACATACCGTACAGTACAGGACATACAGCCTTGCAGTGCACATATAGTACAGTAGTAGTAATAACGTTCGCCTCATGCAGTAAGTCATAGGATCGTTGGACATCCGGGATCCTGTCATCCCATCCGCCACTAGGGACAACTAACTAACCCAGATCTGGTCGCGTCGACAACCCCGTCTTCGGCTGCTTGTTGGCCGTAGCCGTACAATTCGGGCTCGGCAAACCCGTGGTTCAAGGTGGCATACTTGAGGCCGCGGAAGACAATCACTCCGTCTTCTTCGATCACCTTGATGACTCCCAAGGTTGCATGTCGGAAGTCATTGGTCTTGGTCATCTTGAAGACGCGTAGCGTAGCTCAGAGACAGTTGGATCGCGATCGCAGGGAAGAGTGGTCAGTGGTCAATGTTCAGAGTGCTGGGCTATTGAATACTACCAGACCAGACCAGACCACACCCGGAATGACATTTGCGAGCTACGCATCATTTATTGTGTGGTGTATGGTGTGCGTGTGTGTGCTGCAACCCCCAGCGGAAGAGGACGAGGACGTGGGGTAACACCGTCTCTTCGTCTGGATGATTGTGGGGCATGTCCTGTATCTGTACCTACGTACCATACCTGAACTTAGATGACCACCCAGCCGCAGTACTGGTATCTATTACTGAGTAATAGCTTTGGGGTTCCCTGTATGCTTCCGTTTGCGGGGTGGTGAGTGGTGACCCCCGGTCTTGCGGAGAGAGAGAAGTTCACTTCTCGAGTTGCTTGTACATACATACCCATACCATAGCCTTCAACCCGCCAATGGTGCCTGAAACATCCATTCGCTTGACTTCCTAAACTGATTGCCTGGGGCACAACACATACTCGAAAGATGGCCCAGATCCCAGTTCGACAAGACGTGTTGGCCACCTTAAAAGGCCGAACCATTCTGATCACAGGTATGGAACAGTGCTTCGGCTGTGTCGCGGGTGAGGGCTGATATCAGCGTGTTAGGCGGCGCCAACGGCATAGGCCGACAGACGGTTTTGTTGTTACACGGTTCGACCAGCACCAGCACCATCATCATCCACACGATACAGGTGCAGGTCGCCACTGACAGAGCTGCAAACAGGTTATGGAGCGAATGTAATTGTCGGCGATCTCGACGTCGCCAGGGGCGAATCCTTACTCGAAGAGATTGGCGGGTGAGTGAGTTCCCATCCATATCCACGGCAGCATCGCGTAGTGTGTAGCTGTATCTGAGGCTGAGGCTGACAGAAAGACTCTGGCAGAGCTGGCCTGTTCCAAAAGACCGATGTCACCAATTGGGAGTCACTCAGGGCGCTGTTTGAGGCAGCCAAGGCCAAGTACGGCGCAATCGATGCCGTTCTGGCCAACGCCGGTGTCCCGGAGCGACCCCCGTTCCTCTTCGACGAGACGCTGGACGAGAACGGGCTGTTGAAGGAACCTGACTTCCGCCTCATCGATATCAATGTGAACGGGGTGATGAGAAGTAAGTCCAGCCAGAGCGATTCCAATCTTTCTTTATCCCTACTGAGACGGCCCAGCTGCAAAGCTTGCTTTACACTACTTTGCCAAAAGCCCCACGCCGGGGGGAGCGTTGGTGATAACCGGGTCTGCAGCATCGTAAGTGTGTCTGTTCCTACAGCCCGTCTACAGGCTGATCCATCAAAGGTATTTTGCTTCACCGCCGATTGTACGGTACGGTGCAGCCAAGCATGCGGTAAGCAAACCTCTGTCTCAGGCTTTGCACCTACACGTCAGTAACCTGGCCGATATACTTAGCTTCTGGGTCTACTGCGTGCCGCTGCCGCAATGACGAAGCCGGCAAATGTGCGAGTGAACCTGGTTGCTCCGTGGATGACTGGTACGTACGACAGACGAGCCCATCTCGAGAGTTCTATGTCTCTGGAGATGTATGTAATGTGTTAGAGTGAAAAAGAAAGACTGACGCCAGTACTCCGTACACACAGCCACCGAGTTCAGTTCCGAAACCAGCGAGATCTGGGGCGACTTACCATTGAACACGGCCCAAGAAGTGGCCGAGGCACTCTGCGTGGCTGCTGCAGACAAGTCTCTTCACGGACGAGCACTCTATGTGGCCAAGGAAATTGTCGACTTTGAACTTCCGTTACACCAGACCAGGGAGAGCTGGATGACGGCCAAGCAAGCGGCGTGGTTTGAGCAAGGCAGAGAACGGCTGGCCGTGGGCATGGGGCTTCCAGGGGATCATTATCTCGCAGATGCTGTGTAGACTCTACCGAGTAGATCAGACTGCCGTGCTGTAGCCCCAACAGCAACATCGTCTGATAGAAAAGGATAGGCATAGGTATAGATAGCCGTCAGTGTGCTAAGTATGTGTTCGCGGCTGATCCCTGCAATGGACGCCCCTGCATAGAATTCTACTCCTCAGACTAGATGTGTATTTTAGGGTGCAGTCACTGAGAACCGTGGTGAGCAGGCCACATTGTCATTGTATAATAAGAACTCCCGTCTACATTATTGGAGACGACTTTTACCCATACAGTAAGTAATTGGGTGCTGTGAGCCTGAACCTGAGCCTGAGAATGCATCTCTCAAAGGTTGAATTATTCCCGGTTCGTTCAGGGGTATTCTGGTCATTGTTGGAACTCCACCAAATCTGGTCCTGGTCTTCCGCCAAAAGGGTGGGTGGGTGCAATCTTCGCTTGGTCCGATTGCTCTGCTTCTTGTGGTGTGGTGTAGTCAAAATTGTTCAAAAGAGTTGCTGTAATGTACGTTACAAATATATTCAGATTTCAGACTCCAGAATCCTCTACCCTTACCTCGCCCGACCCATTCTAAGATCAGATCCAGATCCAGATCCTGACCCACCGCAGCATTAGCATTAGCATTAGTATTACGCCAGCACAAACCCCCGGTATTCATCCTTCCGGACATCCTCCAGTGTCTTCTTATATCGAGGGATGCCTCCCGCATAGTTGAGATGCTCGCGCGGCTTGCCGGGGATGTTGGCGCCGTTGTACCACGAGTCCACCTTTCCGCGAGGGGTGTCACTGATCAGCTCAAACACCAACTCTCTCCACGCCTCTTCGGCTCCTCGTTGGGCGTCGATCTTCCTCACTTTCCGTTCTCGCAGGTCGACCAGCACGGCCGTGATCCAGTCGCCTTGGATCTCGATGCAGGATGGGCCATTGGAAAAGGCGGTGGGGGCCTGTGGGCCGTACGTACTATAGTAGATGAAAATTCATTATGTCAGTTGCTTTCTTTGTACGGGACACACAGCAATTTCATTCAACAGGGGTTCGGGTTTGGGTTCGTTGGGATATTGACTCTGACTCGGCTTGTCCACCAAGCCTCTTCAGGAGACATGCACTGCTCGTTCTCGCGCTCGTCTTCCTTTGGTCAAGGGAATCAGGAACTAGAGGTTCTTCTTTTGGGCCTCCCCCTTCCACCCCCCGGACCCCACTACCACTCAAGGTACTGAGATGATCAGGTCACTCACAAGAAAAAATTGGGGAAGCCTGCTGTCGACATGCCAAGGTACGTCCAGGTCCCTTTGGCCCATTTGTCAGTCAGAACTTGTCCATCGACGCCCGTGATCTTCATGTCTTTCAGCCCGCCAGTGATGGAGTCGAAGCCGGTGGCCAGCGCGATGATGTCGAGTTTGTGGTAGGTACCGTCCTCTTGGATAATGCCATCGGAGACGAAGCGCTTGATGGGATTGTTCCGCACGTCGACGACATCGACGTTGGGCTAGAAATTAGAAATGACCGGTTAGCCTCGCCCCGTCTGAAAAGAATTGGACAGTGGATATTGTCCTAGTATTAGTATAAAGAGTCTGCCATTGCAAGGCCAAGTGCTAACAGTACTATACCGTACGTACCTTGTTGAAATGGTCGTAAAAGTCCTGTTCGAGCGATAGGCGTTTCCCACCAAACAGATGCGGCGGTTCCCACGGGGCCAGGAGTTCCTGTTTTCTCGGATCGTGCACCCGCTCTCTTACCCGGTCTCGCCAGAATTCGTAGGCTTCCCGGTTCGCCGCAGGGTTGCGAGTCATGTCGTAGTAGTTGTTCATGAGGAATCGGAAACCACCCTACAATTGAGAGAGAGAGGACAAAAATATCAGTGGATATCCGACATAGGGAAGAGTAACAGTAAAGGTAAGACCACGATGGTCCATAAGTAATAAGAGCACCACCCGCAAATATACTGTAGAAGTAGAAGAACTCACCATCTTCCACAACATACGGTAAAACCGTTCTCTTTCCTCCTTGCTGTGGTCGAACGTCAAGCTGTCGCGCCACTGATAGAGAAAGCCATTGTAGTAGTTGTTCCGCGCGGCGAACGTCTCGGCCAGCCCGTCGACCAGCTTGTCTTGCTCCTCCTTGGTCAGCAAGACCTGGTTCATCCGGCACGCGAGGTTCGGAGTGCGTTGGAACATCTTGAGGTGGCCTTGGTCGCCGATTTCGCGGGCCCACTGGAACAATATACAGCCAACATGGTCAGCAGGTACACACACGGACCAGGGTGAGGATTATTTTCTCGGGATGAAATGGCATGGCGAGTAGGAAAGGAAATGGATAATAGAGTCAATATTAGAAGGAGTGAAATGATAGAGGTAAAGGGTGAAATCATAAGGTAAAGGAAGAAATCAGAAGGTCAAGGATGAAATCAAAGGTAAAGTGTGAAATCATAAGGTAAAAGGAAAGGGGTGATATAGTATATAGTCGAAGAAAGGGGTGTTGAACATACCTCCTGCGTGATCTGTACGCCCGTCGCGCCGGTTCCAATCACAGCCACCCTCTTGCCCTTGACGTCGACGCCCTCCTTGGGCCAGAAGCTGGAATGGTGGATGACGCCTTTGAAGTCGTCCAGGCCCTCCCAGTCGGGGAAATATCGCTTCGCCGCAAACCCCGTGCATGCCGTCCAGTAGCGGGTCTGGAAGGTGCGGCCGGTATCACAGCGGATGGTCCACCGACAGGCAGTGTCGTCCCATTCGGCCTCAGTGACTTTGGTGTCGAAGACGCAGTCCTTCCTGACCTGCAGCCGGTCTTCCACATGTTGGAAGTATGCGCGCAGCTCGCTGTGGTCCGGGTAGTGCGACGACCAGGTCCAGTCGCGGTACACTTCGGGGATGGACAGCGCGTACACCGGGTACTGGCTGTCTACTCGGGCCCCGGGGTATCGGTTCCAATACCAGATCCCGCCCAGGTCGGAGCCGGCCTATGGAGAGGGGGGAATGTCAATGTTGTCAAGATTGATCAATGTCAATAGAAAGAAAATGAATAATGGACTTGGATCATGAGAGAGGGGCGGGCCAATGTCAATGTCGATATCGGTCAATGTCAATGCAATGAAAAGAAAATGAATAACGGATTTGGATCTGTGGGTACTCCGTACCTCAACGATTTTCGCATTGAAGCCACGCTTCCTCAGTTGATGAAGCAAATACACACCGGCGAACCCGGCGCCCACAATCAGCATATCCAGAGTCTCAGTCTCGATAGCTGACTCGTCGCCATTTGCATGCCCATGATTTGTTGGATTATTTTCGATGGCGTCTCCCAAGTCGTGAGGCCCGTCGCCGTGGTCGCCACGGGGTGCGACGTTGCTGATGTCTCTCTTGATCGGCATCGCGGTCGCGGCTGGGCTGGATATCCTCAGAACCTTGCAAACAAGGCTGAAGGCTGTCTCTCTAACAGACCGACAGATAGCGTGGGTGTGGGTATATTTTTCACACTCACAGGACACAAATCCCAATTCTGCAGATGATGAGAGCGCAACTGAGTTGAGTGGGTGAGAAACAGTCAATATTGAACGCGGAGAAGCGGAGCTGCGGAGTTGCGGAGATGGATGCAATCGCTGGATGTATGTATGTCCTCATCGGTCGAGATGTACTATTACTGGACCCCATCAAGGGGAACCTGGGCACCTAGCTGGGGAAGCAATGCGGAGGAGACCTCGGCCTTGGCCTTGAAACCCCCTACCCTCGGGCAGCTCGGCTGGATCGGCACGGCGATGGCGATCACGATCAGAAGAAAAGGCCTAGCCGCATATGATCTGATCCTGCAGCGATGCGATACTAGACAGGACTTCCAATGGGTCCCCCTTCTTGTACAGAAGCGTCAAACAACCCTTTTTCATAGCCAAAGAGAGTCGTCAGAGGCTCTGCACAGAATTCAGGACCATCTCCAGGCCGATCACCATCCCATCCCACTTCTCCGACAGGCAACCCGTCCGGCCCGAATGACCAGTGTTCCTTCCTCTTGGAGATCTGGGCCGTGAGTTCTTGTCGCTCCCGCTTTCGAAAGACTACTAGTTGTACTCCGTCGAGCAGTTCGTCGCGTGTCTGCTCATCCGACGGCCGCGCTACCCACAGTAGGGACTAATTCCGATGGGGCGATGTTCAATATCTCCTGTGCGGCTGTCGTGGTGTAACAGTTTGGGTAAATCCTGACATTTCCAGTCCCAAACCGCGAAACACGAGGTGAGAAGCTAGCAGTGGGAGGTACCCAACGAGACAACCCAAAGGAAAATGACACCGTAAGGTACAGTACCGAACGAGACAAACTCTGGATCCTGAAACGATGGGACGAGAGCGACTCCGCACATAATTCTGACAGAACCATTTATGGTATCTCTATTTTATCTCTGGAATGAACTAGAGGAGCAGTCCTCTATCTGCGTGGCTTGGTGCCGGGGTATCACTTTTGGGGTACCGTAAACTCCAACACAATCTCCACTGCCTGAGCCTAAGTCCTAATCACCATTATCAGGTAGGCCTCATCACCGTGAAGCCAGGACCGAGCTGAAAGAGGAGTGACCAGGACATCCAGCGTTTGAGACTTTCACTCAGGGCCCTCTCACCTCTCACCTCAGCTGACATTGACCACACCAGGCTGAAAAGACACAGTACTCGCACAATTGCCCTTGCTTCTCACGACGTGATGGCCGCCCACGACTTCCTCGGTGGCGCATGTATCAAAGATGGCTTGGGCAGCCGCGGCGACTTCGAGCAACGAAACTTGACAATTCTGGCCTTTCCAGTCTTCGTCGTAGGTGAGGTACACGGAACAAGCAAGCCAGCTCTGTATAGTTGAGAGGTTAGCCATTATTATTGCAGATTGATAACGCACGCATCTAGCAGATTTGATAAACACACGCATCTGGATAGGATACGACTTACCCCAACAGTAACTCCCGCGCCGATCGTGGAGATGGATTCGTCGCCGGTCGTAGACACGAATTCGGCGCCACGATCCAAAACATCCATCATGGCATCGAGGCAATTTGTAGCGTTGGCCTGGTGTTGTTGGTCGGTATTGCAGACGGCCGCGTCGGATTGTGCGACCAAAGGTGCTTTCGATGACTGCTGCCACAAGGACTGGTATGCCTGAGCGAGTTTGTTATTGACGTCTCGCGGCAGCTTGACCCCTGGCTGGGAATATGCTGGGTCCTGTTTCTCGTCGGGCAGAGGGGCGAGATTGGTGCAGTCGACAAAGACAAAGACCACAGTCCCCCGGACGGTGCGCCAGTCGTGGATGCCGTCGTTGGAATCGACGCCGACGAGTTGATCGACGCAGGCGTTGCCGGTGCTCGTGAGGGTTTCACAGGGCATCTGGTATACGTCTTTCCAGCCCTCGGTGTAGGTTCCACAAGATGATCGGATGAAGGGGATGAAAGTCCAATAGCCACATTGGCCTTCGTCGAGATGTTTGCTGAATTTGTAGGATTGGCTGACTCCGGCTTTCTCGCTGTATCCGCCGGTGATTCTGTAAAGAACGGGTGTTAGCATGTTTTCCAACCATCGAGTGTGGTATGACGGTGGATAAGGTTCGATTGTGATATGATGGTGGACAGTGCTGTCGTGCTGCGATCACTTTCACCTACCCTATGGTCAATGGCCCGTATTTGAAGTTCCCGTTCATCTTGGCCTTCCAACTATAGCCCTGGTGAACCGATTCCGACAGTGTGCATGTAACTCCCCCTCGGCACATGGGCACTCGAACGTACGGTTGTTCTTGTCCATAGATGAAGGTCGTGCGCATCTGACAGAAGCTAGCACAGCTCCAGTAAGAATCCAGAATACCGAGCGGCAACACGTTGTCTTCGCAGTCGCCAGAGTTGGGTTTGAGTTGAAACTTAGGCGGGCACGCGTCACTGCCGTACTGATGATACAGTATGGGCACCCCGTCACTCCAGGTACAGATGTCCACACCTGCACTGGCTGGAGTCGACAAGACGGGCTGAAGCACGGCGAGGATGATGAGGAAGAACAAGATGGTCTGGAGGGAGATCGAGCCCATGGCGATTGCTTGAAAGCCCATTGTTGCTGTGGCAGCTCAAAGAATGATGCGAAAGGTACAAAGAACAGTACGAACGGTGCGAAAGGTATGAGCAAAGGAGGTGTTTGTGTAGAATGAGCAGTGTCTTGTTGTTTATAGGTGCACGACAACAGCATGAGGCTTTTCACTCAGTCCTTCACTAAAAATACATAACATGAGCTTTTCACTCGATCCTTCACTGGAAATTCACTCGAGCATGAGCTTTTCACTCAATCCTTCACTGGATCTTCACTCGAGCATGACCTCTCACTTAATCCTTCACTTAAAAATCACTCGCGCATGTGCCATCTCAGTGAATGCCTAGGAGTGCGAGACAAGTGAATCCATTCGACGAGGAGTAGGGAGGCCAGCGCCACCGACACTGACATTGACTGGACCTGGAACGATAAAACGACCACTCTGGTCCATCTCAATGCCACTCTCCCACTACCTGGGTCTTTTTGTACATCTACCAGTGTAAATGGAAGGTAAGAGTATGGGTTTTATGCATCCGCCAGTGTATATTGGAAGTACGAGTATGAGAGTAGAGGAGCAAGGACAATGGTCCACGATAGAGCTGAAATTGAAAATAGACTAGAGGGGAGTGTGTGCAATAGCTAATGAAGAGAAAGTACCTGATTATAGGTAGCTACTCTATTAAATGCGCGTATGGCGCTCCTTCCGCATTGCCCAGACGGCTCTTTGGTCTCCTGCCTCTGTAGAATGATCATCAGGCATACCTCACACCTGGTAGGTGCCTGGGTACCAGTTCCTGTTCTCCAGGTTAGGAGGCTTAGGGTGGGTGCCAGAATTAAAGACGGTTTATCTTAAAACTATTTTAATAGGATTAGGGAAACCTCCAGCTCTACAGGATGATTATCTTTCTAAGATACTAGATATACTCTACGGCCTCCCTAGAGTAACTCTCCTATTTCGAGTATTGAAATTGGAAGGACCGCCGTATAATCTGCCATGTCCTTTGGCACCAAACCTTAGGCTATAGGTCTCTCCAACCTGGGTATCAGTTCCTGTTCTTTACGTTAGGAGGCTATAGGTTACTCAAACCTGGGTACCTACTCCTGTTCTCCTGCGTTAGGAGGCTATAGCCAGCTCGGACCACGTCACAAGCGCTAGCCGACACCGAAAAGCCAGCCCAATCGCCGGTGGTGATGGCATAGTGGTAGAAGCCCAGGATAACTCCTCTCTCATCCTAGATGGCCGATCCACACGTGCCATCTGGGGGCGTTGTGTGCTGGCCCGATCCGTGCCCTTGTCCCAGGATATGCCACTGATAGAGCACATAGTTGTCTTTGAGCCTGTTTTCGGTTGGGTGCGATGATTGACTTTGCAGCTTGGCTGACTGCGCCACAACATTGCCCTCTACATGCCCTGTGAATGGGCTGTTGAGATGAATTCTATTGAATTCGACTGCTTCGTTTGGGGCAACAAAACGTGAAAATCGAGGTATTACGCCATCGGCATCCTCAAAGGTCTCGGCGGCGAATGGTACCCCGGCCTCCAGCTGGACCAGGCTGATATCGGTGGATGGGATTTCCACCACGGGCTTGCCCACCGTGCGGTGGGGGCGATGTGGCTGCCATATATTCTGGCCCACGCCATGAGACGCCACAGTCATGAAACGATTGCCGACACTGTTCTTGACGAACACGCCGGAGGTGGTGGAAAAGGTGGCAGGATGGCCGTGTTCCTTCAATACCACACTGTTGATCATCACCCCTGGTCTCAGGGTGTTATATGCAGTAGCGTCGACCACTTGGTTGAGTGGGGCAGGGTTCACTTGTCGTTTGGCTGGTAGATCGACATAGGCCGGCCGGTTAAGGTCCCTGATGTTGAGATAGCTCACAGGACAGTTTGCGATCTTTCCGGGAAGCTTGACAAGTATCGGGTTGATGTTGACGTTGTCTGCGAGTACCACATAGAATGCGTGCGAAGCCGCAAAGATGAGCTCGATAAGGTGAATACCTGGCAACCTCTTCTGGATCTCAGCATTGGTACTACGTGCCAGATCACAAAGATCTGTGCCGGAAAGGTTCGTAGAAAGGCTCGTGAGGTTAAAGTCGGGCCGGACGGAAATGGTGAAGTTGGCGAACTTCCACCGGGGGAAAATTAGGCCGTGATTATTGATGTTGGGCTCGATGAATGTGAACGGCAGTCCGCCAATGGTCAGCGGCCAGGGTGCTGAGGGCAACTCCTCGACCTGGAAGATGAGATGGGACCGGAACCGAGGCTCGGCAATGTTTTCGCACTTGGGAAAGATGTTTCGGAGGAGGGTTTGGACCTCGGGACTATCAAGCCGGACCTTCGGGTCCCGCAAGTCATATGGCAGCAGGATGTGCTGGGTATGCCAGGTCTCATCCTTCTTTGCTGGAGATGGGGATGGGGGGGCGTGCTTGCTATATTGGACCACCCTTGCCGAGCCGCCCGGGAACCGCGGTGTCGGCGACGAGAAAGACTTGATTGAGATTTGGGCACCCAGTGTGAGGTTTGGGCCGGGACTCTTCTTGGGCGTGGTGACGATCAGGGATCTCTTTGAAGACGACTGTTCGGCAGTGGGCGTGATTTTGCGTTTGCTCGACGGGGTGGAAGGGTGAGGGGGCGGGATGATTGGCGAGATGGCAATTCGCAAGATCTCGGGTGTCTGCGTCGTCGACATCTTGTAGACTTGGAACTGTTAACTGTAAGATGAGACGGTGGAGGCAATCTCAGCTGATACGTAGGCTTGGTGGCTGCGGAGATACTGGAAGAACTAGGGTAAAGATGAGATGAAGGCTGTTGTAGGCGAGAGTGGTATCAGGACTAGAGCGAGAGAGAGAGAGAGAGAGAGAGAGAGAGAGAGAGAGAGAGAGAGAGAGAGAGCTCTTTAAATACCCAAAGAGTGGCAGGCGTGTGAGTCAGAGAGTAAACTAACGGACAAACAGAAGTGAAGAGGCCAGGTGACTCAAGAATGAAAAAGTTAATTGCCATATAATTATAGTTTGATCCAAGAGGACGAGTGAAGGCTAAAGAGGCTGCTTTGGCCTAAGCAGCATGTGAATTCAATATAGAATTCACTTAGCTAGGAATAAGTCTGAGATGATTCAGAAATCGAGAAAAAGAAAGGAAAAAGTTACGACCACTATTGTTGAAATACAGGACCTTTAGATGCTCCGACTCGAAGCTTTAGTTCAGTTATTAGATGGGTGACTTATGGATATATTGGGGATGTTGACTTTCACTTACAACGGTTCGTAGGTGCCTGGAGTGGAAAGAGAGCTTTCGACTAACCCCTTACAGCCTGCCTCTTGCAGATTCCACCAGCTGATTGGGTGGAATAAGGAGCTCCTAAGGCTTCCTCCAATCCAATGTCCGATGGCTGACCCCACTGGCCAGGCTGTTCACCCTGTCTGAGAATACAAAATTTCGTCGCCTACAACACTGTCATCGAAACTGAAGTCAACACACGCTCCACCCATCATCGGCTGTGTCAAAAGACGTCCAAAAGTGTGCTTGATATTGAATAGGATCACATATCTGTGGATATATAGGTCGGCCTACCAAAGTTTCTCCCACATCCTCCGGACCAAATTCATCTCAGCAAGCCGTTTCTTCTCATTTTCCTCCCACCCGCCGTGCTCCCACTGCCAGCACTCTTGGTCGATCTCAGCCTTGCCGCTGTAAATATCAGCAGTCTTGGGGTCCACAAATTTAGACTTGAAGATGATACGGCCCAAGATGTAGGCGACAAAGGCATATGCCAGGCCAAAATATGAGGTGATGAACCCTTCGGTGCTCCAGGGAACAAAACAATCGAACCCAATGAAAATAGAGACGAGACACCCCACGCCCATAGCGACGCCGGTACTGTAGGGGGCAAAAGGGGCCTTGTACGGGAGTGTGTTTCGATCAATCCCTTGGGCTTTAAGCGCACGGTACCATCCGAAATATGTCCAGATCATGCCCATATAGGCCAGGACAAAGGCGATAGTGGTTAGGGAGACGAACCAGAAGAACACCGTCACGGCCGCGTTGGAGGCCACCAGGTAGGTTAGGCACGAAAGTAGGGTGACGGTAATGACGGTATAGATGGGCACTCCCGATTTGGTGCACTTCATGAAGAACTTGGGAGCCTGGCCGTCACGGGCTAGCGAGTAGAGGGTACGACTGGTCGAGTAGAGGTATGCGTTCCCACAGGACCAACCCGACAGAAGGATGAGGAAATTGATAAATCCAGGCAGACCGTGGATCCCGAGATTCTGAATGCCAATTACCCAGGGGGAAGCAGCTGAGCCGGCGGCTCCGCTCGAGATGGCGCCGAGGAGACGAGTATCTCGAGAGGAACAGATGATACCGACGCAGAAGACTCCTACGACGTAGAAGCCGACTAGCCGATAGAAGACGAGACGAGCCACTCGAGGTATCGTACGCCGAGGGTTACGAATTTCGCCCGCCGCAAGAGCGATCAGATCCGGACCGGCCACGTTAAAGGCAGCATATCTGACCACGACCCACCAGCCGAGGAACCGGCCAGTAGTGCCCTTGGCGTAGTAGGGACGCATGGCTAGCCCGTGTTTCCAATAGCGGAACCCGTAGACATCGTGTTTGGGGTTGCCCCCGACCATGGTGATGAAAGTAAGGAGGACCAACCCAATCAGGAGTAAAATTTTCGTCGATGCCATAATGAACTCGGATTCACCGTACCACCTATTGTAGCGTTAATTTCAGGGGCAAGGACGAGGGGCCGGGCTATGTGGCGCAACTTACTTGACGGCCACGACGTTTAAGAAAAAACAGACGACCATGGCCATGGTGACCCAGACGGCCGGATTGACATCGGCGTTCCAATATTCCATGACGCTGGCGACGGCGGAATATTCGGTGCAAACAAGGGTAACTCCGCCAAAGAAATAAGTCCATCCCATGGCAAATCCCAAAGCCGGATCGACATAACGGCCGGCCAGCTCGAAGACGGTCCCGCGTACTGGTAGCCACGCACACATTTCGGCGACACACAGGTTGCACGGCCAGATGAAGAGGACTCCCCAAAACAGATAACCCAAGACTAGAGACAAGGGACCAGCCGTGGAAAGAGCGTGCCCAATGCCGACAAAGAGTCCGGTTCCGATAGAACCACCAATAGCCATGATTTGGACGTGACGGGGAGCGAGACCACGCTTGGTCTGGCCGAACTTGTCCCATTCCGTCTGGGAAAGACGTCTTTCATAGAGATCGCCATGTTGCAAGGGTATTTCGGAGATGACTTCTCCTTGTCCCTCTTGGACTTGTTTGACATCGGCTTCGTTGCCGGTGCCCATGGTGAAGTGAAGGGGGGGTGAGGGGAGGGAAGAGTAATCAGCGAAAGAAAGGGCAAATGCTGAATCAGAGAGAGGATAACGCTACCTATATAGATTTCTGTCTCGCAAGGTAGGCGAGATAGACCAAGAGAGGTCGTATCTATCAGTGTCCCTGCAGCACCTCGTGGCTGGCATCTTGCATGGCTTTGACCTACCTAAAGCCAGCGACTAGGTTGGCCACATATGATAAGCTCTTGAAGCTAGAGCAACGTGGTCAACAGCTATAACGGCAGGTGGGGAGCGTGGAAGGCGATGGTCAGTAAGGAGACACTCTGCAGAGATAAGGAATCAAAGGTATACTCCGTAGATGGTGAGAGCCAAGATGATATGCAACCGGGGGAGATACCTACCCCAACCCCAGGCGATTGCGCTCACTGCACTAATTGGCCGGGGGTTTTTTGGCCTCAAGAGGTCAAGGCTCCTGAGGATGTCGATGAAGCTATGACCGGGACCCATCGCTGACTCCTTCCAACCCATCACCGCTTACCGGGACCGGTGGTCAGCAAAGGTCTCCTATAGCGCGCCACAACCGCATTTAGCGCCAAACTTGATGTAGCGCCACGATAATAGTCCAACAATATTATTAGCAAGGGAGCACAGCTCGAAGAGACCGAGAATACGAGATTTTGAGCCCGTGCTGTACATGTCGAAGCCTGCGTCATACGGAGGATATGAGTCTAATCTCACAACGTTGGCCGCGGGTCAGGTTCCCATATCGCGGTGGTAGAGTAGTAGGAATAGCTATAAGGAGCGCTGCGGTATTTTTGACAGAGGAACATGAGGAGTAGGAAGAGATCGAGGTCGACGCCTGAGACATCTGTGAGTACCGAGAAAGTGTCACCAGGCTGGAACAGGAGAGAGTGTCGGACGACGTAGGTACGAGCGAGATTGACAGCAAGTAGTCGTTGGAGCATCGAGAGGGTCAAATTGTCAGCAGCGTAGGTACAGCACTGTCACTATCGTAGGTGGTTAGCAGAATCAACAGTTGGAAGTCAACAGGCTGCAGAGGCGCCCAGATGGCAAAGATCAGGTCCCTTCGGCTAGTATACCATCTTTACAGAGTAGCTCAATGCATCGTCGAGCATTAGACTGATCTGTCGAGGGTGTGCAGGGATTGATTGCCCTGTTCAACAAGAAGTGCCATGGCGCCATCGAGCGCTGACACCGCCGTAGTGGGAGTAGACTGCAGACTGCGCCGCAGAGAGCGTGGGTTGAGGGTTGATAAGGGAGTAGAAGAGTGTGGGAGAGTAACTTGAAGCAGCCGGCGGAGAAAGTCGTGTAAACTACATGTACGGAGTACTCCGTACATGGTACTCCGTACCTTACTGTGTTGGAACATGGAGGCTTGGCGGTGGTCATGGGGGTTAGGAGGGTTAGGGTTAGGGTTAGGGTTAAGAGCTAATCACGGCTTAGGCTCAGGAGACCCCAGGTTACAATTTAGGTACGGATACTTTGGGGGATGGTTCGGGATGCTTAGTATTGTATCCCTACTCTGTACTAGCCCAGCTTCAAGCACTCACAATCTGCTTCGCCCGAAAGTGGCCACGACTCCAGATCAAGTGACTTCCAAGTAATGCACGGAGGCCGTGTCATTCAGCCTGATAGCGTAGCGTGTGCTGACATACTGCGTCAGAAACTGGGTCGTGCTGTGGGACACGGTGTCTATGATGATGGAGTGGAAGAGGTGGTGGGTGTTGCGAGGATGCTGGAATGTTTCAGGGATGAAGAGGGAGGCTCTGGCTAGAGCTGCGATCAAGAGAGGGCGACCGCCACGCACATCACCGGCCGGGGACCAGTGTCGTTGCTGAGGAGAGAGCTGGGGAGACGAGGTGCCGGGCTAGAGAGGAAGAGAATCACTTCAAGATGTCGTCTGTCTTGACCTCAACATGCCTGAAGGGTTGCGGCCGGGATTTTGGTTGCGAGTTGCAGAGGAAGGGCGCTTGTTCGTCGTTTTCTGGGAGGGTTGATCGAGTCCATGCTGACTCAATTGATTAGGAGACAAATCACTTCAAGCATCGTGAAGAGATTCGACATTCATTCATTCCGTGGTCAGTCCGACATGAATGAACTCCGCGAGTCGTTCCAGGAGCGCAGTCTTGCGGTCTTATTGGCCAGACACGTCTCCTTTTTCAGAAAGTACGCCACTCACTGCCAGTTTCAGTCCAGTCAATGTTTTTGACCCACGATGAGAGGTCGAAAGCTTCCAGTCCATCAACGTTGAGAAAATCAAATTCGTCCACGCTCAACGCTACCGGCTGAGACGATGAAAACGCAGGGGCAAGTGCGTGCTGACTGTCGCGGCCAGCAGAAGTAGACACTGGCGTGGGCGTCCCTGTAGCAAAGCTGCTGGTGGTCACCGCTGAGGAAGTTGGTGGTGGATCTAGGACTTCATCCAGGACTCGGGAGATTGCCTGCGAGGCTTGCACGCACACGTTGTATTCCCCATCTCCGGGTTTGCAGATGCTATCCAGATGGGAAAGGTACACCGACAGGGCACGGACAAAGGTCGCCCGTTTCATATTCGGAGGAAGACATTTTCCGCCATTCCGGGAGATGCATTGTAAAATGTTTGCCAATACAGCCACGCAGGGTAGGCCGTAGCCCAAGACCTGCCGGTCGTCAGTTCACAGTTCAAGGTTCAGAGTTCAGCCGGGGGCCTGGGCGACTCATCAGCTTACAATATAGGGAAAATCGTAGCGCAGGAAAGTGGCTCGGTCCAAGCGTGTTCCCAGGTGTAGAATCACCGACACCACTTCAAGCGCATCCGCCATGGACATCTCCCAGTATCGAGGATCGCACCTCTCGAGGAGCCGGTGAATCTCGAAGTTTACTTGGAGGTAGCTGAGATGCATCACAGTAAGCATTAGACAAGGGCTAGGGGCCAGACCTGAGTCCCAGCACGCCTTGTTATATTGGAGATGCGGTGGTAGTGATTCTTTCTGGCGTTTGCATCGCTGCGAGAGGTCCCTGCAGACTGGACTGTTAGCTCCGACCTCGGCCATTGAATTGATTGTACCTGCTTGATGAGTGCTTCTGTTTCAGGCCTTGGCTCCCGATAGTTGTACTCTAGAACTTCTTCACGAAGGGTGCCGATCATGTACCTGAGTCGATGCCATGTTGCTGGGATGTATCGGATCTTCGGGCTCCATCCGTCGGCTGTGAGGCTCGCCCGAGCTTGCTCTTCTGTCTCACTTGAAAGTAATTCTTCGTCGTTCAAATCCAGTGGCATTCGGCAATCCGAAAACCGTTTCAACAGACGAGGTGGTCGATCGACCAAGGCACTGACGAACTTGTCGAACTGAAAGCTGGCGGCAAACGTCTTTCTCCGGCACTCTGCAACGAAAAAGGGGGTGTTCCGGGTGATGGAAGATTCCCGTTGAATTCCGAACTCATGTACGTACTGTTGAAGTGTCAGATCAGATGCCTTCATCTCCCATGATCGAAATGGGCAGCCCACGGTACTAAGATCTCCGACAAGGCGGTATATCAATGGCGATGACTCTCCTTCGATCTGTGTGGTTAGTCGAAGATACTCAAAAGCCAACCAAATCGTTACATCGTTATTGTTCGAAGCAAGTCGTCGTGAAAGCCGAAGACAAGACGATGTATTCTTGTACAGCGCCAGAATCAAGCCCTCATGTTTTTCATTGTCGCGAGCCAGTCCCAAATAGCAAGAACGGGCCGCGAGACACTGCAAGAGGCCTATCGTTTCAAGACGCAAATTCTCGCCACTGAACATGGAGACAAAGCCTGCAAGGTTCGTCTGAGGAGTGATGGTAACGGCTTTCGAGGTATTCTGTATCACTTGTTGTGCAAGTAAGGAGAGGTTTCTCTCGTTAGAATGGTGATTCTCATTAAAACACGCGGATACTTGGTCGGTCAAAGACACAGAGAACAAGTCGATGAACGGTTTGGGCACCAGGGCAGCTTGAGCATGAGCACCATACTGTTCAAGTAGCTCTTGTATGAAGCTGAGATGTTGAAATTGAACAAGAACCTCTTTTACGATCTTGAATCTATCCTCGTAGATTGCTTCATCACCTGTTTTAGCACCTCGTACATGGCTCAATGTGCCGTGATACTCAGAGGGAGCCATAGGCCACGGCAGTACAGCGGTTGAATTGATCAGATCGTTGGATTGAGAAGACGGCCGGTCGCTATTGTTTGAACTGATAAATGATGATGTTCCCGGGAAGTCTTGTGACCCCGGGTGAAGAGACTGCGACGCTGAACTATTGGCATTGGACGGCCGTGGCTTCGTTAGCGGAGCGGGATGATATGAGCATCGAGCAGGGAGCCCACGGCGTTGGCACCGTCCACAGACTGGTCTTTGGTGGTCGCAGCGAACCTAGCGAGGTTCAGCTTCACTGATTGGCGTGATTTCTGTGCATTCCTACCTTTGCCTTGCGACAAGGCTCGCACGATGCGGCTTTGCCATTCCGACGGTGCTCGGAGGCCAACATTTGGAGGGCGATGAGTTATTGAACAGATGCAAGAAGAGAAGGGTTGGATGCACGATGACTTACAGGCAGAGGAGGTCCGACGCCCCCACTCCCACTCCGGATCTATGCCGGGCATTCCGGCAATTCATTCCGAATTTCACTCCGCGTATGGAGTCGGAGTACTCTCTGTACAGGCGAATTAGTCGATTCGCCATCACTACTCCGTGCTCGCTCAATCACCGAAGCTCATGTTCCCCTTGACCACGCCACTCTTGTAGCCGGAGGCATCAGGGGTTAGCTTCATTCAATCAGGTTCGATGCAGGCTTTCAAATGCAAGTTTGTCCAGGCTGGTGCCCGTGTGCGACCTTTCTTTCATGGAGCTTGGCCAAAAGGCACTCCATTGAAGTCATGGTATGCTAGAAAGAGCCGTAGAGATGTGGTCCACGGACCAGTTGGATGCTCGCCTCAGACAGGTCCTTCTTGATGGTATTGCGTTGCCGTTACCACTAAAAGCTTCTCGCCGAAGCTGACCATTCGCAGTTGGCATTGGCATTCCGATGAAAGCGCGGCATATCCTGCCCTTTGGGGTGCGTTAGGCCAAACTCCGTATCCAGCGAACTCCGTCTTTGGCGAGAACATATAGCTTCCAGTTTTGACTCTGCCGTTCCTCGTCGTCTTGCAAATACTTTCGAGCAGTGAATCTTACCTGGTGCTCTACCATGTTGGCTAGTGAAACAGCTGTCCATCCAAATCCACCACCCACTGATCCAGTTCCAAGCATTGCACAGCCACTACTGATGGATGTCCAACCATCTGATCGAAGGGCAGCTGGTACCACGCCGCAGTCTCCCATTCAGGAACCTCCAATTCCCACCCCAAACCTCTCCAGAACCCGCTCATGGATCGTGATCGTCCAGCTTAGCGGCATCAACTTCATCTCGAGTCTCAGTGGCGGCCTGTTGACGATTGGTCTTCCCATCATGGCTTCCAATCTAGGACTCTCCGACAACCTCCGTGTTTGGCCCAGTGCCGTGTCTTCTCTCACGGGTGGTTCGTGTCTTCTTGTGGCAGGCTCACTTGCGGACGTCCTCGGGCCGCGAAGGGTGAACTTGCTAGGCTGCCTCTTCATTGCAGTATTTGTGCTCGCATGTGGTCTAGCCCGCAGTGGTATCGAGCTCATAATGTTCCGTGCCTTACAAGGAATAGCCACAGCCCTCTTTGTGCCCTCGGCTGTTTCAATGGTATCGACAAACATCGAGCATGGAAGACCACGAAACCTCGGCTTCGCGTTCATCTTCCTTGCCTATCCTCTTGGATATGGCCTTGGACTGGCACTTGGGGGCGTCTTCGTCAATACTGTTGGCTGGCGACCAGGGTTCTTCGCAGGGGGAACTACCGGTTTTCTGTTCTTCCTTGTCGGCATCTGGACCCTTCCCAAAGACCCCAATATCAGCAAGAAAAGACTTTCGACAGAGATCGATTGGGTCGGTGCGCTAATGGCAGGTATTTGCATCGCAACTTTCTCTTACGTACTGGCGTAAGTCACTCTCGCTGTTGCTAATGGCGAAGCGACAATTTGCTGATGGGCTGGCAGGGACTTGTCCGCCGATACCGCCAATATCAAGAAGGCCGTTAATATAGTGCTGCTCATCTTCAGCGTGGTGCTGGCATTGGCCTTTCCGGCATGGATGCGATTTCGCGAAAGACAACAGAAGCCCGCTCTCATGCCCAATTCTCTCTGGAAGAATAAGTCATTCACAAGCGTCTGTCTCATGGCTCTCATTTCCAATGCAGTCGTGACCTGTATGGGACTTTTCTGTAGTCTGTTGTAAGTGGATGCTCACTTCAACACGCTGCACATCCGCTAAGTCTGCACAGTTTCCAGAACATCCAACTTCTTTCCGCCATTGAGGCCTCCGTGCGTATACTGCCTCAAGTGGCCATTGGTACAACTCTATGCATCCTCTCCGGAATGCTCATCAACAAGCTTCCGGTTCTGGCCGCCGTGCTCACGTTGACCGTCCTGTGTGCCATCGCACCTCTTCTCATGGCAGTCACTGATCCGACATGGCCGTATTGGTACAGCGCCCTGTGGGCACAGCTCCTCACGCCGCTTAGTATCGACATTACGCTCACGATCGGGACGCTTATCGTGACTGACGTCTTCCCTATCCACACTCAAGCTTCAGCTGGAGCGGTATTCAATACTTTCTCGCAACTAGGAGCGTCGGTTGGGCTTTGTGTACTGTCGGTGATATCGACCAATGTCACAAACAAATCGGATACAAAATCCCCTCAAGCGCTCCTCGCGGGTTACAGAGCCAGCTTCTGGACGTTGTTTGCCTGGACTCTGACTGCTTTTCTCATAGGGACAGTGGGTTTGAGGAATCTTGGAAAGATTGGGAGGAAAAAGGACTGAGTCAGACCGCAGTCGCTTGGTGTACTGTACCTGGGTCTGCAGGTGGGAGGAGATCTGGCTAGGACCATGCCCGTAGGTGAAATGGCACCTGAAAGCGGCGTGTTCCAGCACCACATTTGGGCGACCTTTCCGCTAACTGGAACTGTGGCATTGTGGCTGAAACATCCCTTGCCATCTTGTCTCCCGTCACCAGCCCCGGCATGCCTCATAACAGTGGAGAACTGCGCTGTTTCACAGAACCCGAGGGCGCCAAACAACTTCAACTACAACTATATCATCTTGGAGGACTCTTAGGGAAAACAAACAAGACGCTCTCATCGACATGGCGAACACAGACACAGAGGAACTCGCCTTCGAAAATTTCATATTCGACGAACGCCAATTTCTGGGTGTCGGGTCGTAAGGAACCGTGATCGCCATCGATGACCACACTGCCCTCAAGGGGTTCGTGCTATCGGGAAACGAATACATGGACAACAAACTGCTTGAGGACCACCTGCTTGAGCGCCGGATCTACGAGCGACTTGGGAAGCACGACCGCATATGCGAGTTGAAATATCCAGTCCGCCGCGGTCTCGTTCTGGAGAGGCTGGTCCAAAACTTGAGGGAGCGGCTCAGGGGCGTTCCAAATAGCAGCGACAGTGGCAGTGGCAGTTCGCCTTCCAGAGACGAGATGTTGAGATGGTCGATTCAGGCTGCGGAGGGGGCTGCTTACATACATGAGAAGGGTGTAATCCAAGCCGACTTGACCTGTATAAATCTGCTTTTGGACAGGGATGGCAATCTCAAGTTCTGCGACTTCGCTGGCTCCTCCATCGACGGCTCTACCGCGCTAGTAATGCCTGACACGGACTTCGAACGCCCAGATATGGACTACAAGGTACCGAGCATCCAGGATGATCTGTTTCAGCTGGGAAGCGTCATCTATGAGATCTGGACGGGCAACGCGCCCTCTCGCAGAGGAGATCAGCAATGGCCAGATTTAGCCAGCATTCCTCCTGCAAGTACCATCATGAAGTGCTGGCGCGGCCACTATCAATCGGCTGCGGAGACTATGCTGGAACTCGAAGCACAGGCTGTTTCCATGCAATGATTCGACAACCATTCGTAGATACCAATAGCTCTGCGGTCACAGTCCTCTCTTCTGTCATGTGCGTCGAGGTTGGACGATTGAGCACTGCGTTGTCGGTCTCGGTCGCCAAACTTCGCTCGAATTGGACACTCTCGTCTCGACCGGAGGATGAAGCGGCTACGGCTAGTCTTGCTTAAGACAGCGTCAGTATCTCAAAGCTGGCAAAGTTCTAGGACATCTTACTGCTGTTGGTCAGTCAAGCAGGCAGCTGCGGGCTGGAAGCTGAGTTGAAAGCGTCATCGCATGGAGGGTTTTTGATGATAGATGATAGAGCAGCGCAGGCTCAGGGCTTCTGCCTAACGGCGGGCATCACATGACAGCACCAAGCACGTGTATCCGTACTCCATGTCGCCGCTGAATAAATCCTTTCTGCCGCTTCTCCCCCATGCTTTTCGCCTGATGCTTTGCGCCGAAGCTTTTTGGTTCAGCTATTGCCGCCGGTTGTCCGAGTGAGCCATCAGCCCGAACTCTGGTGCAGACCTCCGGCATCCTCTCAATATGCTCCTCCCTGTCACGCAGCATGTGTACCTCAACGGGTGTTCACCACCCAAGACGAAACCCTCCCTTGATAAGCGTTCGAAACCTCTCGAGCATGACCTCACGGATGCCCACCCAGCAACATCTGCAAGGCTGGCCCAGTTGCCATGCGTCGACTGTCCTGTAAACGCTCCTTGGTGGCAAGAAATGATTCGGGTAAGAGGTTGTCAGGGTTGATGCCAAGTAGCATCTTAGCCACCGCCTCACCGGCCGACCAACACAACGGCATACCATACCCATTGAAGCCGGCGGCAATCCACTCGCCCTCGCCGCCCTCTTGGCCACGATCTGTGACGCACGGAGGCAGACATCCGACCAGCGGAAGGCGATCCGCCGTGAAACCCATGATGCCCGACCACACCTTGACCACGTCCGGGGTTGCGCCGTCTTTCCAGCCGCGGGTGAACAGGCTCGGCAACAAGGTCGAGAGCTTTTCCACACACGGCGCCCCGACCTGTGAGTCGTCGCTGACAAACAGCTCGCCGATCTTCGCCTTCTCTCCCCCGAAGAAGATATCTCCGGTGTAGGGGTTCTGATTACCGTAGTATAGTCCAAGCTCTATGGTGTTGGTTGCAACGTCGAAGTCGCCGCTGTTAATCACGCTCCAGGACACGCGATGACCATGACGTCCGAACTCGGGGCTTGCTTTCTGCGTCGACATGGTGCCACGCACCGGGAATATACTTCCCCGAAGCTTGGGCAGCAGGTGTCCAGCATGGCCGTTGGTGGCGTGGATGACTTTCGAGGCGCGGACAAGACCTCGTGGCGTGTGGAGGATATACGGGTGCGTCGGGTTCGTGCCGGCATCGTACGCGATCAAAGTCACAGGGGTGTTTGTCTCAATCGAAAGCCGTGGCCGGTTCTGTGCATACAGCTGGGCCCAAAGACTGGTGATGAGTCGATATGGCCAGAATGCGCCGTTCGGCCACACGATGGCACCCGCGGCTGTTCTCATCCCGTATTCCTGTCAGGCAAGCCGTCCCGTCAGCGCGTTGCCTCAAACACATGGATGGGACAGGCAGGGAATAATGTTGGTAGTGGCACCTACCAGCTCGACCTCCTCGGCGCTGAGAATCCGAGACTTGCCTCGCTCCTCGGGTACATGCTCCTCGTAAAGGCGCCAGGACTCGACGGCTGCCTGAAAAGACTCGTCGTCTTCGAAGCCGATGACGTCCAAGAGTCTTCTCACCTCACTCGCTTTTTTAAGCTCGTCGCTGGAGTTGCCAAGTTCGTGCATCTTTTCTAGCGTCCTGTTGGCGTACCTTGCAATCTGGACCGCCTGCTCGTGGCCGAAACGCTCGCTGAGAACTTTGTAGTCACCGGGCACGAAAGAGGTCAACACTCCGCCATTACGGCCAGTGGCACCACTGGTCAACGTCCTGGCCTCCAATACCGTCACTGAGGCTATCTTCAAGGATTGTGCAGAGTGTTCCAGGAGGGTAGTGGCGATACTGCAACCCGTGATCCCTGAGCCGATGATGGCAATGTCGGTGGTCTCTGGCAGTCTTTCAGACTGGACTTCAGACAAGGTGGGATGGGGTGGTATTTGCCAAAAGGACTCGGTGGGATCAGGTCGCGGCAGTTGAGGATCGTGTCGTGCCTGAGCTTCCAGCTCGGCCATGGCGCTGGATGATATTCGCCCCGCCATCACGTCCGGGATACGAGGTGTTGGAAAACACTCAGTTCAAAGTTGCATATGTCTAAGATGGCCGTTTCGATCGGCCTAGCAGGCTCCAGATTATTATTTATATTCCTCGACCCGCGACTCCTCTCCGGACCAGGTGACCACTGACCACTAACCACTCGTGGGCCCAAGATGCGCTTTTCCAGAGCCGATGGATTGAAATTCTGCAGGCTGTGGCCCGCACAGAAGAGGAGGACGACTGACTCCTTTACTCTCTGCCGGCCGATTAGGCGTCAGACCTGAAACCTCACGCCAAGCCGGCGTGTTTGGGTGCGTTCGATTGGCCGATCGACAGGACATTGCAGCGTCCACCTGGCTGTGGCAACTGCCTGTATCGTGTGGGGGCGAGGCTAAGGAGACTTCAACCCGTCCGCCAACCATGAGCAAACATCTCGTCGGCCCCATTCCCAGAGAAGCAACGCCAGGCGGTAGATAACGCCTGTTGCACCTAGACCTGATATGCGAACTCGTCCTCCTGAAGCACCAGTGACGCATGCTGCTATGTATAAGAAAGGTCGCTTGCTGGTCGATGGCTCTCACGAAGACCTTGTGTTTTCGTCGCCATTCTCCTGATATTGTTTGAGAACATCTGCCACGCTATACGGATAACGGCTGCAACACTCGAGATTGCCCTACAATGCAGGCGCCAATTCCCGACCGTGATGGAGATGCTTCGTTTTGGGCCCCCGGGACAGTGAGGCTGGAAGATTGTAAGGATGCAGACCGACCTCTCTCTATACATTAATCGGTGCTGACTGAGGGCTTGTTCTCCAGTGCGGCGCTCCAAGGACCAAGTCATCCTGCATCCCATTCCGAGTGCGGATCCAAACGACCCTTTGAACTGGGCGTCGTGGCGCAAGGCGGTCAATTTCGGCCTGGTCTGCTTCTATGTGCTGATGACATTCGTCCAGCTCGACATTGGATTCACGGCCTGGGAGGCGTACATGGACGAGTTGGGCTTCACCGTCGACCTGTTGAACGCCGCCGCAGCCACCAACTACGCCGGACTGGGCGTGGGCTGCGTCTTCTTCGTGCCCCTCGTCCACAAATATGGTCGCCGCTCACTCTACTTGTTCAGCACGGCGCTCCAGCTGGCATCGTGCATCTGGTTCGCAAAGACGCAGACCATAGGCGATCTCATCGGCAGCAATCTGATTTCCGGGCTCGGCGGCGCCATCAGCGAGACCATCGTGCAAATCACCATTGCCGACCTTTTCTTCGTCCACCAGCATGCCTCGATGAACGCTTGGTATTGGTTCGCCACCCTCGCCGGCGCCTTCCTCGGCCCCGTCGCGTCAGGCTACATCGTCGACAGCCAAGGATGGCGGTGGATGTTTTGGTGGTGCGTTATCTTCTTCTCCGTCAATCTGCTCCTCATCATCTTCTTCTTCGAGGAGACCAAGTACGTGGGCGTCTTTGTCGGTCAGGACAGCACCGCCGTGACCGCTCATAACAATCGGCTGGCACAGTCAACCAGTGCGCCAAAAGAGCCTGGCTTGCACCCGGACGCCCGTGATATCAAGCAGCAAGCTGAGTCGATCGAGCCGGTCGAGAGGACTCGGGCCGACCGGGAAATAGACTCTACCATCAGGATGAAGACATACCGCGAGCGCCTTGTTCTGATCACCAAGACGGATGGCTCGATCCTTCACCACTTCTCCCAACCACTCGTCCTCCTCTTCACCTTCCCGGCAATTACCTATACCGCACTCACCTACGGCAGTCTCCTCGCATGGTTCGCCATCATGACCTCGGTCCAAGCTACATATCTTTTCTATCCTCCCTACAACTTCTCCGCTGCCGGCGTTGGTCTGATGAATCTGGCTCCCTTTATCGGCACCATTCCCGGCACTCTGGTCGGTGGCTGGTTGAATGACAAGTCGATCGTGTGGTTGTCCAAGCGCAACGGTGGTATCTACGAGCCCGAAATGCGTCTTTGGCTGGCCCTGCCGTCCGCCTTGATCACTCCAGCAGGAATTCTGATGTTTGGCTTGGGTTTGAATTACGTGCGTGACTGCCATTACCTTTTCTACCTCCTACAGTGTGTGTACGGGCTAGCCCAACTGACCTTTTGTCGTCTCCAGGGTGTATCTTGGCCCATGCTCGCCGTGGGTTATGGCGTGTTTGGCTTTGGCTTGGTTACCGCCGGCGACATCGCTCTTTCGTATGCGATGGACTGCTACCAAGATGTGAGTGGTTTGCGGCAAGCTCGCCCGGGGCGAGTCAGGTCGGTTCCCGCGGGGAGCCGAGAATACCTGTACTTGATTTATGGAATCCTTGGCTAACTATATCGTGAATGCTAGGTTGTCGGCAACTCGTTGGTCGGAGTCGTATTCACGCGCAATGCCTTCTCTGTGGTCGTCCTCTTCACACTGACTCCGTGGATCGCGGGGATGGGACTGCAGAATATGCATATCTTGGTCGCCGTTCTCTCTTTTGCGCTCCTGCTGCTCCCTATACCACTGCTCGTGTGGGGTAAAAAGGCGAGAATCGCGACAGCAAAGACATATAGGGCGATGGCAAGTCGACAACCAACACATCGGGTTCAATGAGCGAGGGATTGTGGTAGCATATTTGTCGTTCCTAAAGAAGATTTCTTTACAGTCACCACGAGTGACATAGCATTCGTTATGTGAGCTGTGAGCAGCCAAGGACGGCTTCGAACATCAATGGTGCTTCCAAGGTTGTTCTCGCCGGTTTCATGTCATGTTAAAAACAAGTGAGCGCGCAGGAGCGTAGAGAATAAAGTCCAAGCCAGATATATACCGGCATATATGCACGGGTGCCAGTGGGCCTTGGGTTTCTTGTTTGTTTAGTCGGAATAATGGTGATAGAACATGGTCGTATCCCCCATGTTATGTATGGTCAAGGCGGGGTGAAGGGTCAATGGTCAGTGGTCATGGCGTTGTCAAGGCGTTGTCAAGGGTCAAAGGGTCAAGGCTGACGCCCTCCCGCGAGAATGCGAGACCCAATATCATCCCAGTAGATCGAAGGCCCGGCCTCATCATCTCTAGCCGCCCAGAACGAGACCAGCGCAGTCTCCATCTCCCGGCAGGCGCGAGGGGAGAAATCCACGACCAAAGGCAATTTAGCCACGGCGGCCCGCCGTTCCGCAGGATCAGTGATCTCGAAGCACGCGACCAAGTAAGCCAGGTCGACGAAGGGCACCGAGCGACCCGTCACGCGCAGCATGATGTCCAGCTCGTCCCGAACGCCGCGGGACATGGCGGCGGCCTTGGCGTCCTCAGAGCCATAGGCCCAGGATAGTCGATGCGTCATCAGGAGAGCGGCGAGGCGCAGTACCTTGGCCTGGGCTAATATCAGGACCGTCTCGGTGGTGGTGAAGCGGCCTTGGAGGAAGTCGTCGGGGACGTTGGGCTGCCATTGCTCAAGGGTGCGGTTGATGGTGTCGAGAGTATTGTGAATACTTGCATCTTGAGTCATGTTCCCTCGTCGACAGCTCCTGGCATCTTGAATGCTGTTCCCTTTCCATCTGCAGCGAGCGTGGTGCATCCGCTGTGCCAACGCGCAGATATCGTAGAAATGAGTCAAGAGAGGAGCAGCGATGCCGATGAATCGATCTACCTCCACCTCCACCTCCCCCTCCACCAGCGGACCTGGACCAGCATCAGCACCAGCACCAGCACCAGCACCAGCACCAGCACCTGGACGCGGACTAAAGTCGGTCGGTCGCGGGCTGAGCCTGAGCCTGATCGTAGGCACTTGGCATCGGAGCAGACAAACGATGGTTTCGGTGCCCAGCAGGCAGATGAGGAAAGCAACTCCATCCGAGCCCAGACGTTGCATGAACAACGGATCCTGGTCATGGAAAGGCTTGACCAGGCCCAGAATGTATGGGCAAAGTGATGCCTCGCCTCCAGAATGGTGCAGGGCAAAGGTCACAATGGCAGCCCCGAGGATCAGGACCGTTGATAGATCATGGGACTGGGAATGAGACAGGGACTGAGACTGGGACTGGGAGCTGACGTAGGGAATCTCCAAGTGGCGCAGAGCAGCGATGGCAGTGGCGGCTCGTCTATGGCCGACATGTTGTGCGGTGGCGAGTTGTCGCATCTCCGGATTTCCCGCCAGCAGCGAGGTGCAGGCGATGAAGGCATCTTTGACAAGTGGCATGCCAATGCCCGCCCTCAAGTGATTGACAAACGCCTGTTGATGCTGCTCGCGGAAACTAGGTCCGACGAGATACTTGTCCACGTCGATCTGCTTGTGTAGTATGGTTTCCAAAAGCTGCATTTCCAAGCCGCTCATGTCTGGGAAAAGACCGATGGCTCGCGGAATGTCGCTTGACAGCTGATACTGCTTTTTCTCGCCATACCGAGACCGACACATGACGAGATCCTCGTGGCCGCCGAGTGAGGACGTAGACCTGGTAAGACTTTCATCTCCAGAGGGTGAGGATGAGGATGAGGAATCCGGAGACTCATACTCGTGTATTAAGCGGTCCCCGTCCCTTCGGTTGAATAATGGCTCCGGGCCACCTTCACCTTCGCTTCGGCGCAGTGATAGTCGGTTTCCACTGGCGAGCCTGGCCTTCCTACCCACCTTAGACACAGGCCGATTGGACTGACAGTGGAATTTCAATCGGGAGCATCTCGCGCACACATTCACATCCCCATCCCCAGCAGCGGGCCAACGACACTTCTCTTTGACCTTGTGGCAGCGATCACATGGTCTTCTTGGCCGCGCATGCTCCGATCCTGATCCTGATCCTGGTCCCCGAGGAACAGATACAGGTCCAACCACTGACGGGGGCGGGATATGGCCCATGACAGGCCGGCAATATTCCTCTACCGTCGAAGTCGATGTCACAGCTTATCAGTGTGTATGTATCATGTATCTCACGTACCGTAAGTAGCCGGTATGGGGTACAGGCGTCATGTCGTATAGGGTGGAGAGAGAACTTTTTAGATGAGCACGAGCCTTGCACCTTCGCGTGGGAGACAGGAGAATCGAGAAGATATCATCCTGACCAAGATGCAACAGGAGGAGATATCAAGAGCGTTGTGCTTGGTGATCGGAGATGTGCCAGTGTTGCACCGCCGGTGCCAAGAATTGATATCACGTGCTAGGCTAAGTTGCTAAGATTATTCAACTAACCTGAAAAGGGATAATCAACAAGCTTAAACTATACTAGCTTAGAAGAGGTGACCCTAGGGCGGCTCCCTTTGTCGCCCAAAGTGGATAGGGTTAGGGTTAGGGTTAGGGGTACAGTGAATACAGAGACTCACGCTGCCGACACCGAGAGAACGAGAGAACAATCACCCTGATACTGAGTATGTCATCATAGTATAAAGTAAGGTACCTGGTATGGTAATGTCTGCCTGTGACTACTGACCACTCTACTCATGGTCCTCGACAATGCGAAGCCACACGGACGACCCGTCCCTATCAATACACCTCGAATCCTGCGCGGCGGCCTTCCACACGTCCAGCGCGGCATTGGCCATGTTGGGTTCGATGCCGAGCTCCTTGGCTACCTCGATGCCGAGGCCGATGTCCTTGGTCATCATCTGAGTCTTGAAGCCCAGCCGCCAGCCGTTGCTGCTGGGCGCGTGTGCCACCACCCCTGGCACGGGGCTGACATGGTCGCCCATGAACGTCTGGCCCGTGGAATGGTGGATGACTTCGTACAGCAACTTGGGGTCGACGCCGGACTTGACGCCAATGGCCATGGCTTCGGCCACCACCAGCAGCACCGTGCACGAGATGTAGTTGTTGCTGATCTTGCACGCCAGCCCGGCCCCAAGCTTGCCGCACCAGAAGATCTTGTTTGGAGCCCCCATCATCGACACCGTCGCTTCGATCCGTCGTGCTGGAGGAGTGTGGCTTGGCTGGAGGTTTTGGTTCTGGTGCTGGTGCTGGTCTTGGTTCTGGTCCTGTTCTTGGTTTTCGGGCTTTGCGTGTCCGATGAGGAACGACAGCGTGCCTGCTTCGGCGGCCGGCACGCCTCCCTACAGTGAGACATGAATCAGTATCTTGGTACAGCAGCTTTTTCCCTGAGTGTTGCCTGAGTGTTGCCTTGAGGTTTTGAAACCCCTTCTGCTTGGGTCAGCCCACTAGGGTCTTAATCCGCTTACCGAAACAGGCGTGTCGACATAGGTGCCGGCGCCTTCTGCTGCGAGACGGCCACCCACATCCCGCGCTGTGGCTGCATCTATAGTGCTGCACTCGAGGATCAAGCGGGACTCTAGCCGCGGGGCTGCGAGCACCCCGTTGGTCTCGTCCAGATATACCTCTCTCACATTTGCGGCGGTAGGAATGATCGATACAATCACCTGCGCGTGCGAGGCTGCTTCCTTGGGCGAATCGACCATCTTGACCTTGCAGTCTCTGGCCGTGCCGAACTCGGCCACGAAGCGCTCACACGACGGCCGGTACACGTCGTACACGAACAGGGTTGCAGACGGGGCCATGTTCCGCCGGATATTTGCCGCCATCGCATATCCCATGGCTCCCAGGCCTGCAGAGCACCAATGGTGTCAGTCGGTATGGCTGAATACAGAAGTGTGTGTATGTAAAGTACAGCAAGGGTAGGGATTTGACAGTAGGAGGCACCAACAGCAAGTGTAGGGAATTGACAGTAAGAGGAGTGACTCAACAGCAAGAATAGTGACTTAACAGCAAGGGTAGGGATTTGACAGTAGGAGGAACTTTACAGTAGGAGGAGGACCCAACAGTAAGAGTACGAGCTTGACTCAACATCAAAGCGTAGGAACGTGATAGTAAAGTATACGGTATAGAAATATAAAATAGATTCCAATAGAACTCACCAATAAAGGCATAATTTTCACCCATCTCGAACCACCGACAGCGTGAGTTTGAGTCTGACCAGATGACCGACTTCCTGGCAGTATACTATTTACACGTCTCCCGACAGAAATGGGTCTGCCAGTTGATTTTCCAGTCGTCGTCGAGAAAGAATGAGAGATATGTATTGTCTGTAGCTTGGACGCGGTCTGGACAGTTGACCCAAGTGGGCAGCGGAAATGTATACAACACAATACTGTACTATGCTGTAAAGTAGAATAGAGCAGAGTAACATACGTCAATTCAGTCGCATATACTGTAGAGTGGAGTAGAGTACGGAGTAGAGTAACGTACTTCAACTCAGTCGTAGAAGGAAGGGTTGCTTACTGTCCTGAGTCCATCCGAGTTGAAGCGAGGTTGGGACCTACAGTACCCAGTAGCCCTACCAGAGACGTACGTAAAAGTACAGGTACGGCCACAACCAGAATTCGGGGGTAAATATGGAGTGCGATTTGGGGTCAGAGGTCGGAGCATTACCTGGCATGGGTTTGGGCTTGGGCTTGGGGATGGGGATCGGGATGGGACCGGTATGTCAAGTATGTCAAGTAGGTACATACTGTAAAGTACAGTAGGTAAGGTAGGTAGGTACAGTACAGTACAAAGTACAGGACATGGAAAATCCCCTTCCCCTCCCCCTTTGGCCTTGCCATCGGTTCCCTCTCCTCCCGCATACTCCATACTCCAAACTCCATACAACGATTGATTGATCGATTACCCCACATACATACATACAGTACCGTTCTGCCCACCCCACCCACCACAACCACAGGTCCTGCCAGTGCCAGTGGGGTTTGCGGTAGAGGATTACTACATACGTATGTACACGATATACCTGTACCTGGGTAGGTCAGGTCGGCCGGTAGGGCTATCTATCAGTGAATGGAATCTCAGCAGTCATAGTCATCCGAACTGCCATTCAACTCCCCAAAGTAAACTGTAAACTGCGAGTCCTCGTGGTTTCTAGGGTGACTTGTATCGAACCTGGCGAATTTGAGCCATCTTTCAACTTGATGAACTGCTCTGCTGGAGCTTGAGATGAAGAACACACGCCGTGACGACGTCCCTATGCCCTGGCAGTACATAGTAGCGTGTGCTCGTAGTAGCGTGTGCTCGCATCAGCAAAGGCACGTACGTACGTCTTCAGGACCCTCGATCGAATAGGGTAGACTGGACCGCCTCCGGTGCAGCCCACTTGGGTGAGGTGATTGATGGTCGAAATCGTGTCGAACACGGGCTTGGTGATGCTAAAGAGCTTCTCTATTTAGTACAGGCTGCGTCTCTTTTATTGAAGTTCGCCTCTAATGCTAGTCGGATCAGTAGGGTCGTCGTGCTCGTGCTCGTGCCTAAGGTTTATAATTGTAATTACTAGCGGCTGTAGTCGAGCTGCTTATTCTAGTCGTGAGGAAAGCGAAGGACATCAAGACCGCGGAAGGTCTGATAGACAATTTGATTATCGCCAACCTGCTGCTATGTCGGAGCGATCCTATTCAGCCAAGTCCGTCCACCCCGGAGGTGCATTCGCCAGTGGCTAGACGTGCTAGTGAAACAGCCTCGTGGGGTTGGCCAATGAAGTGAAGTGAAGCATACCAAAAAGTGAAGTGAAGCAGCCTCGTGGGTTTGGCCAATGAAGTGAAGTGAAGTGAAGCATCCCTACATACTGCCTCACCCACAAGGCTGCCCTGCACAATATAGATCAAAGGCGCCGATTTCTCACCAACAATTGCAAATGTACATATAGGCTCTGACCTGATGATGGCAGCCCCATCTTCACGTCTGAGCTTGTGCTCTGCATTGCATGGATATAGTTCCGCTCGCTCTTCGCTTGTGGGGCTAGAAACCCATAACTACAAAACCCAGCCTACGACACTAACGGTTCTTACCGACTATGAGGCGAGGTTAACTCCACTGCGCGAGATTTTTTGCTGCTTCAGTCGGCTGTTCGATTCAGCCTGTTGTCTCGAAAGACGCAAGACTTCATGGCTCGAGTGTCTGGAAGGTGGGCGGGCGTCAGAGCAGAGGTGCAGGATGAATGAACTTCAGCACTTGGGCTTGGGTGGTAGCACGCAGGACAATGACAACGACAATGACAACGACAATGATAATAATAACACGTTATATAGCAGCCCATCTCGCAATACCAACACACCTCGCAATACCAACACACCTCGCAATACCAACACACCTCGCAATACCAACACACCTCGCAATACCAACACACCTCGCAATACCAACACTATGCTATGGTGAGAGGTCGACTCGAGAAACAGTGTCCTCCTGTACATGAATCAGTGGAAGATAGAAGACCATGCGAGGGAAGGATTCTCTATCAAAGAGACTGAAATACTGTATGGTCTAGGGGTAGCCCTAGTCTGACTACAGTAAATCCAATGTTCTATTTTCCGTGACAGATACGCCATAACATGCCCTCACCTATCCAATTGATTGTTGTATTGTATGTACGTGATATTAGATAAGCTGTAGATAGCTGGTTTCAAGTCATCGCAGACTAGTATCTGTCAAAGGTTGAAATGTTCCATGTTCGCTATCAAAGGGGTATGGGGGGAGCCCAGACTACATAGGTGTGCCTATAGGGCCTCAACCAGCCTTCTGGTTAAAGAACAAGGTTGAGAATGTGCCTAAGTTTGACTGAGTCTGAGATTGAGATTGATATTGTATATACGGATAGATACAGTACCTGCCAGGGCCTTGCTCACTGCGAGGGCTTAGGGTGAGGCTTCACCTCTCTCTCAGCCAAGGCTTCATCTCACTCTCAGCCAAGGCTTCACTTCACGCCCAGTGTCATCTTTGACCTTGAGTGTGGGCGTCATCCTTGACCTTGACATTCCCCAAATAGTAGCCCTCAGCCTCAGCCTGGCTCCATTCCCGGACAAGGGTGGCTTCGACGACCTTGTTCCGCGGCACAAAGCGCACTCTGAAGGGTTTGGGAAGGGTATTGGCGCCGTTCTCATACGCGTCATCCGAGACGTCCAGCACCTCCTCGCCGCCGTCGGGCCTGAGACACGGTTTGACATGGAAGGCCCACAGGATCTTGGCCAGCGTGATGAACAAGCTGTTCTCGGCCAGGTGCATGCCGGGACAGATGCGGCGGCCGGCCCCAAAGCCGAAATGGTCGCGCTGCAACGGATCCGGGTGGGCGGCATAGGCACCGGCTTTCAGCGGGTGGTGGAGGTAGCGGTCGGGGATGAAGTCGTCGGGTCGGTCGTAGCGCCGCGGGTCGTAGTGCAGCGCATACTGGTTGACGGCGACGACGGTGCCCTTGGGGATCAGGTAGTCCTTGTACACGACGTCTGCGGTGGTGAAGTGCGGCGTGCCGATGTTGGTCACGGGCCGCAGGCGCAGGATTTCCTTGACCATCGCCCGGATGTAGGGCAGGGAGGGCTCGTCGTCGAACGTCGGGGACCGATGGTCGCCGATCGTGCGGCTGAACTCGGCGTGTGCGCGAGCTTGCACTTCGGGATACGCGGCGAGGTAGAGCACCGCGCTGTTCAGGGCCGAGCTGGTGGTCTCGGAGCCGGCTTCGATCATGGCTATAGGACAATCAGTCAAAACATCATATTGTACGTACCTGGACGTAGATATGCGTATGCTGAGAGGCACATCCAGGGAATGGGAATGGAGGAAGAAAAGAATATGGACGAGAATGCGAAATACTTACTCCCCGCTACAAAGGCGGCTTGGATCTCGCTGATGCCTTGCTTCTTGTAGTCGCCTTCCGACCACTGTCGCACAAAGCAGTCCGGCGCCACGCCCTGGCGGATTTGCTCCTGCAAGATGGTCCAGTACTTCATCCAGATGCGGGCCTGGCGGTTGTAGTATTGGAGCGCCTGTCGTCGCCACCACTGCAGCGGCTGCGGCACCACGTCGGCCAGCGGCGGCAGCGTGTCTGCAATGAAGACTCCTGGGGCAGTGGCGTCGGAAAACTCCTTCATCAAGCCGTAAACTTCTCGAACGTCCTCACAGTTCTGTATGTCGACTATATTAGTCGCCGACATTGGAATCTATCAACAGAAATGGGGGTAAGGGGGCCTTATGGGAATTCATTTTTGTGCAAGACATACCCATTGCGGAATGCGTCTTCCATAGGTCGAAGTCATGACCACCGAGGTCGTATAGCGACGAATATGCATGTAAAAGCTCTCATGGTCGCCGCGCCGGTTGTCATCCCATATATCCCGGATCAACTGCTTGGCCTCGAACTCCTGACTGGGGCGAAACTGCTCGGACGACTTGGGGGTCAGCAGCTTGTGCACAATGGCGCGGAGCTTGCGCCACTCCGGAGTATAGCTCATCAGCAGAAAACGTTTACCGCCCGAGATCAGGTCGGAGCCGACCGGCATGGGCACGCGGCCCGAGGTGACGGCCGACTGTTTGTCGAAGATGTCCTTGACTGCGGCGGGCGAGTTGACAAACACCCAGTTATACCACCCCAGCTGGATCTGGAACAGTTCGCCGTACTGGCTCGCCCAGGCCTGCAACTGCCGCTGCGGCTGCGGCTTGAGTTGCAGAGTGTTACCGATGACAGGCAGGCCGGGCGGGCCGGGCACCCGTCGCAGGCCGTGGCCAAGCGGTGTCGGTGTCTTGACCGTCCCAGACCCGGACCAGGAGCGATAGACCAGGAGCACGCATGCGCACAGGAATAAAGGTGCAATGACCAGCGCGACCAGTGCCATGTTATGAGGTTGACAGTACTCAATCGGCCCGTCAATGTCAATCGCCAGCAAGCAGAAACAGAAGGGATGAGTGTCGAGTCGACTCGAGTTGAGTCCGCTCCAGAAGTCAGAAGGGATGTGAGGTGAGGCGAAGCAAGAGCAGTACTGAATGAACGAATGAAGGACTGTCTGTCGTCTTTAAACACTGCACTGGCACTGGTACAGACTGTCATCAGCCTACAGTAAGTGAGTTAGAAGTCCCGAAGTCGTGCCTGTACTCGTGCGGCGTGTCTCCAGGTGGGGTATACATTCTTATCCCTACTGAGATGGTACAGGCCGCAGAAATGGTCTCTTTGTTTTTTTATCTTACCTGGGGTGGCCTTCGCTTTGATGTGAAAAAGGGGGTCCGTGTCAATCACAGACCGACCACGGAGTACATATGTACAGGATTGAATATAGGGCATTGAAGTCACGCATTGACGGTTACTGTACAATACTCCAGCTTCTGCTCCTTCCTCCTACATCTGCATCTGTATCTGCACCTGCACCTGCACCTGCACCTGCTACAGCTTCTGCTCCGGCCTCTGCTCCAGCTTCACATAACTAGGAGTCGGGGTATCGTCAGACAAGTCCCCATACGCACTCCAGTGGCGGCCTTCCTTGGTCGGAGATTCTATCTCGTCCGCAATCGCCACGGCCAGATCGGCAGCTGAGATGCCGTGGAGACGACCGTCCAGATTGGTCGGATCGTCCTCGTCGCCCTTGAGCGGCAAGTAGTCGAATCTGACGCCGTAGTTCCCCGTCCGCCGGCCAGGCCTGTACAGGGCGCTGGGCGAGACAAAGGTCCAGCGGAACGAGGTGTTACCGTCAAAGAACATGAAACTGGTGCGGCAGGCGGTGATGAATACCAGGGCCTTGTCGTTTCTGCGCACGTATTCCTCGTACTCGTCGATGACGCGCCGAGTCTCCTCCGCGGTGGCCTGGTTCTGGTTCTGGTGCTGCTTTTGGTTCTCTCGTTCCGCCCGTCGTGCGTTGCGGTACGTCCTCAACCCCGACCCCATGGGTCCCAGCCGCTCTTCCATGTATGCGGTGTGCGCCTCACTGTCTGCGATGCCGCGCCGATAAGCAATCCACCAGTCCTTGTTCTCCAGTACCGACTGATGGCCGCTGTTTGGCATGTACAGGCTCCCACAGCCGCCGACCATGACAAAGTACCCGACTTTGGCGAGGCGGGCCGCGAGCACGATCTTGCGCGTCACCTCGAGGTAGGGCACTTGGGACGGCCTCGACTTAGTTTGCGGTTCGAAGCAGGAAGAAAACAAAAACGGAATAGAGTTGGGAATCAAGAATCAGGAATCAGGGTCAGGAATCAGGAAGATAGGAGGAAAACAGATAACAAAACAGACTCAATAATCAGGAATCAGGCCCCAGCGTCTCATCTCACGTACTGTATTGCAAAGCCTCATGACCCGCCGAGTGCGGCCCGTACTCATTCACCAGGGCATCCAGCCCTTGGAAGTGTTGGGCGAGCTCCGGGATGGTCAATGAGTTGACATCTGCCGGACGCGGAACGTAGGAGGGATGTTGGCCCAGCGTCTCGGGCCTCCGTGAGATCCCAATCACCGTGTGTCCACGGTTGATCAACTCGAGACACAGATACGAGCCCCCGAAGCCTGCTGGGCCAATGACTCCGACCTGTAGCGGTCGGTGGCTGGCCATTCTGCGCCGAAGAAGAGGGTTCGGTTCCTGCTCACTGCGGTGCTAAGGTAGTTATTGGTTATTGTTGAGCAGCAGATCTCGACGGCGATGGCGATGGCGATGGCGATGGCGGACGTCGCTTGTTGCAGTACCCAGTACTCTACTGCGTACTGCCACCCTGCCTCGCCGCGTTTAAAAGCAATATGTAATACATATATTGCAACCTTCCAGCCAGATCCAGATCATCCCAGATACCGGCGGGCAAGGACCAGTCTACCCCAACCCCAACATCGATCCGCTCCTCATCTCCAACATTGCTGCCAAATTAGGAAATCAGAAGCAACTCCGCACTGGCACTGGCACTGGCACCCGGTATGCGTCGTACAGTAGTACAGGTATGGATGGGCCGTACATACAAGGATGGATGTCTTGTAGTGGGGAAAGGGAAAGGACTAAAGGATCCCACCCCACCGGTCCCTCCCCTCTTCTCTCCCTCTCCCTCCCCGTGGGGATACAGTACATAGTACACGTTCAGCAGGGAGACGCCTCGCCGTCCCTCGTCCACGACACCGGCCCCTAAACCCTCCTCCTCGATCTCGTTGTCGTCGTTTTCCTTCTTCTTCTCCTCCTCCTCATCCTCCCCAAGCCGAGATTATGCCACCTCCCCGAAAGGAATTCTTTCGCGCGCTGCCGCCTGCAGACGTTCTCCCAGGAGCGACATGAGCACAGGATCTTCGGCGGCCACCATCCAACTGGCGTCATGGGCGAAGGCGATGTGTGCTCCATGCACGGTTTCCATGATGGTGATGCGCTCGATGGTGTCCCGGGCGGCCTGTACGTCGGCATGGAGGCAAGCTGCGCGCCCATCAGGTAAGGCAAAATAGCCAAAGTCGTGTATTCCCTTGTAGATTTCCCTGTATGCCACGTCGCGGCAGGTCAGGTCAGCGGAATTCTTGGGTATGGTTACTGCAGCACAACAAGGACAAGAAACACTGCACCACACTGAACCACACCACACTACACTACATATTCTCTGTTCATGGCTCTTGGTTCTGTTCTTGGTTCTGTTCTTGGTTCTGTTCTTGGTTCTGTTCTTGGTTCTGTTCTTGGTTCTGTTCTTGGTTCTGTTCTCATTTCCCCCGTCTTCTTACCTCGAATGACAACAGTCGCTGCCCAGCACGATCCAGTGACCGCCATGGACGCGCGCAGCTGCACACAAGTTGCCGGGCATATGTCCAGGAGCGCGGATGATCCAAAAGCTGCCGTCTTGGAAATAGTCGATGGCCTGGTCAAACGGGCCAAACGGCACCCATGGACCTTGCAGTTCGGCCCATCGCTCCGTCGACTGGTGCGGGTCAAAGTATCGTCCGTCCCATTGACTGCTCGGGTCTTGTAGGTGGCCGGGCATGCAGCATTCTTGGGTTCCCGGCCCAAATAGAGCAGTTGCCCGTGGGAACTCGGTCGATATGGGTCGACAGTGATCAAAGTGAGCATGGCTGTGGTTAGGTTAGCTAGAACAGATAGAGGTTGGACAGAGCAGAGATTGGAACAGAACAGAGATTGGAACAGAACGAGATCTGGAATCTGGAAAGCAAGGACCGAGAGCTGGATCTGGGTCTACATGGCACACCAGGGCAGCAAGGAACAAGATACCAGATCTGGGTATGCAAGTAACAGATATATAGCAGGAACGCATCCAGACAAGGAACAAGATACAAGATTCCGGTATGCAAGTAACAATAACAGTAAACAGTAACAGTAACAGTAACAGTAACAGCAATGCATCCAGGTAACACAGACATATACCAGGAACACATCCAAGTGGCAGCAAGGAACAAGATACAGATCTCGGTATGCAAGTAACAATAGCAGTAACAGTAAACAGTAACGCATCCAGGTAACATAGACATATACCAGTAACGCGTGGAAGTAACAGACATACACCAGGAACGTATCCAAGTGACATAGACATAGACAGATACCAGTACCAAGAACAGTAACAGTAACCACACCTCACTCAGATCTCGCACATTCAGTCTTCTTACCTTAAAACAACCGTATCGACATCGTCCGGCTCGAGCTGCGCCTCTTCCCGTATCTGCTGGACAAGAGACCTTCGCGGCCCTGCCATTTCCAGGTCCTCCCACAGGCCCTGTGTCACAAAGGGAGTGTAGTCTTCTGGCTTCTATGAGGTGAGCCTGTGGCATTAGCCTGGCTGGTCTTAGGACTGGGTATATGTAGTAGAGTAGTAGGCGGCTGGCCTGAGCACTGGGTATGTAGTATAGTAGTAGGTGTCAAGACAGGACACAACACAGGACACCAGACAGGACACAAGACACAAGACAAAACACAAGACAGGACACAAGACAGGACACAAGACAGGACACAAGACAGGACACAAGACACAAGACAAAAGACACAAGACAGGCCTAGGAATGCGTGATTTCAACATACCCCAGACATGCCCATATCCCACAGCAAGTTCTGCTTCGTGTCGGGATGCCGCACCAGAAACGCCCAATTATACAGACGCATCCGTTCATTCGGCACGTTGGCATGCAGCTTCGACGTGTCGGCCATGAAACTGCCTCCGTCGAGTAACTGCACGGAAACGGTCGCTGTGGTCGGGGGGAGAGGTCGATGCGAGGCCGAGGCCGGAGCCGTTACAGCCATTGCAGCCATTTCTATTTGCATTGGTTTTGTATTGGCTTTCTCATGCGGTCGTCTCGTTCGGGGAAGAGTTGTCGCAACGATTGTCCGGCTCGTCTGTTGCAATGATTCTCCGGCCCGTCTGTCTCCTGGTTTATATCAGGCTCAGGCTCAATCTCAGGCTCGAAATTTGATTCGAGGTCGCATTTGGATTTGGTTTTGGTTTTGGATTCTACCGTCCCATCTTGCAGTAAGTGACGCTTCAATCTGGTCGAGTTGGGCGGGCGGGCGAGCTTCGTTTCCCCAGGTCCAGTTCGCCCACTTGATTGCCTATGCCTGTGCCTGTGCCCCGCCTCCACATTCCCCCTTTAGTGGCTTAGGCTTACAGTACGCTTTACCAGGCCTCAGGATGGCCTCCTAAGCCCCTTAGCCGTGGTCGTGTTCGTCTTGGTACAGTAGCAGTAGCTTGAGGATCGAAGATCGTAGGCCTACCCCTCCCATGCCATGGTACGCATGAAGAGATGTCAGGGTCAGGGTCAGTGCTATTTGGTCAAGGCACGAGAGGTGCAAAGTGCGAGGTGCACAGTGGGTTTCAAATGGATTTGGATTGGCCAAATACATGCGGTATTCGGTATCTTCATCTGTAGACACCACCAGTGTACTCCGTACTGACACGCACCCTGCCTCTCCTGCTCAACGAAACACAATCCTTCATTCTGCGAGCTCAACTAGACACAATCCCTTCCGTCTCGCGTGGTAGGAGGACGGTCTAGATCTGGCAGGCTACTATTCCAGAGGAATCGCAGACTTATCACTGCCAATAACCAATTACGGTTGCCGCCACTGCAAGCTCACCGAAACACAATCCCCTCCTCCTGCGACTGGTCAAAAGCTTTCCGCATCACTGCTGCGTGCTTGGCCGATCGAATCGTGATGTCGGCCGTGAATGGCTTGGGCACGCTTAAGAACCCCCGGACCATTTCGGTCTCTGGCTCGATGATCCCACCATCCGTGCCAACCGCTTTGCTGATGTTGAACCCCCAGAGAGTGCGCACAATGTTGATGTAAAGCGACCGTTCGGCCACATGCACTCCAGGACAAACCCGCCTTCCAGCCCCGTAGGTGAAATGGTCGCGTTCGTAGGGATCGTTGGCATTGATGTAATCCGCCGCCGGGAGCGGTTTGTTGAGGTAGCGGCTGGGGTCGAATTCGTCGGCGTGCGAATACAGTTTGGGATCAAAGTGGATGGCCCTGTCAAGCTCGTCAGTCCTAGTCCTCGGGCTCCGAGACAGCGGGAAAAAGACAGCAGGAAACACCTACCACCAGTTCAAGATGACGACTGACCCCTTCGGGATGAAATAGCCTTCATACCAGTCGTCTTCCGACGTGCAGTGCGGCATGCCAAACTTGTTCACCGGTCTCCAGCGCAAGACCTCCTTGACCAGAGCCCTCACGTAGGCTAGATCTTTCTCATCCTCCCATGTTGGCAGACGGTCACTACCCACAACGTGGTCAATCTCTGCCTGGGCTTTCGCCGCCGCCTCGGGGTACAGCAGCATCGCGAGCACAAAATTGTTCAGCGTGGTCGCCGTCGTTTCAGAGCCCGCTTCGACCAGCCCACCGCAGGTGTATGCTGCGAGAAGGTCGTCGATGCCAAACTTTTGCGGATTGTTGAGATAAAAGTCCTTCACAAAGCATTCGGCCGCCACGCCCTTGTCCACCTTGGTCTTGAGTTCGTCCCACAGTTCCAAGTAGACCTTGCTGTCATGTTCAAACACTCGTTCGGCCGAGGTGCGCCAGTTTCCAAGGAGAAACTGTGGCCATGCTGCCAGGGACGGAAAGCTGTCCACGGCGTGAGCACCGGGCGCAGTCATTTCCGTGAGGTTGTCCAGGATGTCGTAAATCTTCTTCACCAACGGATGCTGCCATGTCGGTAACCGGTAGCCGTAGGTCACCAGCATGATCACCGATGATGAGTACCGCCGATTGTGCTCATAGAACCTCTCCGGAGATTCAATCAGGTCGATCATGAGTTGCTTGGATTCAAAGTCTTGGATGGGTTGGTATTTGGTGGCCGTGGTCGAGTTGAGCAGAGAATGGCTTGCTTTGCGTAGTTGTCTCCATTCCGGCCCATATTGCATGAATAACTGGCGCCTCCCACCGCTCGCCACATCCTGTGCAAATGGCGCCGGGGAGCGGGATGAGTAAATGCCGGACTTCTTGTCCATCAGGTCCCGGACGACCTTGGGAGAGGACAGCCAGATATAGTCGGTACCACCAATCTTGGTGTAGAAGATGTCTCCGTATTGTTGGTGCCACTTGCGAGCTTTGCCTCTCACAAGCTCCGAGTCGGCCAGATCAAACAAGTTACCGACCAGAGGGAGGCCCTTGGGCCCAGGAGGCAGGTGTCGTCGCCGCGGGTCCTAGATTTATGAGCATGGTGTCGTGTCGTTCAAGCAAGGGGCGGGAACGACTCACTTTGAAGGTATTGGGCACAAAGTTGTACAAGACGTATGTTGGGACGACAGCCAGAACTGTAAGAGCCAACCAGAAGGCATAGTTCTCAGCCAATTGTTGCCAGAGGATGAGGATGGCCATGTTGGCGTGACAGCTTGAACCCTCGGGCAAGACTCGTCAGCAAGTGTTTCCAAAGCACTAAAACTCCTGCAGATGATCCCAAGTCTTATAGAGCCGACTGTTCGAGGCCCAGCAACATAACATACTTCCAGTTGGGGAGTTGATGTTAGCCGAGCCGTACTGAGCAGGACCGCTTTCCCCATCTGCTGATCCGCCGTGAGCATACGGCAGAACCCCCTCCCCCACATAAGGGGGTGAGCTCTCGTGAGGGATCTAGGCCACTGATGAGACTCGCCGTTTGACAGCCAAACATAACTATCCATGACCAGAGGCTTTTGTTAGATGGAGATGCATGCCGGTCGAGTGCCAGAAGTCAACCGACGACTAACACGGTGTGTGGAGAACATCTGCCATCTTGCTGGCTGGCTGATCTATGGGATTGGATGAGACCTGGGCAAGATTTCTCCAGTAATTGTGCTCGCAGACAATGCCATGGGTCTGCTATAGTCGAGACTGACTGGGATTGGTATCGAGTTGAGCGACGCCTGTCGACACTGCGGAGTGAGGGAGGAAGAGTCCGTGGCAGCCACTAGTGGTCTTTGAAGGATTTTTGCCCATGCCCAACCACCCCCCGATTACTGTTGAATTTTCTTTGACACGGTCGACACGTATCTGGGGACAATATTTCGAATGGGTCTAGGAGATTCAGGAAGATTAGCGTGGCTGTCTTATAAATATCCAGCACAGCACTGTATTAATATTAGTCGGTGACGACGAACATGTCCCCAACCCCAACCCCGTTCACGGCGTGAGATGCCCTCCAAGGAAAGTATGCTGTGAGGGATATTGTCACGCCAACAGAGGCCAGCAGATGCTTTTGTACTAGTACAGGCGAGTGCCATATTATATATACAATCGTCGCTTTGACCAGACCCTTCTTACGGCGCAGTAATGTCGCCTTGTTCTAACCATGTATGCCGAGATGTAATATTCGTCCAGTGACAGGACATTCGAGCAGAGACATCCATCCGCCGGCCGAACGACAAGTGTCAGCTTGACTGAGTGGTGCTCTCCTGCGTCGGCGTGAGCGCGCTGGGTAATTCCCCAGGGGCCAACTGCCATGCCATGTCAACCGCTCCCCGAGGGCTCTCTTTGTTGAACAGGAACAATCCCTGTAAAGCGGCCATGCTGGTTTGGCTAGTCCTGGCCGAAGCATGAGGGAGAGCTCCAATCTCCACCAGCTTGGACAGAAACTCCCGCTTGATTTCACCCTCGGGATCTACGTCGCCGTAGAAGCGATCCCAAAGCTGCGCAATCTGGTACGTGGTAGCCGGGCCCAGATGAACAGTCATGTCGACTCTGCCCGGCCGGACAAGTGCTTCGTCCAGTCGATCCACATGATTGGTAGTCAGAAAGATGATTCGCTCCTCGGCACTGCCCACACCGTCCAAAGCGTTGAGAAGGCCTGAAAAGGTCACGTTGGCCCCTTGATACCCGTCAGCTTCCACTTGTCGGCGGTTGGCGAAGGCGGCATCGACATCTTCCAAGAGAACCAGGGTCCGCTGAGGTATCACGGTCAAGAGGTGGTTCAATCGATCATCGGTGAGACCTCGTTCGCTGAGATTGAGCATGGCAATATCGTAGTTCAGGTGGCCTGCCAAGGCCTGGATAAAGGACGATTTGCCCGTGCCAGGCGGTCCATACAGCAGATAGCCTCTGCGATAGGGTATACCTCGCTCATAGTACCATTTCGACGAGGAGAGAAAGTCTTGCACATCCCCCACGATTTTCTCTTTGACGCCTTCATCCAGGATGACAGACTCGAGGGGCCGCTTGCTTCGAGGGTGTCCAAACTTGTCCCACTTCGTGCCCCATGCAGTGTATATCACCGTCTTGCCCTCGACGGATTGGGTGGCAATGTCATGCGCCTCTTTGAACAGCGACTCGAAGACGTGACGGTGCGAATAAAGCGTCGTCAGTGTGACTGTTTCCCACGGTTTCCCATCCATGGAGAACTGTTTCGATTCCCTCTGCCGGTTCACCACTATCCATGCTTTCTTGTATCGGATGACATGCCTGCCGGGGCCGGGGATCAGGACGAAATCGGTGTGAATCGCTCCGTTGGGCAGTTCTCGCTTCTCGGTCTCGATGGCAAGATGGCGCATGCCTGGCGTCAGCCGCTGAAGAACAGACTCTAGGACGCCAGTTCCAGTTCTGGACGCTGATGAACCGCCGGCAAGTTGTGTGGAGCCATTTGTGATCAGCCTTCCTCGCTCATGTAGTGTCATCCAGTATAGAAACCAAGGGTAGGAATCGTCTCGGACGTTGATCTCGACGTCGACGAGCAGGCGTCGGCGGAGAAGGGCCGCTCCATGCCGAAGTCCTCGTTGGGCGAAAGCCGCGAGCGCACCTAAGCCCGCAAGGCCAAAGCCCTTGTATCGTCAGAACCAGGGCGTACCTAGCAGGACGCGGCGGAAGCTGCTTACCGCTGTGAAGAAAGGGTTACTTGTCAACTGCGCGACCAGACCGCCATCAGACGCGGAGCCTGCGCCTGCAAACTGACGCAGCAGCTCTGCCTTGGGCGGCGCAGCTGGTGCATTCAGAGGTGTAGGAGCTGAGTTCGAGGCGACCGTGACCACTCCATTGTCGCTCTGCATCCCCTTTGCCAGTCCGTTCCCGGTAGCATCTGATCCGCAGGCTGCAAGAGTTGGCGTGGCGCGAGTGATGGATGGTATGTCACTAAAATCTAGATTACTGCAACTCTCGACTCTGTAGATTTCGACCGGCGGCGGTAAGATTTTCCTCCGGCCCGTCAGCCTTTCGTGGAAACCGCGGAGTTAAGCGGCCAATGCGTCGGGCCTGAAAATGGTCGCGTCAACGAATTAATTGCTACTATTGACTGCACCATGAAATCTCCAGGCAGCAGGCAGCAGGAATTCGAGGCGAAGGCACTTTACGGCATAGTACAATCTTAATCAGGATATAAGGATACCGTGGAGCGTTCTTCGTCCACTTCCCCCGGTTCTTCCTCTTCCCTTTCCTCATGCGCTCCTTCCTCCGCCAATTGTTCAGCAAACGAGCCGCCTTCGGAGCGCAGCCTCCATACCAGCCTCCCTTCCGAACTATGTCAACAGCCTCCATGGCTGCGACCCTCTACGCTGCCACCGTGGCGGTCCCGTCCGTCGCGGGTACAAGGCCTGAAGATGAGATCACCAAAGCAAAAGCGTGGCATGCAAGGAGTGGTGGGTTTGAAAACCCTTGGCCGTCATGGCAGATGCATTCCGCCTTCACCATAATCTCAGGCCTCATAGCCAGGAGAATCAGCGGCAAGGCAAATTCCCCAGACACGACGCCTCCAACAGTGCCAGTACACGCTCCTGTGTTCTTGTCGGAGCGGACCGCGGGCGCCTCCCTCCGAGCGACATGGCTAGGTCATGCCTGCTACTACGTCGAGTTTCCCTCTGGGCTTCGAGTCCTCTTTGATCCTGTCTTCACCGACCGCTGTTCGCCCTTCTCCTGGCTAGGCCCCAAGAGATACACCGAGATGCCCTGCCAGATCAAGGACATTCCTATCATTGACGTTGTTGTCATCTCCCATAACCACTATGACCACCTCTCACACCCGACCATAATGGAGATTGTCAAACGTAACCCGGGCTGCCACTTCTTCGTGCCTCTGGGGAACAAGAAGTGGTTCGCAGCCTGTGGGATTGAGAAATGCACCGAGTTAGATTGGTGGGACGAAGTCGACGTCACACTGGCTCCTTCCACCACTGGAGGGAAGGACGAAACATCGGGACCGACCACCGTCACCGCCGTGGACAGCCTCGAGTCCAAGACCAAGCCTTCCGCAGACTCCATCACCGCTCGCATCTCCTGTCTCCCTTGTCAACATATCTCGGCGCGAAGCATCCACGACCGCGCAAAAACCCTCTGGGCCTCGTGGTCCATCTCTTCGGGAGGCAAGTCGGTCTACTTTGCTGGCGACACGGGCTACCGCACCACCCCCAGGGAAGCCGAGGGTAAAGACGACTGGGCCGAGGAATATGCCTCACTTCCTCGCTGCCCTGCTTTCGCAGACATTGGTCGCCTCCGCGGTCCGTTTGACCTGGGACTGATTCCCATTGGCGCGTACATGCCTCGCTGGATCATGAGCCCGATGCACGCCGACCCGCGCGACGCCGTGGAGATCTTCCGAGATACCAAGTGCAAAAAAGCCCTGGGCATGCACTGGGGTACGTGGGTCCTGACGGAGGAGGATGTGCTAGAGCCGCCCAAACTGTTGAGGAAAGCCCTCGCGCACCATGCGATCCCGGAGACTGGGGTATTTGACATTTGCGACATCGGCGATAGTCGAGAGTTCTAACCAAAAGGGCTGGTTGGCCGCGACTCGATATGTACTGTACATTCTGTTTGGGATATATAAGGCGTGCGATGTTCTCATGGGGCACGGGGGCACGGGGATGCATAATCTGGCTTGGACAGGGGTAAAAATGCCTTACCCTGTATATAGTATGGGGATACTATAAGGAGGCCGGACTGGGAGGACTGTCTGATTAGAACAGGCTGGTGATGTTTCCGTAAGGTAGGAATGCAAAAGGCGTCCACTCAATGGCCTAGATCGCGTACGTTGAACCCATCTTCGCCAGTCATCGTCTATTGATGCCGGTGATTATATCCATCGAGACTCTAATTGACAAGTAGTAAAACCTCGCTCACTAATAATACTAATACAGGGGGCTCATAGGCATGCCTGCGGGCAACCATCAACCGTCAACTTGAATGCCCGTTCTTGATACTTTTTTCTTTCAGCCACTGGCAATCTCCATTCCATTGTTTCCCGCAAACCACAAGCTTCAACTTCCGATGATGGTATGGCGTGACATGGGTGGCGTCCACAGTCAGGAACACACCACTTCTCGACTCTGTGTCTCTCGAGCCCAAGCCCTCACCCTCACCTGGCACAAAGGTTCGTTGAACAAAGAAAAACCAATCCTATCATCGCAAGTCGACACTGCTCAGCTGGCCTTTCTCTTCGCTGCGGCCTTGCCCGAGCCTGCCTTTGCCGCTCTCTTCTTGGGCTTTAACACTGGTTCTGCCACGTCCTGGTCACTAACGTCTGCAGCAGACGGCTCAATCGCATCATCGGCATCTTCCTGGGGCTCTGCCTTGACCTTCTTTGCTTTCTTCGCCTTGACAGCTTTAGGTTTCGACACCAAGGGTGCATCGTCTTCGTCTAAGCTTTCCCGCTTCACTTTCTTTGCTCTTGTCTTTTTTCCCTTGGCTTCAGACTCGGCGGGGGGGACCGGGTCTTCGTCTAAATCGCCATCGCTGTCTTCTGGTTTCTTCGCTTTCTTGCCGCGGGCTCTGGCCTTGCCTTCGTTCAAGGGCTGGTCTGAATCGATAGCTGGGTCCTGCTCTTCCGTCTTGACCTTCTTTGCTCGGGGCGCCCGCTTCGTCTTCGGTTTCGTGTCCTCCGCTTCTTGTTCGTCATCGTCGGCGGTCTTCCGCTTCCGGCCTCTAGACTTCTTCGCAGGCGGGAGCGAGGCGAGATCGTCTTCATCATCCTCGGTCTTCACCTTGCGGCCCGTCGCTTTCTTTTTCGGTGGCGGCGAAAGAGCCAGATCATCTTCGTCATCCTCGGGTTCTGCCTTGACTATCTTGGCGCGGCTCTTCTTCACCTTTGGCTTGGTTGGCGTTTCCTCACCAATTGCGGCAGCTCCGTCTCCTTCTTCGACCTCCTTTTTCTTTTTGCTCTTCGGAGTGCGTTTGTTGATGCCCTTTCGACCGGGCCGATTCTTTTCTGGATCCTATGGCATTATGAGATTTGAATAGGATCCAGCCTGTTGAAGTTTGCTCACCCCCTTCCAGTCCTCATCTGCAACGTGACCGTGCAGTATTGCAAACTTGATTTTCTCACATGCTTCTGGTGGAAGTTCATCATAACCATCCAGAATCGCGGGGAGATCCTGGTCAAGATCAAGATCTTCCAGTGGACCGACTTGGTCTTGGATGTTTTTGATTTGAGCGGGTGTCACGCAGCCCCTAGCTGAATGTAAACGGGTGGAAACAGTTTGAGAGGGGATTTGGGGGAGGGGGGTTTGGGATTGGGGAGCACTTCGAGACGGGGTTTAGGGGTTTGGGGGATTACCAATGCTTCCACTTCCACGTGAAGTGTTCCTGGATTTCCACCAGGGTACCAAATCTCAGCTCATTCTTCTCGATCTTGAGACCTGCGGCCTTGCATGCTGAATTCTGGCAGCCTGACCGGGCCGTCTTGGCTAGTTCTGCAAGCCCGTTAGAACGCGTGGGGCTGGGTAATTGGCAGAAGAAGCACATCAGATATGCTCACTGACTGTCAGTAGCTAGGGATAGCGCCAAGGACGGACAGTCGATCGGGCGAAGGGGCATATGCAGTTCAGAGACGGCAAGGCAAGAGTGATCTTCAGCCCACCTCGGAAGAAGGAGGGTTGGCTTGAGAAAGGAGGGTTGCTTAAGAAAGGGGGGTTGGCTTGAGAAAGGAGTGTTGGCTTAAGATAGGAGGGTTCGCTTACCAAACCGATATGTTGCATTCGACATGCTGATGGAGGAGAGGAGAGACGAGGGTATGGGAAGGGCGCAGGTTCGAACAGAAGTAACGTAGCAGATGAACAACCCTTGGCCTGCGATTTAGACAGCCCAGGAATGTCTGAGGGCGCGCTCTTGGATCTTGGATCTTGGGGTGGATGCTTTGTGAGGGAAAGGGAGAAGGAAAAGGGAGAAGGGAGAAGGTAGAAGGGTCAAGCTTGGTTGTGGGTGCCTTTGAGTTGTTTGCGCGGCAGGCAGAAACGCGTGAGGTCAACCACGGGCAGGAGGCAGTTACTGCGACGCAGCACTGTATAACTGCAACAACTGCACAACTGCACAACTGCGACAATTGCGACAATTGCACTTTGAAGCAGGCGCGGTGATTCAAGATAGGTAGGTACCTGACCTTCGATGAATAGTACCTAGGTAGTTGTGTACGGATACATAGGTAGGGAGAGTGCTAAGTTGAAACGCGTAAAGGGGCGCCAAGGCCTAGGCTATGATATCATCTCAGCCTTGCACGACTTTCATGTCCACCGACCAGGTACCTGTCTCCCTGTACGGAGGTTTAGGAGTAGTCTGTGTTGCATACCTAGGTACTATCTAATACCTAGGTACTATCTGATACCTAGATACTATCTGATACTGGTACCTAATCTTGTACCACCATATAAGGTCGTTGCTACAATCTGACGCGCTCGTTCTGAACATCTTACTCCATATATCTTGTATCTTCATTCCCCTTATCTCTCATCGTACCTACATAGTACACACGCAACAAACCATCGACGAAAGAAAGCGCCTGCTCAAATGTCTGAGTGAGCCACGGGTGGTGAGGACATCTATTTGGAAAGGTCCAAGTCTGGTCTCGTTCCATGCCTGCAGCCAGCAGCCTGCAGCCTGCCTCTCTACCAATTAGCTGCCTCGATCAGCCGGGCTGCAGACCCTTCCAGCCTTCTCGTGGGCCCAGATCTGACCACTGACCACTGACCACTGACCACTGACCACTGGCCAGGCCACTGCAGATAACTCACATACTCACATATCATGCTTGTTTGGTTGTTTTGGGGACGCTTCCACCATTTCCGCCAGCGACTCCCTCCTCACTACTGATGTCATGCGCGGCGTCCTGGCCCTCAAGCACACGGCCTTGTTCCTCGTCGCGGGCCTTGACGTTTTGGCCATAGGAGGCGTTGAAATCGTGCAGGCCGTCATGGAAGAAGGCGTATGGCAGCTCCCCGTGGACCTCGGCGTCGCCGATCAGCAACTGTTCTTCGCTGTACCGGAGAGGAATCCTCAGGACGTATTTGATGAACAAACAGATGGCACTGGTCCAGAAGATGTTCCAGCCAATGACGAAGAGGAAACCGACGATCTGAACCCAAACTTGCCGGCCATTTCCGTCGATGGCCCCTCCAGTGGGAGCGAGAGCAAATGCGGCCGTTCCCTCACTTGTTGCGAATAGGCCGGTGAGAAAGCCGCCGAGAACGCCACCGACCAGATGGGTGTGAAAGTCTCCGACGACATCATCGCTAAATTCAAGGAACCATCTCTGCTTGCCGAGAATATTCATCGACATCCACGGAATGATCCCAGAGCAAAGCCCGATGATGACTGCCCCCCAGCCAGCAACGAAGCCTGCCGCCGGAGTGATGGCGACAAGACCCGTAATGATGCCTTGCACCGCGCCAATGACCGCTGGCTTCTTGAAGAAGATCAAATCCAGGCCAGTCCAGGTCAACATGCTCATGGCCGTGCAGATGTTGGTATTTAGCACAGCGGCGCCCGCGTCCGGCGAGGCCGTGTACGGATCACCACCGTTGAAGCCGTTCCAACCGAGCCAGAGAAGCCCCACTCCCGCCAGGGCAAGGAGGACGTTGTTGGGGTAGAACTCGGTGCGATCGCGCGGGTGTCGTGGTCCCACCCAGTAGGCCATGACAAAGCCGGCGGTGCCGGACGAGACGTGGATGACATATCCTCCCGAATAGTCCAACACGCCCATTTGGTACAGGAAGCCGCCTCCCCAGATGCTGAACGCGCCCACGACATAGCTGAGAGTGAGCCACAAAGGCACGAAGACCATCCAGGCGAGGAAATTCATTCTTGCCAGTCCCGCGCCGGCGATGAGGACCAATGTGATGGCCGCGAAGACAAATTGGAAGTATACCATCGTGCTCATCGGGTACGCTGCCTGCAGCCCGGCGGCGGGCAAGTTGGCCTGGATGAGTTCATAGTTCATTGGCACTGCTGGGCCCGGAACTCCGACAAAGGGCAGCATCTGCTTGCCGAACCCGGCCTTGTACGCCCAGACGACCCAACAGATCAGGACAGCGGCAAAGGCGTACAGCGCCATAAAAGCGGCGTTGATGGCCCATTTTTTCTTCACCAACCCGGCGTACATGATCATCAGCCCGGGCACAGACTGCAAGCCGACCAAGGTGGCCGCGGTCAATTGCCAGGCATTGTCGCCATTGTTGAGCCAGTCTGGCGCCACGAGGTCGTCGGGGTTCCAATTCGGCATCTTGGCGGATCACCCCGGACCGTCAATCAACCGCGCTGTGGGGTGAAATCAGAGTTGGTAGAGAGCGACCGCTTTGGGGTGAAGGCAGAGTTGGTAAGGAGCGAGTTCAAGAGCGCAGTGGAGTCCGCTGGTGGTGTGGCTTGGGAACTGCACTGAACCGAACTGAACTGAGCCAGCGCAGGAAGACGCGTCGAAAAGCTGGGCGAGCAGTAGGTCTTTTAAGGAAGCCAGGCAACGCGCATCAGAGCTGGCGGAGCTCGCCCTGCTCACCCAGCTCTCGACTCATCACCCTGGCGTGGTTCTCGCCTGGCACTGGCATGGGACGGACTGGGATTCAAGCGATATCACTCGATCCAACTCGTCATGATTTGCCAGATCATACCTAGGGATCCTCGGCCGGGAGCCCAGCTCGACATTGGAGGGGCGCATAGCTTCAGGCGGAGGTCCGATCCAGGCACCAGCATGGCCATGGGAGACAGCTTCGAAGGGATGATAGGGCCACGAAGCTCGCTTGCTTATCAAGACCGCACACACCCACTACGAGATTGAGTTTGCCAGCATTCCAAGAGGGTGGACTGAGGTCCCAGTCAGGCTGTTGACTCGCGAACATGGGGGAAGTCTGGGGAAATGCGACCAATGGTGGAGACGGAGCTTATCAGTGCTTGGCATGGCTCGGCCGCACTGCTTAACCCTGGTAAACTCTGCTAAGCCTCGTTGGGGACAATGCTTAGCACCCTGGCTCACCATCCTGGCTCAGCTTCCCCTACGGACTACTAGCCAGCAAGTCTTTGCTCACCCACCAGGATCACCCCCGACCCTTATCTATCAAATGCATGAGATCGACCGCTCCACGTGTGACACAACCCACGGGAAGAGGCGATGTCCAGTGGCATGATGACACCCACCGCCGCCGGCTCGGAGGCCCCTTGAATCTGTAACGAGCAGGCACGGCCAGTGGTCAGTGGTGGACTCGATCAGCGGGAGCTTGAAAAAGCCGTCTTATCTTCGTCCTCTAAGGCGAGAGGGACAAATAACGATGTGTGGTCGATTCTCTGCCTCGTGCTGCGGCAGGACCCTGTCCGATCATGTGTCCCCCTGCTGCAGACCGCGGGGGTGCAGGCCAGGTTCAGCAACACCAAGCCGAGTTCAAGGCTCATGCAACTATCCTTACCATTGGATGGTGGACTTCTTTCTGTCAACAGTGACTTGAGCAGGATGACATTCGCCTCGAGCCTCTGCACCTTCCGTGAGGATGGGAACTTCGGTCGACTGAGATCGGGTCCGGACGAGACTCGAGATGTTTCTTTCTTCTTTTGGGCGAGTCGACCTCGTCTCGCCTGCCGACTCGCCTGCCACACACTTGGAACTAATCTCCCTCAATATGTGCTGAAAACGTCGTCGATTTAATGGTGAGCCACAGTGGTCACTACTCCTCTTTGCAAGCAGCAAATACAATTGCCTCGATCTGCATACCTTGCTGACTCCCGATGTTGACGGGGACGGGAGAGCCTTTTCGCGCGAGGCCAAAGAACCCTTGAAATGGAGCAGCGGGTCCAGTCGGATGCTCCTTCTAGATTCTGATCTAGTCTAGGCTGGGAGATACATGAGAACACATGAAGATGTGAGGAGTTTCTGATGGAGGTTGGAGCCGGAGCATGGCCAACCCCTTTCTGTGGAGATTGAGGGTCTCGGCTCGACCTGGGTCCCTGGGCTCTGGGAGATATTGAAGTTACTGAATTAAGATCACCAATGAAGTTGCATCGAGTCGAGATAACGTTCGAAACACTGCGAAATCGCTCGATTCTTTGGATTTCTTTGAATTTGACTACCGCTGATTCGTCTGCAACTTGACTGCTCAGTCCGACGAATAGGATGAGTACTGTGCCCTCAAGTCCTAGAGGTGTTGCGGCAGACGGTCTCTTGACTTAACTAATCTGTGGTCAAAAAGCTTCAAACTTCTCGTATCGTAGTTCGGTCAGCCTACCCTAGGTACTTGTTGAACCAATCGATGCCCTGTTTCTCCGCATCGTCCATGGCCTTCTTGTCAGCGTCAGAGCTCCAATCACTCCGCAGCGCAAACCCATGAACCTGGTCATTATAGATCTTGACTTCAGTCGGCACACCCGTTTTCTCAAGCGTCTCTTTGATCTGCTCAACCGACTTCAAGTCGAGCAATGAATCCTTTTCGCCGACAGCAAGGCTGACCGGTTTCGCAACAGGGACCAGGTCGCTGGGAATTGAGAGTAAAGACGGATGACAGGCATATGCGGCGTCGACGCCGCCCTTTTGGTCCTCCTTGCGAGCATGGGCTTGCAAGATGGCATAGCGGCCGCCCCAGCAGAAACCAATGGCGCCTAATTTCCCGGTTCCATCAATCTTTCGTACAGCATCAATGAATCCAGAAATCAAAGGCTCCGCGACACCTTCGCGGTGTTTGGCCAGCCACGGGCCCAGGGTGGCCATCACATTAACCGTCTCTTTGGCCTTGGCCAGTAGGCCTTCCTGCTCCTTGACCTTCAGTGGTGGCTCGACATCCTGCAGGAACTCGATGGGCAGTGAGTCGCCCTCGTGCACGTCCGGGATGTAGCAGTAGAACCCGGCCTTTGCGTACTGGTCTGCCAGCAGGCGGACGTTTTTGAATTTCCAGCCGAATATGTCCACAATAAATACAACACTCTTGGACTTGGACTTGTTCTCCGGTTCGGCAATGTACGTAGGCAACCCGCCGATTGTGGCTTCGTGTCCACGCGGAGTTCCGCTGTGCACGGCGCCAGAGACGCAACAAGCGCTAAGGCCGATTTCGGTAGTCATGTTGGTGATGGCAGAGGGATGACCGTTCTGTGAGGGTGGAGGACGACTTACGATAGGATAAGACGTGGAGAGATGTGTCTCAGAGAATGTAAGAGGTGAGGTTAGGATGGGAGGGGAAGTAGCTGGGCTCGTTCTCGTTCAAGTTTGTTGACTCGGGCCGTGGGCTTTGGACCTCGCAGCAGCTTTATGAAAGAGAAAGAAATGATGGACTAGAAGCTAGAAGCTGGTCAACGGCATCAGAATCAGAATGAGCTAAAAGCGAGTACTTTGGTCTTGGGCCGAGGACTGATGACTTCATGTTCGGCTGAGGTGCGGAGGAAGATGTTTGGCATGCGGGGTCGTGCAATGAATCCAACGCAGCGCCGCGCCTGGTCGACCGGTACTCGTACATACAGATTCCAGAGTAATAATACTCCGTAAAGTAAGCGTTATATCCTTGCGGGCTCCTAAAGTCTAAGGGGCTCAGGCTCCTAAGGCCTTGCCCGGGGGAGGCCTGGCATGCATCAGCCTCGTGTCTGATGTCTGATGTCTGACGTACGGAGTCCAGATTACTTACAAGGTATGTGCTCCGGATAGGAGGTGCTCTTTACGCTCGCCATGTGATCAACAGGAGCGTCTTCCGTATGCGCAGGCGCCTACGATATCTGGAGACTTCCTCACGGCGGCGCTACCGGATTGACTCCAGATAGCACAATGGAACCACCTAGACAACCTATGCAACCGACACAACCCACACCAGCATCAGCAACACGACTCGCGCAATCAACGCAGTCAACCCCTCCCAGACGAGTCTGCACCGCCCCCGACAACGACTGACGCGCGATCAACGCCCAGATATCCTCCTTATGCGCGAGCTTGGCCATTCCTATGAGTTCATCTCCAAATACCTCCACGTCACGCAACACGCCGTACAATATACCTGCACAAGCATCGCGAGTCTTTACGCCACAACATGGCCGAGCCGGAAGGCGGCCTCGACTCTCCAAAGAAGAGGTGGACAGGCTTGAAGAGCTTGCAAGGAATACAGGAGGAAAAAGGCGCCTTAATCATCGTCGACTGGCTGAGGTGCTCTAGCCCGGAGGCGGCATCGGTGAGGAATCGGTCAGGCACGCCTTAACGCAGCGCGGCCTCGACAGGTATCATCAGGGTCTTAGCATGCTACTTCGGAAACCTCCCCACAAAAGGAAGCCTAAAGGAGCGCCTCGCACCATAGATTCTGGAGAAGTAGAGAAGTAGGGCAGGAAGTCGGACGACCAGGGCGGTGCCGACGCTTCTGGCCTGGTTGGTCAAGTATTTGCAAACACATGATCCATGATGGCCTACGTAGCCCCCACGCCACGACGGGCAGGATGCATGGCTGATTGGCAGGTCTTGACTCATGAATGGGTGTCTCCAGCAATCTCTTGCGAACACTGTAGACATGGGAGAGTCTCCAAGCGAGTATCAGCACCAACCTAGAACCCGGTGACCGGGAAACTTGTCAGCCGTGGTCAGAGTAGTCCGTGTACACCAGACTGATCACTTCTGCTGGCTTTCCCTTGTGGATGCATCAGGAAATATGTGTAAGTCTGCGGCTTTCGCCCGGGGAGCTCTATCAAGACTTCCCAAAAGAAGGAGGATAGTGCCACACGAACTTAGACGGCTTTGGTCCCGACTATAGGAATTCCTTTAGACGAAGACTACCACACATGTCAAAACACCCCCCCGTCATCCGCTGTTAGCACGTTAACATAGCCGTCCATATGGCATCGAGCCGTCCTGATCAAGTTGGCACTCTGGACGTTGCCATGTTCGATGGCCGCTCCCACTTCCAAAGTGCCCGAAGGATGGCCGATGACCGTGTTGGAAGGATGCAAGTGCCTGGACAAACGGCTTGGAATTGTACCATCCATTTTGCAGGCCACGCCTAGATTGAGCGCGAGCGTGACCGGAACGGCTTTGTGGGCTTGTTCCATGGACAGAGCCTGGCAGGCAATGTCTACTCCGTCCTCGATCGCTGGAAAAAGAAGGACAATCTTCGGGATGCTGCTGATGTTCGGGTCAAGGCCCATCATCTCGGTGCCTCTCCTTCGGATCAGCTCTAGCTTCTCCAGCAGCTTCGGGTCTGTATTGAGGTCATCCGGTGAGGCATCTGCGCGCCAACCAACGTCCCTGCCGTCGATGAAAACACCGGGATTACTGACATCGACAAGGGACGCTTGAATGACCTGGTCTCCAATCTTGATCTGGTCGACAGCGTTGCCGGTCGGTAACGCACTTCGGGTCTTGGAGCCCGCAGGATTCAGGAATGACAGCGTAATGGTGGATCCCGTGCCAGGGACGCCGTCGATAGAACACTTTCCCAGCTCGAGATATTGCCAGACTCCATTGGAGCGACGCGTCTGGAAGTTGGACTGAATGATTTTCTTTGTGTTTGTGTTTCTCATCCTCATGGTGACGGTTCCGGCATCGCCCTGGTGGACTGTTTCAGGCACGGTCCGGTACAAGCCAGCATTGAGCGCAAAGGGCCCAACTGCGGCGGTGAGGTTGCCACAGTTGCCCGCCATATCCAGCTGCCCATCCTTGACGCCTATCTGGAAGAAGGTGTAATCGATATCCGCACCTGGCTGGGTAGACGGACCAACGACCATGGCCTTGCTCAGTGATGATATTCCACCTCCCATGCCGTTGAGCTGCCTGCCGTACGGGTCTGGTGACCCCATGATTGCGGAGAAGAAGTCCTCCATCCTCTTGAACTGAGCAGTGCTCGACGGCTTACCCGAGTCCAGAGTCGTCTGAAGCCATCCAGGCAGGTCTAACTGGTTAAGGAAGACGCCTTTGGACGTCCCGCCCCGCCAGAAGGACGCTTTCACGGCACGCGGGAATGGAGATGGAGAGGACGACATTGTTCGCTTCTTTGCCGATATGTCACCGGCCACCCGTAGACTGTCTCGACCGACACGGCATAATGTTTGTAAGTGGCGTGGGATGGAAGGATTCGCCCAGTGCGGTCCCGCTAGCATAGTTCACAGCAAGACAGCCGTGAAGCAGCCGCAAAGGCCACCGATTTCGACGAGCGGGATGGAACGCTACATGTGGCGTACGGAGCAGGCAGATGCCGAGGTCGGGATCGTAGCATCTACTCCGTACTACGACTTACCACCCGTACACTTTTCTCCGGGGCGAGATCGAGTCTTGGCGGGCTAGGCGAAAACAGTCTTTCCTTCAGCCCCCTGAGCCTTGGGAGCCCTCTCGCCTCTGCCAAAGCAAAGATATGCCGTCTCCTGTTCCCTTGTCTTAGACTTTCGGATATCGGGCCCAACTAGAGACTACCCACACATAACTCTCAGGATGTGAAAACGACACGGGAACAAGACTGTTGTCCCATTCCGGCAGTCCTGTGCTCACCAACATTCACTCTTGAAAGGATGCATCCTTAAGATTTTCGACATCCATGGACTCATGGACTCAAGGACTCAAGGAGCCCCAGTATATAGCAATAGATATCCCAGAAAGACGGACTGGTCTGGTACTTCCGCTCGCTGCGAAGGAGGATGAGATCCTTCGCATTGTTGCGCAACATTTGAGCATGCACCTGAAGGCCTGCAAACTTGCAGAGAGTGATGACTGGACCCAAGGCCATAGTCCGCACAAATGTCTCCTTGAGGCTCTCTGCTAAAGCATTAGAGGTGTAGCTTTCCAGCAAGACAATCATCGTGCTTTCCTCTTCCCAAGAATCCAGCAAACCCTCTCAACATGAGCAGAAGTAGCAGATGAGATGCTTCGCGTAGAACACGGCTTCTGTCCATTGAAACTTCCCAGCCCAGCCACTCATCCTAGCAAGGGATCAGCGGCCAACCAGAGACGTCGATGCCTAACGAAATGTTTAGGGTGACATAGTTGTTAGGGAAGTTTCTGCAGCAGAAAAGGCTATGGTCGTCATCTTCCATCGAAGTCTCGATGGCAACAGTCAAAGAAATTGCTCAGTAGCGCAGAGTATTATAAGGCGCCTCAAGTCGTCTGAATCGCCCAGCCCAACGTGTGGGCCAATCGCAGCTTGAATACACGCTTTGCTATATTTTGAGAGAATCGTACTGAGGCAAGTCTCTCTTGATAGCGCTTCCGTTATCGGTTGATCAGGGTCAGGCGAGGAATGGTTGACCCAAGGCTGATGGTTCTTCATTGCAAGTCTGTAACTTTCCTCTTCATATGCTAGCCATACGGTCTGGCTACAGGGTAATGGCATGTTGAGAATGAGGTCATCGCTCAGCGGTTCATAGTAGGGCGAGGTCTTTGTTGTCCTCGGATCATAATTGTTAAGGAAATTGACCATGTTAACGATGAAAACTGTTCTGCGTGTTGTTTCGGTGGTTCTCCACCGACCCCATGTCGTGGTGGTCGGCGAACACGGTGTTGAGTTGAAATCAGAGAAGGCATCTATGTCCGTACTGCGAATCTGTAGGTACGGTTCAATGTAGGATCTTGTCATCTGCCGAGTATTAGTAACGATCCAGAGCCTGCGATCGGGACAGGATCATCGCTATACCTTCAAAAGAAAGCCCATCTCTAGATTTTGGACGGGCATGGCGAGTCTCCACGCTTCAGACTCGTTACCAATGCATTCCTTAGTCTCCAATGTCGCGTAGATGATCAAAGCGTGTATCGCGTCCCACTGCTCCATACACTCGTACGACGGCTGGCAGAAATCTCAGAATTTGATCAGAGCGGAGCTGGGCCTCAGTGGCACTTACAAAATTCCCAATCAGTCCATGCCGCGCTGTGTCGATGGCCCGCCGGAAAAACTGCTTGTCGGTCGACAGATTCATGGCGGTACTGCTGCAGATGGCCATTGAGGTGAAAGGGAAAGAGGCCAACTCAGGTTCAACGTTCTTGACTTTTGGCAAGTGAAGAAATGGAGAGAAAAAAGAGCCTTTGATTAGCAAAGAAGCGTAGTCGCCAAATATACGGGTGAGAATGAGCAATGTCGACGATGTCGGAGGATTTGAAGGGGACCTCCTGCTGTCATTCGAAGTTTGCTTAAGGGATGTAGTGGGTGAGTTGCCATGGGTTACTGGCGACATATAAGATGGCTCAACTAAAGACCCAAGGGGCGGGACTGGAGATATATTTGCAAAATCTGCCATGTTCAAGTCGAAGGTATCCAGCGGATACGGAGAGAGTGGGAAGTTCCAAGTCGGCAGTTCAGGGACGGAGGACTGTCTACCCGCCGAGGGACACGATTGAGGACTTTGAATCCGGAGACTGAGACTTGAAGCTTCCTCCATGTGCTCGGGATGATTCCAGACTTCAAGTTGGCCAGCTGACGCCAGTGGTGCGCTATAGAGGCATTTGATTCCTCTCTTAGCACAACGAGAGCAGGTGGGCTGGGTGTAGCAGCACTTGACTTTGGCTTGAACACACGCATCGCAGGCTTTGCGACGATTTCCACGTTTGACGGGACCTCTGCAGCGCCTTCGATGACGCATGAGCAAGTCTCCTGTGTCAATAGTGTCAGTGTCAGCCACGGAAAAAAACGGCTATACAAGATCCGAAAGAAAGGAAAACCAGGAAGGCGGACAGCCAGAAACCTACGCCGCTGGTAAGACTTAGAGCACATCTCGCATATCAACTGATTGGACTCCGTGCTAGCGACATTCGACTCCATGGTCCCCAGTATCGATGGAATCAATTCCGCCAGGGGTCAGGGGTAGGTTCTTTGTGCCCGGATAGATCATTCAAGTATGAGATTGATGTGTTACGGAGTACGGAGTACAAAATATCGGTATCGCAAAGGACCAGGCCTTGGCCCAATACTACTAGTGGCACAGGGCATCCGTGATACTCCGTTCATAATAAGCACCTACCAGGTAGATGCCAGGTGCAAACTGAAGTAATAGCATTTTGTTACTAATCTGGTGCATTGTCGCCGGCGCCGTCGCCGCTATAAGATCCCGTGACAGCCACGTCTCTCCGACCTCCGATCTCCGAAGTTACGGAGCCGAATGGTCGATAGAGTATTCACGTTCACGGACTTGGATGTTATCGTCCAGAGGCTTCGGATTTTGGAGGTCGTTCTTATTGATTCTAAGTGAGCAGGACAGAGACAGATTGGCTAATTGTAATGGTGAAAACCTCACTCTCCGGGTCGCCAGTCATCAGTCCGGAGCTCAGGGCTCAGGGCTCAGGGCTCGGGGCTCAGGCTCTGTGATCTCCTTATTGATAAATACTATGTGAGTATGCTCTCCCTCCCTCGTCCTTGAAGCTTTTCACCCATCATGACCACCTCCTGCACGCCCTCATCCGCCATGACATCGTCCACAGAGAGGAAGAGCAACCCCGACCGGGCATCCCAGAAATCATCGTCGTCGCCAGGTGAGTCCATCCTGGGGATGGGTCCGAGACGGCTCTAACAAGGCCTTTGGCTGACTTGGAAATCGTTAGACGCCGAAGCTGCGCAGCCCTCGAAAGGAGACGATGTCTATCCCGCCGATGCCTTCTCCCTGCCACGGCGGATTCTATTCATCGCCACTGTGTGTATGTCCATGTACATCAACCAGCTGTGCTTGTGCAACATCCTAACCACGCTCCACATCATCGGAGATTCTTTTGGCATCAGTAACCCCGGTACACTGTCATGGCTTATCGCTGGCTACAGCTTGACGATTGGCACATTCATCCTCATCAGTGGGCGCCTGGGTGATGAGTTTGGCAATAAGAAAATGTTTGTGCTAGGTATGGGCTGGCTGTCTTTGTGGAGCTTGGTGGCAGGACTTTCGGTCTATTCCAACCATGTGCTCTTCGTCTTTGCTCGCGTCTTTCAGGGCATGGGTCCTGCCTTGACGTTGCCCAATGCTCTCGGCATCTTTGGCAAGTCTTTTTCCGAGGGCCCGCGAAACATGGCCTTTGCATGGTTCGCCGCAGCCGCACCATTTGGCGCCATGACCGGTCTCGTTTTTGGCTCTCTCTTTGCTATGGCTTGGTGGCCATGGACCTTCTGGAGCCAGGCTATTGGTGTGGCTTTCGTTACTGGCTTTGCTGCCTGGACAATCCCAGACTTGCCTCGAGAAAAGGAGGAGATACGGCCGCTCCGTCAGAAATTGGACCGGCTGGATCTTCCTGGGGGTGCAGCTGGCGTGATGGCTCTGGTCTTGTTCAACTTCGCATGGAACCAAGCCGTGGTTGTGACTTGGCGGGAGCCCTACGTCTATGTGTGCCTGATCCTCAGTTTCGTTTTCGGGACACTGTTCTTCTACATTGAAATTCACCAAGCCCGCTATCCGATTCTGCCCGTCGCTGCCTTTACTTCGGACATCAGCTTCGTTTTCGCATGCACGGCGGCAGGCTGGGCAACCTTTGGCATATGGGTTAGTATTGCTCCTGATCGTGCAACATTCCAACTAACGGCTGAGTGTAGCTCTTCTACGCCGTGCGAGTAGCCCTTGACATAGGCGGCCAAACTCCTATTCAAGTGGCAGCGTGGTTTACTCCCATTCTTGTTACCGGAGTCGCTTCAGCCTTGGCTGTTGGCAAAATCATCGGCAAGGTTCCTGCCTCGTATATTATGGCAGTCGGACAGCTTGCGTTTTTGGTCACATCGATTATCATGGCCTTCAGGCCTCCAGACTCGATTTATTGGACCTACTTCTTCTTCGGAACCATCATCGCCAATATCGGAATGGATACATCATTGCCTGCTGCCATAATGATTTTCGCATCCACAGTGCCCCGGCAATATCAGGGCATGGGAGCCAGTATAGTCATGACCATCGTCAACTACAGCATATCACTTGGTCTGGGTTTTGCTGGTACTATCGAAACCAACATCAATCATGGTGGACATACCCAAGCAGACTTACTCTACGGTTATCGGGGTGCTCTGTGGTTTTCCGTCGGCTTGACGGGGCTCGGAACTGTTCTCAGTCTCATATTCCTGCTCAAAAATCACCGGAAAATGATGTCGAATGGGGAATAAAGCGGAAGAGGACATTCCAGTGAAGCATTGGTCCTGATTGCGGTACGAAGCTGCTTGTCACCTATGTTCTGTTGTACATACCATGGATTCGGAGGTGCTATAGAAAAGTAGGTATGGAGACACACCATACACTGGCTAGACGGTAGTACAGCTATAAAAGGCGTAGATTGTAGAATCAAGTCTAGAAGCATATTAGATTCCATGGTCAATTACATAGAAAATATTCAGATGCCTCACGACCTATTTTCCAGTCTATCTCGAACTCGTCTCGTCCTGGGTCTACGACGTGGTTGAATAATTCACAATTCAGCTTTGACTAACAGTGCGATAATAGTGGACTTAATCATGAACCCTTTCTTCGAAATTGACAACGACTCTGGATTCCCCGCCTTACGGTATCATATCGAGAAGGACTACGGCCTCAGTGTATGGGGTGATGCAAGTTGGTGACGAGGCCGTCCAATCACACAGCCGCCAGTAAGCAATACGTGGAGTTGGCCGCAACGCGACTCACTCTCTGTGCAACGTCGCACTCGTCCAACTGCAACAACTGTTGCAAATGAGACACGGAAGCTTGTATCTGTCATGCCCGTTCCTCGGTTTGAACCCTTCCCTCCCCGCCCTCCTTGACACACTAGCTGCGAAGCCGTCAAAATGGGCTCACTGAGCTCTCCTCCTCCCCCTCTGCAATTCCTTGTCATCGGCGCCGGCTCTCGAGGCAATGCATATGCCCGCGCAGTCGAAGCCGCCACCGCGGGATCCATTGCCGCCGTGGCAGAAACCGACCCCTTCAAACGGCAAGAGTTTGGCAAGAGATACATATGGGGCCGGGAAGGGCAGCCCGCGGACCATCAGTCGTTTGCGGGCTGGGAAGAGTGGGTTGAGTGGGAGATTCGAAGGAGACGCAGTGCGGCGGGCCAGGCTGGAGACATTCAGCCTCGCTACCTTCCTATCACCGGAGTCTTCATCTGCACCCTGGACGAGAGTCATGCTCCCATAATATACGCGATCGCCCCCTTGAACCTTCATATCCTTTGTGAGAAGCCGTTGGCCCTCTCTTTGTCAGACAGCCTATCCATTTCTACAGCACTTTCCGGGTATCCCTCCAAAGTGGTGTCCATTGGACACGTACTCCGATATTCGCCACATAACATCCTCCTTCGCAAGCTCCTGACCTCTGACCAAGTCATTGGCGAGGTTGTGTCGATCGAGCATACTGAACCAGTTGGCTGGTGGCATTTCGCTCATTCATATGTCCGGGGGAACTGGCGACGGTCGACGGCTGACGGGGTTGGCTCGTTGTTGACCAAATCCTGCCACGACATCGATTTCATCCTCTGGCTTCTCTGTTCGCCGAGCTCTCTCACGGGCGATAAGCCCCATCTGCCCTCGACCATATCGAGTACAGGAGCCATTACACACTTCAGGCGTGCAAGGAAACCAAAGGCTGCAACTCCCACCACGACCAACTGTCTGTCTTGTCCTGCTGAACCCGATTGCATCTACTCGGCGAAGAAGATCTACCGTGACCGATGGCTTCGAAAAGAACAGGACACTGGCTGGCCGCTGAAGATCGTGGTCCCGGAGATCGAGGATATTGTCGCCGTCAAGGGTTGGGACGCCGCCGAGGAAAGACTCATGCAGAAGCTCGCTGAAGACTATGATAAAACCACGACGTCTGATGACACTATTGCCAGCAGGAGCTGGTATGGCCGCTGCGTCTATGAATCGGATAACGACGTTGTCGACGACCAGACTGTCACCATAGAATGGGACGAGGACCCAGTCCCTGGACACGAACTAGGTCGTGGACCGAAGAGAGCCCTTTTCCACATGACGTATCCTACACAATCACAATGTGAACGTCGGGGCAGGATCTACGGGACTTTGGGAGAAATCACATACGATTCCCATACTATTACCGTGTATGCCTTTGCAACTGGCGAGGTGGCCGTGCATGACATCCCAAAGCAAGCTCCAGAAGTTGAAAAGAGCCATGGCGGCGGCGACTGGGGTCTTGCAGCTGCCTTTGTCCGAGCTGTTGAGCATGTTGAGGAGGGGAACATGAGCGTTGCGCAGGCGCAACGGGAACTTGTGGGTTGTGATTTGAAAGAGATCATCTTGAGCCATGCGGTGGTTTTTGCTGCAGAAGAGGCGCGAAGGGAGAAGAAGGTCGTCAACTGGGCCGAGTGGTGGAGCAAGAACGGGACAGACGGTTGATTCAGAACACCCAGAAACCCATTGCCCTCCTGGCCGGACTACTGCAGCGGAGGCTTCAACCATGATGACGATTTCACGATTGACGACTGTCGACGAGAAGCGGATGACGATGGCCGACTTCATCTACGTATACACAGATCGAGGGCCTTAAGTGCCAATGAATGAAGGCCATATTTCACTGGACAGTGCCGTCAATAATTCATTGCATATTTACTAACAGTCTCCGAACGCTGTGTCGGGACGGAATGCTCTCCTAATATCTGCCGGTTGCTCAGGAAGTCCACCCACATTCCGGCGAGCAATAGACCTCCCAATCTGGACATGGTCAACAGAGATATGCGGACATGGATCAGGCAAAGGCACATCTGACCAGTGCACTGATATTTGCATCAGCATCATCTTCAAGCGATACACAGTGTTGCCTTATGTCTTTGAATGTAAATGAACTCGTTTAACATCAGGAAGCCTAGACTTTGACGGCTGCCAGCACTTGCTCGATACTCAACTCGATCCCAATAATGTCTCTACGACGATCCCTGACCTGGCTGTATCTACTCAGCAGTGTTTTCGGTATGTCCGCATTCGCCTGACCCGTTGGAACGGCACATCCAAACCCAAGCTCTACGCCCAAATGCACGGCAGGGCGGTCTCGTCCATGTTGATTGATGCTTACCTATGTTCATCTTATGTCGCAGTTACCTTCGCCTTCGCCCATCCTCCGTTCCTCCCATCGCCCAGCGACCCAGTGGGTTCGCGAGGCTGGCACTCTGCACACCCGGCGGTCGGGTCCAGTGCCAGTGTGACCGGATCCAACACGACGCCTACACCATCTTCCAATATCAACGTCAACGTCGACATCAACACCAACAACACCGGACCATCCTCCTCCTTCAACAAAGTGCGAATAGCCCACGCCGTGCTGGCGTCCACGGCGTTTCTGGTCTTCTTCCCCCTCGGCGGCATCTTGATCCGCGTCTGCAGTCACCATGTCCACACCATCTGGATCCACGCCGCCATCCAGAGCCTCGCGTATCTGGTGTTTGCGGCCGCAGCAGGAATGGGTATCTGGATGGCCAGCCAGGCCGATCGTGTATGTGAAACACTGCCCTTAATCTTACTTTTTTTAAGACCATACCCTCCATTCCCTCAATACTACTTTTCTTAAGACCATGCTTCGGACTGCATTTCTCAAGACCATGCTTCGGACTACACATGACCGTCCTGAAGCCGAATCCGACGTCTGGTCTGCTGTCAAGTACGAAGAAGCATGACGTCGCGAGATCTCTCCAACACTGAGTGAATTGAGTTGAATTGAACTGCCCCATTGAATGAATTGAGTTGAATTGAACTGCCTCACTGAATGAATTGAATTGAACTGCCCCATTGAGTGAATTGAGTTGAATTGCCCCATTGATTGAGTTGAATTGAACTGCCCTGAACTGCCCCATTGAATGAATTGAGTTGAATTGCCCCGTCGAGTAGATAACCATCCATACATACGTTGCTATCAGCTAACGTGTTCCCATGCACAGCAACTACGCCACTACCACCCTGTCATCGGCTTGCTCCTCCTCGCCCTGCTCGGCCTCCAACCACTGACCCAACTGCTCAACCACCGGCTCTACACGCACTATCCGCGCACCACCATCCTTCTGGCCAACACACACCTCTGGCTCGGCCGCGCTCTGCTGACGCTCGGCATCGTCAACGGCGGTCTGGGGTTTCAGTACGCATCGACATTCCCCGGACCACATCCAGATCCACATCCAGATCCACATCCAGATCCACATCCAGATCCAGATCTACCTCCACATCCACAACCGCAGTGGTCCAGAACGCCCAAGGTCGCCTACGGTGTCATCGCCGTAATGGTCTGGATTGTCTATGTCGCTGTCGTGGCCGTGTGGGCTGAGCTGCGCAGGGGTCCGAGACAGGGCCGCGTTGGTGATGATGATGGAGGAGCCGGTGCCACTGCCACTGCCGGTGCCGGTGTTGAGTTGCACAGTCTAGATGACACTGACACTGACATTGACGACACGGCAAGGGGTCGGAGCGGCCAGGCTGCAATTATACCCTTGGCCCTGGATAAAGATGGAGATGCTGGGGAACAGAAAACGACAACAACTTCAACTCCAACCCCAACTCCACTTCTAAAAGAAGTAGGAGTAGAGGAGATGCGAAAGAGTTGACACGGAACTTGAACTAGACAGGACACAGGACACAGGACACAGGACACAGATCACGTAGAACTAGGTCGAGATAGGAACTAACTGCCTCTGCCTTTCCTAATCGCCTGTACTCTAGCAGCCGGACGACACTTCTCAGAGCCATGCACTTTATTCTATCCAGCCCATTTGCTTCGCTAACCGTAACATGCCATAATTAATTGAATTCCCCGACTGCCGCTCGCGCTGTGCACCGAAAAATATGACCTGGACAAGGTAGAACCCGAAGCTGACGTGGTTCCTGTACCAGTACCAGTACTAGCACTGCAGGACCAGCATCAATATCAATATCAAATCAATGCACAGGCATCACCACGTCAAAGGCACCCGTGCCAATATTGCCTCTCCGTCCAGCAACGATCCTGGCACTCGGCCCCAGCAGAGGGTCGGTTTCGCCAAAGAGCACCGCATCCTTCAGGAAGCCCATGACGGTTTCGAAGCTCATCTTGGCGAGCACGCTGCCTCCCTCTCGGACCAGACCGTGCCGACTGAAAGGCTGGTATGAGCCCGAGTTGGTCATTGCGTCGGCGATGAGGTTCAGATGGCGCGAATCGACGGTGATGCCGTGGCCCTTGAAGACGCCGTCGATTTCCTTGATGATGGTCATGCGAGCCGCCTCCACGCCGTAGAACTTGAGCATGTCGTGCACCGAGTTGGTGTACAGCGAATGAGGGTAGATCTGGTCCTGGTAGTCGCGCATCGCGAGCAGGTTCACGCCTTCGGTCGTGATCACTGGCTCCTTGACAGACTCTTCCTCTCCCGTCTCTTTGTTGATCTGCTTGACGGGCCGTCCGTCAGGGCCGTTCACCTCTTCCATGAACTGGGTACACATGCCGAGGCCGGGGATCGATTGGATCACTGCCAGATGAGCGCATTTCTCGAGCATCGGTAGCAGCAGGAGTTTAGGAGTGTTGGAGTCATAGCTGAGCACAATGCGGCAAGATTTCCCCTCGTTGCGGGCAAAGCTGAACCGTTCGAGGTGCGGTAGGCTGGCCTTGAGTTGATCCTGTCGAGCTTCTTCTTCCGAGTCCATGTCTTCAGCCTCGTCGTTCTCTTCGCCGTCGTCGTCATCCGCATATTGTTCTCGCAGTGTCTGGGACGCTTTAGGAGCCCGCAATGACTTCTTTGGCTTCTTCGAAGGTGTTTCTGGCTCTTCATCTGTGCTCAGGCCTTCGTCGCCAGACTCGTTCGCGATGCCCTTCTCCTCGTCGTCCGGTTCATCAAATGTGTCCTCTCGTCTGCGCCTCGCTGCCGCGTCCTTCGCATCATCTAGGTCAGCATCCTCGTCGATGTCGTCCTCGCCGCCTTCTCTCTCTGTGGCCCGCGTCCCGGTCGTTCGGGCCTCTTCCACCACGCCAACCGAAACACCGACGGCCGGTACGGCTGCAGTAGTCTCCGACAAAGTAGCCTCTCGGGCCTTCTTCTTGAACTCGTCCTTGATCATCTTATCGAGTCTGGGTAAAAACCTTTTCTCGAAACATCGCAAGACGTCCGCGCGTTGGATCGCATACTCCTCTTCATATTCTGCCGGGTCATATAATTCAATTCGGATGTCGTAGATCTTCTCATGCTCATAACCAGCACCACCACCCGCTCGTTCAGTCACGAAGAGTTTGTTGATAACATGCGCCAACGACAAACGGCTGATACTCTTTGCAAAGCGTTCACCCTCTGCCTGGGTGAGCTCTTCAATCGGCTTGAGAGTCATGGTGGGTGTCATGATTTTGGCGCTCGCAGTCATGATGATTTCCCGCAACCGTGGAATACCAAGCGTGACGTTCTTCGCCGAATGACCCGCCAAATGGAAAGTGTTCAGGGTCATTTGAGTAGACGGTTCACCCACTGACTGTGCTGCGACGACACCAACCGCCTCCCCAGCGTCCACAATCGACCTCATGTATTTCAAATCCATGATTGACTGGAAGGTCTTTTTGCTAACGATGCCGCTGATGTTGGCCTTCTTGTCTCTAATCAGCCTCTGCGGGTTATTTTTCACATAGGCGTTTAGCGCCGTAGCGAACGACTCGGAGGTACTGCCAAAGTGGCTTGCTGGCGTGAAAAGAGACGTCAAAGGATCCTTCGTCCTTCCTTTCTTCGTGGATTTCAAGATGGTCTTCTGTTCATCCGCCAATCCTTGGTTCGGAATCTTAAGAAGCACTTCTTCTGCCTTCATCAGGGTGGCGACTGATTGATGGTTTTCAGCCAGGAATGTAAACTCCTTCAAATGTTTTTGTTTCGTGACTTCGAGGCCGTCTTCTCCATAGAGGAACTGGATGACGTTTCCATTCGAGCTTTCTCGCACAGAAGTATCGTATTCTGTACGCAGCCCTTCTAGACCTTTGACGATGCAGCGCTGCAGATAGCCAGACTTCGATGTCTTGACCGCGGTATCGATCAAACCTTCTCGACCAGACATTGCGTGGAAGAAATATTCTTGAGGTCTGATACCGGTCAAGAAACGACCGCACACGTATCCACCGGCAACAGGATCGGTCTCGTACGCACGGAAAGATGGTAGCGTCTTACCACTGACCATAACAGGCACTCTGCGCCCTTCCAGAACCTGTTGACCAAGATTGCAGGAGATCAAGTTTGCATTGACACTGGATCCTTTGGCACCAGAAATGGTCATGGCCTGCATGTGATTTCGCGGGAATGGTTTGCGAAGACCTTTTGGCAGACAGAACTTGGAGACATTGTCTGTGATCGACTTGACCTTGGCTTTGTACATCTGATCCAGGCCGTTGAGCTGGTCGTCATTGCGAACAACGTTTTCCAGTCGGCTTATGAGCGCTGGGTCTTCTTCCACAGTTTGAGCTACCTTCAGCGTGACGTACTCGACAGAAACTTCAAACCCGATCCGCTTAGCCTTGGTTAATTCGTCACGTCGTTGTTTGTCCCCTTCTGGGGTCAAGTAAAGGTCGTCCATCCCACACGTCCACGCACGCTCATTGAGAAACCGGGTAAGCAGACGGCCCAGTATACTCAACAGCTTACCTGCTGTAATGTGGCCGTAGATCTCATAGACAGAGTGAACGAGACCTCCAGCGCTCGGACCCAGTTGATTTTTATCCAGAATACCAGACAAATGCTCGCCGTCTTTGAAGATCACAATCTGTTCAGTGTCTCGGAAGACAATGCTGTCCTTGGTCACCGTCCATTTTGCAGAATCGTTGGATGTCTTTTCACCCCATTGCTCGGATGATGTCGACGATTTGCTCGTCAGATTCAAACCATGAAATCGATCTGGCGTGATGTTCTTCAAGACAGTCGTAATGACCTGTTTACCAGTCCATAGCATTCGAGGCTTGAGAATGGCAGGTTCCACCATCTGGATTTTCTCGTAGACGGTGTTGTAATCTTCCGGCCTCAGACAACTATAGAGCAATTGTTGATATTGGTCTTTGTCAAAAAACACATCTCGACTCGTAAACTGAACACCCATAGAGATATGGTCTTGGATCAAACCTCGTAAAGGCTTTCCAGCGGTAGCAGACAGATATTGGTGGTCAGTGTCGGCAATCTGCAGTGCTTCTGTGCGTGCCAGCTCGTTCTGTGGGAAGTGCATGTTCATCTCGTCACCGTCAAAGTCGGCGTTGTAGGTGTTGCAATTGGCGTAGTGCATTCGAATCGTTTTCTGGTTCGTCAGGACGCGGGCCCGATGACCCATCATGGAGGGTTTGTGCAATGTAGGTTGTCGATTCATAACAACCACATCACCCGTCTGTAGGTGGCGGTACACCTTCTTTCCCGTCTCGCCCTTCGCACCAGGAACCGTGGCAGTCATTAACTGCTTTGCCAGAGCCCTCCGCTGTTCCAGAGTCTTACGTTTGAGGCTCATGACCATCCCGTTCTCGTTCTCGATGGCAGCTGCACCTGGGTACTTGTCCATACCGTTGATCACGGCTTTGCTCAGCTCTTCAAAGTTATGGCTCGTGACTGGTTCTGGATAAGTCAGCTTCTTCGCAAAGACCAGAGGTACGCCGATCTCATTGGTCTCGATATTCGGATCGGGAGAGATGACGCTTCGCGCGGCAAAGTTCACCCGCTTGCCCATCATGTGCATCCGGAAGAGGCCTTCCTTTTTCTCCAAAACTTGTTTGATGCCTTGATCTGATGGCTTGCCGGAAGCTGGGGGTGGCGAGTCTATAAGGCCATTGACAGTCTCTTGAAGGACAATTGCAGCCTGGATACTCTCATTCAAGGTACGTGGACGCACAGAGCCGTCGGTTTTGGCTCTCTTCATGTCACGCAGAATATGTCGGACGTCGTTGGCAGCTTTGATGATCTTATTGAGCACAGTATTGGCTTGTGCCTCAAGCATCTGATCAGGCCCTTGCCTTGCAAGAGGACGGAACCGATTCGGGGGAACAAGGACAGCCGTCATGAAAAACATTTCTGGTGACACAGGGGAGTGTTTTCGACCGGGTTGGGACGCGTAGATCAGACCGAGCAGTTCTTGTTCCCGATCGAATAAGAGCGTCAGAGCAGCATACACCTCGGTAGACGTCATGTATGACTGCACATCGTCTTCGTCCTCCAACTCTGCGTTCTTCGACTGTGCCGCTGTCTCCAAGGCGTTTCGCATTGCAATCTCCTCCTCGGCACCATGGGCCTCTGTCGTCTCGGACTCTGCAGCATCGGACATATCAACGTCTTCATCGTGCACCCCGTTGATACGTGGCTTTTTAACTTCCTCCTTTTGTTTCCTTTCGGACTGGAGGAAAATGAGCGGGTTCGGAGCTTTCCTCCCCATCACACGCATTTCCTCTTTCATCCTCAATGCCATGGGCTTTTTGAAAATCTTGACGTTCCTGTCCTTGCGATATGTGTGGTTCGCACCACCGCAGTTCGCGCATTTCCTCAGGTTAGGTATCTCTTTGAGAAACTCCGCAATAACACTTTTGCGGGCGGCGATCGCCACAGGGTTTCGAATAAGCGCCTGCGGGTCAATCTGGCCCTTTTTGCGTGCTCTCTTGATCGCCTTGTTGGTGGCTCTTGTCCTGCGGTCAATCAAATCTTCGATCTCTTCCTCTCCGTCGTCTTCCATTATGTCTTCGACGATATTGTCCGTCTTTGCCTTCTTGGGCTTTTTCCCACCAAGATGCATGGCTTTGATGTTTTGGTAGTCCTCCGCAAGCCCATATTGCAACAGTCGTAGAGCGCAGATGGTCTGGTTTATGTAATTGGCTGCTGCCTTGAAGCGGTGACAGTAAGCACATTTGGCTCGTAACAGCCGCATAATCGAGTCCATATACTGGGGATGGTAGCAAGGAACTGGCAGCTCAATGTGCCCGCAATGTCCGGCGCAGTGGATGGCGTTCATGCGACATGTCGAACAGCTGAAACACGATTAGAATGAAGGCTGATCAGAGAGTGTGGTCCTCCTTACTTTGCGTCCAGCGCCTGAATGGCACCTAAGGCAAGGTCATGAACACCACCTGGTATAGGTCCGAACATGGAATCCAGAGCAGGTGTGACATGAATCTGTTTGACCGATATCCTTCTGATCTCGTCGGCAGGTAGCCGAGAAAAGGCCAGGCCGCTGGTGGCCGATGACAGTGGTTTGTTGTATCCTGCCATTGCGCCTGAATGCCATACGAGGCTACCTGAGACAGATGCGACTGAGGAACAGAACGGTAAGATCAACCACAACTTTTTTCCCAGCCTGCGGGGATTTGCTGGAAACTTTTTTTGGAGGCGTCGATGCGGCAGCGGATTATCGTTATTCCGGGCTCGGGAAAATTACTCTACTCCGTCCTCCGCAGGCATCATGCCCTTCTGACAAGACCTCACCAGCTCACACATTTTGTCACTGGATTGCATCTTTGCACCCTGGTCGCCGCAAACTCAAGCGCCGCTGCGGAACTTGCAACCCCTCGCCTCCAGTGAGTCTTCCTCCTGTGACATCAAAATGGCAGACCGATCTAGCAACATGCTGAAAAGGCTACACCCGGAAGACGATGAACTCGATAGCCAGAAACGGGTCAGATCCAACAATGGCTCGCCTCGTCCGACAACGCCGGCCTCCGCGACGCCTGGCACGAAGCCCGACGTGAATCAAATGCTCGCTGCTGCTAGGGCGAGAGCGGAGGAGTTGAAGGCCAGGCTAGCAGCCAATCGCCCTGGAGCGACCAATTCATCGGCATCAGCAAGCCCGTCTCCCGCCCCTGCAGCTAGTGCAAGTGATCGTATTGCACAGTTGAAAGCTCGAGTGGCTGCCGCCACGAGTCGATCGGCCGCATTGAGTTCGCAGAAAACACCCACGAGTGCCAGTTATACCCCGCCGGCTTACAGCGATGACACTTCAAGAGCACGTGGAGGCCTGGATGTTGGGCTGCATCCTGCCCTTCTTGCCGATGTCCAGCAGGATAGCCAGAGAAACAAGAGTCGAACACCACATCCCAAGTTCGCGACGGCGATGGGGAACCAGCGAACAGAGTCGCCAACCTCGGCCCTGGAGAAGTTGCAGTTGGACCTCTCTGCGCCCTCGCTAGAGGAACTCAAGGCCAACCCATACTTTGACCCCAGTTTGGGCACACGTAACGTGCTTCCCAGGGAACGACAGACGAGACAGTTGATCTTCAATGAAAAGGGCAAATACATCCAACAGGCATCCGCGCTTCGGCGCCAAGCGCAGCTGGAGGCGATGAAAAAGAAGATCGCGGAGCATGCAAGACAAGCTGGGTTGGAAGAGGATTTGGATACGGAGAAAGCATTTTTGGTTCCTGCTCCTCCCGAAATTGAATGGTGGGACGAAGGGCTCGTGGATGGAAAATCGTACGAGGTGATAGACGACCCGTCCAAGCTGAAAATCGACACGCCCGACTCTATCATCACAATCTACATTCAGCACCCGGTCCTTATCGAGCCGCCTCAAGAAAAGAACAACCCTGCGCCGAAACCGATGTACCTGACCAGCAAGGAGCAAGCGAAACTCCGGCGGCAACGACGCTTGGCCGAGCTGAAGGAACAGCAAGCCAAGATACGGTTAGGACTCGAACCTCCGCCGCCGCCCAAAGTCAAGAAAGGCAACCTGATGCGAGTACTGGGCGAAGAAGCCGTCAAAGACCCGACAGCCGTGGAGGCACGTGTCAACCGCGAAATCGCCGAACGGGCGCAGAAGCACGAGCAGGCCAACGAGGAGCGCAAACTGACCAAGGAGGAACGGCACGAAAAACTGGAGCGGCAGCAAGAAATCGACGCCGCGCACGGCATCTACATACGCGTGTACAAGATCGACAGCCTGGCCAACGGGAAACACCGATACCAGATCTCGGTGAACGCGGACCAGAACAAGCTGACCGGGGTGGTGATCATGCATCCGAGGCTGAACCTGGTCATCGTCGAGGGCGGCGAGCATTCGATCCGCAAATACGACAAGCTGATGCTCCACCGCATCCGCTGGCAGGAGATGGAGGCTCCGCGGGCCGTCGAGGATGGCAACCGCGAGGTTTTGGCCAAGTGGCTCGAGGCCGAGGATGAGAACGGCGAGCTGAGGGACCTGAGCATGAACAAGTGCGACCTGATCTTCAGCGGGCAAGCCAAACAACGCAATTTCCGCAAGTGGTTGGGCGCTCGGGTGTGTGAGACCGACTCGCAGGCCAAGGACGTGCTGACTCGAGGCAAGATGGAGAGTTTCTGGAACTTGGCCAAGAGCTTCAAGAGAGAGGTCTGAGGGCGCTCACTTACGGAGTACTTCCTTGCCTTATCTTGCACCGTGGGGAATGAATCACATGATCGGCTCTCTGCTGTGCCTTGCACCAGTGGGGATCGTGCAGCTGTGCGTGAGGCCAGAATAGGGTTGGCAGTTCTACGTACTGCCCCGTTCTCGCACGAACGTACCTAAGGCAACTGCATCCTCGGTAGATTGACCCTGCGCGTGCGTGGGATACCACTAAGCTCGTCCGAGTGTGCGATGTGCTGGCACGCGAAACTACCCATATTTTCCAAAGCCTTGGTTGTCTGCAAACGGTCGTAGCCAGGGCTTTAAAGCCCAGCTTGATCCAGTCGTGTGGCTTCGACTTATATGCAGAAATAGAAGTCAAGGCTTGGTCCTGGATAGTCGTACGGCCTCGACTTGTGCAGAAATAGAAAAGTCAAGCAGTACGGTGACTTATATGCAGAAAAGAACAGTCAAGCAGTAACCGTACGGTGACTTAAATGCAGAAATACTAAAGAAAAGTCAAGCAGTACTCGTACAGCGTATCAATTCAACCCGTGTTAAACACGCAAGACATATCGCACCTATAAATCCCTAGCACGAAGCATGCATGAAGATGAAGATGAATGTTCTCTGCTCTGTTCTGCTCGGCTCGGCTCGGCTCGTCTCTACGGATACATGGCCCAATGGCCCAATGGCTGCCTGACTGCCTGACTGCCTGACTGCCTGCCTGACTGCCTTCCTACCTTCCTGCCTTGCCTGCTTTGTACCCATCTGACGGGCACATCACATCGTACCTTAGCCAACCAGTGAGCGAGCCCTGTCCACCGAATAAAATAGGCCCTGACTGCCGTTAACTAGACTACGGATACTGATAGTGGGCAGACTTCTCGCTATGGTTCTTCATCTATCGTACCGCTTGGAGTCTGCGATATGTCCATTCCATTTGTCGTGATCAACTGAGTTGATGTCATACTGTACCACTACCTAGGTATGATCGTGACGGAAAAAGTAAAACAAGGTACAAGATATATGTGCAGGACAAGACAAACCAACTTTGGCTTTTGACCCCAAACGCCCACAAACACTAGGAAGAGTGAATATTCGTCTGTCCCTTTTCGGTCATGGAGATTCTTGTCTCCAAGGGAGAGTTTGGCAGCAGCTGAGCCGGATCCTTTCAAGATTCAAAACTGGTTCCCTTCCCCCAAAACTTCTAAGCGTTCAACTTCTTGACCGCGGCCGACAAAATCCCTGCTACCTTCTCTACTTGACGCTGTGCCTCTCCCCAGTCGCCGGCATCGATGGCGTCCCGGATTCCCGGGAAATAAGCTTCGTCGTACCCCGACCACGTCTGCGGCGCAAAGATGACATGCTTGAACTGTGTGCGGTTTGCGAGGCCACCTCCCTCACTGAGATCGAGGAGGTCGGTCTCGAAATGAGCTATACGGTCATTGTGCGCCCCGCGGGCGTTCGCCATGCCGGCGCTCTCGAACCCGCCCGCGCCGAAAACGAAGTTTCGCCAGGTGTCGTCGAATTCGTGGAACGCGGCCGCTTCTTGGGTGAACAAGTTCGAGGCTTCGCGTAGTGGACTGAGATCCACGGCGTTTCGGTCGCTTGCGGTCGAGGCGGACTTTGCGTATATGTTCAAGTCGGCCACATATTTCGCAACCGCCTTGGCGTATGCGTTCAAATCAAACGGCAATAAAGGCTTATCCGCCATCTCGAGAATCAAGAGCGCCAGGATCTCCCCCATCGTTTTATGGTATTTCCACTCCGGATCGCCGAATTTCGACATCCACTCGAAATTGTCGTAGCAGCTGTGATAGGGGTATGGCTGGCCCTTGAAGAACACATCAATGGAAGATGTGCCCACCATATCCTGGAAAGCAACGTAATCGCTCCCGGCACCGAGTCCTTCCAGGCCACGATTAGATGCGTCCCAAACCTCACGGATCGAGTGGCCTGACGAAGGGTCGCCCACACGGTCCAGGACATGGTTGAGGGTTCGTTCGAACAAGGGTGATGCCGCGGCATGGAAGTCGATGCCGGTGACACCGACATCCACGTTGATGTACGCCACGCCATCTTCGCGAAGCTCGGCTAGACGATTCTCCACGTGCTCGGTGCTGCCGATGAGGTTATATTCTTCACCATCCCAGCTGGCAAACTCGATGGTCCGAAGTGGTCGCCATCCCACTTTGCGTAACTCGCCAAAGACTCGGATGACTTCCAGCATAATTGCGGTTCCACTACCAGGGTCCGCCGCACCTGTACACCAAGCGTCCCGATGATTGCCCACGATGACTTTCTTCGCGGCTTCTTCCCAACCCGCAATCTTACCAAGGACATTGTATATCGGCTGTTTTGCCTCCTCGTCTTGAATGTTCTTGAGATTGACCCTGGGCGAAGACTGATCCCCGGTCCAGTATTCCGTGTTTGGAGCACCGTGCCAAGTATCGGTCATCTGTTTGCCACGGCCTTTGATCGCGTCCAGTAGATGTTTCGCGTCGTTCCAGGAGATCGGAATGGACGGTATCTGATTAAGCCCGGGGCTATCTTCTGGCTTCAGGCGTTCTGTATTCGCAGGAGTGGAAGCCCAGCCTGGGGTGAGGACGTCTCCCACGACCCAGGACATGAGGCTCACCGCCCCGCGCTGAACGCCGTCTTCAGGCATGAATCGCCCGTCAGGAAAGGTCGGTCCTTGAACGAAACCGTCCTGTGTAGGATCGGAGTAGATGATGCAGCCAGCTGCGCCGGCCAGTTCGGCAGCCTTGATTTTTAGAGCCCGGTCGCCTTCGGAACCGTAATACCGGACGAGGACAATTGCATCCTTGACCGAGATTCCATTGTCCGCAAGCGTCTTGAAATCTTCTCTAGAGCCGAAATTGGCGTACACCAATGGTCCTGTGACATCGCCGCTTTTTGAGTGCCCGTGGAAGACGTAAGCTTGCTCTATCTCTTCTTCCACCCTCGCTTCCCATTTCAAATCCTCAGGTTCCACAATCGCTACTCTTCTTCCGTCCTTTTGGGGATAGTTCAAGTAGACGTCAAATCTTTCCATGTGCACATCTTCCAACTCGGAAGATTTGAAAAGCTCAGCCACCCATTCTCCAAGAATGTAATTGCCTTCCGTGCCTGCGACATGCGGAAAGTCGGTAATGTGGCCCAAATACTTCTGCATGTCGCCGCCATCATTCATGTGGTTTTGAATGAAGATTCTTATAGATTCCGGGTCGTACATCTGGCCCATGCCCAACCTGTTCTTGGTAAATGACAAGACGTCGGATGCTATAAGGACGTATAGAACCCCCATGATGAGGAAGACGCCAAAGAGGCGGCCGATAATAACGACGCGATTCGAGTCGAGTTGCTCATAGTTGATCCGGGGCCAGGCGAACTTGGCGAGGTATTGCCGGAAGGAGGGGAGGGTCAGGGAGGAGAAAGAGTTGGTGAAGGTAGAGAACCGCTTGGACAGGCGATAGCGAAGAAGGGATCGGTTCGAGGCGGAATCACTCAGAGGGTCTTCGATGTCCATCTGCTGCATCTCCCTCCGCACCTCTTCTTCACCATCGTGTTCAATGCCATCAAGCGAGTCGAGACTGGGCCGCGCGGACTCGATGGTGGGCGGTTGGTAATTGCCATTTAACCCACGGCGGAGGAGACCCTGCCTTTCGGCATCGTCGCTAATCTCCTCCGGACCGAGTCCCGATTGCGACGAGACAGGACGGGACGAGGTGGCCTCCTCGTAGGTCGGGATGGGCAGGTGTACGTAGCGGTCTTTGTTGTCGCCCATGGTTGCTGGGGGCTGTGGAGTGATGTCCCGAAGGACGCACTCGCAGTCGAGTTATCGCGGATGCATCCAGAGAGCAGTGTGGCTGCAGATGGAGGATGGCTCAAAGACGACGACGACGAGGAGGAGGAAGCTGGAGGATGGCGTACGGAGTATCGTGTATCGGAAACCGAGGATGGGAAGGATGGCACGGCTTGCTACCAATGTGAAACCAAAGTGGCTTGCTGGCGGACTGCGACTGCGATTGTGATTGTGACTGCGCCTCGTTACGAATCCGAGTCTCGGCTCAACGACGGACCAAGGAGATTTCTCAAAAGCAGCGTCGCCGAGTGTTCCAAGCTTTGCTAATTTGGCGATTCCACTCCCATCACCCTCGTGCAGTCAACAGGCAATGGAAAGAAGATTCCAACTATTCCAACGATTCTACACTGGGCAGCACGGATCGACCTCTGTTCCTGCTACGAACTCCCACTCCCGCCTTGCATCGTGTCTATCCTCCACCCTCCGCCTCCGCCCTCCACCCTCCAATCTGTCTACTCCGGCCAGCTGCCCTTGATGTCCTACTGGCAATGTTCATGACCATTATCCATACGCCATAGAACTCCTCTCCTTGGAGGCTGATGTGTTCACTTTGCCATTGGCTGATCCAGTCTTCGAGACCTTGGACAGGCTGGTAGGTGATAGGAGTGCTAAATTCCCACAGTATTCCTCGCCTGAGCGAAGTGGCCCGGGGAAAGTTCTTTTCAATGGAGTCAAGTAGTCCAGCGCCTTTTTCTTCAAGGTGAGCAGCGCTTTGCGGTCGACTGGAATACCATCCACGCTCTCCATGGCAAGGTAGCCAATTTGACTCTTGTCATCATGGAAGAAGGCATAAACCTAGGGCACATGTACGATGGCCGAATCCAATGTTGCGAGCGCCTGTCTTTGCACTTCTACTTCTTCTTTCGTCACCCCTCCGCCCTATTTGATGACTATGTTGAGGACCATTCTACTGTATCTTGTATCTGGTAGCCAGTGTACACCTGACAGTTGAGGAAGGTGGCGCGAGCGAAGCTAAAAGCAGCATCCACGACCACTGTTCGCGGCCGCCATTCGCCATTCGTTCAATATATATTCGTATACGTACCTAGGTATTTAATTGCAAGTCTCGTCTTTCACTCTTCTGTCGAGCCGACCACTCTAGCAATCCAAGTCGCCGTCTTTCTCACAAAACCAGGACTCCTACAACCATGTCTGAAGATCCGTCCTTCGACGCGGACACCGACCCCGAATCAGCGATGCGCCAGATGATGGGATTTGCTTCCTTCTCAACCCGCCGGCCACGCGAACAGCCAAGTAAGTCACGTTTCCAACAACCATGCGATTGACTTCTGGAGTGAGCATACATATCCGGTCACTTCCATGTTTGCCTCAGTTGATCTGAATCCAGAACCATGGCCATGTCTGGGGCTCTTTCAAAGCCTTTGGCCTCAAGCTGGATATCTGTTGTGAAGTCTGAGCTTCAATTCTGTTTTCACGTCTGTCGTATGAGGCTTTTCATGTCCCTAACTCATGTCTTGCACGCATCCATTGGTGGCCTTAAGCTTTTGTGAAATGGTATCTGACCGCAAATAGAGGTGGCCTTCCCGGTGGAATCACGGAGCTTGACCGCGCAATCGCACCAGCCTCAGTCAAACTCGACATCCACTTCAGCTGCAACAGAACACCACAACGCCCTTGGCAGTGCCAATTCCGATTCAGATACCGCTCGACCTTTGCCTGTTACTGTGCTTGAGACGGTATCTAATGACTCCATACCACCAACTCCCCTTCAGCCGAGGGAACAACTCGCCTACATGTTCACAAACCCAGCTACGAATAGGTTTTATACCCGCACCGATCTCAACGACTGGGCCCAAGGCAAAGTCAATGCGAGAGGGGACATGGTCTACTTCAAACCGGCATTTATCTCTGACGATCCATGGGCGAGACTCAGGCCAAAGGAAAACGGGCAGGCCAACAGGGGACGAGCAAGCGCCGGAATAGTGTCCTAAAGTGGAGGGAAACGAAACAGATGACGCTTAATCTCGAGACGATCCAAGACTATTCCATGAGAGACAACGATAAGACGAGAGGCCGACACTAACAGATTCAGCCTGCCTCCACAAGAAACGACGAGCATAAATGTACGGGACATGAGAAGAAGGACGAACGCATGAGCAGCTAGAACCCCAACTGGAATCATGGGGACTTGAGACCGAGAGAATCCGATTTTGAAGTCTAAATTAGCCCGTGCTTTCCTTTCACTCGGTTATCCACGGTATGCACATCCCGATCACCAAACCACCATTTGTCCAAACGCCATCTTGCATGAGGTAGATGGCGACGGTCCACCTGCGGATCCAGCACTGGCAGGCTACTCTCCAAATATGCACCTAACTCAGCATCCAATTACAACATTGCACGATATCATCAGGATGAGAGGATGCATACAGTGTTATTGGTGCTGCATCGGTAGTAAGGAAGTAAACAGGGACGGTCAACAAGCGGGAAAAGAGAGCCCGATGTACGAGATGGTGGAGAAAGATTCTCCCAAGAGGTATGTATGTCTTTCAGGTCTGCACCACCAACATATGGCTGTGAGAGCGTGGCCTAAGTTAGAGGACAAGGCAGCCACAACAGCTTTGCATAGTAATGGTTTACGTCTACCAATTCTGTTCTTGTTGTCTACTCGTCTACATTCCTCTCTCTGTGTGTGCCCCCTGTCGTGTATCCAGTCTACCCTCTCATGACACTAGCTTTCTCCCTCTCCCTCTCCCTCTCCCTCTCCCTCTTCTTTCTCCTTCTTCCCTCACCCCTATCTACCCAACTTGACTTCGCCAGGCCCAGAACCCATAGCCTAGAGCGCTACAAGCTTCTCGAACCCCAGCTATGAAAAGACCATGTTCCATCAGTTCGATCCGATATCATATTCAGTGCAGCTTGATGCATCCCTCAGCCCAGCCCAACCATCCTATTCCGTCCCATCCCACTACAACCCAGCCCAACCTATCCTATCCTATCCCGTCCCATCCCATTTCTAGCGTCTCGCCAACACGACATGTGTAACTGTAACTCATTTCCTTCCTGGCCAAGATGAGCCATTCCACCAGCCAGCCCACTGGCCCAAAAATCTAGATATATTCAATCTAGTCCAGTCCAGCCACAGTCACATCTATGTCAGAACATTTCTCAAAATCAAAGACCCTCCCTCTCCTCTGTTTGCTACACAGATATCTCAGATGCCTTGGGATGGAGCGAACAGAATAAACCAACCACCAGCCAAGCTCAGCCCAACCCACCCCAGCCATTACTTAGATTAGACAAGACAAGCCATTTATTCCACCAAACAGCACTCTGGTCTGGTGTGGTCAGGTCTGCACTGCTCCGGTCCGGTCTGGTCTTCTCTGGTCTGGTCTGGTGTGGTCTGGTCTGCTCTACTCTGCGCTCATCTGGTCTGGTCTGGTCTGCTCAATTCGACTCTAGCTACCAAGTACATGCAACCAACTGATTCAAGGATATATATCATCCCTCTCTATCCTAACCACCCTACAGTAGGTACAGTACATGATGATTCCCCATACAGTAGGTACAGTAGACGATGATGCTCCGTACAGTAGGTACAGTACATGATGATGCCCCAACGTCAATGTCAATGTCAATGTCAAAATCAGACTTTATGATATCAGATATCATATATTAGTTTCAGTTTCTTGCAACGCAACTAGTCGTGTCTTACAAGACTTGGCTTGAGGTATAATCGTCCTGTCCAGCCTATCTATATGCTATCCCGTTCATTATATAGAGCCCAGCCTATATGCTATCCCCTTATCATATAGATATAGATATATAGATATAGATATAGATATCAATATACTAGTATATATATACTATGTGACCGGGTAGATGATCTGCTAAGTATCTCAGATACCGTTTATTGTCTTAGTATCTACCGTCGACTCGACGTCCACTCTCCACCTCAAACCTAAGTAATAGTTGTTGTTATAAGCCAGTGCCCTCACCGTAACCTTGATCTACTGTTCACTAGTGCCCTCACCCTAAATCTGATCTACAGTTCAGTCCTGGCCCTGACTCTGACCCTGAGCCTGACCCTGGCGAGAAACTACTCACAACAGACACAAGCACGAGTACAAGTATGAGTACAAGTACAAGTATGAGTACAAGCACAAGCACAAGTACAACCTCAAGCTCAAGCACAAACTCACTCGACACGACATATTCAAAACTGCATCGTACTTCCAAGTGTTGATGATCGATCTCGACAGGACTATACTAAACCCAACAGCAGATCTACCTACCTTACCTAGTATCTATCTATCGAATTGAAAGGGAAGACTTGATCATTAACGATTCATACCTTACGTATCCAAGGTATTAGGGAGAACTACCTAATCTACCTACCTATATACAGGTATATACAGCTAGATTAGGTGTATTATAGATACCTCGCGAGGTAGATACCGTAGATATATGAGTACCCCGTATATAAGTACACAGATACAAATACAGATACAGATACCCAATGAAGTGACTTAACTCTAGGTAAGGTGCGGTATACGGCGTAGAGTACGTACCTGCCTTAGTACCTGATATACCATGCTTGAAGGGAGCTCTTAGCTAGGTACCTACAGGACAGTATAGTGTAGTACAGTACAGCATACCTACCTACCTAGGTAGCACAGTGCAGTGTACGGAGTAGTGTACCTAAGGTACTACCTAGGTAGTACGGAGTACGGAGTACTTGCCTACTCTTACTACTAGGTATGTTAAGTACTGGTAATTTAGCTGAGAGAAAGAAAGGGTGGGGAAAAAGGCCTGTCAGACATCTCAGACATCTCAGGCTCGGATACTTGTGGTCTCCGTTTCACCTTTGGTTTTCGTCCACTACAGGTAGGTAGGAAACCCGCTCTGACATGTACGGATACTGTAGATTCAGTAAAGACGAGTACTGCGTACTGTACGGGCCTACTGGTATCAACGGTTCAAGACCAACCAGCACCGGCACCGGCACCGCCTGAGACATACTCCGTACCAGAAATACTATCCGTACGGTACAAGACCATTCGGCACCCCTAACCTGCAACGCCAAGTTTCTTTCCTGCCGTTGGCACTGGACTTGGTTTGCTGGGGATGGGACTCTAGGTACTCCGTACTCGCGGCCTGAACACGCCACTAGGCTTACTACTAGGCCGTCTTATGGAGCCTAGACCGTAGGACCAGAAAACCCGGTCGAGACGGTCATCGCCCCTGGGACCCGGTCAACACGGTTCCCAAAGCACCTACAGCAAGTACTCCGTACATTGTCACAGCTTTAAAAACGCCTTACGCCCCTACGCAGCCTCCTACAAGGACAGCCTACGCCCCGACCTGACCCCGGAGGCGCAGGGGCCCCTAAGCCTTGGGACATGGAGATTAAGTGCCGAGTCGGCCCAATTTTCAACCGTTCATTCTCATTGTACCAAAGGAAGGAAATGTCCGGGGGACCTGGTCAGAACGGATATAGATACAAGGCGGAGAAAGTCAAGCACACAATCACCAAGAACCTCTCACACAGGTGACCAACGGCAGTCACAGAGCAAGTCCCTCGGGCTCCCTTGGACAAGGGGAGGACCGAAACCCGCCACTGGCCCAACCACCCATGGCTTGCTCTCTCCCACGCCTGTCACCACACTGCATCCCTTCACACCCCAACGAGTCCGCCAACGCCAAATCTGGCTTAGCCAGCACGCCAAAATCCCCACACCATCTGCAGCCTTCGTGCTTCATCACCTGCAGAATGCAGGTCTTGTGACCGAAATGGCTGCAAAACGAGCAGAGGATGGGCTCGTCGCCCAATCAAACCGTGGAGGAGGTCGTACCAAACGAGTGAAAACAGCAAGTGTACCTGCATGGGGCTCATGTGGCACGGGGGCGCCGGCTACTGTGCGGTCGATCGCTGCAGTGTCATTCGGCACTCCACTGCCATTTTTGGGCCAGAGCTGGGCCGGCGTCATGCACGGCATTCTCCTGGCGCCCCTGCGCCGCCAAAAGCAGCGAGTCGCTTGGCCCAATGCGTGGGGTGGAGCGGAACCTAATGACCTGCCACGTCAACGACACCGGCGGACTGCCGCCAAGGCTGCCTTTGCGCTCTCCGAACGAATGAATGTTTGGTATTGGTGATGAAAGCTGATTTGCTGTTGTTAAACGTCATCCAAACCATCGGGCCGGAGTGGTAATGCGGCATAAAGAGACCGTCCCGAGCAGCCCCCTCCAAAATGCGCCTCCGTAAAGACATCAGGCTGTAAGAAATCGTTCAGGAAGAGATTAAGAAAATTCGTTATGGCGTCATTCGCATTCATGCTGGCTTTATGCATGGCGGCTGCGACTGGCTTTGGCATAGGCCTCGGGGTGTTTCCTCTCAGCCTTGGCTTTCATCGAACTGGGAAAAGTCAGCTCAGTCGTCCAAATCCGACCTCTCCTCCAAAAGGCCGCTTCTGCACTTACGACATCTTCTTGGACGTGTATTCGATGTCTCTCCGGGCCTCGCGGGCGGCTTCAACCCCTTCCGCAAAGTTGACTCTCGCGGTTTTCAACCGTCTTTGCGCGAGAGCTTGCAGTTCTTGCAGTTCTCGCTGTTTGGCGTTGAGCTGGCCGGACCTGTTTATGGTAAGTCGACGAAACCTGCGTCCGGGGCGCGAACACTCACGTTTGCGCCTGCTTGGCCAGCGCGCGGTCCATTCGGATGGGTTCAAATGCACTGTTCATTCTGTCGCTGAGCATGTCGACGACGTCGACGCCAGGAGGTGGGTTGTAGGAGTCATAATCGCCGCTGCTCAAGCTCGGGGCGTAATCACAATTGCTGGATCTTGCCGAGTAGGAGCCGGCAGATGTCCGACTTCCGCCATAAGAGGTGCCGGTGTCGGGCAGCTCTGGCGGGGACACGGCTACTTTGGAGACGGGATAGCTATAAGTAGGAGTCTTGGGCACGATGATGGGCAGAGTCTTTTGATGGGTAGCATAGCTGCTAGGGTGACGAGAGGCATATGTGGCCATGTTGAGAGTGTGTTATGAGAAGCAATGTATGAGTGAGAAGGGGTCAAGGACAAGTCAAGCTTTGGTAGAGGGCTCAAGTAGGTTAGGGCTGAAATGGGACAAGTCCAAGAAAATGCTCTTCAAGTCAGGAGAGGAGTGATAAGAAAGGAAGAAGGAGGAAGTTGGGCTTCCGGGAGAGACAAACAGGTTTATATAGGCAAGCAGGACCTCCCCTCAGCGCAGGGGGGGAGATTGCCAACTCATACCTTCTCGGAGGTGGGCCAATATGATTGCAAGTAGAAGGACTCCGTGGTGTCATGAAGAGCCACCGACCCCGCTCCAGAAGCAGGATGAGCAGGAAGGTAGGACCAATGTGTTGAGGATGGCGAGGCAGGGTCCGCACCGTCCGTGACCTTCCGCCCGGCAGAGCGATGGCAGAATCGCTGGTGTGGATAGCCAAAGAGAGCGGAGAGTGGCCCTCCATGACCGAGCGGCAGCAGTAAGCCAGGGTGGGATGATAGTCTCAGCTGGAGCCCGAGTCAGGCAAGGGAACGGGAAGCCGCTGTTGATCATTGGGCCGATGAGCCATTTTGCCATGTCTCGGGCTCTCTAGTCGCGGGATCTAGGAGCGAGACGGCGGACGGGAGTGGCTGCTCAGGGAACGAGCACGGAAAAAGGGTCGACGGTGCTGAGCAGCGGACTCTGGAATTTGGCATGGCAGGGAACGCGTTCCGACCCTGCTTTTCGCAGGCGGGCGACCCGATCGAGAGCATGGTGGCTAGGCAGGCCATCCACGATATCTTGAGGGGAATGTATGAGGTTGTCGGCCGAAGAATGCTGAGTATTGGGTCTCAAATCATTGCAGTTATATTTTTCCCTGCGCTCGGCGTGCGGGTCAGGGTCAGGAGGGTCCAAGTGACCAGCAGGCGAAGAGGGCTGAAGCAGCAAGGAGCCAGGTCAGAAAATGGTCAAGCGTGGGAGTATGTCGGTGTGGAACAAGGGTCGGGTATTTTGGCTGAGGGATTGCATGGATGCCAGATGGACTGGGTCTTTCGGGAGGGGGGGAAGGGGCGATATCTCGGTAATGGTGGAAACACCCACGGTTTGGGGGAAGTGAGGGCGGAGTCGCGATGGGAGAGAATAGAGGCTGGCGATGTCGGCTTCGTTCTGAAACGGTCGTCGAAGGAGTGTCTTGTTGCTTGGGGTTTGTTTGGGGACGTATGGGGGGGCGCCTGGCTCATTGGGATTCGAGGGACGGCGCAGCCAGTGGTAGTGGTGGTGGTGATGGAGGTGGTGGTGGTGGTGACGGTGGGCGCGGGCAGTAGTAGAGGAGCAGGGCTGGGGCAGGACTAATAGGGCGAAGAGGAGGGAGGAGCTGGACCCAGAGCAGGAGAGGGCGCAGTACGGAGTACGGAGTAAGGCTAAGGCCACGGCCACGGCCACACACTGTCTGTATGTCTGTTCGATGGTGATGAGCTGAGGGCCACTCGAGCTGCAGGGGAGATGCAGGCTCCAGTGGCCTGGAATTGATAGTCCAGAGTAGTGTATAGTGATAGCGCAGGTGGCGGCCTGTGTCAAGTCCTTACAGACCGCAGTCCACAGTCCAGACACGGCAGGGCTTAGGTCCTACTATGTCATGTATGTCCCTATGGTATGTAGGTAATTACCACGAGTCCTGTGTAAGGCACCTTAGTGCATGCTTGGCAGGAATGAGTAATCTCCTCCTCCTGCAGCCTGTGTCCGTATTAGTTACAGTACGGAGTACACTGTACAGATACAGATACAGATACATACAACCTGGAAGTCTCTGCTCCTCCCAGCTCCAGTTGCTGTCTGCCTACCTGCTACCTAGTAGGCAAGCAATCATCGATATCAAACCGTGGCTGCATGCGTCTCATTCATACATTATGTACGGAGTGCTTTCGTGCCTCCACTTCTGTCTGAGCACCGGCACGCCCTGGTACTATCTACAAAGCAGAATGTCCATTATTCCCGAAACTCCTCTTCACACAACCTCCGGGCATTTTGCCTGTTGGTGTTGATAAAGAACGACCGTCCGCTCCCGCAGTCATGTTGAAGACCATTCATTTTCTCGTCCGGAAATGTCCCCCGTGCTCCTTTGCTGACCGTTCGGAGAATACTGGCCCTCAACCTGGTCATGAGACAGTCGTGTCCTAACTCCCAAGGTGATACCGCCCTTCAACCCTATTTGACATGCATGCTTGACCGACGAGACACGAAAAGCCGCTTCGCCTTTGCCGGAACTGTCCTAAACCATTCTGATAAAATGAACCCAACGCAAACGCAGGCAGAACGCCGAACCATGACCCCCAGGGAACAAGACTTGCGCAAACGTTGTGTTCCTGTGGTCCTATGTGCCCTCATGTGCACCATGCAAGAGATTTCGTCACTCGCCGTCAGGACTCCGGAGGCCTATCACGTAAGAACACGTGTGGCACACTAGCATCCAGCAGCGTCATCATCATCGTCCCCAACACATTGAAATCGACCGGCTTGGTGAGATAGTCCGTGAACCCAGCATCTGCAGCCGCTGCTCTCTCCTCAGGCATCGCATTCGCCGTTAATGCCATGATCGGCAGTGGTGGGTAACCGTGACTTGCTTCCCATGCTCGAATTTCACTGCACGCATCATATCCGTTCTTGATCGGCATCTGGATGTCACAGATGATCAGAGAGTAGTATCCAGGACCCTTGGCCTGTACCATGTCAACACACTGCTGCCCATCATTTGCCGAGTCGTTCTCCAACGCTACCTTCTTAAGGTACCGTTGGATCACCTTTCGGTTCACGTCGCTATCTTCCACCAGCAACACTCGATATTCGCGGCCCCCAATCGTGTCCTTGACCCTCTCTGCGATATGCCGGAAATCATCGGAACTAGACTGTGCCACCTCCCGTGCCCTGTCCTTACTCAGGTTGCGCAGTTGCGCCGGGTCAAAGATCATGGCGAAGACAGAAGGCTTGACCGGCTTGTGGATCAGGAATGCCTTGCGCCCACTCGCCGTCAGCATCGTAAAGTCTTCCAAAATGTCCCGTTTCTGGTAATGGTCGGTGAGAATCACCAGGGCTGGGACCACTGAGCCGGTCCAGTTGATCATCTGCCGCATAAAAAGCATGATATCCGACGTTGCAGGAATATCCAAAACGATGTGCGTAAAGCTAGGTGGTGCTGGTCCATTCATGAGGTCCATGAACGTCCCAATGTCCGGGATGATGGTCACATTGGCTGCAATTTGGTACGGCACCACATGCTCGATGTGTTGCTTGATGGCCATCCTTGCGTGTTCGGCAGGACAAATAATAATGATCGAATATATCTGTGGATGTGCCATCTCAGTTGGCACTCCCTTGCTATCGTTGTCGCTTTTGCTCCGTCGATGTATCGGAGGTGACGATACTGCTTTCTCTGCCACGGACGGTTGTTCGCTCGTAGTGGTGACCACTTTGCCTGACGGCACCGATTCCGGTGTTGGAAATTGGGAAGATACTGACGAGATACCCACTACATTGCCCGAATTGGACCGCGTCGACATTGTAGAACTCTCGGATGGCAGGACAGGGGGTGATGGCAAATCAGGGGGTGGTAACGAAACAGGCTGAGGGCTGGGAGAGCTTGTATACCGCGAAAGCCCTGGCGTCTGAATGATTGTCTCCGAGGAGAGGAATCCTCGAGCTGAAGAGCCGAGGGTCGGCGTCTTGTTGTCGGATCGAGATAGTGGGCTCACCCCAGACACTTTATGCCTCTGTTGTCCTCCTGGTCGGACGGTGGCCGGAGTTGTGACTTCAGATCCAGGCGGTTCCACTTCCACTTTGATGTAGAAACTGAATGTTGAGCCCTCACCCGATTGGCTTCTCGCGGAGAGCTCGCCGCCGTGCATTTCAACCAGTTGCTTGGAGAGGAAAAGTCCCAGCCCCGAGCCCGCCTCGTGGTTGCTCCCGCCTCCAACCTGCCCGAACTGCTTGAACAGTCCCTGGAAGTCATCCTGATTGAACCCGCGCCCGGTGTCGACTACGTCGAATGAAAGAAGGACAGATGGCCGTGGCTTATCGTCTGAACTGGGAATTGATTCCCCCCGAAGTGAGCACCTCATGTACACTTCGCCCTGCTCCGTGAATTTGACCGAATTGCCCAAAAGATTGAGCAAAACTTGACGAACCCTGAAAGCATCGCCTTTGACCATCGAAGGAACGTTCGTGTCCAGAGAGTAATTAAGTTCCAAGCCACGTTCTATGGCTCTGGAGGAGACGGTGTCTATCACTTCCTCGCATAGTGACCGCACGTGGAACCACTTGGGAAGCAGCGTCATCTTTCCAGCTTCGACTTTGGTCACATCCAGGATGTTGTCGACCAACTCCCTCAGATTGTTGGCACTGTTTTGAATGGTGTCGACAGTCCGCCTCTGATCGTGGTCCAGGGTCGATTCTACCAGCCAAGGCATGCTTCCCAAAATCCCGTTTAGTGGCGTCCGAATTTCGTGAGACATATTGGCAAAGAATTTGGTCTTGGACTCCATTTCCGAATTTACCTTCAGGTTGGCTTGATTAAGCTCCCATTCCAGATTTTTCCGCGTCTCAATGTCGGTACACGTGCCATACCAAGAAGCCCGACCACTCTGGCTTTGCCACAATCCGGTGTCGACTCGGACAAGTCGCACAAGGAACCATCGATATTCGCCACCTTTGGACCTCAAACGAACTTCGGTCAGATAAGACAGGCGTCCATTTTCATCTTTCTCCACCAACACCGAGCCTGTCTTGATCATGGCGTCGAGAGAAGATGGATCAGGCGAAAATAGATGGTTTTGAGCAGATGAAGGTGGTGCCACAGTCCGATTCGAATCTCCTGAAGAGTCTGTCTGGCTGCTCGGCGTGGATGATCTCCCGATGGCCGCCACATCCTGAGGCGACAAGATACCACACTTGTGCAGATCCTCGCGGTGAACATGCTTAGCAAAGCCCAAGCCACGGGCGTCCTCCAAGGTCTGACCGGAGTAGGAATGCCACTGTTGGTTAACGGCAACAATGCCATCGCCCTCGATCGCTTCGAAGAGAACTTGTGGAATGGCGTCTGCCAATGCACGTATTTTGGTGTCATGAGCCATAGTGGCTTCCTTTTCACTCGCCTCCACGTTCTTCATGTACTGCTCATGCACGTCAAGGAATGACCCAATCCAATACAAAAGTCGGCCATTATTGCTGAGCAAGGTGCTTGCTCGAAAGACAAACCATCGGTAATCACTGTCGCTGTTAAATCGCTTGACGCGGATATAATGTGTAAATTGACTCCCGGTCCTCAGTGCATCGTTCCACAGTTTGACCAACCCGTTTCTGTCAGCTGGGTGTACATTTTTCCATGGGTCGCGAACTCGGCCTTCTCCTTGGCTTCTGAAGGCGTCAAACTTGCGATTAGTCCAGACCAAGTCGCCTGTGCCAGGTTTGGCGAGAAATAACTGAAGCGGCACCGAGTTGAGCATCAGAGAGGATATCAATTCCGGCAAAGGTCGCTCGTCGTCATCTCTGGTCTGGCTATCCCGTCGCATTGGCTGCCTCCGAGCGGTAGGATCAAGCCTGTCGTAGGAGAACACCCAAGATGAATCTCCAGGTTCACTTTCAGAAGCATTGCTCGCCGATCGAGTAGTCAATGGGCTCGGTGGTTCCGGCTGTGGCTTTGCCATGCTTCCACTGGCCTTCTTGAGGCCGTATCTCGCACTAATTGACGGTTTTTCAGAGGACCTCTTCGTCTGTTCTGTCTCGTCCCTATTTCGTTGTCCGGGCGTCAGGGGCTGGTGGCCTGTCTTATGCCTCCTCACAGAGAAATAGCTGTCTACCATCTCAGACCCAGACTTCCCGGGTGTTAGTAGGTGTCCTGGACTCAGGCCAATATGTTCCATCAATGGCGTATTTACCACAGAGCTGTAAGGGCTCTCTCTGGAGCCGGCGGGGCTACCCGCTTCCTGGGACTTCCAAGATCTTAACTTTTCCTTGTCTTGAGCAACCTGTCCGCTCAACTCTGCAACTAGTTCCAACTCAGACCCTTCGTCAGAAAAGGTGCCCCCGAGTCCGAATGCGGCCTCATGACGACTTGTCGGACTGCCACGCAACCGATCCTCTAGAGCGCTATACTGCTGCGCAAGAGAATATGAGCTTGCCAGATGTGGGAGGAGGGTCTCCAAGGAACGTCGCAAACTACGCGGATACGGAGTCAGGGGTGATAGAAATGATAGGACGGCCACTGGAAACCGCAAGTTTGATGCTAGGGCGCCTCTCGACAGGACTGGCTGAATGAGTGGTAGATGGATTATGGTTTTCGACATATCAGCACCAATTGCACTCAGTGGCTGGTTGGCACTGTTACCGTAGTCATATGCAGGAGGATTCTGCTCGAAGGCTGTCTCATCTACCGCCGTCGAAGGCTGGACAAAGAAAGGCGACTCCGCCGGGTCAGGACGTGCCGCAGGTGAGGGGGCTGGACTCTGCGACCATGGGGAAGGTTCGGCTTGTTCAAATTCATCAAACGCACGGACTGGACGAGTGGGTGGTTGCGAATCTTCGAACTTAGTGTTTCTTCGATCGTCCAAAACACCACTTGAAGGGGTAGGCGGTGCACTTCCGTCACCTGTGCGTTCTCTAATCATCGGTGACTTGGACGGTACTTCCTCTGTATATGCTCTGGTCAAGACAATTGGCTTCCTCTTGCCAAACAGGGAGACGACTCCAGTGCGGATCAGCAGAGGGTCGGGCTCCGCTTCCAGTGGCTGAATCGACCGGTGTACATGGCATCGTAGGGTCGAAGACCCTGAGCCGGTAGAGTAGTATTGCCCTTTAAACAAGGTATCGGAGACAGTCGCAGAGAGCGTGAGTGGGGTGGCAGCTTGTCGTGTGAACCGGGGCAAGATGGGCTGGGTCGACGTCGCAACCTGTTCATCTTGTTCCCTGGGGATGCTGCTATGAGCACGGACAGGACCAGGAGGTCTTTGGCTAGAAGGACGAAGAGTCGAATCAGGGGCCGCTCCAGCAATTGAGTGTCGGGATAGGAGAGGCGGGCGACGCCCAGGTAATGAACTGAGATCGCTGGGCACCCTGCTCGAGGGCTCCGGTCGTCTACCCATAGGATTGACATCGATCTCGGACGATGCTAGCGAGTCCATTTGAGAAGGAGGCACGCCCTCAGTGCCGCAAATGTTGTAGGTCGCCTTCTGACCCCAGGGTACATTCTCAAGGTCGGTAATGTCACCCGGGATGGCAAGCGAGGCGCGTTCTGCACCGTACGCCTCTGACAGAATCTCCGTCACATTAGCCCACCACATATCTAGACCAGGCTCAGCGGTGAGCATAAGAGTGATATCGTATAAATCTGGGGTTGGAAAATTAGGGTCTTCGGGAAACCCTGGACTTGTAGGTGTGTGGTTCAGCGGTGTACTCAGATCGTCGCAGGAGGTCTGAGGCTGAGGCTGAGGCTGTGGTGTTGAAGTTGCATCCCTGCCGAGAACTGGTTCATTTGTTGGCGACAACAACGTGAAGGGCTTGTGGGACGGACCCGAACGCTGACTAACACCACGATTCAATCTCAAAGACATCCTTGGGAATGGATATGACGGTGTTCTGATGGTGCCTGGAGTCGTGTCAAAAGCCGCCTTTATTGTCCTGGCAGAATCGGTGGAAAGAGTTCCAGTATTCACCGATTCATCTGAGCTGGATTCTGGGTGGGTAAGAGTGGCAGTTCGCCCAGGCGTTTCATCTTCTTTCGTAAGTTCGGGAGAAGAGCTGGCGGCGGCAGCAGCGCGTCTCCGTTGTTGTTTCTGCGCCAAAGCAGCACTCATTCTTCGTCGCATAGCCTCCATCCCAGTAAATTTCTCGGGTACCCGCACATTGGCTCCCTGGGCGTGGACTAAGTGCGAGCTCGTGGTGGTGGTGGCACCGCCACTCCTATTTTCCGACATAGTATCTCCTTTGCCCGGGTTAGATGAGGCGCGCTCTTCACGAGGTCGGGAGGAGTGGCCATGTTGTGGCAGCCCAACGCTGGAGGATTTGGAGGACTTCATTTTGGGTGCAGACACATCCAGCTTCGGTGTCTGCAACCTGAAGGTCTTCTACCGGTAGTCATGGAGGATATCGCAGTTTCGGTGGCAGGACCGTAACAGTCGATCTGCGACAAAGCAACAGCTTAGGAGGTGGCTATAGTGCAGTCACGCATGATTCCGGAAAAGACGTTCAGCGAACCAGGTGTTTGTGGTAGGCGTCGGCGATGTAGAGGATGGTACTGGACCTGTGTACGGAGATGAATTGGTAGTGAGGAGCGATCGGCTACGCAGGCGACGTTGAAAGAAAGCCGCGTGACAAAGTAGTGTGCAACTTGAAGTGAATACTGGGAAGGGATCGATCAAGACGAAGGTGGCAGGGCCGTCGATGGGGTGTGCAGGAGGTCGCTGGAGGATTAATCGTGTGCCGTTTGTGCTGAGGAGGGTAGATGCAGTCAGTGCGTGTGAGGTGAAGGACTCTGCCGCGAAGATGACTTTACCGGTGGCATTTTGGGGTGCCAACTGTGACGGAGGCATGATGACGTCGCTGGACGCTTCCTTCTCCCGGAGCCTGAGGGTCTCAGGGTCAGCGAGCCCACATGGTTGGGATTTGCCTCTCAAGCAACGGTTCAGCCACCCGCTTAGGCAGGCACCTAGCACCTACCTAGTAGGTGCCTAGTACTCTGTAGGCATGTCCATACACTACGTACACACCTACCTATAGGTTACCCTATAGGTGCTCTAGGTAGGTACATATGTACTGTAACATGGCAGCCAACTAGAGTCTTCCTTCAGGCAGGCCTTGTACTACAGGGTGGTGCCTGGGTGCCCTGTATGTGCAGTACCTGCTATAAGCACGATCTACGTACCTATTATTATACGTCCATCAATGTCTGTACTACCATGCAGCTTCTACGTGCCAGCCCCTTCCGTTCAACATTGTTTCTCGTTCTTTCTCAGTCTCTAAACCGAATTCCGTAAGGGGTGGCGAAATCAACATCGGGGAAACCATCTGAATACTATATTATTCTTTGGTTTCCACAGATTAGCAACCATAAACTGCATTTGCATTAATTAGCCTGGATGCTGATCTTCAAGCGTACTCCGTACAGAGGTGCGGTACAGTATTGTTGGTGGCGGCGTTTGGCGGGCTAAGGGGCGATCCGTTAATAGCTGGAGCCGCCTGGGGGGGCAACCCAAATACCGAAGCATGGCTCAGATTCTTTTTTCCGGTCCATGCCGGTTGCTGCCAAAGGCTGACGAGACATTCTTATGTGCGCACACGAGGTAGCAGTGGTAGAAAGTGGCAACATGGAGTACTGGTTGTGACCAACCATTGTCATTCCGATCACAACTATCCGTAGCTTTTACCGCTGTGTTGGTTGAAACATGTCACGCGAGCAGACTATTATTTTTAAGCTTTGCCCGTCAGATGGTACCTGCATCGTCCTAGGACGGAGGGCCAACTACACGTGTATACATACGTCTTGCTCGGCACAGGCTTCTCTTAGTATAAATCTAATTGCAATAGATACTTTTGAAAAGCTCCTGTGTACCTGAGAGTAAGCCTTTCCATCGAGGGTTGGACCTTGGCATCAGTGTGCTTCAGCTCCGATCCGATCCGATATATGCTATGGGGACTGATGCATCTCACAAAGGGATTCAGTCGACCTTGATGGATCGATAGATCCGATGCACGAACGCGTATGATGCGAAAAACCCGATTGTCCCTATATCCCGAGTCAATTCAGTCTGTCTGTCCTTCGTGAGCAAGGTTACGAAGAGGTCACTTACCAGTAAGAACAAATACCAGGAAGCTGATGAGTGCAGAGTAGCCCACATAGAGGACGGCCCCGGTCAAGCCCCCAAAACTGACCCGAGTCGCCCAGAACCCCAAAGCATTGAGAAACACATAGCCTCCGGTCATCCCAGCCCCGAAGAACGCTCTCCATTGCCAGCGGTAATCTTCAGCACAAAGGAGGAAGTACACAAGCAGAATGGTCGTGCATGCCGACGTTAACACCATGAGCGCATAACAGATAAACAGAAACCCAAACATGTAGTAGATCTTACTCGTCCAAAGCGAGGTCATGATAAAGTACAGCTCCACAAAGATGGCACAAAACGGGAGGATGCCGGTCAAGAGGAGGGAAGGCAAAGGCTTGAGCGATCGTGCAACCGGCGGTATCTGTCGTGGAATCTGATTGGTACGGGTGGGTGATTCAATGGCTGGTTGTTTGAAACCATACCAGGAGCCAACCACACTTAAAGGCACACTGATCAGAAACCATATGGCAATGATGGCCAGCATGGTCGTGAAGGGAACCGCTCCGCTTGAACCTTTTGCCCAGACAAACAGGTTGAGGAGGAAGAAGGTGCCGAAAACGGCGCCCGGGACAAACAGCGGCGTCAGCACAATGTTGAGTTTCCATTTCTCTCCGCCGAAACTCTTGTAGACTCGGGCGGAGACGTACCCGCCGATGCATCCAAAAAGGGTGTACAGGAGAAGACCGATTGAAGTGAGCCATCCACGATTTGATGGCGACAAAAACCCCAGCATGGCGAATGCCACGGTCACTCCTGTCATGACGAAAAGCTGTGCTCCGTTCCCGAGGAGGACGCTCAACATGAGTATGTGACGTGGGCTTCGGAACACGTCGCCGTGCACCAACTTCCAGCCGGAGTCCTCTTGGATATCGTCTTCCACGGCTGCTGTGCCCGAAAGATCATCGAGATTGATGTTGTCCAATCGATTGTATCTTGCGATGTCCTTGTGGAGAGCCCTCACCAATACTGTACTGACCATCCCAACCAAGAAGACGACAAAAATGGTGGAATTTATCAGCGAGAACCAGTGAATCTTGGGGTCAATGATGTGGAGGTATTTGTCCCATCGGGTTGCCCAAGCGGTGTCCGACGGACGCCAGTAAACGCTGTATGTGTAGGTGACCTTAGTCCCGCCGCTCTCATTAAGCACAACCGGGCCCGAGTTCGCGGCACAGTCAGCCTTGCCCTGACCCAGAGGTTTCGATCCGGCATACGACTGTGGCTGGACCAGGACACCAACCACGCGATATTTCGTACCTCGGAGACCCGCCTTATGATAGTCGATGATGATGTCCCAGTGATTGTGTAGAATCTTCGTACCGTCTTCTTTCACTTTGCCTAGAGGAAATCCTGGGCTTGAGAATTGTTCGTGAGTGAGCGGATCTTCCCTGAGTTCCGCAGCTGGTAGTCCATCGACCAGTAAGTTCACATTGTACGCCTCCTCTATTCTAGAGTTGACAAACTTTGCGGCCCTCTCATCAAACTCTGTGCTTTCGCAGGTCATCTTGCAGGTCTCATTTTGTCCCATGTGCAGTTCGAAAGGCGAAGTCTGGATCCGATCACCAAAGATGATACTGCCCAATGACTCCCGTACCCGCTGTGGCCCTTTCTCCGGTCGACAGAATCGGAATGCAGGGTGATAGTAGTCGTAGGAAACAACAGCATGAATTTGCTCGTCATGCCGCGAGATCGAAGGAGTCAACGCATTGACAGTCAGAGGGACTCGGTCGCCGGTTGAATAGGAGGATGGTGCTACTCCGGGGAGATAGAATGCTGTGGCATTCTTGAAGAACAGGCAGCACAGAAGTGCCGAAGAGAGCAATCGAGCCATATTTATAGGCTATCGAACGGAATGCTTGAGCCGCAGAGAAAGAAAATCGGAGAGCATGCAAGCACTCTGTATCAGAGGCGACACGAATTGCGCTCGGATGAAACTGCGTTAACTCCAACTCATGGTGCCAGCAGCTAGGTTCAGACAAACGGCTGGTGCGAAGTTCTTAGGTGTCGAACTGTCTCGAAAGTGGGATAGGGGAAGGATACTTGAATATTACGATTGATGAAGAGGTACAAGTGTCATTTCGTCTACGCTAAAAGTCGTTCAACATTTCATGCACTGCAACGGGACGCGTCTGCTCCATCGGGAGTGCAATGACGGTTTCAGCCTCATCGTTTGGGGCTTGGCACAAAGGAAGACAAAGAGACGGAGTACTCGTACACAACTCTCGCTATACTACTTTATATTTCATCGTAACGGATCTGATCTGCAGAAACATACACCCTTGTGATTTCCAGTCGGCGACTCTTTCCAGGGTTGTCTTTCTCCATTCAATCCTCGGCTGTCATCTCGCGTATTCCAGAGTCGCACACTCATCACCAGTTCCAACATCATTCGTAGAGACACCGCGGAGCTCATGCCATCAGCCACAACGCCTTGTTCTTGCATGCATTCCAAGAAGCCAGCAGACAGGGACAAACTAAGCAGCATAGGCCCAGATCATACAAGTCCGTCATACAGCGAGAGCGCGGAAACGATCGTCTCGTCTCGTTTACTTCCTTCTTTGAACTCGGCCATATCGAGGCTTCCATTCTCGTCCTTATCCATCATCCTGAAGATTTTTCTTACCCTCTTCTCAGGAGTGTCTTCATCTTCGGGGAGCTTCACCATCGATCCCACCTTGCACAAGATGGTTAGTTTGCGCAATACAAAGAGAGAGGCACCGACCCCTTACCATTTTGTAAATAGCCTCCACGATCGCCAGCATCTCATCGTAACTTATCTTGCCGTCACCATCAATGTCGTACAATTGAAACGCCCAATCCAACTTGTCTTCCATCTTGCCTCGACTGGTCACGCTGAGAGCGCAAATGAACTCCTTAAAATCAATTGTCCCACTCTTGTCCGAATCAAAGACCTTGAAGACGTAGTCTGCGAAGGAACTAGGGTCACCGAATGGGAAGAATTGTCGGTATATTTTTTGGAACTCCTCCTTTGTCAACGTGCCCGACGGGCAATCTTTCAGGAACCCTGCCAGTATGTTCAGCCGCAAGTTCAATATATATGCTCCAGATATGTCATACCCTTGTACCATTGTTGTAGTTCCTTTTTGTCAAAGTGCGTCGACTTCTGAAGTTCCTCTAGTTGTTGTGGCGACAACTTGGATTGTCTAAATGCCACTGCGAGTTAGCATATCGGTTTCAGTGCTGGCGAAAGTGCTCCTTTCATGAGCACGGTGGCCCTCACTTCTGACCCATAACGCAAGCCCAGCTTGGGCCCAACGGCCACTCGTTCGGATTATCTCAGGGCAGAGGGGCTGAGGTTGCGAGCGGCTGAGGTTGCGAGCAAGTTGCAGAGGATCAGGGGGCGATACGGACTGCCGAGTTGAATGGGGCGAGTTCAGATGAGTCCGGCGTAAGATCGAGATTTTGGGGTCTAAGGAATGGATCTATGTGCGAGGATGTTCGTGCGAAATGTCCGAGGCACAGAGTTCCAGAACAAACACGAGTTTCTGGGGTGATGGGAAGACAAAAGCAGAAGCAAGCATGCAGCCCTAGTCGCAGGCTGGAAACAATGAGTGTCACTCCGGCGCCTGAGGCTGTTAGCGGGGCGAGTTCCGAAGAATGACAAAGCCACGTTTCTCAACGGCACAGCCAGAATTATGGCCTATCTTGTGCACGAGGATATTTCGGTCTGAAACATTTGACTCTGGATGCTAACCTAACGGTATTGGTTGTTGAGCACCACATAAAGACCTCCAGCCAACTCCGTTATCGCGCCCTCTATTCTAACAGCGCCGCCTGGTTGGTGTAAAGGACGTCAACCACATTGCTGAGCTTTTCGATCGTCGCCAAAGCACCGTCGTAGCCAGCATCTCTCTCGACCTCATCATACACGATCAAGCAACCTTCGCCCTGATCTAATACACCAACAATGATCTTGTCCAGAATCATTTGAGACAATTTCCTCTCCACCTGCTGCGTGTCGAGACCGACCATCTTTGCGACGTGGTCAATCTCCACCCGACTGAATGGTTCAATGACCTTGATCAGATTCTGCTCCAGCATCGCATCGTACAACCGCCGCAGATGATTGCGGATAAAAACGTCGCTGCCCAACTCGTAGCGATAGTTCGACAATGCTTGCTCATACTCCTCAAGAGACCGGTTTGCGTGGGCTCTGGCGACGGCCTTCATTGCTTCCAAGCTCGTTCCAGCGTACTTCTGTGCCTGCTTCGAAGCTAATATAGAATTGACATCATCCACCAGATTCAACATGATCTTGCAAAGCAACATATACTGTAATGCTGAAGTGGCTCGAACTGTGTCGTCCTGGGTATGGTATCCCTCCAGCGCTTCGATGAAATAGGAAAACGCAGTATTGAAGTCTTTATCCTCGGCGTGCAGCATGCCACTCTGCATGTCCAGCCCGGCTTGCAGGAGGGGCGGGGTGTAAACCGATGCAGCAGACGTTCTCGCTGAAGTCAATGCAGCTCTGGCTTTGGCCTGGTTGGTGAGGGCGTGGTAGACCCGAGATTCCAGCAATTGCACCTCCACAAGAACCAGTTTGTCATCGAGGCGTTTGAGCTCCCGCAACAGACCATTAATCAGTGTAAGAGCGTCGTAGTAGGCTTGCTTTTGCATGTAGAGTCCAACCAATCTCGTTTCAAGGTTCTGACGAAGGAAGGATCGCTTTTCCGAGTTCGCCCAATCGATACATGATTTCGTGGTCGCAATTTGGAGTTCAAGGGTATTAGGGATGTCTGCGAGGAAATCGAGCAGTTGCCGGACTGACTGTGATCAGCAGAGTATATGAAGCGGTGTGTGTGTACATACCAAGCTTGGCTGTCTTCGCTTTTGCAAACGAGGATAATGTCGATCTGCTGGTCTTCACCAGCTCCGCGAGATCTTCTGACCGCTTGCTGTCTCTGTAGAGCTCTCCCAAGCCGGCGAGTGCATTCTCGTAACTCTGCAAAGCAGCCTGATTGGAACCTGGCGACTGTGCCAGAACCTCTCTGTAGATGCTCTCGGTTTGGGTGGGATCAGATTTGGCCAGCTTTTTGGCCTCAGCAAGTTTGGCCTCATTCGAAGGTGGAGGCGCCATGTTGAGGAAGTGGCGAAGGTGTTTGGTGATTGTCAAAAGACAGTTGGTGGATTGATTGGAGTTGTCGCCGGTTTGTAGAATTGTTCAACACAGTACGATGGGAAGGCTGCACAAGGCGACGCAGATGCAGGACACGAAAGCGGCGCGGTTGGTTGGAGAGCCCGCCAGAGCCTAACAAGCCTTCCGCGGTCTGTAGGTAGGTGGTAGGCACCATGAAATGACGCCAGGGTCCAGAAGTCCGTTACCTGACTGCGGGCACTCCTGCGACCCCACAAAAAAGTTCTCTACAACTTGAATCATTTAACACGGCAGTATTTTCTGCTTGGTAGCGAAATCTCATTACATCCATACTTCTAGTCGAGATGTCGCCGTCGACATGGTATGTTCATTCCTGCCGAGATCAATTGCCCAGCGACTAACCTCCTGACAGAAAATCAAGTCTCTGACGAGAACATCCGCGCCTCCGGGCGACGGGGCTGTTCGACAACCTCGAAACCTCGATCCTGCTCACCATCCCTTCGAACGTGCCAGAGAGTATACGAGAGCGCTCAATGCGGTCAAAATGGAACGGATGTTTGCTGCGCCATTTGTGGGCCAGTTAGGCGACGGCCATGTAGACGGAGTTTATTCCATGGCGAAGGATCCCGGTTCTCTCGAAAGATTTGCCAGCGGGAGCGGAGATGGAGTTGTAAAAGTATGGGACCTGACCAGTCGCGAGGAAGTCTGGAATACAAGAGCTCATGACAACGTTGTCAGAGGATTGTGTTGGACTCCAGAGCGAAAACTGCTTTCTTGTGCCACGGATAAAACTGTCAAGGTCTGGGATCCATACAACGGCGAGAAAAAGGGCCTTCCACTGGCAACTTACCTTGGACAAGGCGCATTCACGGATATTTCACATCATCGCGATCGTCCCACGTTTGCTGCATCTTCCAGTACAATCTCCATCTACGACCTCTCCCGGCCGTCGTCCGGCCCCAGTCAAGTGCTGCGATGGCCAACCTCTACGGACACTATCACCGCCGTTTCCTTCAATCAAACCGAAACCTCGATACTTGCTTCCGCCGCCCTCGACAGAGCGATTGTGCTCTACGATCTGCGGACATCATCACCGGTGTCAAAAGCCATCCTAAGACTCGCTTCCAATGCGATATCTTGGAATCCTATGGAAGCTTTCAATTTTGCTGCAGCAAACGAGGATCACAACATCTATATATTTGACATGCGGAAACTGGACAGGGCTCTCAATGTCTTGAAAGATCACGTGGCCGCCGTGATGGATGTTGAGTTTAGCCCGACAGGAGAAGAGTTGGTAAGCGCGTCATATGACCGGACAATCCGCTTGTGGAATAGGGATCGAGGGCATTCCCGGGATATCTACCACACCAAGCGGATGCAGCGAGTATTCTCGGTACGATTCACTGCGGACAATAAATACGTCTTATCTGGGTCGGATGACGGCAACGTGAGATTATGGAGGGTTAATGCCTCAGATCGAAGTGGAGTCAAATCAGCAAGACAACGACAGAAACTCGAATATGATCAGGCCCTGGTTCGAAGGTATGCACACATGCCAGAAATCCGGCGAATCAAACGGCACCGACATCTACCAAAGACCATCAAGAAGGCAACGGAAATTAAAGGAGAAGAACTAAAATCAATCAAGAGGAAAGAGGAGAATGTTCGGAAGCACAGCAAGAAAGGCAGCATGCCTCGCCAAAGCGAAAGAGAGAAGATGATCCTGGGGACAGAGAAATGAATGCTATATTTGAGGCTTCGGAGACGCCTCCCTCGTGAGCGTCATCCTCACAAAAGCTACAGTTCTCATTACATCTCGCACTGTCCCCAGCGTTTTGCCAAGATGGACTTGCCCCATGGGCTTATCAGAGATTGCCCTTGGTGGCGCAGAGATGAAGACGTTGCCATAGGGCGACAATGGATAAGCCACTCTCATGATGTCTACTCGACAGGACTGAGCACTGAAAAGGCAGCTTCAAGATGGAGGCCGACCCCCCTCCCGTCAGAGGCGAGTTTTACCAAGACTCAGACACTCGCCAGTCACAGGAAGGCAAGTACACCGGGTACGCCACAAAGCAAAGAATGCAAGCTAGACATCAGTTAGTAGGCCGGAACAACAATGTACTGAATTAGAGGATGGTATGGATGTCGAGGCATTAGGAAGCAGGGGAGTGTCAGCCTCACAATCAGGGTGCCACACGTAGGTACTGAACTTCTGGCCAATCACAATGCTGATTGCAGGCCAATTTTCTTCCATATAAACAACTTCAAGCACGTACTGTAATGAGACTCCAATGATTTCAATAGACTTCTGCGGTCTCAGCGTCCCCTTCGGTCTTAAGTCTGACACGGTCTACTATTCTTAACATGACGATGTGCATCTAGTGGCGTTTGCCCGCCGTCGCTGTTGCATGGTTGCACAGTGGGATCACCAGCCTGCAATACGCACATGAGCAAGAAGTATAACATGCCTCCCTTGCGCAGCAACACATCAGCCCTAGACTCATTCCTGGCCGAGATTATCGCCAGCGTCCGAAACAAAAATGGGGAGCGCATCACCGACCTCATCCAGCTCGACTTTGACAGCTTGTCTCCAGATCGACAAAAGCCATACGCCGATTTGAACCAGGAGCTGAACCGCAATTTTCCTGCGGCGAACGACGCGGGACTCATTGCGCAGTGCAAGAAGGCGCTGCCTCACGAGGAATTTGGGACGTTCAGCACCACCTTTTCCGAGAGCATCATCCAGTATTTTCGCTACCTTCGGGACTTCACGACGGCAGACAATCAGGCCAAAGCGTCCAAAATACGGCAATTGACGAGGTGAGCTTTTCTGATCCTGTAGACACCGTCAAAGAAGGGTGCACACTGACCAAAGCTTGCAGTCAGTGTGTCACCGCACTCGGAGACTCGAAGTATGGGGTGATCATGATCCCTATTGTCCTCTCATTCTCGCGGACGCTCTCGGTGGTTGCCACGAACTTGGACCGAAACCCTGCTTTGATCCGAAACTTGAACAGCAATCTTCCCGCCACTCAGGACACAGAAGGCGCTCCAGGAAAAGTCAGCTTCGTCGAAGATGCGGCGAATGTGCTCCGAGATGCGTTTATCAAATGCCTAGCGGGCAGTCCGGGCGTGCAACGCACAACCAGGCCGTCTCCGGACGACAAGCGCGTGGGCATCTACCTGACAGCCAACTCGTGCCTCAAGCTTCTGACACAATGTCGCAAATTGCGGAATGCACAGCAGATGTTCTCCAGTATCGATGCGCAGTCTCCCCCTTTGTCCTACTATCCTGCAGCGCAGCGGGTCACCTATCTTTACTATCTGGGACGGTACCATTTTGCCAACAACCATTTCCGCCGTGCGCAGGCCGTTCTACAGAAAGCATACGAGCAATGTCACCGGCAAGCCATCAAACATCGAAGACTGATCCTGACCTATCTGATGGCGGCCAATATCTGTCTCGGCCGCTTTCCTTCGGCGGCCTTGCTTGCCCGACCGGAAGCGTCTGAAGTCGGGGTAAAATTTGTACCTCTCTGCAAAACCATCCAAAGCGGCGATCTGGGACAATTCCACCAATATCTGGATTTAGACAGCGACTCGGGTCAATGGTTTTTGAAGAGGTCGGTGCTGCTTCAATTGCAGGACCGTTGTGAGATGATTGTTTGGAGGAGCCTTATCCGCAAAACATTCCTTCTGAGCGGATATATGGGCGAAGAGAAGAAGGTCCCTTTTCTCAGATTATATTATGTCCGTCACGCCGCCTCCTGGGCCCTAAAAAGACTGAAAGGCAACCGGACCTTCAGCGCCGAGGACTACGTCGATCCGGAATTTGCAGATGTCGATACAGCAATCATCGAGACGGGATTCGACCCCGAAAGCGGGCAATACCTAGACGAGTACATCGGGCAGCATGTGCCAGTTGTTGACGAAAATGAAGACCGGCCTACGATAGCGGAGGTAGAATCCGTGGTTCTGAGTTTGATCCAGCAAGGTTTACTAAGGGGCTTTGCCCTCCATACGAACCCTCGGTTTGCAATCCCAGGAAGCCAAAAGGCTGGAGGGCCGATGCGGGCAGGTTTTCCTCCCGCCTGGAGCGTCATCAAGAGTCAAGAGAGCACAGACGCGGTGCCCGGCTTGGTCGAGGAAGCCAATCTGGGTTCGGAGGGAGGGAGGGTCGTCCGGATTTTCGGAGCTAGGCCAGCCGGATCGTGAGCGTGAGCGGTTGCCTTTCGCGTCGTGGTCACACAGCTCGTAAAGACCTGATGTCAATCTTGTTCTTGCCTTGCCTTGTCTCGCGAGAGCTACGACTCGATTGCGAGGTGGCGACGAAGAACCGCGCAGTAGTTTAGAGAGGAAAGCCTGCATGAGCGTCCCTCTCTCCCATGCCATGGAGTTCGTAGCTAGGTACGAGTTCGTAGTAGCATCACGGACAAAAAGCCATGCGTCCCTTTTCCAGGCTACCGTACCAAGACATGTCATTGTCATGGCGACATAAATGCCTCAGCTTCCGCCGCGCGACAAGCTGAGCGGGACAGCAAGGCAGACCGTCGCCTTGCAAGGATAGGCAACAGGCGACATCCGTCCAAGCTGGAGCGGATTAGGATCCGATCGAACGAGGCTGAGCAGCAATAAGTACATGACAGTAGTAGTAGGTAGTGAAGACAGACGGTGCGCGCCCTTACCATGACTAGGTATGTACTTACTTCCTACCTAGTACTTAGTGATGCTGGGTGGCTGTGCACGGCGGCTGGCCCCAGGACCACTGTAGAGTTGCTCCATGGTCGCGTGCTGCAACACGTTCTGGCGATTGGGTGAAGCAAGCCACCCTTGTTCCCTGTTGGCTCTTACACCTGACGCAAAGTGATGCTTGCTGGTCTGGAGAAGGATGTGCGGAATCAACGGCTAAAAACAGCATTACAGCATTCCGTCCTCGCAATTGACTCACGAGGAACAGTCGAATCGCTCCAGAGCCGACACCATATCATACAGGAGCTATGTATAACTACCATCCTGCCACCTCCTTACCGCCAAGCACGGAGGCCATCTGATCGAAGCCTTTACTCCTCCCCGCCCTCCATTTTCAATCAGGTATGATCTGACATCAACGGCAGTACTCCATACACGTTCACTCGAGTTTACTCGGCCATATAAACCATGGCACTCCTCAATCGTTAAACCGCTTCAGAGAGGCCGTTCTCCCTTCTCCACTCCACCTTCGAAGTTGCGTGTTACCATCCATCGCAGAAGACCGTACCCATGTCCGGGGTCGAGATTGGAATTGCTGTGATCGGGGCGGTAGCAGCCTTGATCACGGCGTATAAAGATGCAGGGGGCATTGTTCGAAACATAAAAGAACGCCGCAAAGCCAGAGGCGGCTTGCCTCCGAGTGTCGCCCTGCAGGAATCCCTCGATGAAGGATACCAGGAGATTGAAAAGATCACTGCGAAGGGCGTAAAGCGGTTTGGATCTGGGTTCGAACAAGGTGATGGTAAACAGCCCCTACCTGCCTGCCGAGTTATACACTTGCCCTTCACTAAATGCCGCAGACATCGCACATCGAGCTCTGCAAAGCCTTACAATTGAGGTCCAGGCGTCTTTGCTCCGTCATCTGACTCTAGCCAGCAAAGATGATACTGTCACCGACTTCGAGGCATGCATCGATTCGGCCATTGAAGCACGCTTGAAAGCAGTCACCATCCTCAATGAACTATACTTACGCCAGCAGAAACGGGCCAGCCTCCTTGCCGAGCCTGAAGTCGGCGGTGCAGCGACATTGATCGACGAGCCCAGGGAACTCAATCAAACAGGGCGCAGAGAGTCAAGCTCCCACAACAGCAACGTCGTTCTGGGGAGTGAAACACAATTACCCAGTCCCGCTATAATGCGGAGGTCTTCCTGGAACCTTCTCAGGAACTTACATCGCAGCCCGTCGGGAGACCAGACCAGGGAAGACGCATCGACTTCTTCAATGGCGAGGAACTTCTCATTCAGTTTCACGACCCCTACTCTGACACCACGCACGACCATGTCGACTTCCCCGAGATCGTGGGCTGACCACCGCCAGTCGCAAATGTTGACTCCGCCCATCAGCCCAGTGTCAACGGACCTGTTTCCAGACGCCCTCGAAACCGCGGGATTCTGTATAGGAGCATCATATGTTCAGCAAGGGGTATATGAGAAGTCCGTGCAAGTCTCGATGAAGAATCTAGAATGGTCATGCCATTGCCGGAAATGTCCGTTCGCGACGCCGGCCGATCGTGACGAGCGTGGTCGACCGCAATTTGATGACAGAGTATACACAACTAACAAGTTGCGTTTTCGATCACTGCTTCTATTCAAGTCTCACCTAGCGTCAAGTCAGAGGAAGAGACGGCTGTACAAGTGCCTGATCTGTGTGTTGGCCGGAGATTCTTCCTCTACGTATGAGGGAGAGCACCCTCTATTTGAGCACATTTCCCATCACTCGGGAGGCGCATTGGGAGAGGTTGGACTGTGTGGCCCAATCTGTCTTGAACCGAGCGGGGCAAGAGTTGGGTCGGAAGGGACATTCGACCTCTGTTTCTCGAACAGCTCGAGGTTCTCGCTCCCTCCAAGTGCGATCGAGCTTGACGGGCCGGAGACATTGGACGAGGATTGTGTGGAGGGTTGGGATGAGGACGAGGTGTTTAAGAACCAATGGGTGGATGAAGGCCGAAGGTGAATCATCGAGGGTGTCTGCTCTCTGGAAGCTTCATTGTGAGGGCGGTTGGTCTGAGACAGCCGCGAGTGGTGTAACCTATGGCATATTGCATTCTTTGTCCATGTGTCACGCGTGACAGAGCAGCAATGGAAGATGAGAAGGCTGAAATACTCTCTGTACAGTGCAGTGTTCCCCCTCTAGGTGCCCTCTACTCCGTAGATGTTGCAGATCGGTAGAAGCTTCGTGGCACACACATGTGGCACGATGTGGCCTGCCTCGGCACGTGACACCCTCGGTGGGAGACGACTACTACGCATTAGAACTAGTATCTGTACCTCTGAGAGTCTGAGTCCGGAGTAACGTGCAAATCAATCCGCATCAACCCAACCACGCCATCCAGATTCCACCGGCTTCTCTTATCTCTGACTAGAGGCGCCCTTAGTGCTGCACCAGGGGAGCCGCGGCAGAAGCAATACTGGCGTTCTGTGGGCATTGGACCACTCGTGATTGCGCACTCTCCACCTGTCACGGAAGCCGCCGACGCGCACGATGGCCAACCAGTCCAACCACCCAGCGGTCTTGTCGTCTTCTCGGCCCCTCAGGCCCGAGTCCACGTTGGTCGCCTGCGCCCGTCCACGGCCCTGGAACACTGATAACGACGAACCACTCGACCCCTAGCCGGTCCAACCCTCGTCCAACCCTCCCAGTTTTCACCAGCAGAGCCAACGAGGTCGGCGCATTGCCCCAGTCGAGGCTTGCTGGTGCCCACTTGGCCTCGCCTCACCGTCGTCCCATCCTCCTATCATGCGCCATCACCATGTCCGCTCTATCAGTTCCCACCACCACCGGCTTTCCAACGCTTGCAAGAGGCCTGCTCTCGCATAGCCTGCCAGGCTCGCCTACTCGGTTATGGCGAGACACTCCAACCTGCCCATCTCGCTGCCATCCTACCTCACCTCCATGAAACCATTGCCTGGACAGACTGTCATGTTCGTATTCGGCCAGTGCTCGTGTCCTTCCATCCTCCGGCACTCAAATCGGTGACTGCGCTTTGCTTCTGAGGCCCCACAAGCCAGAGAAATTGAAAGAGGAGGCACATACACTGTTTCGCAAGGTCCTGCGATCGACCGACTGTCTTGCAACCTTGCCCCGACCGTCCATGGCCTCTATACGCCATCAAACAAGACATCCGCCCGACAAGAGCGCTTGAGCCATGAACTGCCTCCTGAAGAACCTCGAATAAAGCAAACCATCCTCCCTTCGATCCGACGACATGGCGCGTGTCCAAATCCTGCAGACGCGCATGTATCACCATGAGCCCCCGGCTCTCCAGGACGAGTTGGACATGAATCCCACCCTGATAGTGTCTTGGTGGTGTACATTGTTCGCCCTGACGGCCATCTTGATTCGGCTGTTCGGTCGGTGGGTGCGCACGGAACGATTGTTCCGAGAAGACAAGATCATGTTCTACAGCATCATTCCGCTACTGATTCGCATGGCCTTTGTCCATGTCATCTTGCTCTGGGGAACCAACAACACCCAGGTCGAGGGACTGACGCGTCTCGACATTCGTCATCGTGAGATAGGAAGTAAATTGGTCCTGGTTGCGCGCATCTTTTATGCCGCCTTCATCTGGGTGGCCAAACTCACCGTCCTCGAATTCCTCAAGCGTCTGATCGGAAAATCGTGGGCCAAGTCCTACGAAATCGGTCTGCGAATGATATATGGCTTCCTGATTGTCACCTATGTCGGAGTCGTCATCGCCACTCTCGCCGAGTGTCAACCCTTCGCACATTACTGGCAGGTGACCCCAGATCCGGGCCCCAAGTGTCGAGAAGGGTTGGTGCAATTGATTGTCATGGGAGTCTGTGACATGGTCACCGACATTGTTTTGATCGTCTTTCCTATTCCACTTGTTTTGCAGTCCTCAATGCGTTTCACCAAGAAAATATCACTCGTCTTGCTCTTCCTGCTGTCCGTCATCCTGATCGCCATCACCGCCTATCGAATCCCTTCCACCATTTCTCGCCGTTCCTCACAGCAATATCGATCGCTGTTGGCATCTCTGGAGATTCTGGCCGCGGCGGGCGTCTCGAATGCCATTGCGATTGGCAGTTTTATCCGCGACAAAGGAGTCAAGAAGGCCAAATTCCGAATCATGTCCATGGACGAAACCAGCTCCATCGGGCGCACCCCTACCCGATCGCGAACTCGATCCCTGACACATCATGTTTGGGGATCCGACGAAGACCTGGCCAGGGGTGTGGGCGTATCATTACCGCCTCCATTGCGACACGGTTCTACACTGGAACAATTTCCCCGTCCGGCCGAAGTTGCGTTGCCCAACCACACCAGGGATCTTGAGGCTGGTCACGCACATGACAACTCGACATTCAGTTCGAGGTGGAATTTTGCAGAAGCATCACGGTCGCGAGGGAGAAGGTCCGTGGACAGCATGACCAGCGGGTCCACCGACATCAAGCTCGATGATTTGAACCATCAATTGGACGCCCCGGCCAGCCCCGGATATACGGAACCGGATACACCAAGCAAGATGGGATTCTTTGATGTTGGCGGACTGGTTGATAGGCCAGTTGACGGGTCGCCGTCTTCCCTGTCCCGGCAAGCATCCGTCATCGAATCGACGCGCCGACTTTCTCAACCGAATTATCCGGCAACCCGATCTGGATCCAAAGCTTTTCTGTCCGACATTGGAGGGCTCCTTTCGAGGCACGCGCATATCCGCGAAGAAGACGAAATTCGGTCCCCGTCTATCTCGGTCGGCCGAAAACGCAGCAGCCCGGCCCGGTCTCCCATGAGATTGGAGAGCAGGAAAGTGTCACGGAATAGCCGATTTCCTTCGCAGCAAGAGGATGAAGATTCACCACCGCAACCCAGCGGGCCGGATGATTTGACTTTCTCCGATGCTGGTGGCTTGTTGCGACCATAGACACAGATACCCATTGGTTGTGTTTGATTTTGGTATGCTATGCTATGCTAGGCGAGGCGATGCGTGACGTGGATTTGGAGCGAATGGAGAAGCGAGCTATGGATTGCTTTTTGGGTTTGGTTGCTGTTTTTGCATATACCATAGCGATGGCGCTGGAGGATCTCTGTCTGTTCAAATTTGAATTGCGCCGTACAGTGATGGCCGGTCTGGTATGGCAGGGGGAATGATGACGATGGGCAGGAATGGGGAATGGATAATGAATCAGAGAAGAATAGTCTCAGAAACAGATCATACTGTTGGCCCCTTTTGTCGAGATAATTGATGTGTGTCTGATTCCCGTCTAGATCTGGAGACATGGCCCGTCGTCTTTCATCATTCTACACGGTACGGAGTACATGTCGAACGCACGGCATTTTAGGGGTTTAGGTACATGTATCATGTACGGATACGGAGGACATATAATCCTTTTCCAAGCCGCCACCACCGAGTCTCTCATGCACGTGATCCCAATTTAAAGGTATCACGTAGGTGCGTATATTACGACTAACGACTCAACAGGTGTCAGACACCACCAACACTAATTAGACCACGCACCGAGCATTCTCGTACAGTCTAATTTATAACAGTATGACTCTGATCTGCTGCTCTACCAAAAAACCATCACTTGGCTCCGGTCGGGCGCCGCCTTGGGCAATCACTGACTTTCTCGCTGGTCTGGTACCGGCGCCCTATTGGCCCGCTGCAACTCCCTGGTGCCCCTATTCTGGATAAGCTGTAAGCCACACTCACACTCTTGAATCGGATCTGGGTAGGTATCCCTCTTCCTCACCATCCTATGGCTTTCCGTTGCGCGTTGCCCGATATCTATACTACAGGCAGAGAAAGAATTTTCTACAGCACGAGTAGGGATCCATTCGTCAGAGAAAAGAAAATATTTCTACAGTACGACTACCTTAGGGATCCATTCGTCAGAGAAGATATTTCAACAGTACGACTAGGGATCCCGTAGACTGTGCTGTGCGCCCCGAGTCATTCATCAGACTTTGCATTGGGCACAAGGATACGAAGCCGCTTTCTCCTATGGCACAACGATGCGAGGCCGCTCTCTCCGATGGCTCTGTGATACGAAGCCGTTCTCTCCTATGGCTCTGTCCACTTCGGTGAACCTTACCAGAGTTTGCACAGGGCGTCGCGATGACAAGGACTTCATGTGGAATCCATCGAACCTTGACGGCGAAGACAAGGCCTTCCTTCATGTGGAATCTATCGAACCTTGACGGTGAAGACAAGGACTTCCTTCATGTGGAATCCCGAACCTTGACGGCGAAGAGGATCTCGTTCGGTCGACCGCAGAGGTATAAGTATCGTCTTCGGCCGTTGCTTTTCTTCTTTCTCGTTATGTATACACATCATCTCATCTCATCTCATCTCATCACTTTGCTTACCTTGGCCCCAAAGCCCTTGTGTGAGAGATAATAGATATATCTCATCCTCATCCTCTTCCTCTTTACTTCACTTCACTTCCAGCAACCGGGATCCCACAACACATATATCCTACGCACCTTCGACTTACTTGCCACGCTTTCGACTTGTCACACTTTCGACTTGTCACACTTTCGACCTACTTGCCACACCCCCGGCACACACACCCCCCCTCAACTAAGAAGTTCTCCGAACTTGAAGCGATAGATTCTCGTGGGTTGACTTCCCTCTTCACGTACGTAGATATGATGACCAACACCTAGGCTCAGATCAGTTGCTATCGATCGTCGAGATGAAGGCCTTCACTCCTCTCGGCTTGGCTCCTGTCGTCATTGCTCCGCTGCTGTGGTTCTCCAGTCTCCCTACCCTCGTCACGGCTCGCCCTGCCGTCGCTATCGTCGACCCTCTCTCTGTCACTATCACTGCCCCTGTCGCCGCTGCCGGGGCCTCCGTGGCCGTGGTCGGCCCGACCGCCATCTCGCTGAGTGATCGGGGAGTTGGGCCCGAGAACGCACGGGAGCTTGAAATTGAGTTGGACCAACATCACAACTTGACCTCTACACAAGAACGCAGGGAGCTTCAAATTGAGTTGGCCCAACATCACAACTTGACCTCTACACAAAAACGCAGTGTAGAAGACGGCACCGATGAAGAAGACTACGAGGACGACGAAGACGACGAAGACGACGACGAAGACTACGAAGACGAAGACGACGAAGACGAAGACGACGAAGATGGAGCCGACTACATCAAGGATCTCGCCAAGGATTGGCCCAAAGTGATGAAATTCTTCATGGGAGATGCCGATGATCATCCCGTCGCCCCCGCTTCCGGTGCTCAGGGTTCTCCTCAGCCTCTTGATGCGGCCGCTCACGCCTCCGACGAGGACTTCGACGCGGCCGAGGTGGACAGCATGTTTAACATGACGCAGCTTCCCTCAACCGCAAACGTGCTCTTCATCAGCCCCAAACTAGGCCGCTCAACCCACAAGTTCCTGATCGACCTGATGAGCCACCTCAACCAGATCGACTTTGATGGAAAGACCATCCCGGCTATTCTGCAGAATCCACCTGCCTGGGCGACCGCGCATGAGACCATGCACGAGGCTGAGACTGAGACCGAGCCACCCACGGCCGAAACGGACGACCAAGACAACGCAGAGGCAGAGGCGGCAGTCAACAAGAGATGGGTGGTGCCGGCGACAGCATCCGGGCTTACCACCATGGGCAAGAGTGGCTCTAAGTGAGCTAGCTGCTCACAGCATCCGGGCTTACCACCATGGGCAAGAGTGTAGTTTAGATGAAGACGAGGAGAGAGTGGCTCCAAGTAAGCTGCTCAGGTTAGATGAGGACGAGCGCTCTGAGGAGAGAGTGGCTTTAAGTGAGCTACTCACAGCATCCGGGTTTACCACCATGGGCAAGAGTGCAGGTTAGATGAGGACAAGCACTCCGAAGAGAGAGGAGACTTAAGCCACCGGCCGAACCGGAAACCAATCACGGTCCAAGACAACGCAGAGGCAGAGGCAGAGGCAGAGGCGCCAGTCAACAAGAGATGGGTGGTGCTGGTGCCGGCGACAGCATCCGGCTTTGGGTTACCATCATGGGCTCTTGAGTGGCTCCAAGTGAGCAGTTGACTTGAGGGAGGACAAGCACGTCTTGATTCCAGCAGCGACTGGTACCGTACGTACCTTGGGTACACCTTAGGTACATTACATAGTCGACCTATGTATGGCTCATTAGACCTTTGAGCTCAGAGCTTAGAGCTTAGAGCTTAGTGCATCAGTGAGGCGTGGGTCTTAGACACTCGCACGTGCTTGTTCAATCAACCATCTTGACCATCAAAACTCTCGTCCAAAGCGACCGTTGAGAGACTCCCATTCTTGAATCAGATTCCTGACGCCGTCACCAGTCGCTGCTCTTTCTCTCTGCGCGAGCTGCGTTCCGTCATTATGATCGTGATGGTGATCGACGACCAGATCGTTCCCATGACTTCCATTCTGGTTCATCCCATGACTTCCGTAGTGGTTCATCCCACCACTTTCATTCTGGTTCATCCCATGACTTCCGTAGTGGTTCATCCCATCGCGGTTCATCCCATCACGTCCATGTTGGAACGTCTCGTCCTCGTCGTCAGAGTAGACGCTCACCGAGCCGCGTGGCTGTGAGAGCGGCAGAGGGTCGAAAGAAGGGAAGAGTTCCGTCGTGGTTGGGAAAAATGAAGCACCAGCGGTAGTGGTTGTATCCAGACCAGGTCCGGTTCTTGAAGGCATCGATATCGGTGTCGCTGCCGAAGAAAGGCCGTGGCCGCGCTGGATCCTGTCCTGTATACCCTTATGTTCGCGGTCACGACCACAGTCGCCACTCAGGTCTACAGACTCGAAGGTGTTGTTGTTTTCCTCTTGATGGGCACGAGGCCGAGGCCGAGCCAGAGCCTGGACGGGAGATCGGGGTGGAGATGGCAGATCAGCAGTGATATCCTCTGCATCGTTGTCGTTTATGGTGATTCTCGGGTTCTGAACACGTCGGACGTGCTCGTGCGCGTGTGCATGTGGCTCAGCGACCATCTGTTCCGGTTCGGGGGAATCGTGCGGCGAAACTGAATAATGGTGTTGGTAGGGAGATGGTTCCGACTCTGAATGGTTTGGATGATGAGTTACTTCCAACTCCGAATGGTCTAGACGATGTTTTGGCTCCGATGCCTCATATTGATACTGATATTCATGGCGAAGTGGGCTGGGACTGCCAGGAGCCATGTCGCGCGGATGTTGAATCGGATGAGGAAGCAACACCGAGGACTGCCGGCGGGAACTGTAGTCGCTGCTGGTGGTTTGGTACGAGTTTCGGGCCGAAGTCGGTGGTGCTAGGTGGTCGAGGCGCTGTCGGGACGGGGACGAGGACTCGACGTAGGGGTTGTCAAGGTTATAGAAGTATTCTAGGCCACTGTGGTCTTCGACCGGCTGGACGTCGCTCTATGGCAGAATCAGTCATTTGGTCTGCCACGTAGATGGATGTTGAGGAGGACAACAGGCGTATGTTTTCCAACGAAAATAAAGAGAAGGTTCTTCGCCATTTAGACTCAGACGGAGATTTCTCTTCTCTACTTTCCTTTTTGTTTTCTTTCCGCAATCACAACAAAAAAAAAGCCCAAAGAAGCAATGCTCACTTACCTGTTCTCCGGATGCTGATCCCGACGGTGAAGTATTGTCACCACCACTGCTGCTCCATTCATCCCAGGTTCGAGTCTTGCCAGTCCTTCCCGTGAGCATGGACGGCGCTTTGAGTTCTCCAATCTCGATTCTGGCCTGTCTGCCCCTTTCCCACGCATACATGTTGTTGATCCATCTGACTTCTTTCATGCGTGCATTCTGCGCCGCAGAACGAGGCCGGTTGGGGTTGAAGACATTTGCGCCGCTTTGGTCCGCCTCGTACTCGAGGCTTGCCGATCGAGTGCCATCACCATCCTTATTACTACGACAGTAGCGACAGACACTGGCGATGATGATGATGACTGCAAACGCGGCCAGGATCACGATTCCAACAAGGAGAGCGGGTGAGATGGCGAGCGTGGGTTGAGATGTAGATGCAGATGCAGATGCCTGGTCGTTTTGTTGAGCTGGGCTCGGTGCTGGGATCGGCGCCATCTCTGTGAGAGTGAGGGAGGTTCTCTGAGAGCTGGAATCAATGGCAGTTAGTACTGGATGGAAACGTAGTACAATCAACCAGCTAACATACCTAACGTGTCATTACTAGTGGCAAGGCAATATGTGCGCGCACATACAAGTAACCAGTCAGAACTGAATGTCCGTGGTGCTCTCGTGCGGGTGCCTTCACGGGCACAACGAAGCCAACCGGCAGTCTGTGCCTCGATCTTTGACAACGGTAAGTCGTCGTAGAATATGCCGTGTTCGTGAGCTCCTCGCCGGCGTTCATACCATGTCAGGTTGACAGGACGCAGCAAGGACCATGGTGTAATAAGAGCAGGAAAATAGTAAGGTCGACTAAAAGCCGCGCGTGAAGTGCCAGTAAAGATAGACCAAGGTCAGGTCGCGTGCGGCAGACAGTGAATCCTGCCATGATAAACAAAGCTCAGGCGGACTCCAGCTTCACCCGGGGGTGGCGGCAGAATGCAGCAAAGTCTTTTCCTGGCTCTCATGTAGTCAAGGGGGCGGCAGAATGCAGACAGTCCTTTCGAACGCAAACGTAAAGGCAAAGGCAAATGTAAATGCGTGCAACTTCAACTTCAACTTTGCCGATTCTGTTGGCTGGTCACGGTTTCTAATTCCTCCTCAGCTGGAGTGTCGCCAGCTCCCGCGTGCATGATCTTGATCTTGTAATCCACTCGGCACATCTCTTCTCGCCGTATCCAACAGGGAAGTCGTCGGGAGGCTATCCGAGACGAAACAGTATGTGTAGATGGCCACGTGGGCCGGGCCAGAGTCCTGTCAGTGTCAGTGTCTGGCCTGGTCGACCCTTTCGGTCGAGGACTGGCATGGCCGACTTTGCAATTCGACTGGTTCTGATCTCCATCCCGCGGTATCTGGTCTGGTCTCCGAGCCTTCACGGCCCAGCTGAACGTCAATTCGACCCTGCTGAGCATGCTCCTTCACAAGTAGACCCAGTGATGCAGCAAATGGAGGGACGCCTCTCTGAAATGTGGTCGGCTATTCTTGCCCTTTTGCAGTTTGCTCTCGTCGGCTAACGCCCCTGGACGCTCTTCAGCCTTGGCCGTTACGTACTGCATCTGCCGGCCCTAAGGCCCCTTTTTTCTCTACGCCGATGGATCGTGGACCAGTTCCAGCCCTTCCAAGTCCGTCAAGCTCATCATGTTTGCATTACTAGCTATAGCACACTCTGCAACTCGCTACGGTGCTGTGAAGCTACATACAACACGCACTCATGAGCCCCGAGGATCCCGACCTGACTCAACGGATTATCCACGCACGCAAGCAGGTACGTCCCAGGTACTCTGTACATCACTCGTCCCCCGTCAGCCCCTCTTCCATCACCACATTTACAGGGTAGTGGCTTTATTCCCTTTCAACCATGCAACCACTTTGTCCACCTCTGCAGCTCCTTCCTTCCCTCCGTCAAATACCTTGTTCATCGAGTGGCTGAGATTACGCAGTGCTTTCATCGTTGCATCGTCATCAAACCTTTCGTGGTGTACATCGAAGAGTGCTTTCATCGATGCCTGACAGGTGTTCATGTCCCTCCTGGAATCTTCCAGCTTGACCTTGACCAGAAGTAGCTGCTTGATGATCGTGGCTGCTGCGGTCGTTGTCGAAATTACAGGGGTCGGCTGTGTGGGGAGGTCTCTGACGACTTTAGCATTGGAGCGTTTGATACCAGCCGAGTCTCGGGCTTTAGTGGCTCTTGCTGCCATGGTAGCCGGCGTGGTGCCTGAGTGATGGCTGTTAACCTTCACGGTTGTTGGAGAAGCTGTAAGTTGACCGAGATCGCTGACCGAGATCTTTTGCCGCTTTGGCCCGCTGATTGAGGTGTTGCCCGTATTCATCATGATCTCATCATCGGATGACGACAGGTCTATCAAGTTGTCTTCCATCCTGCTCTTCAGGTTCCGCTTCCTCATCAAAGGCGGGATAGTATGCATTTCTGGCTTTACTGAGCTGTCGAGGATTTGTTTCTGGGCCATGGCTTTCCTTTTTCTCTTTGTGTTGGTATTATCTCCTATTCCGCTCGGCCGGTATCTGTCGGGGTAGAAGGGATGCTGTGGCATAGAGACTGTATTGACTTGACCACCACCTACTCGAAATATCATTTTCTTCACTGCCCATATGAGGTTGAACAAAGCTTCATGCTTGAACGTGTTGAAACCTGCTGTGGATGCGGCATCGGCAACTTCTAGTTCGAATCCGGCCAGTTCGATGGCTTGAGTGAGTCAGTATTACCACCAGATGCAAGGGAAATGACAATGCTCATACTTCCCTGGTACAGCGCGCTAACGCCAGTAATCCTGTGCTCATACCAGCAAGCGGTACCATGTTCACAGTACCCAAGGCTTTTCCATTTCAGGCAAGTACCAGGTTGCCAAAAATGACTGGCCATTTGTCCTGTATCCCAGTGAGCGTAGGGACAAATGTTGCGGCCGAAGGCGTCGTGGTTTGGGCAAGCCGGGCCGTAAGCGAAGTATCGACAAGTGTAATGCTTATCGATCGCATTGAAAGCCATACTGATGGACAAGAGGCAAGGTCAAAAACGATGAGGCATGGGTGGCCGAAAAAATGGCAGCCAGACGGAGATGGGTAACAGGTACAGGTTGCACCTTGTGTTGGTAGAGAAGTCAACTAACAAGGGTAATGTGAGGTCAGCAGGGCATGATGGTAAGTAGAAATGCTGAAGGGAAGAACATGAGAACGATAAATCGACCCGTGCGGACGAGCCAAGCTAGGCAGACGACGGCGAGGGAAGGTACGGCAACTGCAGGCAGCAGGTGAACAAGAAGTACCCATTTGAAAAATCATGCAGGTCTAGCTAGGTATCAACGTAATAAATCATAAGTGTCGTCTGATCATATCCAGTGGTTCCTATCACTTCTCACTGCCCACTTCCCACTTCTCTTCTGCATCTCATTCTCATCCCACCGTGCCTGACACCGACCCTCCTATGCTCTTAGTTGGACGCTCGACGCTTCAACGACTTCAACCCTGTCTTTACACTGTCTGTCTGCGTCCGCAACTTCATCAAGACATAGGCTGCTTTGGTCTCGTTGAACCCCCTTGATGATCTCTTTCTACCTCTCATATCCACCTTGGGCCCTTCCGAGTCATCTGAGCCGGCGTCGTAGTATTCGTCGATATCCATGCGCTCTGCCTGCGATTTGGGAGAAACTCCCTCGGTCGAGAACACCTCACGAGCACCAGCCGCACTTTTCCCACCATTCGCCGTCGTCGCGTTGAGCGCTGGGTATAGTAGTTTTCGCGGTGGTGGCAGGAGATCAAGAGGCGTATGTGAACGTGGAATATTTGCCGCAGCCCGCCCTCTGCGGGAGGTACCGTGAGGGGAGTCCGAACGGGTGGTACTTGCAGGCGACCATGGATTGGTGAACGAGATCTTTGGGGCCGGAGAACGAGGAGTGTTGACTGCGGACCAAGGGTCACTGAAAGCAATTTGTGGGGAAGGCGAAGAGAGTTCATATTTGTCTTCACAACCCGAATCAGTGGAGTATTCTCTCCGTGTGTCGTTGACCTTGAGTGTCTTTGGCAAAAGCTTCTTGACCTGAGATTGAAACGGCGGTGTCTGGGGCGTCTGTGGACTTGGTATGCTGGATGAAGAGGTGATGGCTTCGTGAAGCTCCAACTCGCGGTAGAGCTGAGCCTGCGCCGCACATCGCTTGGTGATTTCGGGATCGATCTGCATGGATCTGAAGTTCTCGGAGTCGGGATGGAGACACATGTCGGGAAAGTCTTTGCCAAAGACGGGAGTCAGGGCATAGCGAATGTGGAAGCAGAACGTTGCTGCAACTGCCTTGGCTGCCTCAAATGGTATCCAATATCCTGGGAGCAGATCAGTGTCTGCGTGTCTCAGAGAAACGAGGGACAAGTGCCATACCTTGAGCGACCAGAGCTCCTCCGGTGATGCTATGGCATATCTCCTTCAATCCTACATTTCGGGAGAGCATTTTCGCGGGTGTTGTCTAGGCTGGGTCAGATCACATCCTTCATCGCCATGGGGTCATTCATTCTCTTTCAGCCGCACCTTGGAGTAGTTTCCGCACTTGAACAAGGGTGTTGTTCGGACCAGTCCAATGTTATAATCCCACAGCATCGTGTATTGGACGGAGTCTCCCGGAATCTTGAACTGATACTGAAAGACTGGCCACGGTTAGCAGGCAGACAACTGGATCGTGATCCTGTTCACGTACCTTCAAAGCTCTCTCTACCGGTCTTCTCCAGGTACAGCTTCTTTTCGCTGTTGTAAGGAATGTGCCTCGGGTAGGAAGCTATGTTGCCGACAGGATAGACCTCGTACATGCGGTGTTTCGCCGCAAGCACTTCGTCTTGATCTTCGTATGGTGGATATCGACATTCGCCTCGGATGGTGCCAGGCTTGAAGACTGCGGCATCCTTGCAGATCTTCTGTTTCTTTCGGTTTGGCTTCTGGTGGAAGTCTGCTCCAGCATCAGAGTAGGCCGAGGTTTGACTGTCGTGGGTGGAAGGGTCGTCTCTGCTTTCGTCGTTGCTGTCTTGGTTCTTGTCGTCTACCATCGGATTGAGAAGAGAGCGAATGGCAGCCATGGTCAAATCAAGGTATCCCGACACGAGAGATGCCGCAAAAGTCGTATGCGTATGTTGGAGGAAGCCTCGTTAATGTAGTCTTTCTGGAGTCAAACCAACCGCTGGATTCAACTGGCAAACATCAATCTGCAAATCCAGTTGAAAACAAAGCTGGACTCCTGGTAAAATACACAGTGCTCCCAAGATTGAATGGAAGACCTGCACTAGGATCTTTATCATCAAAGGGACAAGATCAAAGGCAGTGTCTGGTCTTTGAGCTCATGCAACCACATCTGCTGCTAAAGTAGGTAGCCAGCCTGGCCCAGAGGATGGACCATGCCGCCGCTTCGATCGTCTTCTTGGACGAATCGGAGTAAGGGCTATTTTGCATTCGACCGGCATCTTGGACAAGCGGTGAAGAGTCAACATATCTGACGACGAACATGCCTGGCATGGTTGGCTTTTTCCAGGGAGCACGGACAAACATCAGAGATGCGTTGGGATCGAGCAGACATTACGCATGCTGGGAGGGCCTCAAGGTCGCCCTCGACTGTTCGGATTCCCGTAGCAAGATTCGCATTCTGTATAATCATTTGTTTCCTGTGGTGGTTGTCTGCTCCAGGAAACAAGAGTCAGTTTTCCGGTTGCTGAAGCCGGCGGCCAACATGCAGCTTGCCCTCCACCGCACCGTTGTCACAAGGGAAATCCATCCAGCCGCGGTGCAGGCCTGAACCCCTCCGCCTGAAACCAATAAGAGATGGTTGAGCATGAAATTTCCTTACCTTCGACGTGTGCCTGATCTGTCCAGACGGCGGCCAGGCCCCTGAAGCGGCCTGTTGCATCGCCATGTCGCACAGCAGTGCGACTATTGGCCAGCCTTGCCACCGCTCGTGAACGAACAAAGAAATGCCAGTATCAGGATCTGCAGGCGGAACATTACGGCATTTGCGCCTACGAAGGGTCCGTGTCTGTCGAACAGTGCCTCATGGCTAGGTCAATTATCGGAGTTTCCAGAGAGACGAGTGCGGGCTGCGACCGGTGTTCTTGGGCCAACAATACATGTGCATACAATGTGCATACGTGCATACTGCTCGAGTGTAACTTGTATTTCAATATTTCAATTCAGAAACCTCCAAGCAAGATGAGAAAGCAGCTCACAGCGTCTCTGCCCATGACCACAACGCCTCTGCTCCATTGTGATGTTGTCAATTACGCCCATCGAGAGCCAGGTCGTAGGCATGCTCAATCCAAGCCTTTGGAGCGCCTCATTCACTGTCTGAAAAAGCACCCGAAGATCCCTCGTCCTGGAAACCTGCGTCTTCATCCTCTTCATCATCATCGTCAAAAGAATACGTCTTCTTCGAGGCAACAGCTCGTCTTGCAGGCCTGGCTGCAGGCTTTCGCGCCACAGGTTCATCAGAGTCGGACGGGGAAGGAGATTTCAATATGTCATCAGCTAGAGCATCCATCTCGTCGTCAGAGTCCACCACCCTCTTCTTTGCCAGTCTTTTTGCATAAGCCTTAGCGACCGGCGACTGTTCGACCTTCTTTGACGCTGGAGCTGCCCTCTTCGTAGCTGTTTTCTTAACTTTGGGCTGAGTTTCCTTCGGTACTTTCTTCGCCGGAGCCTTCTTGCTAGGTTTAGACACGACCACATCACTTTCACTGTCGTCGCTACCAATAGCCTGTGCTCTCTTAGGAAGGGCCTTGTTGCCGCGCTTTGATGGAACAACATCATCGTCTGATTCATCGGGAATTCTGAACTCTTCTTTGCTGGTGACAATGATAGAGCGTCTCGGCGACGACTGGGGCGCCAGCATCTTGTAGTCGGTCTCATCATCTGACAAATTCATGGTGGCTTTGGGAGCTGATTTGAGCGGAACCTTGTGCCCGTGACTACTGCTTGGGCGGGACGCGGAAGCTGCAAACAATGTTCTCGACTCGTTAGCGCTATCATTTGTTGCTTTGATAGGCAGTCCCTTGACCATGTCTCCCAGGTCAGCAAGTAAGCCATCTCCATTGTCACTGTCCGAGTCACTGAGCAAAGCATAATTTGCTGGCTTCTTGCCGACAGCACGAGCCTGTCGGTTGGAAGGTTTGGGAAGGGCCTCATCCGACTGGGTCTCATCCTTGACAGGCACAAGGCGACCATCTGTTCGAGGCTGAGCCGTTTCGGGAGGCTCGAGAGGGTCACTGGAACCATCAGTATACAACTTTCGCTTTTCTATTGCATTCTTCAAGGCATTAGTCTTTGGGGCAACGTACGCCGTGATGGAAATTTGCTTTTGTGTCGGCTTAGGTGCGGCCGCGCTCTTCTTGGCCTTTGGAGCCGATACTTCGAAATCGGAATCATCCATCGCATCACCCAGACCTTTTCGCTTCTTCACAGTCGATTTGGAGGTCGCTGCTGTTGCGAACTTCTTTGACACGCGTCTCCCTTTGCGAATGTTCCGCTGTCGATTATGCTCATCTTCAAGCTGGAATCTCCATTCAGCAATGAATTCGTCCAGATCATGCTTCCACAGATCCTCCTTCGACTTCTTCATCAGTGCATCGATCTCTTCTTCCCTCTCGCCAATCTGTTTGAGAAGCTTCTCAACACGTTCCTGGGTGAGAGACCAAAGGGGCATGCTAAGGAGGTAGTCGTATGCACTGGCATCCACCGGCCCATCATCTTCTTCAGGCTCTTCCTCATCTACCGGCAAAACCTCGCGTTGTTTAGAAGGATCTTCGGTCTTTGGGTAGGCATCGAATCCGAGATTTTTCAGTTCTGCAATGAGAACAGCCTTCTTCTTTTTGGATATGATCAGCTTGCCGTCGATGATCATTTGTATGAACCGAGCTTGATTGGTTAGACGTTTGAGAGATTTGTGCATGTCTTGCAAGAGCCACTCCTTCCGCTTGGCGTACATCTGAAGACGATAGCTGTAGAATTCGTCCATGATGGCTTCGACATTTGCGTATTTGGTGATACGACCCTCCGTGTCAAAGGCCACGAGGTTCGAGGTCGCAACGGACTTCGTCAGCTTGAATTTCTCCACAAGCCCTTCTTCAACTGCTGCCTCTGCGTGCTTCTCGTCCATCTGGATGATGAAGTGAACAGTGTTATGGGTGTTGTAGTCCTTGTAGTCCTTGATGAATGATGGCACCTTTTCGGCCTTGATGATCTCTTCAAGTTTGTCCTTGAAATCCTGTGTCCATACTCGGATTGGCAATTCGGTGATCTCCACTTCGGTATTTCCTGTCCGGTGAATGATACCACTGAACTGGAATCGGTCCGGCGCTGTTGCTTTAACCTCCCCCTTGAAACCACGGAACCAGGGTTGCATGGGTGTCCATTCCTCACCACGCATTCTGCGCCTGAGATTCTCCACAATATCCTCAGGATTGTAATTCGGGATGGAGGAGCTCCAGCCAGTTCCGATACCATCGGCACCATTTAAGAGGATCAGAGGAACCACCGGCACATACACTTCAGGCTCTATGGTCTTGTCATCATCGGTGTTGTACGTTAGCAGAGGCTCATCGGCTTGGTGGAAGAGCTTCCTGGCAAATGGTGATAGGCGGGTGAAGATGTAACGAGCACTGGCGCAGTCGTTACCACCCTGATTTCGTGTGCCGAACTGGCCAGAGGGCTCAAGCAGATTGACGTTGTTTGATCCGACAAAGGTCTGCGCCAGGCCAACGATCGTTTGCTGGAGAGATGCCTCACCATGATGGTAGGCAGTCATTCCTCCAACCAAGCCAGACAATTCAGCAACCTTCATATCCTTTTTCACATTTCGTTTGAAGCACGCGTACATGACTTTTCGTTGTCCAGGTTTCAACCCATCGACCACAGAAGGAATGGATCGAATATTGTCCGCCATGCTGAAGAGAATCAGCTCCCTGTTGATGAAATCGGAATAAGAAATATTCTTCATCGTGTGATCCAGATAGGTTCCGGCTTTGAATTGACGCAACCACTCTTTTCGCTCATCAGTCTTCTTCTTCGAGAATGCCAATTCTATCAATGGGACTTCTTCGTCCTTCATGACGTCGAACTCTTTGTGATGTTTGTCGATGTCATTGAAGTATTGCTGCGCATCTTCGGTCGTGCTCGTGCCCAGCCCCTTGTAGTACTTGTACTCCCATCCACGTTCGTGCTTGTGTGTCTCTTTCCATGCCTCGTACTCTGGCATAGTGTAAAAAGCTCGAACTTGGGAGGGGTTCTTGGGGTCTCCTTTGTACACTTTGACGATCGGCGTGATGAATTCGACCAAAAACTTCGGGATCTTCAGCAAACTGGGAAATTGGACTTGCAGGAAGTTGATCAGCAAGCCCTTGATATGACTACCATCGTGATCCTGATCCGTCATGATCATCAAATGCCCATATCGAAGGCCGTGCGTGTCCGTATAGACCTTTTTGTGCTGTAGACCTAGAAAGTTCTTGATATTCTGGATTTCGGCGTTCTTGGAAATTTGGTCGACCGACGCATCTCGGACGTTTAAAAGTTTGCCACGAAGAGGGAACACGCCAAACAAATCAGGGCCAACAACCGATCGTCCTGCCAATGCAAGACCTTTGGCCGAGTCACCCTCTGTCAAGATCAAAGTGCACTTGTGGCCTTCCCTAGTGCCTGCTTTGTTGGCATCTGTGAGCTTGGGGTTGTTCATACGACTTCGCCGGCTGCCATCTGATTTCTTCATTATCTGATCGGCTTTTTGTTGGGCGAAGTGAAGGATGTTGTTGATGACTTCTGTCTTTGCAATTTTTTTCATGAACTCCTCAGACACCTGGCACTTGCTGCCAAACTGGCTCGGTTTTGTGGTAAGCTGCTCCTTGGTCTGCCCTGTGAAAGCGGGATTGACGATTAAAGCATTGACGAAGACGAAGATATGGTTTCGAATCTGGTTGGGCTTCAACGCTGCACCGCCCTTATTCCTCTTCTTGACAACGTCCATGAGGCGGTTGACAATCTGATCTGCCACGTAGTTGACATGCGTGCCACCTGAGGTTGTGGCAATCGAGTTGGCAAATGATACTTGCTGGAACGAGCCATCAGATACGGCGAAGCCAATCTCCCAACGCGGGTCGGGAGACTCTGTAAAGATCTCCGAAGCGTCATTTGCTGCCTCTTCACCTCGCTCCTTCTTGATAGCTTTGGTATACATTTCACAGTATTTCTTGAAATTTCGGACCGGCACACGAGAGCCGTTCAATTTCACTGCAACACCTTTACAAGTGCCGGCAAGATCATAGACCCGGCGCTTGAACAGTGCTTCAAGATCATCGTCCATTGCAGTCATCCCGAACTTGGCGAAGTCAGGCGAGAAGGTGACTTTAGTAAAATCCTCGCCTTTGCTGTCTGTAATCTTTGCCTTTCCCATCTTAGACATGTTGTTCGTCCATGTCTGTTTGTATTTCTTCTTGGTTCTCGAATCCGCGGTTTCAACAGTGAATTCTGTGCTGAAAATATTGCAGAGCTTCGCGCCATAACCATTCCTGCCACCTGTGATCTTTTGTTCGTTGTCATCGTAGTTAGAGCCGGTAAGCAGGTGGCCAAAGATCATCTCCGGGATGTAAATCTTTTCCTTAGAATGAATCTCGATGGGGATGCCTCGGCCATTGTTCCAGACACTGATTTCCCCCTTCTCTCGATCGATGGTGACTCGCATTTCGTCCATGTTCTTGTCGTTTTGTTTGTTGTCGGCAGCATTGACCAGGATTTCATCAAAGATCTTGAAGATGCCCGGGACATATGACACTTCTCGGAACTCCATACTATCTTGTTCCGTATTGTAGACCCACATCTGTTTCTCTGTGCGTTCAACTGATCCAATGTAAGTGTCAGGACGCTTGATGATATGTTCTAGCTGTGTGAGCTTCTGGTACTGCTCCGAGACGCGCTTCTTCTTCTGGGGCTGCGGCGAGTCGGTCGCACCGTCTATGCCGATGGCTTCATTGACAACGTCAGCGAGGGGCTTCTTCTGACCCCCTTTGAGCGGGTTGGGCTTGGCCTTCTTTGCTTGCGGGGGGGTATCTTCCAGGAGCGACTCGTCGTTAAACACGGGGGCCGATTCCTCGTCTGAGCCCTCATCTTCAGAGTCCTTCTTGGCGCGTTTTTTTGGTACAGTTGTCTTGGGCTTCGGTCCAGGCTTTGCCTTTGGCGCATTCGTCTTCTTGGCCGCAGCTTTCGGAGCAGCAGCTTTCTTGACTGGTTTGGTCTTTGCCTTTTGCGCAACAATGTCAGTCAGGTCTCAGTCCAGTTCTGGCAAAGCACTTACGGTGCTGGGAGCAAAGTCCGAGCTGCCGTCGTCCATGTCGAACACGGACTCATCCATCTTTGCCAAAATCAAAGTGCAATCTGGGAGTAGTGTATCAGTACCCGGCAAGAGGGCCAGAGATCGATTGCACCGCCTGCATCTAGCACACAATCTGGTGATCGAGTGAACTGAGTGTGACAAACACCAGGGGGATGAGTACAACGTAGAGGGTATGTATCTGGGTAGGCCTGGAAGGTTGTTTACCAAGCAACTGTCAACATTTCAGGTACTAATTAGAGTACGGAGTACATAAACATGGCTGCAGGTTGAGAGGAGGCGTGCAGAGACACGCGCAATCTTGGCGCGACACGCGCTAACCCCTTTCGGGAAGTTTGGCAATAGTACCAGGTTCCAGGCATTGTAGATATGGTACCTCACATATGTACTCCGTGTATGTACCTTGGGAAAGTTAGCACCTAGGTCAACGGGTGGCGATCATGCTAGACTAATTCGTTAATCGAGCTCATGGTTGTTTGCTTAAGGCGAGACCTCAGTGAAATCTAGTCGAGTTTAGCGTCCAACCAGGGTTCTCGAAATGGTCAATAATAGAGACACGGCCTAGGACACATCTGGCACCCAGCCCCTGAGACCCTGACACGCATCACTCAGTGCTGTATCCCACGAAGTCCTCCCGTCTCAGAGGTCTTCTTGATGATTCGCCTCTGATTTCGTGATAACATGACAGTCATTCATAAATACCCGACACCTACCCGGTACCTCCTCATAGTTGCAACATGAGACGCGGTGGTGACTTGGATGCGTGCTGCTTTCCCCGCATATTCCCTTGTCGACGCGCCTTGTCTGGAACTTCGGTCAGAGGTTTACCCCATCTCCAAAATATCTATCTAGGTCTAGGCGACAGACTGCAGTGGTTGCAACCCAGTGCTAGGCAGTAAGATACAGTACTTAGCAGGAGCGCAATTGATTCTCTCCTTATCCAGGCAAGCTCTTATGACGATGAACCGAGATTGCTGGAGTCAATCGTCGATCAGCATTGGACAGAGCCATTTGATGGGGGGTGGCCAACCTAGGAGTAACAGAGAGTAGTTTCACCAACCCCTGGCCCACTTGCATTGATCCATCCTGCGCACTGTGCTTCATGTCTTCGACTCTCTTCTGCCGTCTTGTCTGGTCATCCTTGACGACATCCTTTCCTTTGTCTCCTGTCGGTGTAGGAACACTTGCTCTCCCCTCGCACGGTCGCTGGCGAACCCTGCGAGCAGTCTTTCCTTTGATCGTTGCGGCACACCCAACCTCCACGAGGGCTCACTCTTTTGCCCTCCGCCCTGCCCCTCTGACCGCCTCGCTGGTCCCTCCGTTCTCTCATAAATACCGCGGCTGTCGTCAGATTCAACATTACACCAACTATGGCCGAAGTGACCGCGGAGCACTCTCCCGACATGTCCATGGAACACGCTCCAGAATTAGAGGATGAGATATCACCGCAGAATGTGCCTCTTCCAAGAAGCTCGATGATCACTGTACGACTCTCTGATGTATCTGTCCTGTCGAGCCTCGATGAAGACCCCGACCTGGCACGCTCGCCAGAAGCTGCAGCACCCGAAAGCTCTCCTTCGTCAACCCGATCTAGCCGTTCCTCATCACAGACTTCCGGAAGCACCCCTTCGCTGAACTCAGTAAATTGGGAAGGACTGGAAAAGACGGAAGAACAAGAGCCTAAGGATGAAGCGAGTGACGAGGTGAGTTGGTACTAGCCAGACATTCAGCGAAACATGCATGCTGATCCGAGCCAGTCCACGGCTCTACTGCTGGCCCGTCTCGAGAAGGAAAACGCCGCCTTGGCCACAGATCCGAAAGCTGGAATAGCATCAAGTACCCGCCCGCGGAAGAACACGCGGCCGCCTTCGATACAACAACTGAAGAGATTGGTTGACGGGCCGCAACGTCAGTCGTTGAGATACTCACTGCTACCTGCTCCGCCAATGACCGAGTTGGAATTCTGGGCGGCATTGGTTCAGGACTACACCCAGACCGCCCAACGACTCCCAACGCTCACATCCAACAAGATTCGTGGTGGAGTGCCACCGCCTCTTCGAGGAGTTGTATGGCCAAGCATCGCCCGGGCACAGGATCCTTTTCTGCATTCCGAGTACCAAAAACTGTCCAACGAACCAAGCCCATATGATGCTCTAATAGGGAAAGACGTGGGCAGGAGTTTCCCGAATGTCGACATGTTTCGGGAGAAGGATGGTGATGGTCAACGAATGCTGGGAAAGGTCTTGAAAGCCTTCAGTCTCTATGATGACAAGATTGGATATTGTCAGGGTCTTGGGTTCGTTGTCGGACCACTCCTGATGCACATGACCGAGCCTGAAGCATTCTGCATCCTCGTGAGGTACGACAACATCCGTTCTCTGCCATGACAATGTTAACCGAGCTGCAGACTCATGGAGCACTATGACCTTCGATCGTGCTATCTACCAGATCTATCGGGTCTCCATCTTCGGATCTATCAATTCCAACAGTTGCTGACCCGCCATTTACCCGAGCTGGCTGCCCACCTCGAGGACCTCAAGGTCGAACCACTTTACGTGTCTCAATGGTTCTTATCCTTCTTTGCTGTTACATGTCCACTTCCCATGTTGCTGCGGATCTACGATGTCATCTTGTCCGAAGGAGCAACAGAAACCCTGATGCGAGTAGCTATCTCACTGATGCAACGGAACGAGAAGAAGCTTCTGGCATTCACCGAATTTGAAGATGCCATGCAGTTTCTACTCTCCCGAAGTCTATGGGACACCTATGCCCAGCAGGCCGATGAACTGGTTGCAGATTTTGTATCAGTCACCGGCTTGGTGAGCCAGGAACTTCTCCAGTCACTAGAGGCCAGTTTCCAGCAGTCGCAAACTTTATCCGCCGCCCCTTCTTTGATGACTGCAGCCTCAAACTTCTTGGGTCGGTTTTGGGCCAGTTCGACACACGGCCCGTCTAGGTCCACAAACTTGAGTCTTCTTATCCCAGGTAACAACACATCAATCAGAAAATCATCCTCAGGCCACAGCTTGACTTCGACGCTGAACTCGGTCGAGACAACCAACTCAGATACCAGCACCCTTGCTACGGACTTGTCTGATGAAGGATCTTTGAAGGTAGTTTCTTCGACCGCCGTTGTAGTAGATACCAACAATATTCCTACATCAAACTCCAGTGACCGAAATTTGCACCACCAAATCGAGGACCTGCTTACGGAATTGTCCAAACTTCAGCATCAACAAGTTGAGCTCGCTCGAGAACTACAGAAAGAGCGCGAAGAACGAGAAGAGGATCGTCAAATTGCACGAACTTTGCTGGATCGGCTCCAACAGCAAACAGCAGAGATCAGAGAGATTGCTGGAGGAGAAGCTACCGATGAAGATGTCGCTTTGGATACTCTCATGGAGGCGGCTAATCACCAGTTGCGCCAGGCAGATTCAAAGCGGTTGTCTATAATGCAATCAAAACATCAGCTCCGTGACTCGGTGTCTGAATGGAAAGAAAGGCACGAGTCCGAAGCGATGAAGTGCCAGGAACTCATGAAGCAGCTCGACGAGCGCGAAGCCGAACATAACTCGCTCAAAGAAGACTTGCGTGAAGCACGGTCAAGAATCCAAGATGCGCATAGGGAGAAACAACGCCTGGAGCGGACTGTGGCGGAGCTGCGGTCTCGGAATAGCGCCGTCCCGGAGTCACCTTCAGATACTTATACCCCTGTCACTGAGACCCCCGACCAGAAGTGGCCTCCTGCAAAGCCTGGGCTCCGAGAGCTGAGGCTGGGCAAGCCTGATTCCTCTAGGTTGTCCAGCATCACGCCGGGACCATTCTCCAAACGGTCGAGCAGCCTTAACACCCAGGCCATCCTTGCAACCGACAACCACGAGCCCGTCTCTAACGAGGCGCTCCTGCTTGAGCTAGTGAATGCAAAAACTGCCGAGGCAGTAGCTCGACAGGAACTTGAAGAGACCAAGGGAAAGCTGGAGGCGCTGCGAAAGATCTTGGGTGGGTCGAGTACATCGCCGGTAGCACGCGCAAGCTCATCAGAGTCGCCGACAGCCTCGATCTCTTCAGAGACCAAGGACACGCCGAAAGCATCATCTCATACCACATCAGCAAGTACTGGTGGATTTTTCAGCGGCTGGGGCAAGCGGGGTACTTGACAGCCAGCCATCACAGGCATTATGTTAGATAATCCGTTGTAATTGACGATCTAGAAAGTCAGGTCCCAGTTGATTGTTGTAAGAGAGACTTCTCTTTATCCAGCGTATGAAGCAATTCAGTTGAACTGGAATAATTTGCCATCTCAATATCCTGATCCTCAATATTTGTAATAGATGATGCCCCGTTTGTCCTGTGATCTTCAACAGCGGGGCTCGAGACTCTGCTTAGCGTGACCATCAAACAACAACTGGGATCCAGTGCGAAGCTGAGTTGTGCGAAGCATATCGAATCCTCATTGTAAGCTTTGTTGGGCTTTAACAGACTTGCGTTGGAACGGGGCTCATAAGGCTCTACTCTCCTTGCCCAAACATTCCCCATCAATGACTCTCGCCGGTCCCTTTCGCCATGATTGCGCCTTCCAACCCCAGAAAACGCAACCGCCTGGTGTACCGGTTGATGTCCCAACTCACTCAAGCACCATTGCCGGCCCCAGATATCCGGCTTTCTGGACGCCGCTGACCTCAGACTGACCTGGCCTACTGTACAAACAGTGGTGCGCCTGGTGGCATGATCCAGAGGTACCGTAGCTGATCCAAGTACTCCGTACCACTCAGTCGATCGGGCCCATGCCGAGCATGTTCGCTGCTTGGTCAAGTACTGTGCAAATCGAGCCCTGCACCCATTAGAACGCCATTTCGCGCGCAGGACGACGGCGAACTTAGCTTCGAGCCATGGCATGGCATTTCAAAACTGCCCCTCCACTTACCCTCCCCGAGAACCAAGGCGTTGTCAACAAGAACGAGGCAGGTCTTTGGTCTTTCTCTCCTTCTCGGGCTGGAACCCATCGTATTGTACAGCAAGAGCACAACATTCGCTTGAAGGGACTGACTGTCTGCGAACACTGTGTGCGCGTTCCCTCACATAAAAAAAGCCATCATGGCGCGATCGATATTGATATCCTTTGAAACCAGCAATAGAGATACTGCGGTGGGTGCGTTGAGCATGATATAACATGACATTACATATCAGGCCAGGCCAGGAAAGAGCTCTTGGGAGTATGCTATGGCATGGCATCGCCTCGAGACGAGTAGGAGTTGGTGAGAATCGGATCTCTGGGTCTCAGCCTCGTCTAGCGAAGTCACCATCAGCTTCACAAACTTTGAATCTATGCCCGATCATGGCGGAAGAGATGATTGGATTCAATATTCACCTGCTGTCTGGCCTACTGTGCTCACGCGTCAGCTCATGGGCCACCTAGAAGACGAGATCAGGCGAGGCGAGTAGCTGTCCATCCGGGATATGTTTCTAGTGTCATTGAGTCTGGTTTTGCCGCACCCTAACGAGAAACCAGCGAGAGAGCAAAAGCGCGCTTCACTTCGCACGTGTCTAGGGTGCAGGCAGTCCAACATTTCTCTCGCTTGCTTGGATGCTTGCTTACTTGCTTACTTGCTTGGGCTTGCCTTGTTGTTTGGCTATTCAAGTTTGAACTCGCTCCGCGCTTCTCGTCTCCTTCCACTACCGGTCTATCTGCTTCTACTACTACTATGCGTCGTTCATGAAGAGCATCGAGCGATTCCTTTAAGTTCTCAGTCGTTTCTTTTGGAGACAATATGGCCATGTCTATGGCTGACCAGCACCCTATTCCTCGGCCCTTGGACAACAGTCGCGACCACTATACGACTTGGACTGGTGTTGACGACAAGGTCGATCTCGCTGACTCACAGATCTCTGGTAGTGGTTGGTATGGCACCGTCGAGACGACGGCTTTCATTGCCGCCAACCTCACACTCCCGCAATGCACCAGAATCTTTTCGTCCTATGCCGACGACGACGAAGCTCCGGCCTTTGCACACATGAGCCTGAGCCCGTGGACGCAGTCGTATCTAAGCTTGCTGTATGGAGAGGGCGGCCTTGCTTTGCACCATTCCGAATATAACGAGAGCATGAAGCGACAACGTGATGCCTGGCTTCTACGCAGGGAGGGGGAGAGAGAATACCACAGAATGCAGTTTGGCCGACATCAAAGACAGGCTAATGTCCATGAGGAAGACATGGTACAACGTCGCAATGATGCTTTTTGGGCTCAGCCCGGTATCGCTCAACAGGTACTGCATCCAGCATTGCGTGCACCTCCAGCACTACCCATCCAATCGGCCCGACCGTTACCATTGCAAGGTTCTCATCCCCTACAGCAAGGCTCTCATCCCCTACGGCAAGAATATCGACCACCGCAAGTACCCGTGCTCAGAGCCAGCCAGACCCACACAGGTCATCCAAATGCTGCTCACTCTCAGGCACAGTCCCTTGGAGCAAGTTTGTCGCACGCCGGCCACGAAACGCAGACATACCAACCCGCCTCCAGTGCCAGTGCCAATGCCAGTGCCAGTGCGACAGTAGATGTGCGTGCACCCAGACCAGGACCAGTGCCTGGAATCTTGCGTCCACTCGCCGTTGCGACAATGTATCAGCACCGAACAACACAAGCACGAACAGAAACAAGCCTTCCTCCCGGCCGTACATCAGATCAAAATAATGGCTTCGGGACTATCCACCCGGCGCGGCTGCCATCCACCTCAGCATATAGCAGCGGCCCGACCTCTCAGTCGTCTCGCTACGTCTCTCTCACCGACCTTTTCAAGAGACGTCGGCTGACCGAAAGCTCGTCCGTGGAAACAGCTATTGCCGACTGGTTGTCCCCATTTCCCATGACCATGCCACTGCCGAGCGCAGCAGGGACGGCTCCGAGTCTCAACCCTACTCGTGATGTTGACGTTCACCAGTCCGACGCTCTCTTTTCTTCGCGACATACAACAACTAGACCAAGAGACAGCACGGCGGCAGGTGAAGTGAGTTGGCGTCGGATCCGGCCTGGTCAGAGATCTGAGTTGGAATCGGGAGAGAGCACATCGACGACCAGTGGCCAGTACGACGACGACGAAACCGAAGACGAATACCAAGACGAAGAAGCCACACACATGTGGACAAACGCGACGGACTATTATTCAAAGAATCTCACTGGCAGAGAACCGACTACTAGTACGAGAAACCACATAGGCAGAGACCAGCTGACCCCAACTCTTGTCGGCGACGAGACAGAAACTGACCCAGATATGGACTCGGATATGGACATGGATATGGACTCGGACAAGGATGTGACACCAGGCCCTGACATTCCACGACCACAAAAGCGGCCGCGACCATCGTCAGAGTCAGACGCAGACACAGACGCACAAGCAGCAGCGGTAGGACAATCAGTGTCGCAAACTCTGTCCGACATGATTGGCAGCGAGACATCTAGTAGCGAGACTTCAGACGGCGCCGACCCTGACTTCAAGTTGCCTAGCCGCCGGCCTCGACGACGACCCGGTGGCATGTTGAGCCGTCCAAAACAGCCACGAGGACGTCGTCACAGCCAGCGAATCGGAAAATAGATGTGCACAGGCAAAAGAAAAGAGACTGGAAAGCCAGATAATGTTGCCGTGGCGGAATTCCGAGTGTGAAAAGGCCATCTATTTGGCCGTTTTTCAACACTGCAAAGGCTGTCTGTGTCTGTGTCAGCTCCTGCTGGTTTCAATCTGGAGGTTATGAGGTGTGAGGTGTCGTTCGTCTGTATAGTACGCTGTGGCTGGTTGTGGCAAGGCTGTCCGAGGTATCCTGGTGCTGGATCCAGACTTCCAAGGTTCCATGTCAATTGGGGCTTCGCTGCTGGATCAGCGTATCTGTGGGAACGCAAGACTGGCCGGAGCACTGTTGCTTGGGCGTCGAATCTTGAAGAGACGATCAAGTTTGGCGCTGTTGGCGTGAGGCGCTTCTTTGTCGAGTAGGATACCGGATGTTTTGAACAGGCTAGACGATTGCTTTAGAAAGGGAGAGGCGGCCACAGCAAAGCTGAAAGAAGGCGTGGCAGGAATAGAAAAAAGCAAACAGGGAGAAATAGCGAGCTAGATTGTAGGAATCAGTCATGATAAAACGAACTCGCTGCTTTCAATCACTCCCGGCCTTGTTGTTCTTCGCCGTTCGAGAAATTACCCTCATCTATGTCTGTCCGGTTCAGTCCGCTGCTTGCTGGCTGTTGTACGGATACATGCCAGTCTTAGAACATACAACACCTCGCCCTGCCAAAGGCGAGTGCATCCGAGGAGGGGGAGCAGAATGCGAGTGGCAAATCTTGGTTTCCTCTTCAATCCCCATCTTGCTCAGTTGGATGGTTGCGTACTCGGGTTTTCCAACAGACTTGGTTCAGCTTGATAATCTGGATATCCTGTCCAGCATCCGGGAGAGGTAGATGACCTATTCCATTCGTACACCCGTAACCATTCATTCCTTTTTCTCTTCTCCCTGTCAACCTGGTTCGTACACCCGTGTCATTCATTCCTCCCTCTCCCCTCCCTGCCAATCTGGTTCGCTCTTCCTTCCTCTCTTCTCCTTGTCAATCTTGTTCGCTCTTCGGATGAGTGGAGCCGATCTGAGATATGAACCATGGGTAGCCTCCCGAAGCAATCTCGAGCTGAACGCAGCTATTTGCCAACTGGCTATGGACAACTTCTAGAGCTGAGCGCAGCTATTTGCCAACTCGCTATGGACAACTTCTCGAGCTGAACGCAGCTACTTGCCAACTGGCCATGGACAACTTGTTCAGCGGGAGAAGCCGGGGGTCCCATAGTTCAAAGAGCACTCTAGCCGGTCTTGATGTTTGGCCGGGGTGCGATCCACGGAAAGGCAGCTGGAGACTTCAGCCCAGCCGTGGTCTCATTCTAGCTGTAGACCTCAGCCCACCGTGCTCTCATGCTGGCTGTGTCTTTATGTTGGCGGCCAGTAGCGCCAGGAACGGATCTCGCCACTATGAGATGGACCACTTGAACAAGTAGGTGGATTTCTTAGATTTGGATTTGAATTTCCAATTCACGGTCTCAACCCTCGTCCTCGTCATCACTGCTCGGGAAGTCAAGATCGAGCTTCCTCTTTGGCGCTTGAGCGGAGGCGGGAGCAGCCGCGCCCGTGTGCAATGACTGGGATGCAGATGCCTGTGGCGCGGCCGGCTTGACCTCGTCGCCAATCGACATTCTCGACATGCCCGGACTTGGCCATGTTCCTCCTATTTCCTCTTCCTCTGTCCGCTCGACCTCGGCTTCTGCAATGTCCTCGCTCGCCCGGACCAATCTTTCCACTTCACGTTCGACAGCAGCTTGAACCTCTTCATCTCCGCTAGACGTGTGCTGCTGCCGCTCCTGGAAGAGCTGGAGTTGCCCTAGAGCGCCGACGCGCAGAATGTTGGCGTCCGGAAATGCCATGCCCAGCTGAGCGCGAGTGAGGGCGATTGTGTTGTGGATGCGTTCGAGCTCGGCTTCCGTCTCCGCCGTAGCATTTCCATTTCCATTTTCATTCCCGGTCGCCGGGCCTGCCGAGTCAGGGACACCGTTGGTCGTCGCCGACGTCTTGCGTTTTGCGGCCACTTTCCTCTTTACGGCCTCCGCTTCTGCCTCCCTTGCGGCTACGGCATTATGTTTTCCAATACGGGCCGCAAAGGCCAATAAGGTGTGGTAATCAACCTCTGCTACTTTCGCATCTTGATCATCATCATAGTCTTCCTCTTCCTCCTCGTCCGAGTCCAGCGTGTTCAGTATTGACGGATGAACCTGACCGATCTCTTGCCTCAAGGCGACACAGCGCTTGATGGTGTCTCTGAGCTGCTCTTGTAGGCCTGCGACTTCGGAGCGAAGGTTTAGAATGCGAGCATAGTTCTGTTGGTGTCTTTGGAGGAGGTTGAGAGAGGCGGTTAGGTTGTCGTCGTCCAAGATGAGATCTTTAGCTATCTGCGGTGCATTGGTGAAGGCGTTGGTTTGGGTGAGAGATGTGACGAGCGAGTTGAGGTGGGTTTCCAGGGAGTTGAGGGGATCGAGCACGACAGAGTCCATGGCCAGTAAGCCCGATAGAGTCCTCTGCATAGCAGTAGTGAGACGCTGTCAGCTCATGCTGCTTGTAGTTCGCAGCGAGTTCGTGATTAGCAGAGAAGGCTGATCGCATGCAGTGGAGGAAGAATCAAGGCCCGACGCGGTGGAAATATCCCGCTGCTTTAAACAGGCCACAGCCTCGTTGCAGCCTCGGTGCAGCCTCGCTCACCTCAGGAATATCGCTCGCCCTCCTTCTCGATTTTCCACTTTCATAATTGTGTTCAATATCGTGATCATTCACCGATACATCGGTGAAGGCTTAGTATAGAATGTCTCTGGGACCACGGGCTGGATCGGGGCGGCTCAGGCGTTTATACTACATCTACTAACAAATATTTGAGGAACAGTCATCAGTCACGTTGTGCTCAGACCTCAAGACAGAAATGAAATGGCAGGTGTTTTGCGGTGCTATGTTTTCCGAGAAGTTTTTGCATCAACCCTAGAATACCCACGTCTTGTGGTAAGCCTCTTGGGCACCCAGAAGATCGTCAATGACACGAGACAGCAGCTCAACCACGACATGTTTGTTCCGCTCCTGCAAGCGTTTTGTAGCTGCCCGAAGATTGTAGAAAGTGCATATTGGCATTATCATGGCCTTGTCTTCACCTTGCCATTTCACAACATCAAGAACCCATCTGCACACCATGTCGAGCCCACTCGACGACCTGCCCATATTTTGATGGTCGCTCTCACTTTTGGGATATTCGAGGGTGTCGAGAATGGATTGGTGGAGAAGGAAAAGTAGCCTTGCGATTTTGCTGTTAGCCACAACCGAGGCTCACCGTCCATGAAGCTTACCTGACACAGAGCGCAGTGGAAACGCAGACTAGCGTTTGCCACCAATCTAGCTCATTCAGAAGCACCTCGAGGAAGCTGCGGACCTTGCTATCAAGCTCCGTCAATTCTGCAAGTTTGATCTCAGGATTTCTGGCGGTAGAGCGCGTGATGAACAGTAGTCGCTCCAGTAGAAAGACCGACTGTGCTTGCCGTCCGAATAGAGCGGCGTCAGCGGCATCTAGGCCTGGAAGTGTGCCTTGGTTCAGCGCTTGCAAGTCCGACCCCGGTTGAGATTCAAGCCCCGCTGTTGGGTTGAAATCTGACGGCAATCGACAATCAGGACCTGGATACTCTGTCTGCGGCTGGAGATCTCTTTGGTCCATCTCACACAATATAAGTCTGAGTTGCAACTTCAGCAACAGTTCTCGACTTGCACCTTGGCATTGGGTTTGTATTCATTCGTACCTCTCGAGCATCGCAATCGACCATGCGAGGTTCTCCCTCTCCTTGGCCTCTAATCGGGAGTCACTCACTGAGGGTATTTTTATTCCCATGACCCGTGCTAAGCCCGCACAAGTCATCATGGAGATGTATGCGGTCTCTGGGCGGAGAGATGCGTATTCACGTAGTGCGATGAGGAGTGCCGCCTGCACGAGTCGCAAAGATGTGCAGAGAGAAGCCTGAGCTTGGGATAAGGCCGACTTAGTGGTCGTGTAGAGTATCTCTTGACTTGCACGAGGTGGTCGCAAAGAGGGATCAAGGGTGGGAAGTATATTCAGCAGCATGGTGAGAAGTAAGACTGTGAAATCCGCGGGTGGAAGACGTCCTTCTTCTCGATACCGTGACGCATCTCGACGCAAAGAGTCGGGCGATAATGCAGGGAGCCATTTATGGAAGGCTCGAAAGTAGTGGTCGATGATGCTGTCGTATGTAAGCTTGGTAAGTTGAGTATAGTGCTGGGCCAACTGATTGAGCGATTCATCCACCGACTGCGGCGAAACGCAGAGAGTAGAGGGGCGAGTCGGAGTTAGAGTGGGAGACGGGGATCGAAGGGGCACAAAGTATCTGCCTGGATTAGATGCTCGGTGGACTCGACTCTTGGGCTGCGATAGATCGTATCTGCAGAGTCGCTGGTGACTGGCGCAGAAACCGCAGGTGGGCAAGATTTTGTCGCATGCCTTTTTCCTCAACATGCAGGCATGACAGACATTCCGAGCACGATTCGTAACGGTGACGGTGTCGGCCATTGATCACCGTATGGTCGGGTAGATCACGATCGCTGTGGGCAGACTATACTATCAGGTCAAGGTGGAATGACGACGGCGAGGACGAGTACATACTGCGTACATATTCAGAGCGGCCGCCCCTAACCTTTTGCAGGGAAGTACGGTCTCCATGATTAATACTACCACATCATCACCATCCCATCATCATCCACCTACCATCCACCTCCCATCCTTGTCGCAGTGTCGGCCGCCGCTAACTCGATCGAGATCTCGATCGGGCCCAAATCGTGCAATGGACAAAGACAGGCCCAGCATCTCATCCAAGTTCACAGCATCAAAAGAATACGATGACAAATGGGCGGTTTATGCAAAACAATGCCTGCAGAGTCTACAGCTATATCATGGCTGGTGTCGGCTGTCCGCCGTCACCGTCCATCGACCTGTACATCCACCTTCCCTCCAGCTTGACCTTGCAAGAAACTTCAAACAATCGTAGAATCCTTACCTCCACATTGTACCTCAGTTTCCAATACCAACCGCAAACATGACCTCCGCGACGGCAGAGACGACGGCTCAGCTGCAGTACACGCAATACGGCAGCCCCCTCAAGATGGTTCATGTGCCCAAGCCTGCGTTGGCCCCCGAGGAGGTGCTGATCCGGCAGCGCGTCATTGCACTCAACCTGATTGACGTGAAGCAGCGAGATCTGGGTGGCATCCTAATCCCGCACTGGCCATGGGTGTTGGGCATCGAGGGCGCCGGCATTATCGAAGCCGTGGGCTTGGATGTGCGCGGCCTACAGCCGGGCGACGAGGTCATGGCCTGGGAGGGCGGCGGCGCGATCGCAGCCGGTGTCGAGTTCTTTCCACACGGCGGCGCATACCAAGAGCACGTGGCGGTGCCGGCGTTCTTTGTAGGCAAGAAGCCCAAGAACATTACTCTTCAAGAGGCTGCATCACTGCCGTGGGTCATGTTTCCATTCTGACGCGTGTGGGGTTCGCATCAGAGCTGACCTGGCTTTCGACAGCATCTGCTTCGTCACCGCCGTCTGCACCATTGTCAACAGCCTCAAGATCCCGCTGCCCTTCCTGCCGGGCTTGTCAACCGACGGGCAGGCTCCCTCCTCGGTGCTTGTCCTGGGTGGTAGCTCCGTCACGGGCGCCGCGGCGATTCAACTCCTGCGAGAAGCCTACCCATCACTGCCTATTCTGGCAACGAGCTCAACGAAGCACTTCGCACGACTTCACGACCTCGGCGCTACCTCCGTCGTCAATTACAGGTCTCCATCTGCGGTGGCTGATATCAAGGCCGCGTCGCCAGGAGCCGCCGGCGTCGATGTGATTATCGATTGCGTGTCGGCCGGTGCCAGCCAGACCGATATATGCGACGTACTTGACCCCGCTGGCTCAAAGCATTACGCTGCTGTCATCACCGGCGTACCGGTTCCAGTACCGGAGGGAGTCACCTTGGTTGACGGCAACGCATATTCCATGCTCGACATGCAGGGTGGCAGGCAGCTCATCTCTTCGCTCACCAAGCTTGTGGAGGAGGGCAAGTACAGGGTGCCACTACCGGTCAGGGTTGTTGGGCATGGATTAGAAGAGCTTCCCAATGTCATGGACGAGGTGAAGAGTGTCAGTGGAGAGAAGGTGGTCGTGACGCTGTAATCCTGCTGGATATAGTCTTCAGCGATCTGCAACGAGCAGATGACAGTACAATGGTGAAAAGAAGAAGTTAGTCTCAAAGATATCTGTACACAGACGACGTACTATCAGCTGAGCTGCATCAATCGCATGCTTCCACTGTATGCTTTCCTCAAACGCCAAAAATCAAAATCAATAATCATTATCATTGCAACAATTCATCCCATTCGCTAGGCCAATGCCAGCGGAAAGGTTCTAGACGAAACGAAATCATGGCCCTATGGCTCCCTTCCCACTCGATCGGCCATGGCCGAACGGGACCCCTGAACCGGACCTGTAAGTACCTTACCTACTATACGCCGCGAAACTGGAACGATCACGATTCTTTGCCCACCCACAGTCATATAGTACAGTACAGTACACATAGTGAGGTGTTCTGACCACCTTTAGTAGGCAGCACTGCTCCATCCGGTGTGTTCTGTCCGAGAGCCTTAGGCCCGAAATCTTGCTCGGTCCTCCCCATGGCCTGATGTGTTACAACCTTAAGGCAGGCGACTATGTACTCCATACACATAAATTACTGTACCGTCCCTCAAGCCTTTCCATCTCCATGTTTTCAGAGCCAGAGCTACAGTACAGAGTATATTGTTGGGATATCTCATTCTCAGTCTAGAGTGTGGTGTTAGGATATCTCAATCCCAGTCCATCATAGCCACAGGTCATCAACTCTATGTCAGTGTCGAGAGAGAAGGACTTTCTAACAGTCGCTATTGTTAGTAGTAGCTTGTCGTGGTTCCTTCTGGGAGACAGGTGTTTCGGATGACCAAAGCCTCTTTGGACGGACGCAATCGCAATGTAGGTAATACGTGAGAATATCCTAGCGGCGAGTTCTATAGTAGACTTCCTGGAGTGGAGTTGGAGTTTGTGTTTTCATTCACCTGGATGGATTACTGTGAGGAATATGGAATGAGGAATGACTTTGTCGGATCCCCTAATGACTTGAGCTGGAATGATTTGACTTGGACCACACGACTTGACTTCATATTCTCTGGCCAAAGTTAAAGTCCAGCAACGAGGTTTCAACCATGTCAAAGCCCGGTTCGTGATATCACGTTTTGCTCCTTCCCCTTCCCCTTCCCTAGACTTGAGGATTTGGGTAACCTGACCTAAGACGATAAATCGTACTACCATCTAGATTCAGATGTAGAAGCCAGGCAATACTTGGCTCACGGGATGAAATCATGGATGGTATCGCGTGATTTAAATCTCGAGGCGAGGCTCATCTTGACTTGACATCACAATATAGCCAGTGCGTTTGGAGGACTAGCCACGCCGCCGGGGATGTTTAGCACCTCGCTCGTGAACATGAAAGTCCATCGGCCTTCTTTGGCACACTGCTTCGACAACTCCTCCAAATCGAAGAGCTCGCCTATCGGCATTCCGAACCCGGAGAGCAAGGTTGGGTGCATCAGGTTTTCCATTCCAGCCAGGCCGGCGTCTATGCACGCAAGGATCAGTCAGTAAATGTAAGCAACTAGAATCAAATCGTCTCGTCTCTGCAGAAAACAGTGGCAGTGGCAGTGCACATATGTACTGACCCCAGACTTCGAACCCTGGCGAATCGGAGGCCACGCAGGAAAACTGCGTCTCCCACAGCCACTCGAGGGACTCAAGGGACCCTGTGAGCCCGGGATAGGCCATTTCCTTGCTTTCCATCTTCTTCTGCAGCTCGTCTTCGGAGAGCGAGCTGTACCTCTCAACAAAGCCGGTGCGTAGGAGCAAGATATCCCCAGGTTGAAAAGTGATGGTGTACTTGCGTGCGATCTCCTTGACCGTGGAAACCGATATGGATGTGGCAGACCATGGATCATATGGCAGTCCACTATCTTTGGCATACTTGACGTAGTCGATCAAAACTCCTCGACCCACGATCCCGCGTTTCGCCCATTCTGGAAAAGCGGTCAATACGTTCGTTGCTGGTAAGCCGGCGACGAGGAAAATGTGAATTGGGGGAAGATATACAAAGGGCTCTCTACTGACCCTGCATGCCATTGCGTTCAGACGTCATGGCCTTAAGCTCGGTCTGGGTGAAACCATTGTAGAAGCGTCCATCAGGATAACCCCAGTGCCGGAACCCATCCCATTGTGAGCTGGTTTGAGTGTTGAATTCCACGCGGTCATCCTGTCGAGAAACTGATGGTTAACCAATGCTCGAATGTGAGCAGTGGGAGGTGAAGTGGCCTCTTCTTACATTGACGTTCTCCCCGAGTTGGAATATCTCGTGCTTCAGCTTGGTTCGATAGAATGGCGGAATGTGCATCTCGTTGAGGCTCCAGTTCAGACCGATGGACACGCCCGTCTTGACCTCGGTGGCGGCCGCCCTGATGCGATCTGGTGTCAGACGGTTGAGACATCCCAATTGATCGTCCGGGCCCCAAAGACCCCAGGCCGAATGCGGTGGGTGGTCAGGCTGAAGCTGCAGGTTCTTGAAACTGACATGTTCTACGGGTACGGGGGTGGGAGCAGAAACCATCTTTGCGTTTGGGGACAACAATGCTGATGGGCAAAGGGAACGACAGGAAGCTTCATAGGGTTTGACTTATCCCGAGGCAGGCACCTTGGTGGCGCGCAAGCAAGTCTCCGGCCCCGATGGCCGATAGAGGAGTCAGGAGCCGCACCCCACTTTAGGATTTATAGGATGTATGGAGTGTACTCCGTACTCCGCTGGGTTCTTCGTGCCCCCGTGGGCGAGAGTGGTGGGGTCGACTGTAAGGCTCGGGGTGTTGACCGCCGGCGACCACCCCCTTGGAAACCTCTTGCAAATCCTCTTGCGAACTCTCTTGGAAACAGCCTTAGCGACCTAAGCCCCGAGACCGAGGCGAATGTGGGTATGCCTATACTCCGTAGAGTTTGACTATTAGTATATATACTCCCGCCAACTTGCAATCCACTTTGACTGTACTCCATAATGGGGATGATGCGGGAGGTTTCCGGTGCTCTCGGCGTTCACCGAACTCCTCCTCCCCGTCACCCCAGGAATCATCTACTCCGTACTGGGCGTGCATGTACTGTACATAGAGCCTTCTGGGCCCCCAGACCTTCTCCCCGGACCACGCGGGCGGCCTGAAGATTGAATTGACACGTTCCACTCTCTCGGCAACCAGACAAGATAGATAAATAGCTTCCACTCTCTACTGTAGCCATGCGCCCCCGTCTGTGTTTGTTCTATTCGAAGCAATCTCATCCCTCCTGATCCTGCCAGGTTAGAGACAGAGACCCGAGAGAGGTAGAGCCAGGATGGCACGCGTCACACTCCTTCAGATGACGGTATGCATGTCCTGTCCAGACATTGGACTCTCAGCAGCTTTATCTGGGAAAAACGTGAACCCAACCACTGACCATCACATACATATACACTATAGATCGTCACGTACGTGGCACTGGGCAGTCTCACATATGGCTACTGTGCGAGCATCATCGCCACCACGCTCGGCCAGCCTTCGTTCCTGGCCTACTTCAATTTCGCACATCGGTCGAACCCTACACAGATCATCGGTGCCATCAATGGGCTATTCCAGGCGGGTGGCTTCATAGGCACTATGAGCTGCACCGTGACCGCCGATTATCTGGGTCGACGCAAGGCTCTCTTGCTTGGGTCTTGTTTGTCAATCCTCGGAGGCGCCTTGCAGGCTGGAAGCGTCAATATGACAATGTACCTCATTGCTCGATTCATCACCGGCACAGGAATAGGTTCGTGAGCCCCGAACTGCCGGCTTACCCAGGGGTTAAGAAAGAAAGAAAAAAACAAAAACAAAACAGAAATAGCCTTGCCATTTCGTTTCTTGTCTCGACTCTAACTAAGTCCTGTTGCTGCATCTAGGTTCCTTGGTCACCCTAGTTCCTCTCTATCAAAGCGAGATTGCCCCTCCCAAAATCAGAGGCCTGCTCGTCGGCATGCACGGTGTGCTCATCTGTACGGGATACTCGATTGCGAGCTGGGTGGGCTTGGGCTTCTATTTCGTCCATGCCCGCGGCAGCCAGTGGCGTGTCCCGCTTGCCATCCAGTGCATCCCTCCACTCATCCTCGCGGCGGGCACCTTGTTTCTCCCGGAGTCACCCAGATGGCGTAAGTTTCCGCCTTCCGCCCCCTTCAACTCAAAGCCCCAGACTCAGACTGACTGGGTTGGCGTCCTCCAGTTTTGCTTCAAGAACGGGTCGAAGACGCATACAAGGCTTTCAAAGCTGTCAGAGCCGAGGCTTCAGATCCTGCGGACGAGGAGGCGGTGAGACATGAATTCAACCACCTCAACGCCCAGCTGCTCCAGGAGCGGCTGGAAGCAATCTCATTCATGGACTTCTTGCGGAAACCTTCTTACCGGAAGCGGTGCTTTGTCGGGTTTATGGTCCAGTTTACCGGACAGAGCACTGCGACCCAAGTTATCAACAGTGAGTCCCGTCTGCCCCTTCCAACCAGGACAGGGGGCGTGTGCTAAACAATCTCAACCGCCCAAAAGACTACGGCCCTTCTCTCTACTCTAGCCTTGGCTTCGGCACCGTCCAGCAGCTACTCATCCAATCCGGCTGGGTGACCATCTGTCCTTTCGGGAACTACATCAACGCCCTGGTGGTGGACAGGGTAGGCCGCGTGAAAATGCTAGGTATGTACCAAGCGTAGTACAGTATATCGTCGACAGGAACGTGCAATCGAACAAGTCAGACTAATCTGATCTTCTTGTCTCTAGTCTTCGGTTTCACCGGCTGCGTTCTTGCGCTGATCGGCGAGGCCATCACCGTCTCAGTCTACGCCCGAACGGGAGAAAGACAAGTGGCCGGGGCGGCGGTATTCTTCCTTTTCATGCACATTACTTGGTACGATGACCCTCTGCTTCTGCCTCTGCCTCTCTCTCTGTGTCTCTGCCTCTGCCTCTCTCTCTGTGTCGATGCCTATCGTCTATCCCCCCAGCCTCGTCTGACTGCTGACTTATCGCCTCGCTCCAGCTATTCCATCTCGGTGGATGCGACAACCTGGATCTACGCCTCTGAAATCTTCCCTACCCCCGTGCGCGCCAAGGGTATGTCGGTATCCATTTCGGGCCTGTTCGTCGCCACAATCATCTACCTGCAATGTGCGCCGACGGCCTTCGCCGAGATCGGCTGGAAGTACTACCTTGTCTTCATCTGCGCCACAGCAGTCATGATCCCTGTGGTCTGGTTCTTCTTTCCCGAGGTGAGTTCCCTGCCCTGGCGCACATCACTTGACCTATGGGCAGCCCGCTCCATGTTCTCTTTGGATCATCTTACTGATCCCGTTCCCCCTGCTGCAGACGAGTCAGAGTAGTCTGGAGCAGATTGGGGCCTTTTTCGGCGACAATGTCGAAGTCGACGACGATATCGTGCCGGAGAAGCAAAGAATCCAAACCGAACACATCGAGACCGAACACGTCGACAAAGTTGCCCAAGAACCATAGTGAACAGTGCACTGTCACCCGCATTGTCCAGAAAGGGGAAAATGGAGAGGCTCGACTGGAGCAGGATTTGCTGGTATATCTGTCTAACTTAGGCATTCCCAGCCTTGTGCTTTAACTGGAAGGTTGGTTTAGGCATACTATCTATACTATATAGTATGCGCTCCCCCTGCGACCCTTTGATGATGAACATGGAAAAATTTCAACCTTTGACAGAGACAAGGCATGTAGCACAGTAAAATATTAAAGGCAACCATCGATCTCATCTTGACTGTGCAGCTGGGCTATCAATCAATTGTCATTGTAGGTTGAGCGTTGCCTCCTGGGACGGTTTGAGTCATTGCACGAGTATATAGTATATGGATGAGTCTTTGCACCGACGTCTATGCCGTACCGTGTCCCGTGTCCACCACCGTGTCCCTGTCAAAGGTTGAAATGTTCCATGTTCGCTATCGTAGGGGTATGGGGGAAGCCCAGACTACATAGTGTATGGTATGCCTGTACCAGCCTTCTGGTTAAAGAACAAGGCTGGGAATGCCTAAGTTAGTGACTAAGTTTGACAGTCCCGTGCCCACCACCTTGAGCCAACGTCAAGTCGATCCGGTCCAGCCAGCCGGTTGTTACTTAGCCATGGTAGTTTTGTCTGTTATGGTCATGGTTCATGGTCATGGTCATTTGACTCCGACAAAAGCCACCTCCTCTTGGGGTTCGTCGGGGTAGGCGTCAAACTTGTATCGGCTTCCAGGATGAGTAGGATGCAGCCTGGATTGACCGGGAGCAGCATAGAGGTTCTCCCTAGCGGTTCCACCGGGCACGGCATAGTCGTTGGAACCCAGCCAGCCCCTCCGATCCAGCTCGGGGATCAGGTAGGTGATGACATCTTCCCAGGCCTGCGGCACGACAATATGACCGATGTTGAAGCCGTCGACGTCGGCCTCCAGGATGAAGCGTTCCAGATCATCGGCGACTTTCTGGGCCGTTCCGACACTCACGTTCCCGCTGCCGCCGACGGCAGAATACTCGCTCAGCAGCCGCGGAGTCCACGAGGTATAGCCGGTCGGCTTGTTGAGCAGTCTCTCCACCTGCGGCTGGGTGAGGCCTTGGAGCAGAGGGTGTTTCGGGTCGGTGGGAAACTCCTCGTCCCATGGGAATTTGCTGACGTCGACGCTGGACGTGCCGCCAAAGAGCGCGAGCCCACCTTCGGGAAGAGCATACTTGAGGTAATCGTTGTACTTGGCTTCAGCCTCTTCTTGCGTCTCGCCCAGCACTGCAGTGAATTGAGTGAAGAACTTCAACGAATATGGATCTCGCCCCTGCTTGGCCGCCAGCGCCCTTGTCTTGCGAACTTTCTCGCCCACGAAAGCCGCACTCCGCCCCCCGAGGAAGACACATTCGGCATGTTTGGCGGCAAATGCTGACCCGGTACTATAAAGGATCAGTTATACACACACACACACACACACACACACACACACACACACACACACACACATATATACATATGATTTAGGTACACGTGGTAGCGGATGGGTCAAGACTCACGAAGACATGCCTGCTTGAAAGATGACGGGCGTCCGTTGAGGACTGGGATCGACCTGGTGTGCACTGGAGCACTTGAAGTATTTGCCTTTATGTTCGATTTTCCGCACTTTCGCCGGGTCGGCATACGTCGAGATTGAGGCATCCCGAATCACAGCGTCGTCGGCCCATGAGCCCTCCCAGAGTCTGTAAAGCGAACGTTCAGCCGTGGCCGCGGCCGTGGAATTGATTACGTCGAGGCCAGCGACGCTCGGAACTCATTCACTCACTTGTAGACAAGATTCAGATATTCTTCGGCAATCGCATACCGCGTCTCATGCTCCGGCAGTTCCCCAAGGCCCATTGCCCGTGCTGATGTATTAGACCAGGAAGTCACAACGTTCTGAACCAAACCAAACCAAACCAAATTGAATTAGCCCAGTCCAGTGGTTGAAACGAAAAGGAAAAGGAAAAGCAAAAGCAAAGGCAAAGGGAAAAGCAAAAGGAAAAAAGGCGGCCTGGATTCCCAGCATACATACCCATGCAATCCGACCATTGGTGAGATGGTCTAGAGTGGAGAATCTTTTGGCCAGAATGAAAGGCGGCTCGAACGTGGTGCAGGAAGTAACACCAAAGGCGAGACTCTCGGTGACAGCAGCCATGGCAGAAATGATCTGAGCTGACGGTCAGCGAGATCTGGTTCCTAGCTGGCACAAGCTGGATGTAGTAGCATTGCTGGAATGATAATTCGTAGCATTGCAATGAGTGAAGACCGCTCACCGTAAACGGATCATAAAGCGGCCATTGTGTCGCCGACCGGATCGCTGGCTCGTGTGATCCTTTATAGATGTCATGGGTCCCGAAATTGTCAGCTAAGGTATCGCCCACATGTCAGTCGAGTCTCGAGAGAGTCAAAGTCAAGCCACCAGATGACACGGTACAACATGCAGGCCGGGCTGGGCTACTGTACCTAGGAAGAGAGCATTGAATTTGCCCTTCTCCAGCAACTTGGCAAGATTGATCCAGTAATTCAAGCGATTCTTGGTGATTGATTTGTCGTTCGGATTCTGCCATTGACCTGGACTGCACCGATCGGATACTCCGATGTCAGTAATGGAATGAGGTGCGGTGTGCTTCAATTGTATTTCAATGTAGAGGATGGGAATATCATATATCCAGAGTATATAGTAGATCTGGATAAGACAGGCGCCCTACCTGACGTGTCCCAACCCATTCATGTCAAAGGCATTGAGCAGGATCCTTTTCTTCTTGCCGTCGCTAGTGTAGCCATATTGTGCTTGGGTTCGTTCGGGCTGTTTATACTCTCCCTGGTTAGAGTAGAGACTGGCATCTGCTACAGGAGCCATTGCTGGTTCTGGTTCTGGTTGTACGGAGAAGAGAATCAACCTTTGCAAAGACGTCTCGAATACTGACTACCCCAAGAAATCTATTGCGAAGAGATAGAGACAGCAGAATTTCCAAGAAGACCGGAAACCGGCTACTAAGTACCACTGTTACTGATAGCTTGCCGAACATATGGTACTCGACACATCGCACTTGGCCAGTATGACTGAAGCTAGCCCCTCTTGAGGTGGGAGGTGTCGGGGTTGCCAACGTGTTGAGATAGCTCGGTAGCACGCCACTCTGGGGATCAATAAGCCAATTCAAATTCAACCTTGGATGCGCAATGAGCGCCAGGAAAATTCTAGCTTCTCAATGGAGGATAAATTCCGAGATCTCAAATCTGTCTGCTTTTATGCAGTTGTAGATGATGCTACTCTATTGGGCATTCTTGACTTCGCTACCTATCTGGGGACCGGGACTCTCCGGAGAGACCTGGACCTGGTTGCCAAAAACCATTCATTGTCTTTCTTTCTACAAAACTCGCGTCTACTCTACTCCGTACTCATGGTCGCGCCATTCCTCCAGCAATGGTACCATTGTGACAGGAGAGCCGCCGGTCTGCCTTTCAAACCTAGAACCCGGCTGGGCAGATCCACGCCCGAACAACACGACCAGTCTCTGTACAGAGTAATAGATATGACCACGAGAATATTAACATGAAGAGTCGCTGATGTGAGTGGCCGACATGTGCTGCCCCCCACATGAAGGGGTCACTTCCCATTATGGAAATAATGATACAAGATTCCCGACTCATCGGCGAACGAAGACGAGGACGGACGCTGGGCCGCCTCAAGCCTATGCCTAGCTTGAGTTGCGTGATTGAAGAAGAAAAGTCCTCAGGCTACTTCGTGTATACTGGAAGTATTTCAAATGGCTGGAGAATTTCGCAAACCAGACGACAGACGACCGGTATCTCTCCCTCTCGCTTGCATACTTTGTTCTGGCTGTTGGCGTTGGAAGCTCATCAAACATGGCTTCAGCCGATCTTGCTGCCTTGGAGCCGACGAAGCCCACTCTCACGGTAAGACCTACCAAAGGGGACGAGACTGTGCTTTCACAGGAGATCGTATCAGAGGATGAGTATGACACCGGTCGTGAACGAGCCAACAGAAATGCGGGAAAAACCAAGGGGCATTTCTTTCGTTGGTTCGATCCTGAGGATGGACCATTGGAACGCCGTCTCCTTTGGAAACTCGACTTCTACATTCTCGCATTCGCCTGTGCGGGATATATTGTATGATACAGGACGCTACCATGCTGTTTGAGAGCTGAGTATTAACTATTGCAAAAAGATGTTCTATATTGACCGAGGAATCCTTTCGAACGCCTATGTTAGCGGCATGAAAAAGGGTGAGCTGTATTCTCATTGTGGTCTAGCTCTGCGTGGATAGCTGATTTGATATGGAAGATTTGAAACTATACGGAAACGAGCTGGTTCAACTCAACACAGTCTACAGATGCGGTACATCAGTGTATGTAATCCTACCATCCAATCGCTCCAGTCGGACTGACAGGGATCCAGATCGAATATTCCAGCGACGGTCTTGATCACAAAATATAGGTCGCAATATATTGTCCCAAGCTTGGTGTTGATTTGGGGCGTGTTTACAGTGATGTCTTTCCGTGCTGGAAGTTTTGGAGAGCTTGTGGTTTACCGGCTGTTCGTTGGGCTCGCCGAAGGTAAGATGAGGATTTCGGGCATGTCGAATGAGTCTGACCCAAACTAGGCCCCTTTTTCTGCTCAATCGAATATGTTCTCGGCAGTTGGTGAGTTTTGTCCCAGGCCATGGCCATTCTGAAGGGTGAGCTGACATGTCAATAGGTATCGCGCGGATGAAATTGTCCGCCGAGCCGGTATTTTCTACATCTCCTCGAGTATTGGTCAAATCATCACTGGGCTTCTGGCTGCACGCATCTACACCGATCTCGATGGTGCATTGGGGCATGCGGGCTGGAGATGGATGTACCTGATCGGAGGCCTCATGGCTCTCCCAATCGCATTGTTCGGAATCTTCACTTTCCCCGGAACTCCGAACCATGGAAAGAGATGGGTACTGACAGACGAGGAGTTTGCTCTGGCCAAAGAGAGGATGGTGGTCGCCGGTCGTAAGGAGCCTGTCGGGTTCAGCTGGTCTCTGGTCAGACGCTTCCTTGGTCGATGGCATTTCTGGCTTTTGGTACCGTGGAACGTGTCTTGGTTGATGGGATTCCTGTCCGAAACTCAAGGAGTGTACACGTTGTGGCTGAAGAGCCACAAGGCATACAACACGGCCCAGGTCAATCGTTTGACGGTAAGTGGGCTTCAACTTTCGTGACAAACACTGTACGGTGGTTCCTGATCATTGTCACAGTCAGTTGCACCCGCCATCGGCGTCATCACCATTGCGTTGTTCTCGTTCCTCGCCGACAAGTACGGACCCAAATCGAGACTTTGGATTGTTGGCATTGTTGCCGTAATCGGTGTCATCGCTAATATGGGGTTCGCGTTATACGATCATACCTCTTTCGCTTACAAATGGTGAGTGTGTCTGCCACCCACCAAAATCCCATGCTTATCACTCTGCGGCAGGTTCACCTACGCTGAAAGTTACACCGAGGTCTCCTTGTCGAGCTTGCAGTATTCCTGGGCCAATGTGATCTGCAGGGACGACGCTGAAGAGAGAGCATTCGTCGTCAGTGCTATGCTCGCCGTTGGATCAGCATGTGACGCGTGGGTCCCCAACGTGTTTTTCAAGACCACTGATTCCCCAAAATGGGTCAACGGACACATCTTCCAAGCCGCCACGATGCCAGTCTATTTCGGCCTCACAGCGACGGTATATTACTTCAACAAGCGTGCTGAAAGGAGGAGATCCATCAAGGACAACGAGGGATGATGGCTAGCAAGACTTGGGCGATGTGGGGTGACCTGGTAGGGCTGTCGAGTCGCACCCTCCGCGTACTGGCGATGGTGTTCAACATAAGCAAGTATATTTGGCAACAGGCAGTGTCTGGCTTTCGATCCGACCGGGTTCCTCTTCACACATAGAACTGAATGCACGACAGTCCCCTACAATAGGGTGATTTGGACAGTTTCCACATCATATGAAAGATAAACCAGATTGGATTTTCTCATGTCTGGTATTGTTGGGAGTGGTCGATTTGAGTCGTCCCCTTGTGAGACATCCCTCAACCCTCATCTTATAAGCCTGTAGCAAGGCATGGTCTCTTGTCGCGGCAATGGTGCCCTTGATCGCGTTCGAACTTAGAAATGGCCATCTCTTCACTCCTTTCCGATCGGCCTGTGAACCGTGCAGTGTCAATGGGGAGGGATATCGCCGGGGATCTGACTCGGTCTCGACGTAAGGGGCGGTGGCTCTGGATGTATCAGTCAATACTCGGTTATTAAGACTCATGTCAAGTGGAGTCGATGAAGCTATTGTTGTAAATTGTGGACAGACCCTCGCCTGCATCAGCCGCAGAGGACAATGGGCAGGCTCAGAGGGCGGCCACGCAGTCGCGTCCGCGGTGGCGATGGCAAGGCTTCCCGAAATCACATTCTCCGGGAGGCGCTAGTTGCTAGTCTGCACGCCAAATCACATGACAACTCTCCGTCGGAAGGCGAGCCCTCGGCACAGCACTTTGCCGAACGCACAGGGCGGCATCACCTTGATCCCCAACGGGGTGCACCTGTGAACCATGAACCGCAAGCAAGATTTACCGACTCAGTGGCACCAACCTGCGCATCCGAGTCTCCGTAGTGGCACTGCTCACCGACACAACTGACAGCAACTCTGCTCCAGAGGTATTCCGTACAGATGACTTTTGTTCTACCACGTTTCCACGCTGTTGGCATGATCCATGAGCCTACCTGCCGGCGCCGTGGCTGGGATGCTTTAGCCTCACGCGATATCGCCAGCAAATAATGTCCCTCATCCTGTCGGCTGTCAAATCGATTCTCTGCCGCCGCCCAATCGCCGTATCCCATGGCCATGTCACCTCCTCAACGGTCGCAGCATTGACCGCAGACCCTGAAGTGCCATACGTCCCCGAACGAACTACCAACGCGCCAAAACCCACTGGCTTCACCATCGCAGCTTCGATTGCGACTCTAGTGAGCTTAGGCAAAGGAGACGGGCCCCTCAAGACTGCCACGTAACAAACCCGGATCGCCGAGAGGGATGGCTAGATTGCCATGCATGCGCTCTGCGGTCTATGCAGTGCAGTGATTCCACTACCCCCCGACAGCCAATTGCCATCCAACAGTAGTGAATTGTTTCCTTCAAAAATCATGCATGAAGAAAGGTCTTCCCGTTTGCTATCTTCACGTAGGAAGGTGAGAGCCTCGGTTTTTGTCGCCGTGTCTTTTTCTTTGTCAACTCCTGCCGCTCATTGCCCGTCTCGGATCCGTATCTTCTTGTCACGACCACCATTGATGATCCCATGATGCTTCTATCACCCTTGTTGTCGCAAGACAAGATTGTCTTGGGCTGCGAAGTCTTGGCCGCTAGCTTTGTCGCCTATCTGGTCGGATTGGTCATCTACAACCGATATTTCCATCCCTTGAAGGATTTCCCTGGCCCATTTTGGGCCTCCATTACGACTCTGTGGTATTGTCGAGCCGTACGCTGTGGTCGAGGACAAGATCATCAACTCCCTATCCACAAGAAATACGGCTATTTTGTGAGGCTTGCGCCAAATCTGGTACAAATTTCGGACCCAGCTGCCATTGAGACCATTTACGGGCCGAAACATGAATTCATCAAGGGAGAATTCTACAAAGGCTTCGACCCGAAGATCTCCAAACGGCAGGACAATTTCACCGAACAAAACGAGGCAGCCCATGCCCGCAGACGCCGTACCGTAGCGCACCTCTACACGCAGGCAGCCGTGCTCGAATACGAGCCTTCGGTCGACAGATGTATTGCACTTTTCTACAAGAGAATGGAGGAATTTGCCGAGTCTGGCGCCGTCATTGACATGTCGATCTGGCTGAGGAAGTACACTTTCGACATTATCGGCGAGATATTCTACGGCCGCGAAGGCGGATTCGGGTTCATTCGTGACAACGTCGACTACAACAACTGGTGCCACCTGATGGACGTGATGCCGAATCCGGTTGCCGCCATCACGTACGTGCCCTATGGTCTCCGAAATCTCTACTTCATGTTCCAGATGCTGTACCCGGAAACCCGAGCCGGGGCCAAAGGATTCTTCACTGTCATCGACCAATCTCACGCCGCGGTGAAGCAGCGCCTCGACGACATGGCAGCAGGCAAGCCAGTGAACCGGCACGACGTCCTGAGTAAGCTCCTTGACATTGTCAATGAGAAAGGCGACTTCGGCATCCTCGACGTCACCACTGAAATCTGGGCGATGATCTGGGCCGGAAGCGACACGACTTCGATAGCGCTGTGCTCCATTTTCTACTACCTACACAAAAACCCGTCGACCCTGGCCAAACTGCTCGACGAGATTGACACCGCCTTTGCCGACGGCACGCTAAAGACCCCTATCCGGTTCAACGACGCCATCAAACTCCCCTATCTGCACGCCGTGGTCCGCGAGGGCATGCGCATCCATGGCTCCCTCGGCACGGGCCTTCCTCGCATCGTTCCGTCGGGCGGCGTCGAGATCTGCGGCAAGTATTTCGCGGGCGGGACCGAAGTGATCATGAACGCCAACGCCGTCCAGTTCGACAAGGGCGTCTTTGGCGAGGATAGCGAGTCCTTCGTACCGGAGCGCTGGTTCCGCGACGGTGAACGGGCCGCTGCGAACATGGAGAGACACATGCTGCAGTTCGGCTACGGCAAGCGCATCTGCATCGGGCGCCACATCACCAACACCGAAATGTACAAGTTGCTGCCGACCATCTTGCACGACTTTGAGTTTGAGCTGGTCGGCAACAAAGAGTGGAAGACGTGGCAGGGGTGGTTTCATCAGCAGAGCGACGTCAATGTGACGGTGAAGAGGAGAGTGAGAAGGACTTGAGCCTCGAACGGGGTGGAGGAGATGACAATGTACAGCTAGCTAGCTAGACCCAAGCATGGGATAGATCGATCCGCATACTAGTACATAGCCAACGACGTGTTTCTAAGTTTCAGTTTCTCCCTCGAATTGCTGCCTCTTCCAGGAAACACCTCTGATGAGGTATCATTCTCGTCGCGCCATCCTTGGCTTCGCATCCCTACCGTACTTCGCGCCCCGTCACGGTGAGTTTAGGCTGCATGGAACATGGTGTGTTCCCTCACGCGGGAGGTCCTGGTCGCGTGGTTGTCTCATAAGGTCTTCCAACTCTTGAGGCTTGAAGCCGCTGTGTTGGTAACAGACAATCCAAGCACGTGGTTCTGTCAAACTGAGGCATTCCCACCCTTGCCCTTTACCCAGAAGGCCGGTTTATGCTATACTATTCTATATAGTATGCGCTCCCCCTGCGACCGTTTGATAGAGAACATGGAACATTTACATTTGACAGGATCAAGGCTTCCGAAAATAGTTGGCAATGGTGTTCTTTTGCGGACTTTTCTCGATGGTCTTGAGCCTCTTTGGCCTGGGCTCGTCCGGGCCGTCCGTCTTCTCCGGCTTCTCGCCGACCCTGAGCAGCAGCATCAACTCTTCGAAAGCGTCGACGGGCACGACGCCGCCGCTCGCCTCTTTATGGCCCCTGGCGAAGCTTTCTCCTAGTCTGTCCACCAGTCCGTCAGTCGAAAGAGCAGCGGCGGCTTTTAAACTGTCGATGATATTGACAGGCGGGTCTCTCGCCCTGGCACATCGCGCGATCCGGCACGAGAAGTTGACCATGCCAGGCAGGTATCCAGAGTTTGCGCAGACCACTATCTCCAGGGCCTTGGAGTTCAAGTGGCCAGCCCAGCGGGTCGCGATGACGGGGTGGACTTGAGCAGGCGTGTGGATGCGGAGGACGGCAATTCGGCCGTCGGCGCTGAATTTCGGAGGCGTGTGGGTGTTCAGTTCGACTTCTGCGTTGATTTCCACCCGAGCAGTCTGCAGACGGCCGTTACTCAATAGATCTTTGGGGTCGGTGGAGTTGAGCAGCGCCGTCCATGCCGTGATGACGTCGTATTTTGCTGTCCGCCGAGGCGCGTTGATCAGCGATACCGCATCGTTGATGGATTTCTTCGTGTACATCTTGAACGTGTCCTTCATGTCCGGGAATGGCGGTGCCCATTTGAGTGTGTTCCCCAGATCTCCGTGCGTGCCGATACAAGCGAGGTAGGCGCCGGATGAGGCGATCTCGGGCGCAAGCGTCTTACAGATCTCGTATGTGAGTAGGGACGTGGTCGACACTGGAGGATAATGGCATGCAGATACCACCTGGGCCCGCTCTGGAAAGAGGTCGCTCAAATGATGATCAATGATCAGTGACTTGGTGGCCAGTGAATCAACCACTGGAGGCGCTGCCATGGAGCCTTGGTCCAGGACAAAGATATAATCTGGGTTTTTGCGAGCCATGGCTGCGCGTTCGGGCTCGACGTGGACATTGGAGCCCTTTTGAACTAGGTGCACGTCTATGAGGGTTGGGTCGAGCCCCAGGGCCGTCAGTGTTCGGTGCATGATGACTCCCGACGACAGGCCATCCGCGTCTTTATCCGGTACAATCAGAGCCTTCTTGCCACTTGCTGCGCTATGTTCGTCAGACTCGGATTCCTGACTCGGAGTGGAGGAACTCAATCTACCATTCCTTTATGAATGCCCTGGCTCCCTCCATCGCAGCTTCTGGAGCAGGCCATATCGCCTTGCCACTGGCATCGCGGCGTGGCTCGACATCACAGTAATCTGGAAGCTTGACCCGGGCTTTGGTGTTGGTGTTGGTCGACCGCTTCATGCCTCGCCAGCCATGAGGCAGCAGAGTGTGAGGTATGAAAGTTCGGTCTGTGGCGGGCGCAAGCGATGTTGCAATCCGGGCTTGAAGAAAGTAAGCTGAAGGGGCTCCAGATAGGCGAGCAAGTCTTGAGAGAGGTTGCATTCAATCGTACCTGGTAGTACTCGCGATCAATTTGTTACATTGGGAGGGATCTCGGTCTCTCGTCGACCAGAAAGACGGTCGACATGGTGGACAGAACAAACCTTTGCATGACGTCGACATTGGAATTTCAGTGTCAGATGTCAGACTGAAACAATGTGGCATGGCAGCGACCCAAAACGGCCAATAACGTGTGACATGCTGGAAAAATAGTCTGTCTGACGCAAATTCCTTTCTTCCGTGAGATGCCCAAGGTACCAAGGTATGTCCGTCCTACTTCTGTCTGTAACATGCCGCAGAACTAGACAACGTCCTTTAACACTTCGAGATGAGCCTAGGTATGATCGATCCCTCCCTTACTGTCCAAGAGCTGATCCCATTCCTGTGAGTCGAGTCGAGGTTCAACAACCCATCACCCGGCCTCCTCTCAGCCTTGACCAGGTCCTCGGAATCGGCCCCTTCCCTTGCTTGGGAGCTGCGAATTGTCTGTCTCGTTCCTGCTTGGCCTCACCTTCACCCAAATATGCATTGCTCGTCCTCTGGCAGCCGCCAACTCCACGAGCGTCTCTGCACCCCCCTTTCGTACCTTTTTATAGAACCTCAATGCCTTGTTGATATCGCAGGTGTGGGTCTGAGAGGAAGTTGGGACAGAACCACGGACAACACACCAGCGTCTTCAATCGCTTGAGCTGCCCCCTGGGCTAGATGCGGCAGCGGCTGATGCACTCTCAGCTTCCAAAGCAAAGGAACATGGCGCCAGAAACAGCTATCCAGTCGCCTCCCCTACGCAAGGATCTGGGGAATATGCTCCTTCAGGTACTCAACAACTCCATCCGGCCCCTTCTCTACCTGCAGTCCTTGAGGAATAGCATGCGTCTTGATTCCCGGGACATTGGTCCTGGCTATTTGTTGAATGCGTGCACTCTCCTCGGGCGTCCACATCGAGGCACAGAACTAGGCGTCACATCACATCAGGTCATGTCCATCCATCCTTATATCCATATCTGGGCATCTCGACGTACCAGTACATCCGGCTGAATCTCTTTCACAGTCGCCTCCACTGCATCTATAGCTGTAGAAACAGTGCGTTAGTAGGCCTCATTCAACAATGAATCCCTCATTTGACCACAACGCCTTGCGACAAGGCCTTGGGTGAATTCACGTCTTGTCTGTGTGGGCTGGAGTTGGTGACCCAGAACGCCACACACCACCACCACCACCCGTGAAATGTAAATGACGAAGCATAGACTTACTCTCGCAATTCGCCACATGTTGAATGGTATATTGCTCTTTGAGATCCTCCACGACTCGGCCAATTAGTCTCTTTGCGCGTTCCGGCACAGTATTCACTGTCACTAGCTTGTAGGGCCCCTTAGGCGCCATGGCTGATGCTGATACTGATAGCTGGAGTTCTGTGCGTTGCTTGAACGCGTCTTTCTCGTCTTGACTAAAGTGGATAAAACACGATGAAGTAGAGAACAGTTTATAAATCTAGATCGAGAGCCAAAAGCACGGCTGCTGTGGCCGGCATCGCAGTTCGGCAGATTCCGGGCTTATGTAAGAGGATTTACGGATGCTTTGGAGATTCCGAATTGCGGCATTGAGTTGGCTTCTTGCTCATCATCGTCGCTACTTGTGAACAACAACCATCGCACGAACGTTGTAGGCTCAATTCCATCATACGGCCGAGCAATCTATCTCAATGGTTGATGTTGGGAGCTCTCTACTTTACATTTCGGTGGCTGCAGTTGCAGTTGCAGTTGCCCGGCAAACTGATTGGAGCTAAACAACAAAGTGCCTTATGTGTGGTCAAAAATACCTGTACGCCTGGCTGCGAGTCATGGATGGAAAACAGAGGCTCTAATGTAAGTACCAAAGCCTTGGGCAGGTTGCTACAGACAAGGCTTAGGGTCAGGAGGTGAGTGCAACCTTGTCACAAGGCGGACAGCGACCAGCATTAGTCAGCCTTGAACGACAATACGGCAAACGACGCGCGAAGCTGGTTCGCAGAATCTTTCGTTTTGCACATGCGAGATCCCATCAGGCCTGAATCATGGACCGAGACATCCACCTAGTCAATGTCTTCACAGCGGAAGGCCGAGGAGGCAACCTTGCGCCCATTGTTCTGGATGCCACAGGGCTGAAGGACTCGGAGATGAGAGATGTGGCTCGCCGCTATGAAAGAGAAAGCGTCTTCGTGTTTCCCGCCGAGGAGGGATCTGGGGCTGACTTCAGTCTGAGATTTTTTGTTCCTGGCCACGAAATGGAAATGTGCGGGCACGCCACAGTCGGGACAGGCTGGATCATGCATCGTCTTGGACTTGTGACCGAGACCGAAACCGAGATCAAGTTTATGACCAAGTCAGGGCTGGTCAGTACCCGCCGTGACAGGGTTGCGAATGCAAACACCACCGGAGAAATGGTGTCAGTGTCCGTGTCACAGCCCAAAGGGACTTTAGAGGATGTCCAGGACGAAAGGCTCATCGCACAAATCTTGTCAGTGCTGAGGGTCGACTCGTCTCATCTGGGGCCGTGGGCGATCCAGAACGCCTGCACCAGCCGCGTCAAGACGGTGATTCCGTTGAAGAGTGCCGCGACGCTCAATAGTCTGGACCCGGATTTCGAAAAGGTCAAAGATCTCTGTGACCAGCTTGGCTCCACGGGCCTCTACCCATATGCTGTGGTGCAGCATGGGAACGGTCTGGGGCCCACCAAGATCGAGGCTCGACAATTCCCAAGGGCTTCGGGATACCCAGAAGACGCAGCGACGGGGATTGCTGCTGCTGCTCTTTCGCGTGCCCTGGCTACGAATGGGTTGGCTCGTTCAGGAGAAAGCGTCGTCGTCTACCAGGGCAGGGCAATGGGGCACTTGTCCCAAATCAACGTGCTGGTCGAGGACACTGGGTGTTGGATTGGAGGGACCTGTGCTATGGCATAGCCGGTGTTCGGCACGGCTGATCGGGAGTTGCATGAATTTTTGGAAGGGGAAAAGAGGAGCCTTGCTTTACTGAAGCGTTGACTGAAGTATTACGAGCTGAAAGTCGCATCATGAACCTTGGTCCGGTCGCGCAATGTGTCGGCGTCATTGGTCTGCAGAGACAACCACCTTCATGGCAGCGAGCGAGTCTTGTCCTCCAATTCAATTCAGCAGCAAACGGTCAACGGAGCGGGGTGAAGACCCATCGCGGGGCCGGGGCTCACACTCACCAGCAACACGAGGACAAGACAGCCACTGTGGTCCCTCGAGGTCCATGCCCAGGCCGAGTCTAAGCCTTTACTAGAAGCATTGTGGCCGAAGTCCACGCCACTGTCGCTGCTGCCCCAACAGGAAGTGGTGACGGTCTAAGCCTTAGGATCCCCGACCTTCTCTGCAAATTTCAACTGGGGAAAGTGTCACGCGAGGCTCAGGCCCAGGCCCCTACCCCACACATGTACATACTCCGTATACTCCCGTATATCTACTCAATCTATATACGGGTACGGATACGGCTCCTCGTCTGGTTGTCCCGTGGAAGACATTACTCACCTCACATGCCCCCGTGCCCATCTAAGAAGCACCAGGACCGGTCTGAGAGAGACCAAACCAAGCTGGACCCGTGCATAAAACTGAGGACGTTGCTCTCGCACCTTCGACGCTTCATCTCATCACGGCCGGGGTCAGGGATTCCTCTCCCCTTAACGGCAGTTGTGTTTCCATACATCTGCCGGTCTTGGCTCCCCGGAGCAGCACCGACCCCAGACTTCGACCGCTGGGGTTATTCCCCCTTCCACGCGGGCGCCATTCCCCACAGGCCCCGGGCGAGTGAGTGCCGGGGTGCTGTAGTTAGGTAGTTGGAGATGTGTTTCAAACCCCTTTCTTTCACGGTAAGTGGTAACCTCGACCGCGTGACATGACCTTCAGCGTGCCGTTACCGGCCCTGGCCTGACGAGGTAAAGTTCAAACATCCTTATCCAGATCCAGCCATTGCGGGGTTTCAGGCTACGAGAATAAGTACGGAGTACTAGTGGAAACACTACCACTAGTTATATCTATCCTTCCCCAGACCTGGACGGATTTAGGCGACCTACCTTCCTGAGTCCTGGCCCATTGAGAGACTCCCAACTTCTCACACCACTACCACTGCTCTCGGGCAAGCTTGCAGGACTCGACATCGACACTGCACTGTGATCACAAGCGCCAGCACCAGCACCAGCACCAGCAGGATGGGGCTCGGCATCCTCGAGGGTACACACTCCTCCCCCCTTCCATTCCCTAGTCTCTACGCTGACGCAGCACCACTCAGATACAAAACTGGGCCATGTGCCGGGCACGGTCTTGTTGAATGACGAGGCCGCTCATGCCGAAGCCATCACCTCGGGTCTGAAGCACGGCAAAGGCAGGGATGCTCATATTGTGCTGTCGCCTCAACCTAGCGAGGACCCCAACGACCCTTTGAACTGGCCCATGTGGAAGAAAGAGGTGCTGGTCGCCATTCTTTGCTTTGGCGCCATGCTCAACGCTGGAACCAACGTCAGTGAAGAGAAGACCCCGTCCCGTCATGCTTGTTCTCTCTGTGTGTTACGTTCTATGTGCAACCACAATCCTTGATGTTACGTTCTATGAGTATCTACTAACCACCATCCTTGACAGGGGCCGCTGCTAAATGCCTCCTATTTCTCCATGTCCTTGCAGATTGACAAATCATTGACCGCGGTTGTCTTGGTGTCCGGATACAATCTGCTGGCTGCTGGATGCTCTGGACCTTTTGGTTTGTGCCCCCGCGACTCTACACACACACACACACACTCTCTCTCTCTCTCTTTCTCTCAGTGGTCACGATGACTCTGACTGTGAGGCTGCAGTGTGCGCATTCAGTCGTAAATACGGCAAGAGACCAGTCTTTCTGGTCTCGACGCTCTTCGACATCATCGGTACGGCGATTGGCCAGTCCAAGATCTCCTACAACTACCTCCTGGCCGCGCGGGTCATTCAAGGCTTCTCGACCTCGGCCTTCGAGTCCCTCATTGTAGCCAGTGTGGGAGACATGTATTTTGTGCATCAGCGAGGCCTGCGGATCGCCGTCATCAACTTCATCCTCAATTCCGCCTCCAGCCTAGCATCCATCATTTGCGGCCAGGTCTTCCAGAGCCTCGGCTGGCTCTGGCTTTTCCATCTGTTCCAGATCTTCCTCGTCGTGCAATTTATTCTCATGTTCCTGTTCTGTCCGGAGACAACGTACATGCGAGACAGCCGCTACGATACCGATCTGAACCGGGACGGGGACGAGAAACTCGAAGAATTGGCCATCATTGAACATGCTCACAAGGAGACGGTTGGCGAGCCCGGTCAGGGCGACCATGACACCACCACCGTAACCGTACCCAAGAAGAAGACGTTTGTGCAAGAGCTGGCTATCTGGACTGGCGTCTATTCGCACGATAGCATCTTCAAATACCTGGCCGGCCCGTTTCTGACCCTCCTCAATCCGGCCGGATGCTATGCCGTCATTGCTTCTGGCCTGTTGAACAGCTGGTAAGAAAGGCTGGATGTGGATGGAAGAAATCCGGTCGAAAATTGTTCTTGTTCATGTTCTCGTTTGAAAATTGTTCTTATTCTTGTCGTTTTCCTTTCCTTTTCTTTTCTTCGCCTTCTCCTGGCGTGGGAGCGAACTCGCTGACACTCGGAATGCCTGACAGGTATGTCGGATCGGCCATCATCATGTCTGGCATCTTCTCCGGTCCACCGTGGAACTTCGACGCCGCTCATATTGGGTACCTCGGTGCCGGGCCGTTTGTCGGAGGCCTCATTGGCTCTCTCGCCTGCGGATTCACCGGTGACTACGTGATCAAGTATCTCACGCGGAAGAACAAGGGTGTCTAGTATGTGGTTGGTTTTCTGATGGTTCGGATTGTGCCCGCACTGACAGATTCCCGTTCCCGTCCCAGCGAGCCTGAGTTTCGGCTGGTGTTTATGATCCCCGCCTGCATTGCCTGCGGCCTCGGCATGTTTCTCTTCGGCTACACCATGTCGATCGGCTCTCCGGCCGAGCTGTGTGCTTTCCTCCAGGGCGTGATGATGGTAGGCGTCCTGATTGGAATCTTCTCGACCTTGTCGTACGGGCTCGACTCGTTCCGCAGTCAGAGCAATGAAATCTTTGTCATGAACATGCTCTTCAAGGTGAGTGGGTTGGTTTGCTTTTGCTTTTGCTCTAGATTGTTTCTCTGGATTGTTTCTCACCTCACTGCCTCTACTTTCTCTCTCTTCCTCTCTCGTTCTTTCTCACTCCGGCTGGCGTGGACTTAACTCACTGTGCTACGCTACGTTAGAACTTCATGTTCTACGGCCTCTCGAATTTCGCAAACGACTGGGTGACTTCCAGCGGGCCTCAGCAAATCATGTACGTCTTCGGCGGTACCTCGGTCTTCTTGTCCCTGCTCGCTGTCCCCGTGTATATCTGGGGGAAGCGGCTGAGAAGCTGGTGGGCGAGACATGATTTGTTTGTGCTCTTGAAGATGGAAACCCATGGCCCGGTCAACGAGATGGGTTAGACTGCAGACACAGACACATACACAGACACAGACACAGACACAGACACAGACACAGACACAGCCAGGGCATCAGCTTTCTCCGAGCTTAACCCTAACCCTCAGATGCAGATAGCCGAATCTCCGCAACAGCTTTGATGTTTGCGTGTTGCATGTTGCGTATGCGAAGTCATGGTTTGCGTGTTACGTGCTGCGTATGCTAGGGCATGGTTTACTCTGCTCCCCAATGCCATAACGATATAGTCATTGTAGGCCTAAGGCCAGTCTGCCAGATCCATGCATAGCACTCCGTACATACCCCGGCGCCTCCCACCCTGCACCTGCGACAGTGGTTGCACGGCTTACTTAGCTACCCCTTGAAACGCGCCTGAGGCTTGGCCTTAGCTCTTTGACCTGAGCAACCTTAAGCCATCGACTCTTTCCTCTTTCTCTCTCTCCCCCAGAACCTCCTGTTTCCATCTCCCCCGCCTATGACTATGACGATTACAAATGAACGAGAAGGAGAAGATCTAATATACGGCCACGAATATGTCCTACGTACTTGTATTTGTACTAGGGCTTGGTGCTGCCGCGCCGACATGGACATGGATATGGACGTGAGACATGACGTGACGTGATGTGACGATGGCGGCCTCGTTGAGCCGACTCGGCTCTCTACTCGGCCGATCCCATGCAGTCCTACGTAACCTTGACCGCTTACGGCCGACGACGCTTCCCGCCTGATCTCTGATCTGCCTAATATTTACACTATCTTCCCTTACATATAAATGGGCTGGGATGGGATGACCTGGCAGAGGCCATCGACTGGCTAAGGTACCCCAGGTTTCCTCTTTGCTCCTGGAATTCGGTGAAGTGAAACGAAACGGTTAGCCTGCTAGCCTAGGAACAGGAACCCTGACTGCATACGCATGTGCGTGAGGGGCACTTTCCGCAACTCTATCCGACGAAAGGTACTACCACTACAGAACTCGTTATCCCACGAAAGGTACTACTACTATCACTACTCTATCTCAACCATCCGGGTTGCCATCGACAACCTCTTAAGACGGGGGGTTGACATTGAAATCCAACAGACATAATCGGTCTGGTCGGAAGCAGCGAAGCCTGAGTCCTATCTGCATATACAAAAACAATCCTCGCTCAACCGCGCATCAATCGCAATGGCGGACCAAGTCGCAATCATCGGAGCTGGCTTGTCGGGCTTGACACTAGCCCTGGCTCTGGACCAGCAGGGCATCCGAGCCACAGTATACGAGTCGCGGCCTGCTCCTCTCAACATTGGCGGCGCCGTGATGCTATCACCCAACGCATTGAAGGTCCTCGATGCCCTCGGTCTGTATCGGCACGTCCACGACCGTGGCTTCAACTTCGACCTTTTAGAGATGCAGCAAGTCTCGGGCGAAGTGATCGAGACGTACGAATTCGGCGGCCTGGAAAAGTACGGGTATCAAGCGAGCCGGATCTACCGGCACGAACTCATCGAAATTCTCTTGTCCGAGATCCAGTCAAGAGGCATCCCGGTCAAATACGGTCGAAAGTATTCTCGCGTTGTCGAGGAGACTGCCGCTCAAGTGGTCTGGGAATCTACCGACGGCACCGTGTCTCGCGCTTCGTGGCTAGTTGGCGCCGACGGCATCCATTCGTCTGTTCGCAAATACCTGTATCCCGCGCTGACGCCGAAATTCACCGGCATGGTCGGCATCTCAGCCGCGGTGCCGGCGAGTCAAGTCACAGGGGCGAAGCCCTTTGCAAAGATCACTCACCCGCTGACGATTGTGTCGAAAAACAAAGAGAAGGGTGCCTTTGTCATGGCCCCGCAGAAGGTCGACGGCTCGGAACTGTTCATCGGCAAGCAGAGGCGCATGGCAGAGCTCACTCGAGACGGCTGGGACCGTTTCCTCGCAGACAAGGACGGGCTGGTCAAGTTCCTTCGAGAAGATGCCGAGGCGTTTGGAGAGGTTGGCGTCACGGCCACGCAGGACATTCCTCACGACAAGGTCAACGTCTGGCCATTCTACGTCATCCCCAAACTGGACGCCTGGGCGTCCGAGAACCGACGGGTCGTTATCCTGGGCGATGCCGCTCACGCGATCCCCCCGAGCGCCGGGCAGGGCATCAATCAGGCGTTCGAGGACGTCTACATGTTTTCCCTACTGTTGGCGGCGAGCACAGGCAATGGTGGTGGTGGTGGTGGTGGTGGTAGTGGCGGTGACGGTGGCAGTGGCAGTGGTGGTGTGGTGGGATTCGAACCTGCCTTGGCCTTCTGGCAGGACTATCGACAGGACCGGATCAACAAGGTCCTAGAATTGAATAAGCAGATCGACTTGAGGAGACTGCCGAAACCGGCCCAGAAGGAACACGAACACGAAGAGGTGGAGGTGGTGGCACCGCAGGAGTTCGACTTGACTTGGCTGTATGAACCGGATTTCAGGGCCGAAGTAGAAACTTGGATCAAAAGTGCTGGTGGTAGTGATCCTGGCCCGAATACCTAATACCTAATCCTTGAGGGTTATGGTTGTTCATCGCAGGGTCCGTATACCCAATACCTAATACCTGACGGTTATGGTTATTCGTCACGGTGGTCCGGTATCTCTTGTCTACATCTCGAAAGGTCAACACACCAGCCGTATACAGTACAGTTCCAGCGGGCCTGAGTCCGAGGCAGTCTGACATTGAGTGCTGATTGTTGATTGCGAACTGGCCCTCGGATATGATATCTGACTCTGGCATTGCTATAGGATCAACTGGTTCTTTGTATTTACAGTATGTATGCCTACCTGTCTGGATGTGCTGCTATGGTACAGTACTGGGTGTAGATACAGATACAGATGCAGGCATATACGAATGGTCCAGGATTGGTCTGTACTGTACTCCGTACCGAGTTCTGTACATATATCTCGCTTGCTTGCTTACTTTGGCCCCTTTGGCCCCCTTGCCCCCCTGTCCTCTCTCCCTAGCCTGTGCCTGCTCTGCTCACAGTCCGTGTGGGCGTCGGAGTGAGTAAGTACATAAGCCAGCCTGTGCCGGCTCACTGTCGGTGTCAAGTGAGTAAGTACATAAGCTCGTTGTTGATGTGTCGAGTTATAACTGGTGGACAGAGCCCGGGTCTGTAGTGCCAGTGCCAGTGCCAGTGCCTTGTCAGCTCAGCCTTTCTGATAGGGTTAGGGTAATTCATTGTCAGCCCTTCTGGGCATCAGTCACGGTGACTATGCATGGGGCGGGAGGAGGGGAAGTGGATGCCTCGTCTCGTCTCGTCTTGTCCTGTCCCGTCCATTCCTGGATATTCAAGTTTCAATCCTCGACTACTCCCTGGGGCCTCGATCTTTTTGGCCCATTCGATTCCTGAAACTCCCACAAAACAGGACCCAGGACCCTATACGCTCTAGAACTATACCTCTAGAACCCTATACGTCCAGAACTATCCCAGCTGTCCTCGTTGTGGCGGCCCAGCCCACATGACCCTCAACCGCTACGAGCAGCAGATCGAAGACGAGTTCCAACGCGCGGCAAAGACGCCCGGGACGGCCGAGTACGTCAGTACCAAGCTCAGCGGACCGCAACATTCGTGTCCACACGCGGACAAGACGAAGACGCGCGGGATGCCGAAGAGACTAGGTTTTTTCCGCCAGACCGACGGCACCATGACATATCTCGACACCGACAAGGTGTGCCAACGCTGCTACGACGACATGACACCGGCCGGGTTCACGGTGTGGTCGACGGCGTACAAGCCGTCGGAGCGGCCAATGACGCCGACGTCTCAGGCACGATATCGGAACGAGGGAGACCCAGACCGACTAGACCATTGGGCCGCGGTCGCCATGCCCACCAGCTCCGACTACTATCCAGCCATGTGGCAGGCGGGGACCGAGGACGATGCCGACACCGAACCCATCGTCGACCGGCGGCTCCCGAACAACGCAGAGGTGCGCGAGCTCTGGCGGCAGCTCCAGACCGACGGCAGGCCGTTCTATGTCGACCAGCTGCATCTGACCCAGCCGTGGGATCCCAATGCTCCGGACCAGAGAGCCGAGGACGCCCGCGTGGCTCGCGAGAACAGACTGGCCTACGAAAACGCCGCGAGGGGCTACGTGGAAACGGGCGTCGGGGGTGCCGGCTACAACAGTATCGTCGAGCAGCGCATCCTGCGAGAACGCGCCGTCGAATTGCCCGCCCGGTTCGGCGAGAATAGAAACACGGCCACGCACGACGAGACCGAAACCGAGACCGAGACCGAGTACAGGGACCGGGACCGTCCAGAGCTGACTGTGAGAGTGAGTGCTCACTAACCCACTTGATACTCCGGTAGAAATAGTCCTAGCCCTTTTCTGACCTCGCGTATTGTATTGTAGGAAGATCTTGCGGGAGTCGAAGTCCCGACCAACTGGCCGGAAATGTACCGCATGCCCTCGAAAGCGGAAATCGACGCGGCCGAGTACGAAATGACCGGGCGCATCACCCAGCCGACGGACGAGGAGGCCAATAGACGATTCCACCTGGAGTAGGTAAGTAGGTAGTAGGTAGGTAGGTAGGCAAATAGGTAGTAGGTACCTACACAAATTGCTACGACGTTGAATTTCACAGCCTCGGGCTCCTTCCAGCCACGAGGCTCCAACACAAGGCTCCGACACAAGGGGCGTGGTGTATTTAGTTTCTGATTGTTGACACTTGATAATTTATACTGCCGCACTTTCATTTCACAATTCGCCAAATCCCTCGTCCTCCTCCGGTCCGACGGCGCAGTGGCTTGAAAAAAGAGACAACAAACGGGTTGCGCACTAAGCGTTTAGAAAGAGTCTCATGTTCAACTTCGACGTACAAGTGGTGGATATTCAATCAATCAATACAACACAATCTCGAAAAACCTGTAATTAACAGGTTCACTTCCCTACAACCTCCGCTCGAGGAGTTTGTAGGCAAAAGTTTTTGTTTCTTGGTGGTTTGTTTTTGGCGGTTTGTTATGGGTGGGTCGACAATCCATGTCTCATGTCTGGGGCAGCGTGAGAGGTGAGAGAAGGGCCATAGATAAAGATCTGTGTGGACGATGATGATGCGATGCGAGAGGGCGGGAATAGAGTGCCTAGAGGTGTGGTTTCTACCAGTGCTGGTGGTGTTGGTGTTGGTGTTGGTGTTGGTGAGGCTTGATATCTAATCTGCGCATTCGGGCCTGTTGCCCACCGTAGCCTTGGCGTCTCAGGGTGTCGAATTTTGTCTTTTGTCCGCATCGAATTCGAGTTCGAGTTTGACTTTGCGAAGTTCAACTCCAACTCCAACTTCCCTTCGGTCTTGCCCTCGCCTCACTCAGCCTTCTCGATCTTCTGATCGTGACCGCATTGGTCACATAGTAGCGAGAACGTCAGTCCACCGCCATGTCAGCCCAACAGGAACAGGAACGGCAACGGCAACAGGACCATGTCAGTGACTCCTCCTCGTCCTCCTCTATATCAGATCCTCTCGACACCAGGGACGATGACGGGTGGGAGGACTTGGAGCCAGATGAGGAGTCTATCTCGGTCTTGTCGCTGTTTGACAAGCAAATCTTCCCCGATGCTAAGAGCATGCTGTCTTATTGCCGAGAGCACCATGGCTTCGATATCTGGAAACTAAGGCAAGACTTTGGTGAATATTCTAGCATGGCTTATGCCATCTCAATCTCACGCCAGCAGAGCTAATGTCCCCTGTCTTTGCCTAGATCTTGATTTCCTCGGACTCATCAAACTCGTCAACTACATCCGATCGGAAGTCCAGGCTGGCAACCCCCAGCCCGACGTCTCGTCCAGTTCAAAGTTTGATGACGACAAATATCTCAAGCCGGCTCTGGACAACGATGCGCTGCTGTACAGTCTGGACGATGTGTTTGAGGAGGCTGGCAGCGTCGGACCGTCCAGCGAAGTCGACCAGCTTCGAGAACAGCTGGCCAATTTGCAGTCGCACTTCACCGCGTACAGGGAAGAAGTGCAAAAGGCGATGCTGGAACGACTCGACTCGTCAGATGTGACCACAGAACCGAACAGCGTGCGACCGAGCCAACCGAAACTCTCGAGCAATCTGGTGGGAGGGTCTTTGGACAACGACTATTTCAAGTCGTATTCGTACAACGGGATTCACGAAGCCATGATCAAAGACCGGATCCGAACTGACGCATACCGCGACTTCATCTACGACCACAAAGACCTGTTCAAAGACAAGGTGGTGCTCGATGTCGGCTGCGGAACCGGGATCTTGTCCATGTTCTGCGCCAAGGCCGGGGCCAAATTGGTCATTGCGGTGGACAATTCGGACATCATCGACAAAGCACGCGAGCATGTGTTCCAGAACGGGCTGCAATCGACGGTCAAGTGTCTGCGAGGAAAGATCGAAGAAGTCACCCTACCCGTGCCCCAAGTGGACCTGATCGTGAGCGAGTGGATGGGATACGGCCTGCTGTACGAATCCATGCTTGACTCGGTCATCTACGCGCGGGACAAGTACCTGGCCCCTGACGGGCTGATGGTTCCGTCTCATGCGACGCTGCGGATCGTGCCACTCGCCGACTCGGACCTCAAAGCGTCGCACATCGATTTCTGGCGCGACGTCTACGGCTTCGACATGACGGCCATGCTGGAGCGGGCGCATGAAGAAGTGGTGGTTCGCGTGGCAGACGAGAAGGAGCTTGCTGCCGAGAGCTGCGTGTTCCTGGAACTCGACCTACATACGACCAAGGTGGAGGACTTGACATTCACCCAGCCGTTTACGACGACGTGGAAGGAAGGGTTTCGAGTGCTCGAGGGATTCGTGGTGTGGTTCGACATCATCTTCGGCCAGTCTCGAACCGAGGCGGAGGCGGGCTTCAAACCAGGCATGACGGCCGCCGAAGCCAAACAGAAGGGTCTCGTGGCCTTCTCGACAGGGCCGTATTCCGAAGCCACGCACTGGCAGCAGGTGATCATGCTGATCAAGGATCCAAAGGATGAGTTCCGCGCGGGTGAAGACCTGTCGGGCGAGGTCAAGTACGTGAGGAAGCAAGGGCAAGAACGGTCGTTGGAGATTGAGGTGTCGTGGGCCAATGCACAAGGAAGTGGAAAGCAAGAGGTCAAGAGGCAGATGTGGGTACTTGATTGAGGGGCATGCTTCCGAACATAAATCGCCGCAGATGGTGAAGCGAATCGTCGACAGAGAGAGAAATGTCGGCTAGCAAATTACAAAGTCATGTCATACCCCAGTGAATACGCCAATGTTAATTTGGTTCTGAAACGGGATTGGCTCATTTTTGGGCAGATGCTTACATTACGTCGATATAGGATGGGCATTATTATGGGTGTCCAACCAGCTCTTGCGCGTTCAAAAAAGCATTCTTCAGCAGATTGATGTCTGTCTCCCCTTGACTGGATAAGGACAAGTGTTTAGACTATAGGAGTGAGTAGTAAGGAGTAGAAGTAAGGAGTAGAAGTAAGGAGTGAGGAGTGTAGAGTGAGTAGTGATCAGTTAGTACCATAGAAGAAGTGATGAGTGAGGAGTGAGTAGTGATGGTACAGGATCTATCTACTCGCAAGACTCGGCGTGGGTGCTATGATATCCCAAGTCTTGCTTGATGCATTTTAAGTCAGTGCCTGCAGGAGTTTGGAGTCAGCGGCGTGGAGACCGGGGCTTAAGGCCGAGACCGGGGCCGAGAGGGAGAGGAGAGGGACCGGAAGGGAGACGGAGACGGAGACGGAGAGAGGGCGGGGTTGGCATGATATCCGTACGCCGTACACACCACACATTGGATCAATCACACCATTATCCCGTCCCATCACTCACTCATAACTCGAGATTCGCAGGATTGTAGAATGAGTACTGTACTACCTCCGTACCTTAAGGTACAGTAAGTGCAAGAGTGAAAGGTACGGCACAGAGTACACAGCAGAGAAGAGCAGAGCGCAGCACAATATCATAATATCATCTACCTGACCACATCCGCAGTACACTCCGCCTTCTACCTGATTGCATCCGCATCGAATCTTGAATCTTCAACCACCCACCCTATCTTCAGGCACGGCCTGATCTTCTACCTGACCTGACCCTGACCCTGACCCTGACGCTATCTCAGAGTCAGACCTCGGACCACGGACCAGATCTCAACTCTACCAGACCGTCTGAGACCTACTCGGCAAAATGTCATCCACGCCCCCCAACCTCCTCGCCTCTTCCAAACACACCACCCCAATCCACCTGTACCAACCGACGCTCAAGGCCGTGCCGTCGGCCATTTCCGCCCTGCTGGCCGAATACTCGGGCATCGCGCCCGCCGAGCAAAAGGAACACATCACCACCGTGCGCGACCGCGCCTACGCCTCGTACCCGTACCCGTGTCTGGGTCGTTGGCGGTTCTTGGAACTCGATCTGGCTAGCCATCCGCTATATGGGAGTGAGATATTGCCGGCGTTGGCCAACACCAACACTGCCCACGACTCCAACGATGACACCAACAATGACACCAACGACGGCAATGACAATGACAATGACATTGACGATGACTGGATCTTTCTCGACTTAGGCTGCTGTCTCGGCCAAGACCTCCGCAAACTCATCTACGACGGCGCCGACGTGCGTCGACTCTACGGAGCCGACCTGAACCCGGAATTCATCGATATCGGCTACACGCTCTTCGGCGACCAGGACAGGTTCTCGCGCAACGCCCACTTCATCGCCCCCGCGGACGTGTTTGATTTCTCCGAAACCAGCGAGCTCAGCCGCCGTTGCGACGGCCGCGTCGCCATCCTGCACTGCACGGCGGTGTTTCATCTGTTCGGGCTGGATGAGCAGAAGGTCCTGGCGCGGCGGTGTTTGAGGTTGTTGAAATCGAGATCGAAATGGAGAACCACTGCCAGTGCCAGTGCCGCTATTCCAACCCAGAACCAGAACCACCCACGACGTGCCCTGATCCTCGGCGCACAGACGGCCAACGTCCGCGCCGGAGACTATCCACGCAGCCGAAGCGGCCGCATGCGGTACCGCCACAACGAGCATAGCTGGCGCCAGTTCTGGGAGGAGGCGGTGGCCGAAGACGGCTGGAGGGATCGAATTGCATCCGTTGATGTGCAGTCCGTGCTGGTGGAGAGGACGTTTGGGGATTCGGACGGGAAGGGGGGTGGTGGTGGTGCTGATGCCGATGCTGGTGCTGATGCTGGTGGTGCTGATGCTGAACCAAACAATACGCAGGCCCAGATAGGCAAGGTCGAAGAGGGGTTCAGATGGATGAAGTGGTGGGTTTGGATTGATTTTGTCTAGGTACATACAAATCATCCAATCCATACTGTAGTAACCCTAACCCTAACCCTTGGACGAGACGATGTCAGATGTCTTGGTCCCTACCTAGGTACCTACCTGACCTTTTTACTGAACCTGACCTATATACTGAACTTGAACTGAGATCGAACCTGCCTTGCACATCAAGTTTGAACGTAACAATTCTGAGTTGGATAATTAGGTACTGTAGGCTCAGTAGGTTCAGTAGGTTCAGTAGGTTCAGTAGGTTCAGTAGGTTCGAATACTCTAGGTCAAGGCTCAGGGTCCTCCTATAATACCCCAAGAGCTCTGCGCACTTTCGCGCCGATCCCTCTCAAGCGATCCAGAGGTTCATTCGAGAAGACGAATCGAATGTATTGTCCAGCCTGGGCACCTCCCCAGCCGGCCATAGAGGTAGCACAGATGCCCTGGTCCAAGAGTCGCTTTGAGGCCGTATCCCCATCGATGCCAAAGTCACTCACTCGGATCAAAAGACTCCATCCCCCAGCAGGAACTGCGACCGGAAGACCGGCCAATTCCTCGACGATGAGATCTCGTCGCGCCTGAAGCTCCGTCACGTACTGTGGCATGGTCACAGCCGACCGCTCCAACGCAATGGCCACGGCCTCCTGTGCAATACCCACTGGGACGACCACGTTCGCCATCGAGACGGCGGCGATGTCTCCCATGAGAGCTTCCGGTGCTACGATCCAACCGACTCGCCAGCCAATCATCCTCAGCTCCTTCGCAGAGGATCCCACGGTGACGGTGCGCTCCGCCATGCCCGGAAAGCTTGCGGGATGGACGATGGGACGATTGTCGAAGACGAGCCGCTCCATGGCCGAGTCCAGGATGAGCAAAAGATCGTGCGACACACATAATTCCGACACGAGATGCCAGTCATCTTGATCGAAATAACCGCCGGTTGGCATGGAAGGCGACATGAGCAGCATTGCTGTTGTTCGATCGGTGATGGCGGACCGGAGCGCATGGCCATCCAATTTCCATTCGCCACCGGGCTGAAATGTGAATGGGACGAATTTCGGTACCCCTCCTGCGAGAAGGACCCGATTGATCAGGCCGCGGTAGATGGGGTCCGTTATGATCACTTCATCGCCCTCCTCGATCGTGGCCAGGAGCACGTTGAGGATGCCGGACAGTCCTCCCGCAGCGATGGTGCAGTTGCGTTCGCCAGAGTATTCCACCCCGGAAATCTGGGTTACATGTTTGGCTGCAACGTCGCGTAAATGCGCTTTGCCGGTAAATGGGAGATAGCTGTTGCATCCGTCAAGGTGGAGCGCTTGCTCCGTATAGGCGACGGCATCCGGGTCCGGCGGGATGTCGACGTCGAGATTCTCCAGGCGGAGATAGTCGCGGTCAGAGGCGTCCGCGAGGTTGCCCATCTGGTCAACTCCAATGCCCTGGATATGCTGTAGGCGACGGGGGCGAGGGCGAGGCATGATGAAGATCAATTATGTCGAAATCAGACCACAGACGTCCACAGGGGCAGCTTCTTGAGTCAGTATTGATCAGAGGTTTTGCTTTATACGTAGTTGTGTCTCTCAGATTACTCATCGACTACTTCCAGTACTGCTGCCTTGTGCCTTATATTCGTTTCGGTTCTTCGCGGTACGTTCAATGCTCCACAGCAACTCGAGTAGGAATGTCCAGGAACATGAGCTGGATCAATGCTGGCTCGCCTATTCGCGGTCTTCCACGGAAAGGAGGCGTATATCAAATGAAGCCCGCGGACAAATGCGTGCTGGACGCTCTAGATAGCTCCTCCGCAGCCCAAAATGCGCCCTTTGGCCTTGGCGTCTTGCGGGAGAGGGGGGAGTCAGCCGTCAGTTTTTCGATCGCCGCATTTCTTGTGTCGTCGCCAATGTCAATTATCTTCATCGCGTCAAAAAGCTGTAGTATCGGCTCGGCTCAGAGAGAGGAGGATAGTGAGAGGTTGAGCAGGAGCTGTGATTGGTGGTTGTAGTGGCAGACCACAATATGCCGTGCGGTGTAGAGTCGTCTTGAAACTGCCGAACGAAGACAATACGTTGATTGCTTTGAGGGATGTTACAGGACAGTGTAAGGACTAACAGGAGACAATGGGGTTTCCGCTTGTGTCGACATTCCAAGAGAAGGCGGAATGGTCTGGTACGCAGGGAGATATTCCTAGCGGAACGGAGAAAGATTTATCCGATATATTCCTATTCCCTCTCTTGAGGTGCTGCGCTGCGCTGCGAGGTCCCGAGTGCTCGGCACGCTGGAGATACTGAAGACACGGCGGGTCGGTCGGTCAGTCGACAATCGACTCTTCGGGTCCTAGTATGTGTACTACTACAACTACTGCACGCTCGAGTGAGCGCTATCCGCCGCGATGGGGGTGCTACCGACGCAACGATGAGCTGGCAACACTCCATGTGGATATGTCAAGCTTCATCTTGTTGACAGGGACCAAGGATAACTTGGTTTGTTGGTAATCAATTCCATGTACGTACGTACCGCTTCACGTAAGCCACACATCGGTGTGCAGTTAGTACTCGTACTACGTACGTAGTACCGTAGTGTAGTTGGTAGGTGGGTATATTCTGTCCAAGACCTATGACAGCGGTCAAAAGAGGGCATGGCAAAGGCCTAAAAAAGTCGTTGTATGTCACTCCGGTGACTGGACTGGGATCCGTACAGTGACTGTTGTCCGAATAAATAGTCCGCCTTCAGACCGAAAGCCCAAGCCCAAGCCCAAGCCCAAGCCCAAGCCCGAACGAGACTCACTCTGCAACTTTCGACAGTGGTTTTCAGGTCAACAGCAGGACTGTCCTGTTCACTTCCACTGTGATCGCAATCAGTCAGCAAGACCCAACCATACCGTACTCGTCATCTGTCAGAAATGTCTTCAACTTCCGCTCCAGGTGGAGGGGTTCTATGGGTGACGACCAGCGTGATGAACAAGGCACTGCCTCTTTCGCTTCTCGACGACTGGTACGATGAGCACAAGGATGACGTGCTCAACGCTCACGGGCATGGCGGCCTCGTTCTCCGATACAAGAACCTCGATCCCGCAACCGATCCATATTTCGATCCTAAGTTCGCCGATCGGTCTACATCGGATGCCACGCTCAGAAGCATTGCCGACTCGCACTGGGTGTACCTTGCCTTGGTTAAGCTGAGCGATTTGGACTGGTTGACGAGCAAACAGTTCATCGACATGCCCCGGGTCTCTAAACAATTACCTCCAGAAGCAGATGGGTCCATAGGCAGCGCCTTCAGCTGTTGGTATGCCGCGCTGCGCAGTTACGAGACGGTTGGCAAAATTGACGATGCAACTGGAAAGTCGACCCAACCGAAATATATTCTGAGCATACAGACCCGTGACGCCGATGACTCCACCTGGGCTGCACTGGACGAGAAATACAACACATTGCCGGGATTCCGGGGCGTGGTCAAGTATAAGAATGTCAACGGGTTGTTGGAGTATCAAGAACCAGGGCAGCTACCGGTCGGGCTTGCGCTGTACCAGTTTGACGGGGAAGAGCCTCCTCAATCGCCCGTGGGAACAGATCAAATCGTCAAGGCAGACGTTTGGGAGTACATCTTGGAGGCGGGCGATAAGTCACTCCGTCTGTAGAGAGAGATGAGCCTGCCAGAAGCCAGCCGCGGCAACAATAGTGTATAGATGTACGAGATGTTCGTGCAGTAGTGTTCCCGGCAGTTTGGCAGGGATGTATATGCGCCACGAATAAACAATGGCAACTTCCCTCACTCCTTCTCTTGCAACTGACGCGTCGAAACGTGGATTATGTGGAAAGGAGCACGTCAATCTATGCGGCAATAGTACGGATAGTAGTATTCATCCAGGCTGTCACTTCATGGGAAGATGTAGTCGGGGCCGGGCGCAGGGATGGTTCGCGTACGAGGAGGGCGGCTAGAACTCCAAGACCGCGAGTGCATAATGCACGTGAGCCTGGTAGGCTGTTAAGCTCGGAAAGAAGGCAATTTTAAGACGTGTTCGTAGCTGGAAGGTGTTAGCTGTAATGGGTGAAGAAGGGAGACGGAAGATGGTTGCTCGACGCATTGTGCCACTGTTACTCTGCGTAGATGGCAGTTTGTCCTGATCATTGATGGGTAAGGTAATGATTACACACGACCGTAAATACGGAGTACATGACCTGGAAATGATAAGACGGCAGTTGGGCAAGGCGTCAGAGGGAATGCTGTCTTGCAGGAACTCTGTCCAGGACTGTGTATTCAAATGTTGGTGAGATGGCTGCGTAAAACTGCTGCAGCGAGCCGCCCTCGATCGGGCAGGCCTGCCGCGCCAATCCCTCGCCGCTTTGACTTGACACTCAACCGTTGCGTAGACGTGACATTCCTGCAAGCAACCCACAAAACCAGAAACGTCGTGGGCGAACATGTCCGTCACAGTTTTTGCAGCAGGAGATCTGATTCTCAACAGCACTCTGAGCCGAAGCGCCGAGCCTGACTGAAGATGTGTACAGTCATCTCCGCAATGCCAACTTGGCCTTCATCAATCTCATTGAAGTATCGCTCACCACGGCACGGCACCCGGCCGAGAAGCTCGTTGCGCTCAAAGCCTCAGCCGACGCAGCCAAGGCGATACGCGATCTGAAAATCGACGTCGTGACTGTGGCCAGCAACCACGGGATAGATTACGGGGCCGAGGGTGCGATCCAAACCCTGCAAGTTCTGCCAAGGCAGGCATTCGACACGTGGCGGCGGGCTGGGTCAGTTTTGCTCCCGCATACGAGGATAGAGGATAGAGGATAGAGGAGATCTCATGCTGGTCTACATTGGAAATACGACGACCATACCCAGCGGCAGCCATGCCGACCCAGGGGTGGTAGGAGTACCCGTCTTCAGCCAATATGTTGTCGACAGTGTGACCCTCGACGAGACTCCCGGCATGTCGCCGTTCGCGGAAACAGTCACCTATGCCCCAGACCGCCTCCAGGGCAGTGTTCGAGATTCGCAGATAGGGACCGATCGAGTTAGTTCCGCGAACAAGCTCACCGCCACGATCAGTGTGACGTTAAAGTTGCAGTGTTTTGTTGTAGAGCAGCTGTTTTCGGACACCATTCTCACGTCGTACGGCGTGGAATTCTACAAGGGTGCATCTATCTTCTACAGCCTGGACAACCTGATCTTTTACGATGTGCTGACGTGATCCGTTCCTACACCCCCCTCTAGCTGGACGAGCCTGCACAGTCGTCTGTCCAACATTGGGGCCTTAGCCCTGGCAATGGTGTCTTAGACTGCTGTGTTCTCGTTCCTATAACGCTCGACCGCAACGGTAAGCCACTGCATGCCACATCTATAGTTGGCTTCTCAACTCCAGATCTCTGGAGGAGAAAGGGGCGGCAAATGCTAATTAGAAGCTGGTAGAGTACGGGAGTACGGAGTTATATGGCTGAGGACTGCGAGGCGAACCATATAGGGTTAGTTTCGCGAGGAGATCGGCCTGTGGAGTCATGAGGTAGCAGGTGATAGGAGAATTCACGTCCATGGAAGACCGTTAGGCCCCTAGACGTCTTCCCATCTCGGCCTAATGGACTCCGACACGTTTTTCGCCGACGTTGGGATCCGCCTTACCTACTGAAGTACCTACAAAGTACGGAGTACGGAATACTCCTCGAGTTAGCGGTTAAAGTTTTCAGCCTGGTGGTATTAAGCCTTCCTAAGCCTTAGGAGTCTCCTCAGCCTGAAGGCTTAGGGGACTCTAAGCCCTTAAGCCCCATCCCCCCACCACTAAAGTGTAGTAGGTACGTGGATACTACGCACCAGGGACGCACTACGCAGCCTCCTTCAGCTGGGGAGCCTTACCGAATCCAATACACCATAATGCGACTACCTATCTAGGCAATTCATGAGGCTGAGGCCTCCCACTTAATTTTGTCGATCACATTGGACGCCTCACCGTTAGATTCAGGGTTTGAAGTCTCCCCCCTGCGAGGATGGGTCTCTATATGCGTGGTCCAAGAGTAGAAGCTCTGTCTATATAGACCTGTAGTTCCTCCTCCCAACAGTGTTTATCTTGGCCATTCATTGCATATTGCATCTCAACCCACCTCTCTCTACCGTCGACCTACACCATATAGTTATACGGTATATATATACTGTATCCTGCATACCTGGACCCCAACCCCAGCTACATCTTCATTCGCACAGCACATGAGCATAACTTCCTCCCTCCAGTCTGCAACACGACATGGGTATCTTCCACCACGATGGCTCCAAAAACCACACGTGTCCGATGCCCTCTCCCTTGCATCAAGGTAAGAAACAATCCATCTTCTCAGTGCCAGGCTTCATCTGTACCGCGTAGCTGACTTGAGGATCTACCATTACCATATAATAGATGCGACCGAGAACGCCGTCGGCTCATTCAGCTTTTACCACTTCAACATGATCCTGTCGGGGGCCTGCGCCGCCTTCACCCTCGTCTGTATCTTGTCATTTCTGTTCCTGCATGGCATCCACCTCAGCAGACCCAGCGAGCAGATCAAGTACGTACTATACTATTGTCCTTGGGTATACGCCCAAGGGCCCTGACACATTCCTCTCCCCTTCGATCCTACCAGTTGATTACTGTTCCGTTCTGTTCGGTGTGGTTTCAAAACGGTCGTGAACTCTTAGGCTAACAACGTGGTGTCGTGAAGGATCATGAGAATCGGCCTACTGCTCCCTCTTTACGCCTGCATTTCCTTCTTGTCCATCTGTTTCCCCAATGCCTATGTGTACATCATGCCATGGATCGACGTGTACCAGGCCATCGCACTGGCAACCTTCTTCCTGCTGATGAATGATCTCGTCTGGCCCACCAGCGACCGCCGCGACATGCACCTCAGCTCCATGGCCGTGCCTCAGAAGGGCCGCAAGGCTGCCAATGGCCCTCTCCCTGGCCACACTTGGTACAAGGTACGATGCTTGCCCTCTCGAGGCTTGCCCCCTGCGGATTCTTCGGACATAAAAAGAGGAAGAAAAAAGGTGGATCGATGCTAACAATCCGTCCAAATAGAGACGATATCTCGCCGTCTTCCAATACATGCCCGTGGCTCTTGTGGCTGCGGTCGCGGCCTGCATCACTCAGGCGGCCAAGGTCTACTGTCTGGAGAGCAGCAAGCCGTACTTTGCACACTTCTGGGTAAGTCCCGACCAGTAAACCATCTGCCTGGGTGTGGTTGAGATGGAGGCTTGAATTGGCCCCTGAGAATCCTGCACCAGCCGTTCCATCAATCCCTTTGTCAATCAGTAGCTGATGCAATTCCTAGCTGGACCTCATCAAGTCGTTCGCTGTCACTGTATCGGTGCTTTCCAACATCAACTTCTACAAGGTGTTTGTGGCGCACCTCAAAGCTCACAAGGCAATGTCCAAGCTTCTGGCTTTCAAACTCCCTGTCTTCTTCACCTTCGTGCTACAGGTATGTCCTGTGTGGGAGACAGTCCCCATTCTTCGACAGTCTCGTTCTGGACAACGGCTGACTTGATACACAATAGATCGTCTGGTGGGGGCTGCGATCCCAAAATGTTCTCAAGCCAAATTCCAAGCTCACCTATGCCGATCTTTACCTGGGCATACAGTCCCTGATCATCTGCGTTCTGATGGTGCCTTTGTCCGTCTTCTTCTGGTATGCCTACTCGATCCAGCCTTACAGGATCAGGCATACTACCAAGTCAGTGAGCGATGGGGATGGGGATGGAGATGGGGTCTGGGAACCTACCCAGGAATATCATCCTCTACGCCCCCTCAGCTACCAGGGTGGTTTCTTGGGCATCCGTGCCTGGCTGGCAATGCTCAACCCGTCCGATATCATTCAAGCATTCGGTTTCTGCTTTGATTTGATCTCGAACAAGGAAGGGCGGTGAGAGTGGACCGGTGTGACTGGCTTCAGGAAGGTTGAGTGTCCGATAATGACCTATAACATTGCCCACACTCTTGTTAGAAGAAGAGCAGGCTTCGACACAAAGGACCGGGAGAGATATCTTTAGAATAAAGGAAACATCGATTGGCGATGGCGCTAGTACTGACGGAGATCTATCTATGCAAATGAATCAATGTCAAAGATTTGTCACATTCCAACAAGGCCTTCTCCTCCCTTGCAAGCCATTCAGTAGGACGCCACGGTCTTCTCAAACCAGGTCTGCCCACCTGGCGCTAGATACCGATCCTAAGCGAACTTCTCGAGGACCCGTCTGGCTTCAGATCACGATTTCAGGTCGAGGAAGCGTGCCTGACGGGCCAACATCGTGTTGAACCAAAGGAGAGTCGTATCATCGTCCGGGTCGGTGACTATCCGCCGCATTCTTCGTCTCGTCTCGGCGCGGCTCATTCGATGCCTTGCACCTATTACTACTGCCCAGGGCTATGGCCTCAACACTGGAGTCGCCTCAACTGACTCCCAGGCCAGGCTAGGCGCCTAACTGTCTCTGAGAATACTGTATTATTTTCTTACATGTTTTCTTATCTATTATTTATCTGTAGCATTCCCCAACGCCTAAATAACCTCCGTAGGGCGCCTTTCAAGCGCCACGATTTACACCTTATCAGCGCTGCAACAGCATGATTGCTAATCACCGTCCCTCGTACCTTGTACCTGCATTACCTTGTGCTTGAACACAATGCCATGTCGATAGTTTCCAACCAGTTGCTGATGCTCAAGATCAAGATTGCTTAGTTAGCCTGTAATCGCCAGTCCTCGTCCTCGCTGGATGATGCATCAGTGGTCAGTGGTCAGTGTGAACATATACAGATATATATCTCTTTCTCTCTTACCTCCTATCTCCCAGACTTCAATGGGTGGTGGGTGCACTCTATTCCTAGATACCTAACCAGCACGTGTACTATATACTAGTATCACAAGATGAAATGGTACCGGTGCCCAACAGATATCTAAGTCGACAAATTGGCAAACCGCAACCTGGCATACGCCTGTGCTTGTGCTTGTGCGTGGCGACCAGTGAATCGCAGTTCCATGGTACATCTACTGGATTTCCGCTTGGCGCTTGTCACCACCACACCGAGGTTCTCATGAATGCCCCAAGACAAGGTTTGTGACTGTGACTCGCGGCACTATGGTACATGTTGGTTTGTCACTGCACAGCGAGGTCCTCAGGAACGCTCTTTTCTTCCCTGAGGACTATATATGTTGCCCTACTCCCTCCTCCTTCTTTTCTTTTCCTTTCTGCATGCTCTCGATCCATCGAGTTGCTCATCAATTCATCGAGTGACATATCTCTTCTTCCCTCACCGATTTTCCCTGATCATCTCCTTCCCTCTAGTTTGACATGGCCCAGCGACGAGCTTCAAGAAGTCCTTCCAAGAAATCAAAGAGCATCTCTGATGTTTTCCCTGGCGTATCTCTGCCCTCTGCCCTGCAATATCTGAGCCTCCATCAACCAGCCCGAACATCCCAACCATCTTCTCGCATATCCTCCTCCATGATTCGCCATCTCACCATGGGCCGATCGACCTTCCAGTGGCCAACATGGTCCTCGCATCCAGAAAGCAAGTCTTCGGCCGGCTTTACTATTCGCATCGAACCCAACATTCTCGAGTACTCGAGACTCGGCCCTTCCACTACAGTCGATGCATTCAAAGAAGCGGCCGAACACACCTACAAGCTGAACGCAGAAACCACTCGCGACGACCGTAGTATCGATATTATTGGTGATGATCTCGTTGCGCAGATGATCACTGTCGTTTTCGGATCCAACTATATTGAAAGAGTGGGATGTGATCTCGAGGAGACTACTACCCTCTGTCGGAAGGTTTTCCTCGGCGAAGGTGTGGAGGATAAGCCGGCCAGATGTCTAGAATGCCGCAACCACGACGACAGTCACGACGACAGTCACGACGACAGTCACGACGACAGTCACGACGACAGTCACGACGACAGTCACGACGACAGTCACGACGACA